CCCCCAGTCGTTCTTAGGCTCCTTATTGGGTGAGCAACGCAGCCAAGCAACACAGTTGGAGCCTCCCTCCTCCCTGGCCGGCAGGGAGGGAGGGAGAGGAGCTGCTTCCTTTGAAACCTGGGAAATTTAAGGGACATCATCAATAAGGGACAGCAGCGGGACACGGCGCTGGGATAAGGGACTTTCCCGCCAAATAAGGGACGGTTGACAGCTATGGTCATGACTGCGGTGCCTGAAATGAACGGTGGATATATAAAGGCGTTTTTTCTCCCTCGCTCCTAATCCCGGGATTCGTAGATGAACCTGAGTGGTGGAAGGTCCGGGACAGGCGAAAAGAAGGGCGCGTCTTTCGAACTCGCTTCCGCGGAGGCAGTGACTGGCCACCAACTTTAAAAGAGGGTCAGACATATTCCTGGAGAGGGGAAAGGGCCATTGATGGCTACGCTCTGACTCCGATGCTTCTGAACGCCCGTTGCTGGAAACCTGAAGGGAGAAGGGTCTTGGATTCGAATCCTGATTGCCGGTTTCCCATAATAGGCACTTTGATGGCAGGATCCTGGACAAAATTTGCCACTAGCCCCGTCCTTGATTTTTATGGGGCATGAAAATGGCAAGCAGTTGTTTGCTCGCTGTGTGGGCAGCCTTGCTCATCGCGTCTGAATTTCTATTCCTGTACATTATTATTGTTATTGTTATTATTCCTCCTCCTCCTCCTTTTTTCCCTGGCAGGGACTCAAGGCAGCTAGCAGATAAAATACGAGCAGCTGAAAACCTTTTTGGGGCGAACCATTTATTGAAGAAACAGTTGAACGTCAATAGAAATAAAACTATATACAGTGGTACCTCGGTTTTCGAACGTTAATCCTTTGCGGAAGACTGTTCGACTCACGAAACGTTTGAAAGCTGACGCATGCGTTTCCAGAAGCATTTATGTTGGGAAAACTGTTTGTGGCAGGTTCGGTTTCCAAAAAGAATTTGAAAACCAAAGCAGTTACTTCCGGGTTTTCGGCGTTTGGAAGCCGAAGCGTTCAGCTTCTGAGACGTTCGAAAACCGAGGTACCACTGTACGTACAGTGGACGCTCGGGTTGCGAACATGATCCGTGCGGGATGCACGTTCGCAACCCGCAGTGGCATGTCTGCGCACGTGCGGGTTGCGATTTGGTGCTTCTGCGCATGCGCAGAGCGCAATTTAGCACTTCTGCGCATGCGCGACTGCCGAAACCCGGAAGCATCCCGTTCCAGTATTCCTGGGTTTTGGCGGTCCGCAACCCGAAAAAACGCAACCTGAAGTGTCTGTAACTCGAGGTATGACTGTACCTATATAAAGGTAAAGGGACCCCTGACCATTAGGTCCAGTTGTGGCCGACTCTGGGGTTGCGGCACTCATCTCGCTTTACTGGCTGAGGGAGCCGGCGTACAGTTTCCAGGTCATGTGGCCAGCAGGACTAAGGCGCTTCTGGCAAACCAGAGCAGCGCACGGAAATGCCGTTTACCTTCCCGCCGGAGTGGTACCTATTGATCTACTTGCACTGGTGTGCTTTTGAACTGTTAGGTTGGCAGGAGCAGGGACCGAGCAACGGGAGCTCACCCCGTCATTGTGGGGATTCGAACCGCCGGCCTTCTGATCGGCAAGTCCTAGGCTCTGTGGTTTAACCCACAGTGCCACCCGCGTCCCTTGTACCTATATAATATATCTTTAAAAACACACACACCCAGAACAAAAACATGAAAACATACATTATCTTTCCTCTTGCTGGAGAGGAGCATCGTCTCAAAAAAACGAGGTTGCGGGAGACTGTCCCTGAGACTTTCCTCTTTCCAAAGCGGAAACCATCCAGGATATTTGAAAATATAGCCCCTTGGCTCGGTTGCCTATGGCGAGAAGCAACGGGTTACCAGGGGACCCCAAGATCAGAATTATGTGTCTGTCTTTGGTTTGCCAGCTGCCCTCTGGGATAGATATTAGGAGAGAGCGCAGGTTAAAAAAAGCATTCCTTGAGATCCGGCGACTTGAATCTGGACTCACCAGCCGGACCAGTTGCTTAATGGCTGTCGACTCTTGAAACCTGTTTTACGCAGAAGCTGAGAAGCGACTGGCGTTTTATGACTGGCGTGGGTCCAGTTGTGACCACATGGAGATTTCGGGTTGCCGTTTCCCTAAGCAGCTCAGCCAGAATAGATTATTCACTGCATTTTATATCCTGTGTGAGTGTCTGGAGGCGGTTGGAGGATGGATGGCGGCTAACAGATTGAGGTTGAATCCTGACAAGGCAGAAGGACTGTTTTTGGGGGACAGGCAGGTGGGGGGGACTCCCTGGTCCTGAATGGGGTAACTCTGCCCCTGAAGGACCAGGTGCGCAGCCTGGGAGTCATTTTGGACTCACGGCTGTCCATGGAGGCGCAGGTTAATTCTGTGTCCAGGGCAGCTCCATCTGGGACGCAGGATGAGACCCTCCCTGCCTGCGGACTGTCTTTCCAGAGTGGTGCATGCTCTGGTTATCTCCTGCTTGGACTACTGCTATGCGCTCTCCGTGGGGCTACCTTTGAAGGTGACCCGGAAACCGCAACTAATCCAGAATGCGGCAGCTAGGCTGGTGACTGGGAATGACCGTCGAGACCACATAACACCGGTCCTGAGATATCTGCATTGGCTCCCAGTATGTTTCCGAGCACAATTCAAAGTGTTGGTGCTGACCTTGAAAGCCCTAAATGGCCCAGTATACATGAAGGAGCGCCTCCACCCCCATCGTCCAGCCCGGACACTGAGGTCCAACTCCGAGGGGCTTCTGGCGGTTCCCTTCCTGCGAGAAGTGAGGTTACAGGGAACCAGGCAGAGGGCCTTCTCGGTGGTGGCACCCTCCCATCAGATGTCAAGGGAATAAGCAGCTATCTTATTTTTAAAAGACATCTGAAGGCAGCCTTGTTTAGGGAAGTTTTTAATATTTAATGCTGTATTGTTTTCAACACCTGAAGCCGCCCAGAGTGGCTGGGGAAACTCAGCCAGATGGGCGGGGTATAAATAATAAATTATTATTATTATTAGTATATTATCCCAACTTTTTCTGCGAGGAGCCCACGGTTCGCCCCACTTCCTCACTTAATCCCTACAACGGCCTGGCAAGGTAGGCTGAGCGAGCTTCAGGACTGAGCAGGATTCGAACCCTGATCTCCCAGGTCGTAGTCTGACATTCAAACAAACACTACCCCCCCCCCCCAGTTTCCTAGAGTCCTTCTGCTATGGGGCAAGCTCTATAAATTGAGGAAGCGACTAAATATGGGGAACGCCCTTAGAGAAGGGTCTGAAATATTTCCCTTGAATTTGTTTCCTTCCGGATTGTTTTCATTGGGTGTTTTAATGTAAAGCGCTTTGAGATTCCGCCCCCTTTGAATTATAAGGCTGTATAGAAATGAAAATAATAATAATAATAAATTTATTATTTATACCCCACCCATCTGGCTGGGCTTCCCCAGCCACTCTGGGCGGCTCCCAACAGAAAATTAAAAACACGATATAAAACACCAAACATTAAAAGCTTCCCTAAACAGGGCTGCCTTCAGATGTCTTCTAAAAGTCAGACGATTGTTTATTTTCTTGACATCTGACAGGAGGGCGTTCCACAGGGTGGGCGCCACCACCGAGAAGGCCCTCTGCCTGGTTCACTGTAACCTCACTTCTCGCAGGGAGGGAGCCGCCAGAAGGCCCTCGGGAGGAGGACCCCGGTGTCCGGGGCAGAGACGCTCCTTCAGGGATACAGGGCCGTTTAGGGCTTTCAAGGTCAGAACCAACCCTTTGAATTGTCTTCTAAAAGGTCTTTATCTCCTTGATATCTGATGGGCGCCACCACCAAGAAGGCCATTTGGTGATTAGCTTTTATATCTATCTTGATATCTATCTATCTAAGGGACGCGGGTGGCGCTGTGGGTTAAACCACAGAGCCTAGGACTTGCCGATCAGAAGATTGGCGGTTCGAATCCCCGCAAAGACGGGGTGAGCTCCCATTGCTCGGTTCCTGCTCCTGCCCACCTAGCAGTTCGAAAGCACGTCAAAGTGCAAGTAGATAAATAGGTACTGCTCCAGCGGGAAGGTAAATGGCGTTTCCGTGCGCTGCTCTGGTTTGCCAGAAGCGGCTTAGTCCTGCTGGCCACATGACCTGGAAGCTGTACGCCGGCTCCCTCGGCCAGTAAAGCGAGATGCGCGACGCAACCCCAGAGTCGGCCACGACTGGACCTAATGGTCAGGGGTCCCTTTACCTTTACTCTATCTATCTATCTATCTCAGCTTCTAGCACGGGTTGAAAGGTCAGATTCTGCTAACTTCAAACGGCCACTAGAGTCGCCCCGTCTGTCTGTTCCTTCCTGCCCAAGCTGAACCTCCCCTTCCTTCCCTTTTGTTAAAAACGAAAAGAAAAAAATTATCCCTCCCCTCTCTCTTTCCTTCCTCTTTTTGTGCGAATATGTCGAAGTCTGCTCTGGGTGTGTTCATTCCCTAACCCAATGAAGCGGCTGTAAATCAAGTTTCTAGTCCCTGTCGCTTGGGGAGGGGGAAACGAAGTAAGTTTTCTAGTCCTCATTGTGCTAATGCGCCTATTTTATTTTCTCTCCCTCTCTCCCCTGTTCTTCCAGGCAGCGCTTTCCCTGACGCCTAGATGACGCAGAAGAGGCCGCGGCCTCGAAGCACGCCTCTCGAAACCAACACCCCCTTCGGGAAAGCCCCCGGGAGCACCGCAGGACCGCCCCGCCGGCGCGGTTCGGGGCGGCTGGGAAGCGGAGGGACCCCGCGGCGAGGGATGGCGGCTGGCCTCTGAAGCCCGTGCCCTGCGAGGAACCGTTTGGCACCCGAACCCCTTTCCCACAGCCGCAAGGACCGCTGGGGCGGAAGGGCCCCTCGACGGCGTCCCCCACGGCGTTGCCTCCGCCCGGACGCTGCCCTCCAGCGCCCCCGTTGCAGGGCGAGGGCTCCTCGGTGGCGGCCCCCGCCAGGCCCACCGCCGGCCGGGCCATGAAGCTTCAGGCGGTGATGGAGAACCTGCAGAGGCAACAGAGAGCCCGCCTGCAGCAGGAAATGGAGTCGCGCCAGCCTCCGCCGGCCGATCCGCCGGGCGCGCTTCCGGTTCCTGCCGCGGCAGTGATGGCCTTCTCCCGCAGCCGTAGCCAGGAGCCCGCCGCCGAGGAGGCAGGGGAACCGGAGAGCGCCCGGATCCAGCGGGCGCAGATGGCGGCACTGGCGGCCATGCGGGAGGCGGCTGCCGGCCTGAGCCAGTCGTCGAGCCCCGGCCCGTCAGAGGCCAGCCGCGGCTCGGCGGAGGAGGAAGAAGAGGAGGAGGAGGAGGACGAGGAAGACGACGGAGGGGTGTTCCCGCGGGAAGCGGTCTCCGAGGACGAGGAGATGTGAGTATTGCCCTTTATCCCGGAGCGATGAGGACCGGCTGTGCCGGATTTACGTACAGTGGTACCACGGGTTACGTACTTAATTCGTTCCGGAGGTCCGTTCTTAACCTGAAACTGTTCTTAAGCTGAAGCATCACTTTAGCTAATGGGGCCTCCCTTTGCCGCTGCATGATTTCTATTCTCATCCTGAAGCAAAGTCCTTAACCTGAGGTACTATTTCTGGGTTAGCGGAGTCTGTAACCTGAAGTGTATGTAACCTGAAGCATCTGTAACCCGAGGTACCACTGTATAAGCTAAACAAGCTGTAGCTTAGGGCCCCGCTCTCTCGGGGGTCCCAAACAAATTTAAAGGGGAAAAAACTGGATGTACATTTCCAAAATATAAGATAGAAAACAAATGAAATAAAACCTACATCCAGGAACAGTGTTTTGCGTTGTGTAGGCTCCTAGGATGTAAGTCATGGGCCCCGCCTGCTAGCCTGCTCCCCAAAATATTACTGGTTAGATAGCGTATTTTTCTCTGTATAAGACGCACCAGACCACGAGACGCACCTAGTTTTTGGAGGAGGAAAACAAGAAAAAAAATATTCTGAATCTCAGAAGCCAGAAGAGCAAGAGGGATCGCTGCGCAGTGAAAGCAGCAATCCCTCTTGCTGTTCTGGCTTCTGGGATAGCTGCGCAGCCTGCATTCGCTCCATAAGACGCACACACATTTCCCCTTACTTTTTAGGAGGGAAAAAGTGAGTCTTATAGAGCAAAAAATACGGTACCTATTAGGTCCATCGAACGTGCTCCATTTTGAGTGTTACAATGATCCCTTGCTAGCGGGACCAGTGGTCAGGGATGATGGGAATTGTAGTCTCGAAAAATCTGGAGGACCTACGGCTTATGCAGACTCTATGGAAGAGCTTCCCCTCTGTCCTCTTAGCTCAGCGGTTCTCAACCTGCAGGTCCGCAGATGTTGTTGGACTACAACTCCCATCACCCCTGAGCTCTGGCCTTGCTCGCTAGGGATGATGGGAGTTGTAGTTCAACAACACCTGGGGGTGTTGAGAAAGGCTGCCTTAAGCTCAGCTTACCCCACGCTTCCTCAACCAGATGTTTTGGGCCTACAACTCCCATGATCCCTTGCTAGCAGGACCAGTGGTCAGGGATGATGGGAATTGTAGTCTCGGAACATCTGGAGGACCTACGGCTTATGCAGACTCTATGGAAGAGCTTCCCCTCTGTCCTCTTAGCTCAGCGGTTCTCAACCTGCGGGTCCCCAGATGTTGTTGGACTACAACTCCCATCATCCCTGAGCTCTGGCCTTGCTAGCTAGGGGTGATGGGAGTTGTAGTCCAGCAACATCTGGGGACCCACAGCTTGAGGAAGGCTGCCTTAAAAGGTGGACAACCTGCCGTTTGCTTCTGGGGAAGAAAGAAAGGAGCTGGAGGGAACAAAATAAGCTTGTATTTCTCCTGATTTTTATTAATTTATTTTGGAAAGTGTTTCTCTGAAGGAGAGAAGAAGAAAAGTTTTTAGAAAGACTCAGATTGGGTGATTTAATAAGGCGCTTGCAAGGTTTCTCGTCCCCCAGCTTGGAAAAATAGCAAAGAGTTTGGATCCTTGGGAAATAACTTGAAAAATCAGTTTCCCTGACTGGCCTCCTGTTTCTCTGCCGCTTCCTTGCCCCACCCTGATCTGCTTGGGGTCAGGAGACAATATAAACAGGGAGGAGAGACCAGTTTGGCAGGTTCTCCCCCCCCCTTGCTGCCACCCCCTTTCGATTTACGTTCCTGATCCCTCTCTGAAAAATTTCCAGCTGTTTTGAAAGCGGCTGTGTTTTCCGAAGTTCGGAGAGATTCCCCCTCCCCTCGGAAAAATTGAAGCAACAACTGTTTATTATTATTATTATTATTATTATTATTATTATTATTATTATTATAGCTGTCAACGTTTCCCCTTTTTTAAGGGAAATTCCCTTATTCCAAATAGGATTCCTCGCAAGAAAAGGGAAAAATTGACAGCTATTATTATTATTATTATTATTATTATTATTATTATTTTAGTGTTCTGAATAATTTGCCGAATCGATTGTTCAGAGACCCTAATGGGAGCTGCAGGCCAGAGACACGCGTTTAGAGCTGGGAGTGGGGATTCCGCAAGGGCCATCTAGCAGCTAAAGGATCCCGGCCTTTATTTTAAAACCTGTGCCACCTTCTGGCTCTGACTGCTGCTTCCTAATAATAATAATAATAATAATAATAATAGTAAAATTTTATTTATATCCCACCCTCCCCAGCCGAAGCTGGGCTCAGGGCGGCTAACAACAGTAAAAGTAATACAGTTTACATAAAATCACAACCAGTTACCGTATTTTTCGCTCTATAGGACGCACTTTTCCCCCTCCAAAAATAAAGGGGAAAAGTGTGTGCGTCCTATGGGGCGAATGCAGGCTTTCGCTGAAGCCTGGAGAGCGAGAGGGGTCGGTGCGCACCGACCCCTCTCGCTCTCCAGGCAGCTAACCGCAAGCCGGCGGAGCCCGCGAGAACTCCCGCTGGGCTCCGCAGGCTTGCGGACAGCTGCCTGCAGCCCGAAGCCTGGGGAGCGCGGCGCTGTGTACCCCGCGCTTCAGGCAGTTCTCTGCAAGCCTGCGGAGCCCAGCGGGAGTTCTGGCAGTTCTCTGCAAGCCTTCAGAGCCCGGCGGGAGTTCCTCTGAAGGCTTGCGGAGAGCAGCCTGCTTTCCCCGAAGCCAAAACAGCGAGACGGGTCGCTGTGCAGCCCTCCGTCTCGCTGTTCCGGCTTTGGGACGGCTGCGCAAAGCCTCTGCAGGGCAGCAGGGTGAAGGCACCCTGGCGCCCTGCGGAGGCTACAAAGGATATCCCCGAAGCCTCAAGCCTTTGGAGTGCAGCTGTGCAGCCCCACAAGCTCGGGGGGCCTGCTAGTGAACGCAACTTGAACGCACCTTGTTTTTGAGGGGGAGAACAAGGGAAAAAATCCCCCCCCTATTCTCCCCCTCCTTTGGTCCGGTGCGTCCAATAGAGCGAAAAAGACAGTACCGTATATCCCGCCCTCCCCAGCCAAAGATGGGCTCAGAGCAGCTAGCAGCAGTAAAAGTAACACAGTTTACATAAAATCACAACCAATTAATTGAAATACTTTCTAAAATCAATTCATTCTAAAGTCAATTCAGAATCAAATTAGTGGCCAGTTCCGGGTTAAGAAACTTGATGACTAGAAACCTGCTTTTCTCTAGAGGGGGGAAGGGCCCGTAGCGTAGCGGACGGCGGTTCCCGGGGGTGGGATATGCTGCCGGCCCGTGCCTGCGGTGCTGAGCTAGGCGTTCCTTCGGCCCCTGACCTCTTCCTCTTTCTGGACCCCCCCCCCAGGAAAGCCAAATGGGCCGACGAGGAATTCGACGAAGACCTTGTCGAGGAGGAAGAGGACGATTATGACGACGACGAGGAAATGGCGGAGGAGGAAGGGGTCCCCATGTCCGGGGAGGCTGCCCGTTCGAGCCCGGGCCCCCCGCTTCTCCGCAAGCAGCAGCCCACCTTGCCCTACAGGGGGGAGACGTCCAGACTGGCCGGGGGTCCCGAGAGACTTTCGGCCTCGCTGCCCCACCTGTCCCAGGTGCAAACCCAACCCCTGGACCATGGCGACTGGACCTACGAGGAACAGTTCAAGCAGGTAAGCTTCCGCGGGAAGCTTTCTTTTTTTCCTTCCAGGTTTCGGCGGACAAGCCTGGGGCTTCGGCTGGGAAGGGTGGGATACTGCCAAACTCTACCTCTCTTTCAAATCGGAACCAGTGAAGGCGGTGAAGGTCCTGTGTGAGTGTCTGGAGGCGGTTGGAGGATGGATGGCGGCTAACGGATTGAGGTTGAATCCTGACAAGACAGAAGGACTGTTTTTGGGGGACAGGGGGCGGGCAGGTGTGGAGGATTCCCTGGTCCTGAATGGGGCGACTGTGCCCCTGAAGGACCAGGTGTGCAGCCTGGGAGTCATTTTGGACTCACAGCTGTCCATGGAGGCGCAGGTCAATTCTGTGTCCAGGGCAGCTCCATCTGGTACGCAGGATGAGACCCTCCCTGCCCGCGGACTGTCTGGCCAGAGTGGTGCATGCTCTGGTTATCTCCCGCTTGGACTACTGCAATGCACTCTATGTGGGGCTACCTTTGAAGGTGACCTGGAAACTACAACTAATCCAGAATGCGGCAGCTAGACTGATGACTGGGAGCGGCCGCTGAGACCACATAACACCGGTCCTGAAAGACCTACATTGGCTCCCAGGACATTTCCGAGCACAATTCAAAGTGTTGGTGGTGACCTTCAAAGCCCTAAACGGCCCAGTATTCCTGAAGGAGCGTCTCCACCCCCATCGTTCTGCCCGGACACTGAGGTCCAGCTCCGAGGGCCTTCTGGCGGTTCCCTCATTGCGAGAAGTGAGGTTACAGGGAACCAGGCAGAGGGCCTTCTCGGTGGTGGCGCCCGCCCTGTGGAACACCCTCCTGTCAGATGTCAAAGAGAAAAGTAACTACCAAACCTTTAGAAGACATCTGAAGGCAGCCCTGTTTAGGGAAGCTTTTAATGTTGAATAGGTTATTGTGTTTTAGTGTTTTGTTGGAAGCTGCCCAGAGTGGCTGGGGGGACCCAGCCAGATGGGCGGGGTATAAATCATAAATTATTATTATTATTATTATTATTACTGCTGAAAAGCACTCTGCACGGGCCCAGGGGCTCTGCAAAACCTGCGTTTTCCGAGGGCTGCTTTCTCCGACTCGCACCCCCAGATTGTCGGCAGGCTGCGATGTGAACTACAACTCCCACTGGCTGGGAGCAATGGGATTTGTGACCCGGTTTTTATAAAGGTTTGGGGCTTGAAGGGAGATTGTCGAAATCTGGAAAGGCTTCTTCGGCCCCTTTGTGTGGCTTTTGCTAAGGCCGTGTGTGTGTGTGTTTACGACAAAGATAAGCCGAATTTTTCCATTTGAAATTCAGCCGTGTCAAAGTCCGCAAGAGGGAGGGGGGGGAGAATCTTGCTAGTCTGGAAATATTTATCCCCTGGCAAAACGGACCGGCGTCAACTAGACTTTCCTGGGTGCCGCAATAAAAAAAACAACAACGCCATGGTTCTTTGGAACCAGCTCGTCCGGGTTTTGCCTCGACCCGCCACTTTGCTTTCTGTGTGCTGAAGTTTAAACAGAAGACGTTCTTGCGTTTCCTTAAAGATGCCCTTTCCTAATTTCAGCCAGCAAACATACAGCAAAAATATAGGGGTTGGCTTTCGTATTTTATTTTAGAAAGAAAGCATTTGGGGTCGCTTTGAATGGCGGCGTCCGGAGAAAAGAGAGTTCTCTGCGCCCAATAGCTTGCTTTTGTGGGGAAGCGCATTGTGTGATCCAAAAGCCTGCCACGCCGACGAAGAGCTCTGTGCAGCCTGAAAGCTTGCTGAAATAAAAACGGGGTATTTTCCCCAGGATTCCCGAACGCACACAAGGTATTAAGAACATAAGAAAAGCTGGGCATTATAAGAGAGTGCTTTTCTTAACGTTATTGCTACGGCGCATGTGTTTCCGGCGTCCCGGCGGGGAAAAATACCCCACGTTTTCATGTTTAGCAAGCTTTCGGATCGCACTGGGTGCTGCTTCTTCAGATAGTGGGTGGCAGCTAGCTCTCTCCTTCCCCACGGGTTTGAATTTTGAACCCGTCGAGGTGCGTGGTCGATCGGCGCCTCCTGCAAAGAGCAAGCTTTGCGGCTTAACTGCACGCTGCGCAGAGAAGTTAGCATTTCGACAAACGTTTATCCCGTGTAGCTGGAATTGCAGCCTGCAATTCATCCGGTTATCTGCGTGAATCTCTTCTTTCTTTCTTTCTTTCTTTCTTTCTTTCTTTCTTTCTTTCTTTCTTTTCTCTCTCTCTCTCTCTCTCTCTCTCTCTCTTTCCTTTCTCTCTCTTTCTCTCTCTTTCCTTTCTCTCTTTCTCTTTCTCTCTCTCTCTCTCTCTCTCTCTCTCTCTCTTCCTCTCTTCTCTCTCTTTCTCTCTCTCTCTCTCTCTCTCTCTCTCTCTCTCTCTCTCTCTCTCTCTCTCTCTCTCTCTCTCTCCTTTCTTTCTTTCTTTCTTTCTTTCTTTCTTTCTTTCTTTCTTTCTTTCTTTCTTGGTTTTTTCCCCGCCGGCAATTATTGCAAGAGATGTCCTTTGCAACAAACTGATCAGAAACACACCCAGAGAGAGAGGAAGAGAAAGCAGTAATTTAGCGGCTCCGACCTCCCCCACCCCAAAATCTACTCTCTTATTCCTTTTTTGTGTGTGTGTGGAGAAAGAAACCCTTCCTTTCTTTCCGGCAGGCTCCCTCGCTCCTTGTTTGATCAGTCCGGTCTGGGTATTGAATCAGGGAAGCTGTAGACCTAATAGAAGGAAATCGCTCTCTTTGCAAGGTCCTTCTCCCTAGAGGACCGCCTTCCTTTGATGTCTGAGTTGTAAATACATGGGGAATTTGGGTGGGGGGGAGAGAAAAATCAGCGGCAAACCAAAGAGCAGCAGATGGAATCCAGATGGGAAGAGAGAGAGAGGTTTATTATTATTATTATTATTTATTAACAAAGCGGCGGGAGTAATTTGAAAACAAGCGCTTCATCATTTCAGGAGGAAAATGCTTGCTTCTGTATACCCTCCTGGTTCCATACATTGGATTTTGTTTTTTAAGGTTTCATTCTCAGATAAGGGCTGTTTTGAGTACATCGGAGGTGGGAGAGGTTCCCTGTCGCCTCTCTCGGCGAGTCTCTGCTGTGCAAGGAGGCAAGCTTTCCCTCCTTGCTAATGGCGGCCGACTTATTGCCTTGTATTTCCTGGGGGGGGGTGTGTGTGCTGATTTGCTTCTGGTGCGGAGAGGTTCCCCGCTGTATCTCTGGATGAGTCCCCAGCAGCCTCACGCTAAGCCGGAGCGTCAGACCACCAAGCTCAGTAACATCCGGCAGTGGCTATTTAGGGTCTCCGGTTGTCGCCAGTCGAGCCTCGGAGGGTGGAGGCTGATTCTAGCCACCCCCCTTGGGAGAGTCTGCCCGCTGCATCTCTGTATGACTTAATCAAGCTGGAGATTGTTGTTGTTGAGTCGTTTAGTCGTGTCCGACTCTTCGTGACCCCCTGGACCAGAGCACGCCAGGCACTTCTGTCTTCCACTGCCTCCCGCAGTTTGGTCAAACTCATGCTGGTCGCTTCGAGAACACTGTCCAGCCATCTCGTCCTCCGTCGTCCCCTTCTCCTTGCGCCCTCCATCGTTCCCAACATCAGGGTCTTTTCCAGGGAGTCTTCTCTTCTCCTGAGGTGGCCAAAGCCTTGGAGCCTCAGCTTCAGGATCTGTCCTTCCAGTGAGCACTCAGGGCTGATTTCCTTCCGAATGGAGAGGTTTAATCTTCTTGCAGTCCATGGGACTCTCAAGAGTCTCCTCCAGCACCATAATTCAAAAGCATCCATTCTTCGGCATTCAGCCTTCTTTATGGTCCAGCTACCAAAGAGCTAGGGATGCGGGTGGCGCTGTGGGTTAAACCACAGAGCCTAGGGCTTGCCAATCTGAAGGTCGGCGGTTCGAATCCCCACGACGGGGTGAGCTCCCGTTGCTCGGTCCCTGCTCCTGACAACCTAGCAGTTCGAAAGCACCTCAAAGTGCAAGTAGATAAATAGGTACCACTCCGGCAGGAAGGTAAACGGCGTTTCCATGCGCTGCTCTGGTTCGCCAGAAGCGGCTCAGTCATGCTGGCCACATGACCCGGAAGCTGTACGCCGGCTCCCTCGGCCAATAAAGCGAGATGAGCGCCACAACCCCAGAGTCGGCCACCGCTGGACCTAACGGTCAGGGGTCCCTTTACCTTTACCCCAGAGCTAAACTTGGGCGGATGTCAACCCTTTATTTTCTCCTCCCTTTCGGCTTGGAAACTTTGGGGCGGTTCTGTTTGGCTCTTGTCGGCCACCTAAGTCGCTGCCTCTGGGGATCAAGACCTTGGGAGGGGGAAGAGACAGAGAGATAGCGGGCAGCATGGCAGGGTGTGTCTGAGATAAGCCCGCTTAATTCCCTGGGTGGGGCAGACTCGGCCGAGTAAGCAAGGCCAGACGCCCTGGATTTTTGGCTGCGGGGTCCGCAGGTCGGAGCGGTCCCAAATTTGAAAGTCTTGGCCGTGTGTTTTTCCCCCGTGCCGATGACGCAGTGCTGGTTAAAGGCAGGGGGTACGTCCCTCTACCCAAATGTTCTGGGACTCTCAGCTATCTATGGGCTCCTTTCTGATTTTAAATTGCATTTGAACCTGTACTTTAAATTGGTTTCCCCCCCATTATGATTTTACTGTAATTTTACTACCGCAAAGCACCCCTGGATCGGATTTTGAGGTTCCCCAGGCACTGTGAGCGCAATTTTGAGCTTCTCTTCACCTCCTTGGGAGCTAGAAGTCTGCTCCCTATCAACTAAACATTAATTGACTACACAGCATCTAACGGAGGGGTCAGCAGACTTTTTCAGCAGGGGGCCGGTCCACAGTCCCTCAGACCTTGTGGGGAGCCGGACTATATTTTTGGGGTGGAAAATGAACGAATTACTATGCCCCACAAATAACCCAGAGATGCATTTTAAATAAAAGCACAAATTCTACTCGTGTAAAAACACGCTGATTCCCGGACCGTCCGCGGGCCGGATTGGGCCGGATCCGGCCCCCGGGCCTTCATTTGCCTGCCCATGGTTTAAGGAGCTGTGGGGCGCCCGACGTATATATCTCCGAGTTTCTTTCCCCCCCAAAAAACTTTTTTTATTGATTTTCCACATTTCCGCATACAAAAACAGTCTAACATCTTTTGGGGGCTATACAGTGGTACCTCGGGTTAAGTACTTGATTCGTTCCGCAGGTCCGTTCTTAACCTGAAACGGTTCTTAACCTGAAGTACCGCTTTAGCTCATGGGGCCTCCGGCTGCTGCCGCGCGATTTCTGTTCTCATCCTGAAGCAAAGTTCTTAACCTGAAGCACTATTTCTGGGTTAGCGGAGTCTGTAACCTGAAGCGTATGTAACCCGAGGTACCACTCTATCTCCAAATTTCTAACCCGGGTCAGGACTCTCTCTACGCATGCCGGGTTGCGGCAACCGCCGGCTCAGCCTCTGCCCCTCCTCAGAGCCGCGCTTTGGGGTTAAGAAGTCACCCGGCTGCGCCGCTGCCAAGATCCTCCTTCGCGGGACGGCCCCAGAGGTGGCGGCGGCGGTAGCGCTTTGGCAAGCCCTGGCTCGCCGGCTCCTCCAAGAGCGCCGTTCTGTTTACATTCCTGCGTTCCTCCTCCTCCTCTCCCCCGGGCGTCTCTCTGCCAAGGTTGCGGCCGACCAGCTGAGCTTGGAGAGTGTTCAGAGCCGAGTCGTCTTCTCCTTGGAGCGGGGCCAAGCGGGACTCCCAGCCAAGCGCTTGAACGCTGGCCGGGATCCAGAGGCAAGCGCTCGCTGCTCCGTCATGTATCGGGGAAAGGCAATCCCCAAAGCCGGCTTTTCCCTTTCGCAAACGCACAAAGTCTCATTGCTCAGACGGGTGTTGTTGTTTAGTCGTTTAGTCGTGTCCGCCTCTTGGTGACCCCCTGGACCAGAGCACGCCAGGCCCTCCTGTCTTCCACTGCCTCCCGCAGTTTGGTCAAACTCATGCTGGTAGCTTCGAGAACACTGTCCCACCATCTCGTTCTCTGCCATCCCCTTCTCCTTGTGCCCTCCATCTTTCCCAACATCAGGGTCTTTTCCAGGGAGTCTTCTCTTCTCATGAGGTGGCCAAAGTCTTGGAGCCTCAGCTTCAGGATCTGTCCTTCCAGTGAGCACTCAGGGCTGATTTCCTTCAGAATGGAGAGGTTTGATCTTCTTGCAGTCCATGGGACTCTCAAGAGTCTCCTCCAGCACCAGAATTCAAAAACATCCATTCTTCGGCAATCGGCCTTCTTGATGGTTCAGCTCTCACTTCCCTCAGGCGGGTAGGATTGTGCAGTTGCAAGGGACCTCCACCGGTCATCTAGCCCAACCCGGTTAGGGATCCATGGTGGTTGTTGTTTTTTAAAATAATTTTTATTAATGTTCTGTTTGAACATACAGTGGTACCTCGGGTTAAGAACTTAATTCGTTCCGGAGGTCCGTTCTTAACCTGAAACTTTTCTTAACCTGAAGCACCACTTTAGCTAATGGGGCTTCCTGCTGCCGCCGCGCGATTTCTGTACTCATCCTAAAGCAAAGCTCTTAACCCAAGGTAATATTTCTGGGTTAGCAGAGTCTGTAACCTGAAGCATCTGTAACCTGAGGTACCACTGTATATAATCACATCATTATTAACCACTTTACCTCTTTGGCTTCTTAGTGCAGGGGTCAGCAAACTTTTTCAGCAGGGGGCCGGTCCGCTGTCCCTCAGGCCTTGTGGGGGGCCGGACTATATTTTGAAAAAAATAAAAAATGAAGAAATCCCTATACCCCACAAGTAGCCCAGAGATGCATTTTAAATAAAAGCACACATTCTACTCATGTAAAAACACGCTGATTCCTGGACCGTCCGCGGGCCGGATTGAGAAGGCGATTGGGCCGGATCCGGCACCCGGGCCTTAGGTTGCCTACCCATGCCTTAGAGCCTATGGACTTCCTTCCATCCTGTCTCTGGGCTTTCAAAGTTTAACCTTTATATCACAGCATTTTATATATTTTCCAATTCTAATAAAGCTCAATCCCAAAAGACCTCAAAGTTTGAATAAATGTAGAAAAAAATAATCGTAAAATATGCCGGGATTTATGATATGCGGAATGAACCGTGGAAAGAGAAGAAGGGCAGTCGTTGATATTTTAAGGATGTTTAAATGAGTGCAGTGGAACCTCGGTTGTCAAACGTAATCTGTTCCGGAAGACTGTTCGACTTCTGAAACGTTTGGCAGTTTCCATCGAGAAGATGGAAAAACACGCTCGACTTCCGAGTCTCCTTCGAATACGGAAGCAATTCCTTCCAGGTTTTCGGCGTTCGGCTTTTGAAACGTTCAGCTCCTCTGAACGAGGTTCCGCTGTATTTCACATTGTAAAAACAGAAAATTTAATAATAATTGTGTGTCGGGGGGGGGAGAGAATTGCAGTCTGCCGGGCGCAGCAGTAGAGGAAAGCGCAACGGGCAGGGTGGAGGAAAGAAAGCGTTGCTGCAAGGTGCCTATTCTGTGACTCAACAAGACAGGGCTGGGCTCGTCTCCACCATCCGGCCCCCCACCCAGGGCGATAGCTTCCTAGGGAGGGCCCCCCCCCCAGAGCAAACCTTGCGTAATTCGGACGTTGCGTGCCGGAACTCTTTGTTGTTCAAAGCGTGTTTGTGTGTGTGTGTTTTTGTAGAAAACTGACCGAGTTACTGGAAGATCTTCTGTCGCGGCTGTTGATTTCTGAGCAGAACTTCCTATTTTCTCTCTCTTATTTCCTCCCCATATTCTAACTCCTGCCTTGCAAACGGAGGGTTCCCACAGCACTGTGTTTTCCCTGACACCACTTTTGGGTGAAGACGACGGTTTCCTTGCGTGGCCTTGCATCATTCTGCAAAAACCCGGCTGCGTGGAAAGGGGCCGTGTCCCTTCCTGGCCGTTCGCGCCTGCAGCGAGCAAACCGGTCATAATAATAAAATAGTAATAATTTATTATTTACGCCCTGCCCATTTGGCTGGCTGGGTTTCCCCAGCCGCTCTGGGCGGCTTCCGACAAAATATTAAAATACAATAGTATTTTTAGCTTCCCTAAAGAGGCCTTCAGAGGTCTTCGAAAAGCCAGTTTCTGGATCGTTCCCACGTTAAACCTTTGGGTGGATTCATTTTTGAACCAGCGCAGAATTTTCTCTCTCTTTTTAAAAAGAAAGCGCATCATTTCTTCATTACTGGACCACCTCCGGTTATAGAGAGCTGTCGGAACGACGTTGTTTTTGGGCAGGTCTGCTTTTGAGTAGGGAAGGCGCTGGGCGCAACCCTCTGGGCGATATATTCCTAAACCCACCGAATCATAGAGTTGGAAGAGGGAGCCGCGAAGGTCATCCAGCCCAACCCCGCTGCAATGTAGGGATTTTGGCTAAAGCATCCAGGACAGAGGGCCGGTCTGACCGCTGCTTAAAAGCCTTGCAAGGAAGGAGAGTCCACTGCCTTCGGCCCCATGGCTGGACAATGCTTACTGCGTCCCAAGGAGTTGGAATCTCCTTCCTGTGTGATTTGAGGGCACGGGTTCGAGTCTCCGTGCAGGAGAAAACAAGCTGAAAAATAGAATAGAAAATAGAAAATAGAAGATAGAAGATAGAAGATAGAAGATAGAAGATAGAAAATAGTGGACACTCGGGTTGCGAACATGATCCATGTAGTAAGCACGTTCTTAACCCACAGTGCTGCGTCTGCGCACGTGCTGGTCACGATTCGGTGGTCCTGCGCATGTGCAAAGCGCCGAAACCCAGAAGTAACCCATTCCAGTACTTCCGGGTTTTGGCGCGTCCGTAACCCGAAAAAACGCAACCTGAAGCGTCTGTAACCTGAGGTATGACTGTATAGAATATAGAATATAGAATATAGAATATAGAATAGACTATAGAATAGAATACAGTGATACCTCGGGTTACAGACGCTTCAGGTTACAGACTCCGCTAACCCAGAAATAGTACCTCGGGTTAAGAACTTTGCTTCAGGATGAGAACAGAAATCGCGCGGCGGCAGCGGGAGGCCCCATTAGCTAAAGTGGTGCTTCAGGTTAAGAACAGTTTCAGGTTAAGAACGGACCTCCAGAATGAATTAAGTTCTTAACCCGATGTACCACTGTATAGAATATAGAGAACAGGATACAGTGGTACATCAGGTTAAGTACTTAATTCGTTCCGGAGGTCCGTACTTAACCTGAAACTGTTCTTAACCTGAAGCACCACTTTAGCTAATGGGGCCTGCTGCTGCTGCCGCGCCGCCGCAGCATGATTTCTGTTCTCATCCTGAAGCAAAGTTCTTAACCTGAAGGAATATTTCTGGGTTAGCGGAGTCTGTAACCTGAAGCGTATGTAACCTGAGGTACCACTGTAGAGTATAGAATATACAATAGAACAGAATATAGAATAGAATAGACGTGATTGATTTAGCTTCATTAATTTAAGCAGGTCTGCTCTGAACACACCCAAACGGACCTTTTCTTGCAGGTTTACAATGGCCGTAATAACACGTGTGGACACAAACAAATCCCAAGCGTACCCACTCTCGCAAACATGTGTTTGTGTGTGTGTGTGGACACAGACACACAAAACAACCCCATCGCTTAAGTTCTGGGTTTTTCGGGGCACTTTGGGCGACCTGTGGTGAGGGGAGGGGCCGGAGTAAGGAAAGGAAGTTTATTGCAAGGGGGTCAGACTAGAAGACCTTTGGCGTCCTTTTTCCAGTTCTCTGATTCCGCGAATTAAAAAGCTGGTTTGCACGACGTCCCTGGTTTGCAGGTCAGACCCCGGGGGGTTTTGATTGGATTGCAAAATATATTACTCTCTCCCACTATCTCCCCCCCCCCCAAAAAAAACCCATCCCCCTCGACACCGGACTTTTTCTTCTCGCTTTCTTGGGTTGTGTAAGTTTTGGCAAGGCACCGGGTTGCAGGGAGCAGGTCGGCGAATCTGACGCAGCAGTTCTGAGGCACTGTGCGACGCACCTCCTGCTGTTGCTGCAATTTCCTTCCTTCTGCCACCGCCAAAAAACAAAACGAAAAAAGAGAGAAGAGGTAGACGGTTGACTTCAAAGCATCCGCCGGGCATCCAGGAAGCGACGTCCTTTCTCGTGGGTTTGCGCTAATTACAGGAGAAACTCGAGAAATGAGAATATCGTGGAAAAGTTTATTTCAGTAATTCAACTTAAAAGGTGAAGCTAATATATGAGATAGACTCACGACATGCAGAGAGAGATATGTCAAGCCTTTGTTGTTGTTGTTTAGTCGTTTAGTCGTGTCCGCCTCTTCGTGAACCCCTGGACCAGAGCACGCCAGGCCCTCCTGTCTTCCACTGCCTCCCGCAGTTTGGTCAAACTCATGCTGGTAGCTTCGAGAAGACTGTCCAACCATCTCGTCCTCCGTCGTCCCCTTCTCCTTGCGCCCTCCATCTTTCCCAACATCAGGGTCTTTTCCAGGGAGTCTTCTCCTCTCCTGTGGTGGCCAAAGTCTTGGAGCCTCAGCTTCAGGATCTGTCCTTCCAGTGAGCACTCAGGGCTGATTTCCTTAAGAATGGAGAGGTTTGATCTTCTTGCAGTCCATGGGACTCTCAAGAGTCTCCTCCAGCACCAGAATTCAAAAGCATCCATTCTTCGGCGATCAGCCTTCTTTATGGTCCAGCTCTCACTTCCATACATCACTACTGGGAAAACCAGAGCTTTTACTATACGGACCTAATGTCAAGCCTTTATGTGTTAACATTGTGATGATCATGGCGTACAGCTGATGAAAACCCCAAATGATCATCACAGTTATAACAAATAAAGGCTTGACGTATCTCTCTTTGCATGTCATGAGTCTATCTCATAGATTAAGGTAAAGGTAAAGGTACCCCTGCCCGTACGGGCCAGTTGTGTCCGACTCTAGGGTTGTGTGCTCATCTCACTCTATAGGCCGGGAGCCAGCGCTGTCCGGAGACACTTCCGGGTCACGTGGCCAGTGTGACGAAGCTGCTCTGGCGAGCCAGCACCAGCGCAGCACACGGAAACGCCGTTTACCTTCCCGCTATAAAGCGCTACCTATTTATCTACTTAGGGGACGTGGGTGGCGCTGTGGGTAAAAGCCTCAGTACCTAGGGGTTGCCGATCGAAAGGTCGGCGGTTCGAATCCCCGCGGCGGGGTGCGCTCCCGTTGCTCATTCCCAGCGCCTGCCAACCTAGCAGTTCGAAAGCACCCCCGGGTGCAAGTAGATAAATAGGGACCGCTTACTGGCGGGAAGGTAAACGGCGTTTCCGTGCGCTGCGCTGGCTCGCCAGTTGCAGCTTGTCATGCTGGCCACGTGACCCGGAAGTGTCTGCGAACAGCGCTGGCTCCCGGCCTATAGAGTGAGATGAGCGCACAACCATAGAGTCTGTCAAGACTGGCCCGTACGGGCAGGGGTACCTTTACCTTTATTTATCTACTTGCACTTAAGGGTGCTTTCGAACTGCTAGGTGGGCCGGAGCATGGGAATCTCTCCTGTCACTAGACTCCCCAACCAAATAAGCAAAACACAACACAAAGGAATACGGAGAAATACAGAATATCAGCTCAAGCAACCCTGTATGCAACTATATAGGAAAAGGTAAAGGGACCCCTGACCATTAGGTCCAGTCGTGACCGACTCTGGGGTTGTGGCGCTCATCTTGCTTTACTGGCCGAGGGAGCCGGCGTACAGCTTCCGGGTCATGTGGCCAGCAGGACTAAGCCGCTTCTGGCGAACCAGAGCAGCGCACGGAAATGCAGTTTACCTTCCCGCCGGAGTGGTACCTATTTATCTGCTTGCACTTTGACGTGCTTTCGAGCTGCTAGGTTGGCAGGAGCAGGGACCGAGCAACGGGAGCTCACCCCGTCATTGCGGGGATTCGAACCGCCAGCCATGCGATTGGCAAGCCCTAGGCGCTGAGGTTTTACCCACAGCGCCACCCGCATCCATCTCATAGATTAGTTTCACCTTTTAAGTTGAATTACTGAAATAGATGAACTTTCCCAAGATATTCTAATTTTTCAAGTTTCACCTGTTGGTGTATGAAGGGGAAGTGGCATTTTTCTTAAGGAGGGGCGGGGAGACTCGAACTCGTGGCGTGGGTACCGAACGCCGGGAGATTTCAGGACAGGGCGGGTAAAAGGGAAGGTTGGACTATGGAACTGGCTTCTGCAGGAGGCAAGAGCGGCTGCTGACTTGGATGGCTTTGGAAAAAGGGACAAATTCATAGAATCGTAGCGTTGGGACCCGAGGGTCATCTAGTCTGACCCTGCTCCCGCAGTCCAGGAATCCCAACTGAAGCATTCAGGACAGATGGCCACCTGACCTCTGCTTAAAAACCTCCAAGGAAGGAGGACCGTTCCCAGCTCTTGCTGTCAGATGTTGAGTCGGAATCTCCTTCCTCACGGCTTGAAGCCACGGGTTCGAGTCCTGCCCTCTGGAGCAGGAGAAAACAAGCTTGCTCCCTCTTCCCTGCGATATCCCTTCAGCCATTTGGAAGACGGCGCTCCTATTCTCTAGGCTAAACATCCCCAGCTCCTTCGACCGTTCCTCATCAGGCTCAGTTTCCAGGCCCCGGCTGCCCTCCTTCCACCTTGCCGGCACCCTCCTTAAAATGGGGCGCCCTGAACCCACAGGACTCCAGGCGCGGGTTGCGACCAAGGTGGGGCAGAACCCTCTCAATAACGCCTCCTCTTCGAGCAGGGATACTGGGGGAACTGGGGCCCCACCAGATCTCCCAGTAGCGCCAGCCAGCCAGCTTGCAGACAGTGGCGAAGGACAATGGGAACTGTAGTTTTTCAAACTTCCGGCGAGCCACAGCTCCCTTTGTCCCTCCAGAGACAATCCAAACCGGAACGGGTCTCCGTCGTGTGTTGTCAGAACCTCCCCTAATTTTCTCGCCAGCTGCAAACCTTTTTGATCTCGTGATCCCTTTTCATCTCATCCCGGTTCCTGACCTCCCTCTTGTTTGCGTCCTAGTTTTTATTTTCCGAGCCGACAACAGTTCCTGTCTTCCTTTCTCCTCCGCCCACCTGGCCTCCTCGCCTTTCTAGTTTTTGTCTATTTTATGGGAGCGTCTAGACTCTTTATGGCCTCCCCGGGAACAACAAACCTTTGCAGTCCTTCTGCTGGCAGTGACCTCTTTAAAAAAAAACACCAAAATATTTTATTTTCCCTCTTAATGGTGGGGCAATTTAAGCCACGGCACAACTGAGCAATAAAAGCTTTTTCCTCGCTCGCCCGAGTTTTGGGATTGATTCCCAGGGAAGCTGTGAAGGACCTGGCCCAAATGCGGCGTTCTGTTTAGGCTTGGAAGGTTGCATCACTCTGTCTCGCGGTGACCAGTGTGCTCTGTAACTTTCTCTGAATGTTTCTGCGTTGGGTTTAACGCAGGCGTTTTTCTCCTGGCCCAAACTGGTGCCAAGGTCTCTTACGTTTAGCAAACACAGCCCATTTCACAGATAGGGAGACTGAGTCTCGCCCCACAGCCTTCCCCCCGCAGGAACAAAATCCATAGCTGGGTTTCCACCAATCCAAACCAAGGTGAGCTGTGCAAGAGATCATCTGCATACTTATTTCAGTAATTCAACTTAGAAGGTGAAACTAATAGATGAGATAGACTCATGACATGCAAAGAGAGATACAGTGGTACCTCGGGTTACATACGCTTCAGGTTACATACGCTTCAGGTTACACACTCTACTAAGCCAGAAATAGTGCTTCAGGTTAAGAACTTTGCTTCAGGATAAGAACAGAAATTGTGCTCTGGTGGCGCGGCAGCAGCAGGAGGCCCCATTAGCTAAAGTGGTGCTTCAGGTTAAGAACAGTTTCAGGTTAAGAACAGACCTCTGGAATGAATTAAGTACTTAACCTGAGGTACCACTGTATGTCAATCCTTTATTTCTTATCATTGTGATGATCATTTGGGGTTTTCATCAGCCGTACGCCATGACCATCACAATGATAACAAATAAGGGATTGACATATCTCTCTTTGCATATCTCATCTATTAGTTTCGCCTTTGAAGTTGAATTACTGAAATAAATGAACTTTCCCACAATATTCTAATTTTTTGAGCTTCACCTGTATGTATATATATATAAATGTAGATAAAGGAAAAGGGACCCCTGACCATTAGGTCCAGTCGTGGCCGACTCTGGGGTTGTGGCGCTCATCTCGCTTTATTGGCCGAGGGAGCCGGCGTACAGCTTCTGGGTCATGTGGCCAGCAGGACTAAGCCGCTTCTGGCGAACCAGAGCAGCGCACGGAAACGCCGTTTACCTTCCTGCTGGAGCGGTACCTACTTATCTACTTGCACTTTGACATGCTTTCGAAGTGCTAGGTTGGCAGGAGCAGGGACCGAGCAACGGGAGCTCACCCCGTCATCGCGGGGATTCAAACCGCCGACCTTTGGATCAGCAAGTCCTAGGCTCTGTGGTTTAACCGCCACCCCATAAACGTACCGTATTTTTCGCTCTATAAGACGCACCAGACCACAAGACGCACCTAGTTTTTGGAGGAGGAAAACAAGAAAAAACATATTCTGAATCTCAGAAGCCAGAACAGCAAGAGGGATTGCTGCTTTCACTGCGCAGCGATCCCTCTTGCTGTTCTGGCTTCTGGGATAGCTGCGCAGCCTGCATTTGCTCCATAAGACGCACACACATTTCCCCTTACTTTTTAGGAGGGAAAAAGTGAGTCTTATAGAGCAAAAAATACGGTAGATATTCTGGGTCTATTCCCTCCTCTTTTGCAAGCGTGCCCAGGGATTGGGGTCAGGGTTGGAGAGGAAGGAAAAAAGGAACCCGGTGGATTTCGGCGGATGCAGGCTGCGAGAGAGATGGATTGCGTCCCTCCCGTTATGACCGCAGGAGGGTCAATTTACTTTCTTCTAAAATATTGATTAGGGCTTTCTCTGCATTAGCCGGCCAGGCAGATAATCTGCCCCTCGCAGCCAGCAGCTGTCTGGAAATGGACTCCTGGGCGTGTGAGTTCTGCTTCCCGTCCAACTTTTGCAAGCCGCTCGCGAAAGATGCCTTTAACAACACGGATTCAGACCATTTATTATTTTTTTGAGGGTCTTTTTAAAATAAAAAATTATTAGGAATAATAATTAAGATAAAATAATTATAAATAATGATATAATAAAATAAAAATAAAAATTATTAGGAATAATAATTAAGATAAAATAATTATAAATAATAGTAAAAAAAATTAAAAAAATTATAAGGAATAATAATTAAGCTAAAATAATTATAAATAAAAATAAACTAAAATAAAAATAAAAAAACATTAGGAATAATAATTAAGATAAAATAATTATAAATAATAATATATAAAAAAATTAATAGGAATCATAATTAAGATAAATAAGTATAAATAATGATATAATAAAATAAAAATAAAAATTATTAGGAATCATAAGATAAAATAATTATAAATAATAGTAAAATAAAATAAAAATAAAAAATTATTAGGAATCGTAATTAAGATAAAATAATTATAAATAAAAATAAAATAAAATAAAAATAAAAAATTATTAGGAATCATAATTAAGATAAAATAATTATAAATAATAATATAATAAAATAAAAATAAAAAATTATTAGGAATTTCAACATAGCAATTTTAACAAAGATACATCATCCAAATTGTTTCCCTCCCCCTTTTTTCCCACCCCTCGCCAAAATAGATACCCACCCCCCGACTTCCCTCGGCTCCTATCTCTGGTTTCTCAACATATATTTTTATCTGCGTGTTATAAAATGGTGAAGATCCTCAGCTTATCTATCCGTCAGTCAGTTTTATTGCACGTAGCCAAAGGCTGCCGCAATGTACACAGAACCATTCAACAATTAAAAGGAAATGTACTGGATTGATAAAAAAAACTGAAAACGTTTATGTTATCAAGACATTACCTGCTCTAGAATGTCTTTAGAATGTTGTATTATTTTATTGCTGTTAGCCGCCCTGAGCCTGGCTTCGGCTGAGGAGGGCAGGATGTACCGTATATTTTGCGCTATAAGACTCACTTTTCCCCTCCAAACAAGTAAGGGGAAATGTGTGTGCGTCTTATGGAGCGAATGCAGGCTGCGAAGCTATCCCAGAAGCCAGAACAGCAAGAGGGATTGCTGCTTTCACTGCGCAGCGATCCCTCTTGCTGTTTTGGCTTCTGGGATTCCAGAATATTTTTTTTCTTGTTTTCCTCCTCCAAAAACTAGGTGCGTCTTGTGGTCTGGTGCGTCTTATAGAGCGAAAAATACGGTAAATAATTTATTATTATTATTATTATTATTATCTAAACAGAGCTATAAAAGGACTGGCTAACACCAGTAAAATTACAATAAAAACATAATGGGGGGCGGAGAAAAAAACCAATTTTAAATACGGGTTTAAATACAATTTAAAATGCAGCCTCATTTTAATACTAGCCCATAGATCGTAGGCTCTGAAACAGACCCGAGGGGCAGTCTGTACATGGTCAGTGACATTTCATTTACGGCCAAACTTTTTTCTTGAAGTTCCCATAGGGGAGAGCTTGGGACCGCGGTTTTGCCGCGGCCGGTCTGACCGGGAAACCGGCTGGAGCGCCGGGCTGCGGTTGCCGGAGCTCCGAGTTCGAACAATCCCCCGAGTTGGTTAGGTCAGTTATCTCCCTTCCTCTCTCTCTTTCTTTTTTTTTAATAATATTTTTTATTAATTTTAACATATAAATTATAAAATGTACCCCAAAACTTATCACTTATACAATCTTTTTGGACTTCCATCAGCATCTCTGATGATCCACCGTTTTAACTACTTCTTATGCATTTCTTAACTTTATATTGCCTTTACAAATCATCCTCCCCCTTGTCCATTTTTGCAATACTTCCAATAATACCCCCCGCAAAACTTCTTGCAACCCTGCAAACGTCGTCTGTTCTTCACAATGACTTTTCAAATAGTCCGTAAATTGACTCCAGTCTTCCGTGAATTTCTGGTCTCGCCGGTTTCGAATCCTTCCTGTTAGTTTATCTAATTCTGCATAGTCCATTAACTTCATCCTCCATTCTTCAGTCGTCGGTAACTCTTCTTGCTTCCATTTCTCTCTCTCTTTCGCCTAGCCTCCCTCGCACGGCCGGCCCCCGAACCTTAACAAACCGAGACAGGCTTGTGTGTCCTGTGAGCTTCTTTGCGGTTTAATCCTGCTCTGCCGCGGGTTTCAATCCCCGTGCATAAAAACAACTGCGTATTCCTGCCTAGACGGGGCGGGCAGGTGTGGGGGACTCCCTGGTCCTGAATGGGGCAACTGTGCCCCCGAAGGACCAGGTGCGCAGCCTGGGAGTCATTCTGGACTCACAGCTGTCCATGGAGGCGCAGGTCAGTTCTGTGTCCAGGGCAGCTCCATCTGGTACGCAGGATGAGACCCTCCCTGCCCGCAGACTGTCTCGCCAGAGTGGTGTGTGCTCTGGTTATCTCCCGCTTGGACTACTGCCATGTGCTCTCCGTGGTGCTAAGGTGACCCGGAAACTGCAACTAATCCAGAATCCGGCAGCTAAACTGATGACTGGGAGCGGCCGCCGGGACCACATAACACTGGTCTTGAAAGACCTACATTGGCTCCCCGTACGTTTCCGAGCACAATTCAAAGTGTTGGTGCTGACCTTTAAAGCCCTAAATGGCCCAGTATACCTGAAGGAGCGTTTCCACCCCCATCGTTCTGCCCGGACACCTGGGTCCATCTCCGAGGGCCTTCTGGCGGTTCCCTCATTGCGAGAAGTGAGGTTACAGGGAACCAGGCAGAGGGCCTTCTCGGTGGTGGCGCCCGCCCTGTGGAACGCCCTCCCACCAGATGTCAAAGAGATAAACAACCACCTGACATTCAGAAGACATCTTAAGGCAGCCCTGTTCAGGGAAGTTTTTAATGTGTGACATCTTAGTGTATTTTGGGTCTTTGTGGAAGCCGCCCAGAGTGGCTGGGGAAACCCAGCCAGATGGGTGGGGTACAAATAATAAATTATTATTATTAGTAGTAGTAGAAGAGGGTTGGAATGGATGATCTTCGGAGGGACCCTTCCAACTTCCGATTCTGCCGTTCTTCCTGGGTTGACACGTTCGGGGCTCGTTTTATTTTTATTTTTTAATTGTGTGGGCCTCTGGGATTCCTCCTCCTTCCGGAAGCTGCCTGTTGTGGGTTTTTTTTTGTCCCTCTGGAGGGGGAGACTGAAATCAGGAGAGGAATCCGCAAGGATTCTCAGCCTCGTGTGACATTTCGGCAGCTGTGCACACCTGCTGTCATGGATACGGTCCGGCTTACGTTACCCCTTCAGCGTCGAGCGGAGGGTCAGTTGGAGAGGAGGCGAACGAGGCCAGACCCACAACTTCCTCTGGTTTCCCCCCGCACAAACAAATAATAATAATTATTATTTATACCCCGCCCATCTGGCCAGGCCTCCCCGGCCACTCAGGGCGGCTCCCAACAGAATACAGTGGTACCTCGGGTTACATATGCTTCAGGTTACATATGCTTCAGGTTACAGACTCCACTAACCCAGAAATAGCGCTTCAGGTTAAGAACTTTGCTTCAGGATGAGAACAGAAATCGTGCTCCAGCGGCGCGGCGGCAGCAGCAGGAGGCCCCATTAGCTAAAGTGGTGCTTCAGGTTAAGAACAGTTTCAGGTTAAGTACAGACCTCCGGAACAAATTAAGTACTTAACCCGAGGTACCACTGTATTAAAAACAGGCTAAAACATTAAACATTAAAAAACTTCCCTAAACAGGGCTGCCTTCAGATGTCTTCTAAAAGTCGGATACAACGGTCCCTTGGTTCTCAAACGCCTTGGTACTCAAACAACTTGGAAACCAAACACTGCAAAACCGGAAGGAAGTGTTCCGGTTTGCGAACTTTTTTCGGAAGCCGAACGTGCTCCGTTTTGAGTGCCACGCTTCCGATTTGAGCGTTGTGCTGAGGTCTGTCTGTTTTTGCTATTTATTTTGTGCTTTTGTTTCTGCGGCCGTTTCTGTTTTGTTTTTGTGACTGTGTGGAACCCAGTTCACCCATCGACTGATTGATTGATTGTGTGACTGCAGTACAGTCGTACCTCGGGATGAATACACTTCCGCTTAAATATTTTCGGGTTGCGCTCCGCGGCGACCCGGAAGTAACGGAACGCGTTACTTCCGGATTTCGCCGCTCGCGCATGTGCAGATGCTCAAAATGACATCATCCGTGGAAGCGGCAAAACGCCAGACGCACAGCCGCATCTTACGTTCGCTTCAGGATGCGAACGAGGCTCCAGAATGGATCCCGTTCACATCCAGAGGTACCGTTGTACAGTGGTACCTCAGGTTAAGTACTTAATTCGTTCCGGAGGTCCATTCTTAACCTGAAACTGTTCTTAACCTGAAGCACCACTTTAGCTAATGTGCGGTGGTGGCAGGAGGCCCCGTTAGCTAAAGTGGTGCTTCAGGTTAAGAACTTTGCTTCAGGATGAGAACAGAAATTGTGCGGTGGTGGCAGGAGGCCCCAATTTCTGTTCTCATCCTGAAGCAAAGTTCTTAACCTGAAGCACTATTTCTGGGTTAGCGGAGTGTGTAACCTGAAGTGTATGTAACCTGAAGCGTATGTAACCTGAGGTACCACTGTACATTGATTGTAGCTTTCATTTTATGGATCCACGGTCTTGTTTTCTATGGGAAAGCAGCGCGCCTTGGTTTTCGAACGCTTTGGTTTCGGAACGGACTTCCGAGTCTGAGAACCAATGAACACCAATGGTCTGACTCTGCTTCCTGTGATTCTGCGCTCTGCTGCATGCTCTTTAGCCAGCCAGGAATCGAGCCAGGATGGGACCTGATCCGCAGTCATCTAGCAATAATAATAATAATAATTTTATTATTTATACCCCGCCTATCTGGCTGGGCTTCCCCAGCCACTCTGGGCGGCTTCCAAAAAAATATATTAAAACACTGCAATACATCAAACATTAAAAGCTTCCCTAAACAGGGCAGCCTTCAGATGTCTTCTGAAAGTCTGGTAGTTGTTGTTCTCTTTGACATCTGGTGGGAGGGCGTTCCACAGGGCGGGCGCCACCACCGAGAAGGCCCTCTGCCTGCTTCCCTGTAACTTGGCTTCTCGCAGTGAGGGAACCGCCAGAAGACCCTCGGAGCTGGACCTCAGTGTCCAGGCTGGACAATGGGGGTGGAGACGCTCCTTCAGGGATACTGGGCCGTTTAGGGCTTTCAAGGTCAGCACCAACACTTCGAATTGTGCTCAGAAACGTACTGGGAGCCAATGGAGGTCTTTCAAGACCGGTGTCATATGATCTCGGGGGCCGCTCCCAGTCACCTGTCTAGCTGCCGCATTCTGGATTAGTTGTAGTTTCTGAGTCACCTTCAAAGGTAGCCCCACGTAGAGCGCATTGCACTAGTCCAAGCAGGAGATAACCAGAGCATGCACCACTCTGGTGAGACAGTCCGCGGGCAGGGAGGGTCTCATCCTGCGTACCAGATGTAGCTGCCCTGTTCACAGAATTAACCTGCCCCTCCATGGACAGCTGTGAGTCCAAAATGACTCCCAGGCTGCGCACCTGGTCCTTCAGGGGCACAGTTACCCCATTCAGGACCAGGGAATCCCCCACACCTGCCCGCCTCCTGTCCCCCCAAAACAGTCCTTCTGTCTTGTCAGGATTCAACCTCAATCTGTTAGCCGCCATCCATCCTCCAACCGCCTCCAGACACTCACAAGGTACACTGCCATGGCAGCTGTAGGTTCCAATTCTGGTCGCTGCGGACCACGCAGCCTAGCTTTTCACTTCCGACAGCTGGGGAGGGGGTTCTTTTTAGAGGAGGGCGAAGCTGGAATTGGTGGGAGAGTCTCCAGGCACTCACATATATATTTAACGAATTCCTTCGACATTCCTCACATTTCTGGGAAGGCTGAAGCCGTCCGGCCGTTCCCGTTTACAGCCGAGCGGGCTATCCATTTCTCTCGAACTCGGGATTGCGGGGAGCTGATTGCAGTTCTTGGCTCACCGCTCAAGAATGTAGGTGCGATTGTAATGGAATTTTATTCTTACGGTCACAGACCAGTTCCGGCTCGCTTGCAATATCAAGAAAAGCATAAAACATAACAGGAATACATGGAATTGCAATTGGTTATAACAGAGGCGATACAGACATAGCGGCAGTTAGAAATATATATTAAAATAAAATATAACCTAAAATTGTCATTTAAAACCTAAATGATTTTGGTAGTACAGTGGTACCTCAGGTTAAGTACTTAATTCATTCCGGAGGTCCGTTCTTAACCTGAAACTGTTTTTAACCTGAAGCACCACTTTAGCTAATGCGGCCTCCTGCTGCCGCGCCGCCAGAGCACGATTTTTGTTCTCATCCTGAAGCAAAGTTCTTAACCTGAAGCACTATTTCTGGGTGAGCGGAGTCTGTAACCTGAAGCGTATGTAACCCGAGGTACCACTGTACACCTTGTTCCCTAAATTTTATGGCAGTTGCTCAGAATTTGGCCACCCTTAGCGTGATCTCTAGATCCTTGTCCTCTACCAGGAGTTTTAGACATTGACGTTTCGGACCCGTTTGGAGATTTTTGTATAACAGGAGTGATAAATGCCGAGCGTATATCCCTGTAGAAGCGGCAGTGTGACAAGACATGAGAGACAGGGTGTGATTTTAGACTTCTGCCAGGAGCCGAAGGCTTTGGGGTTTTCCTCCCTCACCACCTTTTCCAGATCCTTTTCGGCGCTTCTAGTTCTCATTGAGCAAGATGCGGGAAAGTCTCCATATCTTGTCCAAAGCAACCCCCAGGAGCAACTTAAAGGTAAAGGGACCCCTGACCATTGGGTCCAGTCGTGGCCGACTCTGGGCTTGCGGCGCTCATCTCGCTTTATTGGCTGAGGGAGCTGGCGTACAGCTTCCGGGTCATGTGGCCAGCAGGACTAAGCCGCTTCTGGCGAACCAGAGCAGCGCACGGAAACGCCGTTTACCTTCCCGCCGGAATGGTACCTATTGATCTACTTGCACTTCGATGTGCTTTCGAACTGCTAGGTGGGCAGGAGCAGGGACCGAGCAACGGTCCTTTACCTTTACTTTGTGGGGACTCGGGTGGTGCTGTGGGTTAAACCCCAGAGCCTAGGACTTGCCGATCAGAAGGTTGGCGGTTCGAATCCCCGCCACGGGGTGAGCTCCCGTTGCTCAGTCCCTGCTCCTGCCAACCTAGCAGCTCGAAAGCACATCAAAGTGCAAGTAGATAAATAGGTACCACTCCGGCAGGAAGGTAAACGGCGTTTCCATGCGCTGCTCTGGTTCGCCAGAAGCGGCTTAGTCCTGCTGGCCACATGACCCGGAAGCTGTACGCCGGCTCCCACGGCCAATAAAGCGAGATGAGTGCCACAACCCCAGAGGCGGCCACGACTGGACCCAATGGTCAGGGGTCCCTTTACCTTTACTTTACTATCTCTGGATATTGCCTGACTACATATCCCATCGTCCCTGAGCTGGCAGGGTGGGGAATGGATGGGAACCGGGGTCCCCACGACATCCTTCGCCGCCCTTAAGAGGGGATGCCTCTTCTAAACGGAGATATTCTCCTCCCTCTTGCACGCAGGACGGCTGCCGTAATGGAGAGGTTTTCCGAACAGTCTCCGAGGGTCAGCCCCACGCCAACCCCCCCCCATTGTAGTAGTCAAGCCCCTCTGGGTTGCAAACGGCTGCGTTAACGGGGAGGAAACCTTCTTGGCTTCCCCTTTCAGAAGTCCCATCCTGTCCCCCCTTTTAAAGAAAGAGAAGTAGTATCTCTTTGCATGTACGCAACGCAGCCTGGTCGTGTGGTTTTATTTTTAATGACTGGTGCAGCCCCAGCGCACCTGTTTGTTTCTGTGCCGACTCATTTAATGGGTTCGCTTCACCTGCAAGTAGTTGCTTTCGGTTCCTCAATTTCTGTTAGCTTCTTTTTGCCACCCCTCCCTCCCTATCCGCCCGGTTCTCAAGTCCGGCGGTTGTAGCGTTTTGCCTCGAGCCTCTCTTTCTCAAAAGCGATGTTGTTGTTGTTGTTTAGTCGTTTAGTTGTGTCCGACTCTTTGTGACCCCCTGGACCAGAGCACGCCAGGCCCTCCTGTCCTCCACTGCCTCCCCCAGTTTGGTCAAACTCATGCTGGTAGCTTCGAGAACACTGTCCCACCATCTCGTCCTCTGCCGTCCCCTTCTCCTTGCGCCCTCCATCTTTCCCAGCATCAGGGTCTTTTCCAGGGAGTCTTCTCTTCTCCTGAGGTGGCCAAAGTCTTGGAGCCTCACCCTCAGGATCTGTCCTTCCAGTGAGCACTCAGGGCTGATTTCCTGAAAAATGGAGAGGTTTGATCTTCTTGCAGTCCATGGGACTCTCAAGAGTCTCCTCCAGCACCAGAATTCAAAAGCATCCATTCTTTGGCGATCAGCCTTCTTTATGGTCCAGCTCTCACTTCCATACATCACTACTGGGAAAACCATAGCTTGAACTATACAGACCTTTGTTGGCAAGGTGATGTCTCTGCTTTTTAAGATGTTGTCCCTAAAGCGATAATTCCATCTAAATCAGACTGGCAAAAAATAATAATACGCCGAACTGGCAAGGTTATCGGCGAGGTTAAGAGACACTACAGTTGAAAAAGTGGGAGGGTTATTTTACAGAGTTTTATATAAAAGAGCATTGTCAAAAGATCAGTCCGTTGGCAGGTCTTGAATGAACTTCGGTGTGCAAATAGGACAGTTGTATGAAACAAAGTTTATAGTAAGTCAAATAATACGTAGAAACTGAAGTTTAAGCGTGTATTTAAGGAATTCAGATCGGGAGTGCAAGGGGGAGATCAGTGGTCTTGACAAACGTAATCACAAACAGACGCACAAAGAAAGCATTAGTTAAAGAATGAATAACTGTTTTTATTTCTCGTTTTGCCCGTAATATCTATTGTACGTTTCCGTTACGAAGTTTTCAACCGATAAAGCGCTTAAAAGCAAAAAACAGCAAAAAACGATAATTCCGAAATTCTGTGAGATCTGAAAAAAAAGGAAGGAAGGATGAAGGAAAGAGAGAGAGAGAGAGAGAGAGAGAGAGAGAGAGAGAGAGAAAGAAAGAAAGAAAGAAAGAAAGAAAGAAAGAAAGAAAAGCAATTCTTGCACAACTTCCTTCTTCCTTCCAATCTGCCTGCGTTGAAATTTGGAAACCATGAGAACTAGCCACTTAAAAAGTCAACAAATTTGGGGGTTTCCTAAGAAAAGCTCAACAGCAGCTTTCGGGGTGTCGCCAGTTTCTGGCTTTTTGAGATGCGGCAAGCCTGAAATTGTGTACGCACGCCCGAACATTTTTGTAAAAATGGGATTGGGGCCGCTGCCGCCTGCTGGAAGCACCCCCTGAACCAGGGAATTCTGCCCCCACCCTGGGCATTTGTGGTCTAAAAAGTCGACGGATTTTTGCAGGACGTTGCGGAACAGGCGCCGCTTACGGAATCCACTTCCTGTTTTGTTTTGAAGGTGCGCCGGGGGGGGGGCTGTTCTTATCCATTGCCGTTCTTTTAAACCTAGCGTTTTCCAAAGTGTGTGTGTGTGGGGGGGTGTATAGCCCACTGGGGGGGGCAGTGGAATTCCCTGGGGGTGTCTCTGGCTCAGTTTGGTTACACCCATGAAACCGAAAGGTTTTGTTTGGATTTTGAGTAAACGGCTCGATGAATAGTTGCTGGATTTTTATTTTTAAGTTAGTATCTTCTTAGAAGAAACGCATTTATTATAAAAAGATGGTGGGAGGGGGGAAACGAAGGAAATTAAGTGAGATGGGGGGAGGATACGGTTATATTGTTGTTGTTGTTTGTTTAGTCGTGTCCAACTCTTGGTGACCCCCTGGACCAGAGCACGCCAGGCCCTCCTGTCTTCCACTGCCTCCCGCAGTTTGGTCAGACTCATGCTGGTAGCTTCGAGAACACTGTCCAAAAATCTCGTCCTCCGTCGTCCCCTTCTCCTTGTACCCTCCATCTTTCCCAACATCAGGGTCTTTTCCAGGGAGTCTTCTCTTCTCCTGAGGTGGCCAAAGTCTTGGAGCCTCAGCTTCAGGATCTGTCCTTCCAGTGAGCACTCAGGGCTGATTTCCTCCAGAATGGAGAGGTTGGATCTTCTTGCAGTCCATGGGACTCTCAAGAGTCTCCTCCAGCACCAGAATTCAAAGGCATCCATTCTTCGGCGATCAGCCTTCTTAGTGGTCCAGCTCTCACTTCCATACATCACTACTGGGAAAACCAGAGCTTTTACTATACGGACCTTTGTTGGCAAGGTGATGTCTCTGCTTTTTAAAGTTAGTATCTTCTTAGAAGACACTCATTTATTATAAAAAGATGGCGGGAGGGTGGAAACGAAAGAAAAATAAGTGAGATGGGGGGATACAGTTATATTACCGTACGTTAATATATAGATGTATATATTCTTACCCTAATACACATATCAAAGTTAATGCATTGAATCTTGCTGTGTTGCTACCTTTCTTTGGCGATCCCTCGTAGCTGAGTAAAATTGTCTTCCATAAACATGGTTTTAACAGTGAGTCCATAAGTGACTGTGGAGGCCAATTCTGGATCCACACGTCCTTCCACAGTGGGGACATAGGTTTCCGGCGGGAGTTGACCCCGGTGAGGGTTTGCCAAGCGTGCCTCTCTCTTAGCACATTTCTCCCTTGCGCCCTGAGTTCGAGTGTCTTCAAAGCCCACGACACCTCATGCGCGCGCTCTCTCTCACGGCGGAGGACCCCAAGCCGCTGCTTCCCTCCCGAGCCGGGCGAGCATGAAACCCGGGAAATTTAAGGGACATCATCAATAAGGGACAGCAGCGGGACACGGCGCTGGGATAAGGGAGTTTCCCGCCAAATAAGGGACGGTTGACAGCTATGCTCTTTGGCTGCCGTTTGAATGTGTTCCTGCGCAGAATCCGAGACCAGGGAGAAGGGTCGGTGGAAGAAGATTGGAAAAAATTTAAAATATATCTTCAAAAATATTGTAATATTAAAGATTGTTAGAAAGATGCTGGAAAAAGAAAATTAGGTAGTTTTGGTAGATATGATATAAAGGATTAAGTAAAAATGAGCTGATGAAATTGATGAAAGAGAGGATGTTAAATTATAATATTTTAAATTAAAATACGTAAATGAAAATAAGGTTGGAAGGATTTGCTGAAAAAACGATCTGAACTAGAATACAAAATTGGGAGGTGAGGGGAGGTCAAGGAAATAAGTAAAGGAAATAAGTTATGTAAAGGTTTAATCTGTTTTTGTCCTATTTTAATTGAATGTATTTTTATATCTTTTGTTTTGTTTGTTTTTATTTTATTTTATTGTTCTTCTTTTCTTACTTTTTGCTCTGTTATTGTTAAATTCTTTTTTGTATTTTGTACTGTTTTTTTCTCCTTTTGTAATTTTAAACTTGGAATAAATATTATTATATATATATAAAAATGAATGTGTTCCTGCGCCGTAGCTGCATGTAGCCAACTCGGGCAGGGCAGGGGGAATAAATAGAAGCGAGACCCCGGGGGCTTGGAAACTCCGCGCGGGGCATCTCGGCTTCCGACTGACGTGACACGTACGGGAGGACCGGCCAGGAGGTCGGCAACTGGTGCCAGAGAGAGACATTCCTGTTGACAGCTGCCTATTAATAGCTGGGAGCAGGGGCACCTAGTTTCCGCCCGCCGGGGAGCCCAGTGAGGGGAGAGGCAGCTGGCCAAGGGGGAGAGGCGTGTTGCCGTCACACGCCGGAGGTCATGGGCGTCGCGATTCGGTCGGCGGGGAGCCAGAATCTCCCTGCGTTGGACGCATAGCTGTCAACCGTCCCTTATTTGGTGGGAAACTCCCTTATCCCAGCGCCGTGTCCCGCTGCTGTCCCTTATTGATGATGTCCCTTAAATTTCTCGGGTTTCATGTTCGCCCGGCTCGGGAGGGAAGCAGCGGCTCGGGGTCCTCTGCTGCACGAGAGAGAGCGCACTGGCGCCGTCGTCCTGGCGCGAGGAGTTCCATCTGCCCTTCCCCGCCCAAGAGAGAGAGGGGGAGGGAGAGAGACTCTCGCTCACGCCGCCCGCAAGCCCGGAGGTGGCAGCGGTGGCGGCGGCTGAGGAGGCGGCCTGAGGGAGGAGGAAGAGGAGGAGATGGGGAGGGACGCAGAAGAGCGGCGCTTCAGCGGCCGCGGCGGCGCTACAACCGCCTCATTCCGGATTGACAGCATCTGCCAATCCTTCCAATGTTTGTAACTCTTTATAACAGCAAAATCCCTTATTTTCGAGGCTGCTGGTCCCTTATTTTCAAGGCTGCTGGTCCCTTATTTTCAAATCTGTAAGTTGACAGCTATGGTCGGACGGGTTTGCGTAGCGTCTCCTCCTGCGTGCGTGTTCCTTTAATGTTATTAATATTCTGTTGGGAGCTGCCCAGAGCGGCTGGGGAAACCCAGCCAGATGGGCAGGGGATAAATAATAAATTATAGTGGACGCTCGGGTTGTGAACGTGATCCGGGCGGAGGCATGTCCGCAACATGCAGCGGCGCATCTGCGCATGCGCGGGTTGCGATTCGGCACTTCTGAACTTCCGGATTTCGGCAGTCCGCAAGATGAAAAACAACCTGAAGCATCTGTAACCCAAGTTTCAATGTCTATAGGGGAGATATACCTTTAGTCGCGGCCGGAAATGCAACTGTGTTTTTCCCACGTCACCCTTTTAATATCCAGGTGTGCAGTGTGGGGAATGTGACCCTGTTGCGGATGAATCCCAAGGAAGGACAACCTTAAAATAAAGGTAAAGGGACCCCTGACCATTAGGTCCAGTCGTGGCCGACTCTGGGGTTGCGGCGCTCATCTCGCTTTACTGGCCGAGGGAGCCGGCGTACAGCTTCCGGGTCATGTGGCCAGCAGGACTAAGCCGCTTCTGGCGAACCAGAGCAGCGCACGGAAGCGCCGCTTACCTTCCCGCCGGAGCGGTACCTATTTATCTACTTGCACTTTGAGGTGCTTTCGAACTGCTAGGTGGGCAGGAGCAGAGCCGAGCAACAGGAGCTCACCCCGTCATTGCGGGGATTCGAACCGCCGACCTTCTGATCGGCAAGTCCTAGGCTCTGTGGTTTAAACCACAGCGCCACCCACGTCCCAACCTTAAAATAGGAGTGGATAAATTTGTTGAGGGAAGACAAGCCATAGCAGCGTTGGCCGTAAATGCCTCAGAATGCTAGTTATAGTGGTATCTTGGTTCTCAAACGCCTTGGTACTCAAACAACTTGGAACCCAAACACTGCAAACTCGGAAGTAAGCGCTCCGGTTTAAGAACTTTTTTCAGAAGCCGAACGTGCTCCGCTTTGATTGTTAGCTTCCGATTTGCGTTCCATTCTTCCGTTTTGAGCGTTACGCTGAGGTCTGTCTCTTTTTGCTATTTATTTTGCCTTTTTGTGGCTCTCTTTTTGGGGGGGACAGTGTGGAACCCATTCCGGCTACTGACGGATTGATTATGCGACTGCAGTACATTGTTTGTCGCTTTCGTTTTATGGATCGATGGTCTCGTTAGATAGTGAAATCCATGTTGAATTGCTTGTCTTAGGGGTTTTTTTAAAAGTCTGGGACGGATTAATGCGTTTTGCATTGCTTTCCATGGGAAAACGCGCCTTGGTTTTGGAACGCTTTGGTTTTGGAACGGACATCCGGAACGCATTAAGTTGGAGCACAAAGGTACCACTCTACTGGATCTCGCATGTGTGGAGAGTTGCTGTTTTACTCTGATCCCAATTACAGTGGTACCTCAGGTTAAGTACATAATTCGTTCCTGAGGTCCGTACTTCACCTGAAACTGTTCTTAACCTGAAGCACCCCTTTAACTAATGGGGCCTCCTGCTGCTGCCACTCCGCCGGAGCACGATTTCTGTTCTCATCCTGAAGCAAAGTTCTTAACCTGAAGCACTATTTCTGGGTTAGCGGAGTCTGTAACCTGAAGCGTCTGTAACCTGAAGTACCACTGTATAGATTCCCTCTGGGGAATCTAGTGGTCTACGGTGAGGACAGGATCCTGCGTTAGGAGGGTCCCAGTTGGGCCTGATCCAGCCGCAGGGCTGTTCTTAGGTTCAAAGCATGGGAAATTGAGCAACAGCTTGCTAATTCCCCCGTGCTTTTCGACTGCTGCTCTACACGGCACCGCACCTCTCTCTCGCCCAGAGCGGGACGACACGGGGCTCTGGACGTTGTGTACATTTTTTGCAGAGTTGCTGACCCGGCAGTTTTCTCTGCCCGCGGAGCCTCTCATTAGCTGCAGGGCTGGGCTCGGCGGCGCGTTCGGTTTTTGAAAACAAAAGTTTCCACCCGTCCCCGGGTTCCCCACTCCCTTTGCCTCGAGCCGGGCGCCTCTGGGTTGAAAGAACACATCTTCCTGCCTAACCATCAAGGCTGAGACAAACCTGACGAGTCTCTTTCCCGGGGAACCTCGGGAAATTAGCAATTCGCCGGCTCCCCACGAAGAGACCAGTCTTTGGGGTCGAGGGTGCTTTACTGACCGTGCCCTGAGTTTTCCGAGCGGGTAATTCATTTTCCTTGCTTGCTTTAAAGGTAAAGGGTAAAGGGACCCCTGACCGTTAGGCCCAATGGTGGCCGACTCTAGGGTTGCGGCGCTCATCTCGCTTTACTGGCCGAGGGTGCCGGCGTCCAGCTTCCGGGTCATGTGGCCAGCAGGACTAAGCCGCTTCTGGCAAACCAGAGCAGCGCACGGAAACGCCGTTTACCTTCCCGCCGGAGCGGTACCTATTTATATACTTGGACTTTGAGGTGCTTTTGAACTGCTAGGTGGGCAGGAGCAGGGACAGAGCAACGGAGCTCACCCTGTCTTGGGGATTCAAACCGCCGACCTTCTGATCGGCAAGTCCTAGTCTCTGTGATTTAACCCACAGCGCCACCCGTGTCCCTGTTTGTGATTCTATATTGCAAACCACCCTGTGGGCAAGCCAGAAGGGCATGTGCCACCGATTCGGGTCTGCCATCTCCACATAGACAGAAGCGTTTTTTCTATGGAATCTGTTCGAATAGTCCCTCAAGAACAGCCGAGGGCAAGACATTCAATCTTGTGAGAGTAAAAGTGCGTCTGTATTTTAGAATTGCTAGGTGATGCAGAGAGGGTGCCAGAGAGTCAAAGTGGGAAGGTGGAAAACAGTCATGCCATGGGCAAAATGTCCTTATTGTGGCCAAGTTGTTCTTACACTCAATATCATGTAAAGGATAAAGGGACCCCTGACCATTAGGTCCAGTCACGGCCGACTCTGGGGTTGCGGCGCTCATCTCGCTTTATTTATCTCGCTTTATTTATCTCTATAACCAGAGAATCGCCAATATTCTTCATGTGGACTTTGCTATTTTAACTGTGCGCAAGTAAATGTACTTATTCCGTGTGCCTGTTTTGTAGTTTTGCTTTCCATGTTTTGATTTTCACAAGCGATTCTCTCTGGGTTTATAGAACTTATCGAACAAAATTAAAAAATCTTTACCAAAAAGAAAGAAAGATGTAGACCGTGATGAAATTGATCATCAGTAGCAGAATCCGAGCAACTCGAACTGAATTTATGAAGAAATGGCTATTTTTCCTGTTTTTTTGGAATTGCAGCGATAACCATCACCTGCAGCCAAGTGTTCTCGGTTCATTGGGGGGAAAGATTACTGTATTTTTCGCTCTATAAGACGCACCAGACCACAAGACGCACCTAGTTTTTGGAGGAGGAAAACAAGAAGAAAAATATTCTGAATCTCAGAAGCCAGAACAGCAAGAGGGATCGCTGCGCAGTGAAAGCAGCAATCCCTCTTGCTGTTCTGGCTTCTGGGATAGCTGCGCAGCCTGCATTCGCTCCATAAGATGCACACGCATTTCCCCTTACTTTTTAGGAGGGAAAAAGTGAGTCTTATAGAGCAAAAAATACGGTAATTGGGAACTTGGTTGTAAACGTATTGTAAACGTATTGCTTTGCTGCAGACCTGACTGCGAACCTTAAAAATACCAAAAGCGATATCATAAATATCATGCTTTAGTCTTTTACTAATGAAACTGTGAATTAAAGGTTGGAATAAGAAAACCTGCGGAAGGGAAGGAGGGAAGTCAATGGCTCTATGGAGCATAAAGTAAGATAGATGTCAAAAGACTTGATATTTTTGTTTGTTGAAAATGAAAACTTAATAAACAGCATATTCAAAAAAAAGAAGAGCAACAACGTTTGGAATGCCCTATAAGTTTGAAATAAAATACACTCTTCTTTATTAATTGAGGAAAAATAACAAATAAAAAAAATACCAAAAGCAAAAACGAGATTTCTGGGTCTCGGCGCTGGGAGTTAGGGTGGCGTTTTTGCGTCTCCCCGTTGGAAATGGTCTCCGAATAACGTGTCTCCTTCGTCTTATGTCGCCTGCAGCTTTACGAACTCGACGGAGACCCGAAAAGGAAGGAATTCCTGGACGACCTCTTCAGCTTCATGCAGAAGCGAGGTGAGACGACGACCCACCCCTTTCTTTCTCCCTCCCTGCCTGTCTGTCCGTCTGTCCGGCAAATCTTTTGCAATGGAAGCATTTGCAAAGCCAGCTTTGGGTAATCTTCCTCTGTGCTTGCTAAGGTCACACACATACTCACAGCGAGGGGCGTGCCAGTTTGCAGGAAAATACTTCTGTTGCATCAATCTCTGCTCGTCCTACGACGAAAAAAAGGCAATTAAAAAAAATTCGTTTATGCGTTTTTTCCAGTTTTACATTTACACGTCACGTTAACACCCTTATACAATATTTTACATAGACCAGGGGTCAGCAGACTTTTTTCAGCAGGGGGCCGGTCCGCTGTCCCTCAGACCTTGTGGAGGGCCGGATTATATTCTGAAGGAAAAATTATATGAACGAATTCCTGTGCCCCACAAATAATGCAGAGATGCATTTGAAATAAAAGTGCACATTCCACTCGTGTAAAAACACCAGGCAGGCCCCACAAATAACCCAGAGATGCATCTGAAATAAAAGGACACATTCTACTCATGTAAAAACACGCTGATTCCCGGACTGTCCGCAGGCCGGATTGAGAAGGTGATTGGGCCGGATCTGGCCCCCGGGTCTTAGTTTGCCTACCCATGACATAGACCCTGGAATTAGATCTATGTAAAATAGGTAATTTCCTACCTAAGAGGTGGAAGTGCACAAACATCTTAGAGATTATTTTATTATTTATTCATTATTATTATATTAATTCAACTTACCGTATTTTTTGCTCTATAAGACTCACTTTTCCCCTCCTAAAAAGTAAGGGGAAATGTGTGTGCGTCTTATGGAGCGAATGCAGGCTGCGCAGCTATCCCAGAAGCCAGAACAGCAAGAGGGATTGCTGCTTTCGCTGCGCAGCGATCCCTCTTGCTGTTCTGGCTTCTGAGATTCAGAATATTTTTTTTCTTGTTTTCCTCCTCCAAAAACTAGGGGCGTCTTGTGGTCTGGTGTGTCTTATACAGCGAAAAATACGGTATACACTGCCCTATACCCGGAGGTCTCAGGGCGGTTCACAACAAGACCACAACATATAAAATCAAATGAAAAGCAGTAACCTAAGCCACATTCTAAAAGGGCATAGGGTGTAAATCGGATCGACCAAAGGCCTGGTTAAAAAGGAACGTTTCCCCCCGGCGCCCAAAGGTGTATAATGAACGAGTAACGATGTTAATTAAAGAGCAAGCAGGTTGGGTCTGTGATATAGAGACCACATCCTTCAGGTGCCCTTAAAATTAATCAATGAGGTGAATCGTTTACCCATTCCATTTAAAAAGCAAAACCTGCGATGTTTTCAAAGATTGCCTGGGAAAAGAGATGGTTAGTGACGTCACGGGTTCGGGCCAATACGCCGAGACTCCTGCTGCTACGTTGCCTAATGTGGGTTTTAAGGTAAAGGTAAAGGGACCCCTAACCATTAGGTCCAGTTGTGGCCGACTCTGGGGTTGCGGCACTCATCTCGCTTTATTGGCCGAGGGAGCCGCCGTACAGCTTCCAGGTCATGTGGTCAGCAGGACTAAGCCGCTTCTGGCGAACCAGAGCAGCGCACGGAAACGCCGTTTACCTTCCCGCCGGAGAGGTACCTATTTATCTACTTGGACTTTGAGGTGCTTTTGAACTGCTAGGTTGGCAGGAGCAGGGACCGAGCAACGGGAGCTCACCCCGTCATGGGGATTCGAACCGCCAACCTTCCGATCGGCAAGTCCTAGGTTCTGTGGTTTAACCCACAGCATTACCCGCGTCTCTTTAATGTGGGTTTTACTAGGCAATAAAAACCCACGCTGGCTGGCAGCTGAAGGGAGTGTCGACAAAGGTGGTGGGGAGAGGAGAGATTTACCTTAAGTCAAGGAATCCGATTGTGGGGAGGGGGGTGGCGGTTGTGGGGGCAGAGAAGCAGATGGCCTTGTCCCAGGAGCTTTGCACGACCGGAATGTGCATCTAGGAAATGATTACGGGGTGGGGGTGCAATGGGCGAGGCTGGGCGTAAAGGAAATTGCAAGATGCTTTTGTGGGTTTAAGGGATGCGGGTGGCGCTGTGGGTTAAACCACAGAGCCTAGGACTTGCCGCTCAGAAGGTCGGCGGTTCGAATCCCCGCGACGGGGTGAGCTCCCGTTGCTCGGTCCCTGCTCCTGCCAACCTAGCAGTTCGAAAGCACGTCAAAGTGCAAGTAGATAAATAGATACCACTCCGGCGGGAAGGTAAACGGCATTTCTGTGCGCTGCTCTGGTTCGCCAGAAGCGGCTTAGTCCTGCTGGCCACATGACCCGGAAGCTGTACGCCGGCTCCCTTGGCCAGTAAAGCGAGATGAGCGCTGCAACCCCAGAGTCGGCCACGACTGGACCTAACGGTCAGGGGTCCCTTTGTTGTTCTTTAGTCATTTAGTCGTGTCCGCCTCTTCATGACCCCCTGGACCAGAGCACACCAGGCCCTCCTGTCTTCCTCTGCCTCCCGCAGTTTGGTCAAACTCATGCTGGTAGCTTCAAGAACACTGTCCCACCACCTCGTCCTCCGTCGTCCCCTTCTCCTTGCGCCCTCCATCTTTCCCAACGTCAGGGTCTTTTCCAGGGAGTCTTCTCTTCTCATGAGGTGGCCAAAGTCTTGGATCCTCAGCCTCACAATCTGTCCTTCCAGTGAGCACTCAGGGCTGATTTCTTTCAGAATGGAGAGGTTTGATCTTCTTGCAGTCCATGGGACTCTCGAGTCTCCTCCAGCACCAGAATCCAAAAGCATCCATTCTTCGGCGATCAGCCTTCTTTATGGTCCAGCTCTCGCTTCCATACATCACTACTGGGAAAACCAGAGCTTTAACTATACGGACCTTTGTCGGCAAGGAGATGTCTCTGCTTTTTAAGACGCTGTTTTGGTTTGTCATCACTTTTCTCCCAAGAAGCAGGCGTCTTTTAATTTCGTGACTGCTGTCACCACCTGCAGTGACCATGGAGCCCAAGAAAGCAAAATCTCTCACTGCCTCCATTTCACAGGCTGTAAATAAACTGCCCATTTTACAGGTAGGATAGTTAAGGCTGCAAAAAGACCTCTCCTCCTTCCCCCCCCCAAGACCCCCCCCCCCAGCATCCTCCCTTAAAGTCTCTCTCTCCTGGGATCCAAGCCATAGGCCGGCTGGCCCATCCTCTGGCCGGACACGGTTTAATCCCGGAAAATGGCCCGTTCCTTCCTGCAATAAAACGGTCGGACGAGTGCACCATCACACAAACATCTTCTGGCTGATGGGCGGCTGCCGTCGGCTCTTGTTTTCTCCTCCCGATTGTTCCTTTTGGCTTTAAGGAAGCAATAAATCAATTAGAGGGGGAAGCGGGGTTTGTTTTGCCCCCCTTTTGAAAGCCGCTCCTTTTGTCCGCTAACTAGGAGTGTCCATACCCATTTGTGTGCCAAAATGGTCTTTTTTTTGTTCATGGGCCAGGATTCAGTTTCCCCAAGAACCTCGGGTTTTCGCTGCTTGTTCAAGGTTCTAGACCTCATGACGGCATCATCAACATCATTATTATAGCTATTATTATTCTTGTGCTCTGCCTTTTTCCTTCCAAGGAGGTCGGGGCTGGTGGCCACGATCCTCTGCCTCCCCACCCTGTTTTGTCCTGACAACAACCCTGTGAGGTAGGAGAGACAGAGAGAGAGAGAGAGAGAGAGAGAGAGAGAGATGGAGAGATACTGTTCCCCGAAATCGCCCGATGAGATTCGCGGCTTGAATCGTCGCAGGATATAAACGTTTTGAGGCGAATGCAAAACGTTGGACCTGCAGAGAGTTAAAAGCGTCTTTCTTTCTTTCTTTCTTTCTTTCTTTCTTTCTCTCCCACCTCTCCCCTCTCTCTCTCTCTCTCTCTCTCTCTCTTTTTCTTTCTTTCTCTCTCTTTCTCTCTTTCTGTCTTTATCTCTCTCTCTCTTTTTCTTTCTCTTTCTTTCTTTCATTCTGTCTCCCTCTCCCTCTCTCTCTCTCTCTCTCTCTCTCTCTCTTTCTCCTTCTCTCTCTCTCTTACTCTCTTTCTTTCTTTCTCCCTTTCTTTCTTTTTCTTTCTTTCTCTTTCTCTCTTTCTTTCTCTCTCTTTCTCTCTTTCTGTCTTTCTTTATATATATCTCTCTTTCTATAATAATAATAATAATAATTTATTATTTGTACCCTGCCCATCTGGCTGGGTTTCCCCAGCCACTCTGGGCGGCTTCCAACAAAGATGAAAAATACACTAAAATGTCACATATTAAAAACTTCCCTGAACAGGGCTGCCTTCAGATGTCTTCTGAATGTCAGGTAGTTGTTTATCGCTATGACATCTGATGGGAGGGCGTTTCACAGGGCGGGCGCCACCACCGAGAAGGCCCTCTGCCTGGTTCCCTGTAACTTGGCCTCTCGCAGCGAGGGAACTGCCAGAAGGCCCTCGGAGCTGGACCTCAGTGTCCGGGCTGGACGGTGGGGGTGGAGACGCTCCTTCAGGTATACTGGGCCGTTTAGGGCTTTCAAGGTCAGCACCAACACTTTGAATTGTGCTCAGAAACGTCCTGGGAGCCAATGTAGGTCTTTCAAGACTGGTGTTATATGGTCTCGGCGGCCGCTCCCAGTCACCAGTCTAGCTGCCGCATTCTGGATTAGTTGTAGTTTCTGGGTCACCTTCAAAGGCAGCCCCACGTAGAGCGCATTGCAGTAGTCCAAGCGGGAGATAACCAGAGCATGCACCACTCTGGCCAGACAGTCCGCGGGCAGATAGGGTCTCAGCCTACGTACCAGATGGAGCTGGTAAACAGCCGCCCTGGATACAGATTTGACCTGCGCCTCCATGGACAGCTGTGAGTCCAAAATGACTCCCAGGCTGCGCACCTGGTCCTTCAGGGTCACAGTTACCCCATTCAGGACCAGGGAATCCTCCACACCTGCCTGCCTCCTGTCCACCAAAAACAGTACTTCTGTCTTGTCAGGATTCAACCTCAATCTGTTAGCCGCCATCCATCCTCCAACCGCCTCCAGACACTCACACTGGACCGTCACCGCCTTCACTGGTTCTGATTTAAAAGAGACGTAGAGCTGGGTATCATCCGCATACTGGTGAACACCCAGCCCAAACCCCCTGATGATCTCTCCCATCTCTCTCTCTGTCTCTCTCTCTCTTTTTCTTTCTTTCTTTCTTTCTCTCTCTTTCTGTCTTTCTTTATCTCTCTCCTTCTCTCTCTCTCTCTCTGTCTCTTTCTCTCCCCCCTCTCTTTCTGTTTTTCTCCCTCTCTCTCATTTCGGCCCCGAGCAGATGCGGAAAGGTCTCGATTTGAATGCACCAAACCTTTCGGGGAAAAACAGCCTGATGCAAATTGGAGGCTCTGTGGCTTGTCTTTGGTCAAAGGTGTTGAGGAAGCGGCAACAGAGTCCTGTTTGCTTTCTGAAACCTGCCAGGGTGTTTGTTTCAGAATAGGCAGGCGTGCAAATAGAGCACATCCGACGAAGAGAGGCAGCGCGGTGTAATGGTTAGAGCGCTGGTCCTGGGGGAGACCAGGGATCAAATCCCCCCCCCTAAAAAAACAACCCTCTGATTATGATAATAATAGCAGAAAGCAGTGAAATAATGCGGTCGGTTCTGTCAAGCACTGAACGCTGAATGAAAAACTTCTCCCCGCTGCCTGCTCCGCAAGCTCCGGGGACAGCTGGGAGACGCAGCGCGTCTTCCTGCTGTCCCCGGACCTGATCTCAAGGCGGGCGGCGGGGAGAAGAGCGCTTCTCCCCGCTGCCTGCCCCACAAGCGCCTGGGGGGGAAATAAAATTTTTTTTCTTTATTTCCCCCCAAAAAACTTGATGCGTCCTATGGGCCGGTGCGTCCTATGGGGCGAAAAATACGGTATATGCCACCCATCTGACTGAGTTGCCCCAGCTGCTCTGTGGAGATTCCAACAAGTTAAAACACCCAACACAATAAAAAATAAAACTTTAAGAACTTCCCTGTGTTTCAGGGTCATCGTGGAGATTAAATTTGGAGCCAGGGCAACAGCAGGGGAAAGTAACAAGCCCTGAAACACAAAGCACTCCATCTGAGAGAGGATGATGGTGATAATAATAATAATAGCAATAATTTTATTATTTATACCCCGCCCATCTGGCTGGGTTTCCCAGCCACTCTGAGCGGCTTACAGCGTATACAAATAAAGCATCAAACATTAAAAACTTCCCCAAACAAGGCTGCCTTCAGGTGTCTTCTAAAAGTTCTTTATCTCCTTGAGACCTGATGGGCGCCACCACCAAGAAGGCCATTTGGCGATTAGCTTTTATATCTATCTTGATATCTATCTATCTATCTAAGGGACACGGGTGGCGCTGTGGGTTAAACCACAGAGCCTAGGACTTGCCGATCAGAAGATTAAAACATTAAAAGCTTCCCTAAACAGGGCTGCCTTCAGATGTCTTGTAAAAGTCTGGTAGTTATTTTTCTCTTTGACATCTGGTGGGAGGGCGTTCCACAGGGCGGGTGCCACCACCGAGAAGGCCCTCTGCCTGGTTCCCTGGAACTTGGCTTCTCGCAGGGAGGGAACCGCCAGAAGACCCTCGGAGGTGGACCCTGGTGTCCGGGCTGGACAATGGGGGTGGAGAGGCTCTTTCCAGGGTCATTTGCCCATGGACAAGCACAGGAAAATACATCTACCCCAAAATGCAGCGAGTGGCGGTCTACATCAATCCCTGCAATGCCTCCCTAATCCTTAAAATTGTCTAATTATATCAGGAAGGGAACCTGCCCTTCTGATTTTGCCATTGAATGCCTGGTTCTTCCGGCGGAGACTGTGCCCCGCGGCTCAGAAACCTGAGGGGCGAGTCGAGGGAGCTGCCGGTTCGAATCCCGCCTCGTAACCCGAACTTGCTGGTCTGGTCCGTCATAGCAGCAGCAGTTGTAATGAAAATAAAAATGAAAGGAACTTTTAAAGGCTTTGATGGAATCATTTCACAACTAGCTTCCAGGTGCGCAGCCTGGGAGTCATTTTGGACTCACAGCTGTCCATGGAGGCGCAGGTCAATTCTGTGTCCAGGGCAGCTCCATCTGGTACGCAGGATGAGACCCTCCCTGCCCACGGACTGTCTGGCCAGAGTGGTGCATGCTCTGTTTATCTCCCGCTTGGACTACTGCCACGCGCTCTCTGTGGGGCTGCCTTTGAAGGTGACCCGGAAACTACAACTAATCCAGAATGTGGCAGCCAGACTGGGGACTGGGAGCGGCTGCTGGGACCACATAACACCAGTCCTGAGAGATCTGCATTGGCTCCCAGTACGTTTCCGGGCACAATTCAAAGTGTTGGTGCTGACCTTGAAAGCCCTAAATGGCCCAGTATCCCTGAAGGAGCATCTCCACCCCCATCGTTCTGCCCGGACACTGAGGTCCATCTCCCGAGGGCCTTCTGCCGGTTCCCTCATTGCGAGAAGTGAGGTTACAGGGAACCAGACAGAGGGCCTTCTCGGTGGTGGCGCCCGCCCTGTGGAACGCCCTCCCTTTAGATGTCAAGGAAATAAGCAGCTGTCCTATCTTTAAAAGACATCTGAAGACAGCCCTGTTCAGGGAACTTTTTAATATTTAATGCTGTACTGTTTTTAACACTTGATTGGGAGCTGCCCAGAGTGGCTGGGGAAACTCAGCCAGGTGGGTGGGGTATAAATAATAAATTATTATTATTAGTCATGGATATTTTTAGCTGGCTAGGATGAGCCCTGGAAGTCCCTTCCGATTCTGTGATTCCGTGCCGAATTCGGTGGCCGCAGTCTTTAGGAGAGTTATCGGAAAGCACAGAGACTTTTGTCGCCGCCACGGTCAGCTTCAGCCGGCGAGCGAGGCTGCGATTCAGCCCCTGCCCATCTGCAATTTTTGCTGCTTTCTCTCTTCATCTGCAGGGACGCCGGTCAACCGCATCCCCATTATGGCCAAGCAGGTCCTCGATCTGTACATGCTCTATGTCCTTGTGACCGAGAAGGGCGGCTTGGTGGAGGTGATCAACAAGAAGCTCTGGCGGGAGATCACAAAGGGGCTGAACCTGCCCACGTCCATCACCAGCGCGGCCTTCACCTTGCGCACTCAGTAAGTCTTGCCCCGCAACCCAGAACGGCCCCCGGGATGTTCCCAGGGGCCGGAGCTACCGCTTTAGGAAAGGGGCGCAGCTGCCGGTTCATAGTGGTGGTTTTCGCCCCGTGTGAAATTGTCATAATCTCAAATCCTGTGTAGTTTTCTCTGTTGCAAAGCTGCAGAGTGACTGGTACCCAGAGTCCAGTTTTAAGAATTAAAGCTGTTTCTCGTTGGTCTGCAATTATTATTTGAGCTGCCCGGGGCATATATAGAATAATAATAATAATAATAAATTTTATTGATATCCCGCCCTCCCCAACCAAAGCCGGGCTCAGAGTGGCTAACATCAAATGTATAACACATTAAGATAATAATAATAAATTTTATTGATATCTCAAGAGCTGTCCTGCGGAAGACGGAGCGAGCTTCTTTTCTCTCACTCTGGAGGGCAGGACTCGAACCCGTGGCTTCACGTCAGAAGGAAGGAGATTCCGACTCCACGTTTGGCCGTGGGGTGGGAGGCGGTTTTCATCCTATTTTCTTTTTTGGGGGGTTCATAATTCTTTAGGAAGGCTTACCGTATTTTTTGCTCTATAAGACTCACTTTTTCCCTCCTAAAAAATAAGGGGAAATGTGTGTGCGTCTTATGGAGCGAATGCAGGCTGCGCAGCTATCCCAGAAGCCAGAACAGCAAGAGCGATTGCTACTTTCACTGCGCAGCGAACCCTCTTGCTGTTCTGGCTTCTGAGATACAGAATATTTTTTTTTCTTCTTTTCCTCCTCCAAAAACTAGGTGCGTCTTGTGGTCTGGTGCGTCTTATAGAGCGAAAAATATGGTAGTTTCCAGTGGATCAAGGGTGCTTTGGGAAGAAATTTACGTATAATTCTATATGGAGACGCACCCTTGAATTTTTGAAAGCGGGGGAATGGGCTCATTCTGACCCCATCTTTTCTCCCCCTCCTCTCTCTCTCTTTCTCTTTCTCTCTTCTTCTTCCTTCTCTCCCATTCTCTTCCCCCACCTATTACATCCACCCTAATCAAGGCTAAAGTTAATTAGTCTGGAATTCAGAGGACCAGGTGGCGGAAAAAGGATTTGTGGGTGGGGATTTGTGGGTGGGGAGGGAGGGGTGGCCCGGGGGGGGGGGAGGTGAGTGGGAGGAGAGCTGTTAACTCCTTCGTAGCTGTAAACCCGACTCCCTTTCTCTTAAAAAAAGAAACAGCGTCTTGCCTGTCCTTAAATGCTGCCAGAAGATTCGAAAAAGCACCTAGTTTGTGTGTCTGTGTGTGTGTGTGTGTGTGTGTGTGTGTGTGTGTCTGTGTGTGCAGAACACCTAGAAAAACACAATAAACCATCAAACATTAAAAAAAACTTCCCTATCCCTATCTCCTTGACTTGGGGGTTGCATAACTCCATCCCCTCCAACCTTTCTCCCGTGAAAAGAGGGACGTCCTATTCCATCCCCTCCAACGTTTCTCCCCTGAAAATAGGGATGTCCTATTCCATCCCTTCCAATGTTTCTCCGGTGAAAATAGGGACATCCTATTCCATCCCCTCCAACGTTTCTCCCCTGAAAATTGTTGTTGTTTAATCGTTTAGTCGTGTCTGACTCTTCATGACCCCCCTGGACCAGAGCACGCCAGGCACTCCTGTCTTCCACTGCCTCTCGCAGTTTAGTCAAACTCATGCTGGTAGCTTCAAGAACACTGTCCCACCAACTCGTCCTCCGTCGTCCCCTTCTCCTTGCGCCCTCCATCTTTCCCAACATCAGGGTCTTTTCCAGGGAGCCTTCTCTTCTCATGAGGTGGCCAAAGTCTTGGAGCCTCTGCTTCAGGATCTGTCCTTCCAGTGAGCACTCAGGGCTGATTTCCTTCCAAATGGATCACTTTGATCTTCTTGCAGTCCATGGGACTCTCAAGAGTCTCCTCCACCACCATAACTGAGAAGCATCAATTCTTCTGCGATCAGCCTTCTTGATGGTCCAGCTCTCACTTCCATACATCACTACTGGGAAGACCATGGCTTTAACTATACGGACCTTTGTTGGTACCCCTGAAAATAGGGACGTCCTATTCCATCCCCTCCAACGTTTCTCCCCTGAAAATAGGGACGTCCTAATCCATCCCCTCCAACGTTTCTCCTGTGAAAATAGGGATGTCCTATTCCATCCCCTCCAATGTTTTTCCCCTGAAAATAGGGACGTCCTATTCCATCCCCTCCAACGTTTCTCCCCTGAAAATAGGGACGTCCTATTCCATCCCCTCCAACGTTTCTCCCCTGAAAATAGGGACGTCCTATTCCATCCCCTCCAACGTTTCTCCTCTGAAAAGAGGGACGTCCTATTCCATCCCCTCCAACGTTTCTCCCTTGAAAAGAGGGACGTCCTATTCCATCCCCTCCAACGTTTCTCCCCTGAAAAGAGGGACGTCCTATTCCATCCCCTCCAACGTTTCTCCCCTGAAAAGAGGGACGTCCTATTCCATCCCCTCCAACGTTTCTCCCCTGAAAATAGGGACGTCCTATTCCATCCCCTCCAATGTTTCTCCCCTGAAAATAGGGACGTCCAATTCCATCCCCTCCAACGTTTTCCCCCTGAAAATAGGGACATCCTATTCCATCCCCTCCAACGTTTCTCCCCTGAAAATAGGGACGTCCTATTCCATCCCCTCCGTTTCTCCCCTGAAAATAGGGATGTCCAGTTCCATCCCCTCCAACGTTTCTCCTCTGAAAAGAGGGACGTCCTATTCCATCCCCTCCAACGTTTCTCCCTTGAAAAGAGGGACGTCCTATTCCATCCCCTCCAACGTTTCTCCCCTGAAAAGAGGGACGTCCTATTCCATCCCCTCCTACGTTTCTCCCCTGAAAATAGGGACGTCCTATTCCATCCCCTCCAACGTTTCTCCCCTGAAAATAGGGACGTCCTATTCCATCCCCTCCAACGTTTCTCCCCTGAAAATAGGGATGTCCTATTCCATCCCCTCCAACGTTTCTCCTCTGAAAATAGAGATGTCCTATTCCATCCCCTCCAACGTTTCTCCCCTGGAAATAGGGACGTCCCATTCCATTGGAATAGGGGGCCAACTCTGTCCATCTTGGCAGCGTGCGTTGAATCGAACAAAGCGCAAATGGTTGATTTTTGTGTGTGTATCTTTTTCCCTGGAAAGGTACATGAAGTATTTGTACCCCTATGAGTGTGAGAAGAGAGGTCTGAGCAACCCCAATGAGTTGCAAGCCGCCATTGACAGCAACCGCCGTGAGGGTCGCCGGCAAGGCTTCAGCGGCTCCATCTTCACGTACTCGCCCAGTGGCACCCATGGCATGCTGTCCTCGCCGAAGCTCCAAGTGCCAACGCTGGGGTTACCGTCGACCACTAATGGCAGCTCCTTGGCCTCCGTCCCGAAAATCAAAAAAGGTACGGCAGCCGATTGCCTCGCGCGTTTGGTTCCGCACACGTTTTGTGCCCCTCTCTTCAACCTAAAAGGTCTCCCGGGTTGGCTTAAAAAGGTAAAGGGACCCCTGACCATTAGGTCCAGTCAGCGGCGTAGCGTGGGTTGTCAGCACCCGGGGCAAGGCAAGTAATTTGCGCCCCCTAACCCGGGGCAAGGCAAGTAATTTGCTCCCCCTAACCCGGGGCAAGGCAAGTAATTTGCGCCCCCTAACCCGGGGCAAGGCAAGTAATTTGCGCCCCCTAACCCGGGGCAAGGCAAGTAATTTGCGCCCCCTAACCCGGGGCAAGGCAAGTAATTTGCGCCCCCTAACCCGGGGCAAGGCAAGTAATTTGCGCCCCTTAACCCGGGGCAAGGCAAGTAATTTGCGCCCCCTAACCCCTAACCTGCCGCCGCTGCCAGCTTCTTCTTGCTGCTGCCTGGGCTGGTCTGGTGTGGTTCTCTCCCGCGCTCAGCGCTGCGCTGGGCGGCCGCTGCACTGTCCCCCCCCAGATAGTCCCTCGCTCTCTCTCCGCACCGCATGCCTGGCACCCACCCCTCCACAGTGGGCGGCGACCCAGCGGCTCGGATCGGATTCGCACAGCCAGCACTGCAGTGAGAGAGAGTGAGTGAGCCAGGTAGGGGCAGAGAGCTGCGAGTGCGAGCGCGCCCCCCCCCAGATGTTGCGCCCGGTGCAGCCGGCCCCCCCTGCACCCCCCACGCTACGCCACTGGGTCCAGTCATGGCCGACTCTGGGTTTGCAGCGCTCATCTCACTTTATTGGCCGAGGGAACCGGCGTACAGCTTCCGGGTCATGTGGCCAGCAGGACTAAGCCGCTTCTGGCGAACCAGAGCAGCGAACGGAAACGCCGTTTACCTTCCCGCCCGAGCGGTACCTATTGATCTACTTGCGCTTTGACGTGCTTTTGAACTGCTAGGTTGGCAGGAGCAGGGACCGAGCAATGGGAGCTCACCCCGTCATTGCGGGGATTCAAACCGCCAACCTTCTGATTGGCAAGCCCTAGGCTCTGTGGTTTGATTGCCCTTTTTGCTGTCTTTTTATTTGTATGTACAGTGGTACCTCGGGTTACATACGCTTCAGGTTACAGACTCCGCTAAGCCAGAAATAGTGCTTCAGGTTAGGAACTTTGCTTCAGGATGAGAACAGAAATCGCGCAGTAGCGGCGTGGCGGCAGCGGTAGGCCCCATTAGCTAAAGTGGTGCTTCAGGTTAAGAACAGTTTCAGGTTAAGAACAGACCTCTGGAACGGATTAAGTACTTAACCTGAGGTACCACTGTATTGCTTGTTTTATGTTGCTATGGCCGTTGGCTAAGGCGAATAAAGTTTATCCATCTATCTAAAAAAATAATAATAATCTCCCTGTATCGCTCTCCATCTCACCTGTCTGCACCTCTTTGCGCTAAAGGAGCTTTCCTTTTTGTTGTTGTTCTTGCAACACCTGCAGAGGAGGAGACGGCCATCCCAATCGGCGTGCCCGGCCGCCTGCCCGTCTCGCTGGCGGGCCACCCGGCCATCGCGGCCCAAGCCGTCCAAGCGGCGGCGGCCCAGGCGGCAGCGGCAGCTCAGGCCGCCGCACTGGAGCACCTGCGGGAGAAACTGGAGTCCGGGGAGCCCCCGCAGAAGAAGATCGCTCTCGTGACGGACGAACAGCAACGGTTGATGCAGAGAGCGCTCCAGCAGAATCTCCTGGCCATGACGGCTCAGCTCCCCATGAGTATCCGCATCAACAGCCAAGGGACGCGCTCTCCAGGTATCCTTGATCTCTTGCCTTGCCCAGATGGAGAGAACGTTCTTGAAAGACCTCAGTTGGCTCCCAGGATGTTTCCGAGCACAATTCAAAGGGTTGGTGCTGACCTTGAAAGCCCCAAACGGCCCAGTATCCCTGAAGGAGCGTCTCCACCCCCATCGTCCAGCCCGGACACCTGGGTCCATCTTCCGAGGGCCTTCTGGCTGTTTCCCTCCCTGCAAGAAGCGAGGTTACAGGGAACCAGGCAGAGGGCCTTCTCGGTGGTGGCGCCCTCCCACCAGATGTCAAAGAGAACAACAATTACCAGACTTTTAGAAGACATCTGAAGGCAGCCCTGCTTAGGGAAGCTTTTAATGTTTTATGTATTACAGTATTGTAATATTTTTTTGGAAGCCCCGCCAGATGGGCGGGGTATAAACAATATATTATTATTATTATTATTATTATTATTATTATTTATTATTTAATGATTTGTGTGTGGACATTAGGCACCTGTAAAGATAAAGGTAAAGGGACCCCTGACCACTAGGTCCAGTCGCGGACGACTCTGGGGTTGCGGCGCTCATCTCGCTTTATTGGCCGAGGGAGCCGGCGTACAGCTTCCGGGTCATGTGGCCAGCAGGACTAAGCCGCTTCTGGCGAACCAGAGCAGCGCACGGAAACGCCGTTTCCCTTCCCGCCGGAGTGGTACCTATTTATCTACTTGCACTTTGATGTGCTTTCGAACTGCTAGGTGGGCAGGAGCAGGGACCGAGCAACGGGAGCTCACCCCGTCATTGCAGGGATTCAAACCGCCGACCTTCTGATCAGCAAGTCCTAGGCTCTGTGGTTTAACCCACAGCGCCACCCGCGTCCCTTAGGCACCTGTACAGGTGTGGAAATTTGCATGTCTTTCCCGCCCACTTTTGCCCCTGGCCCCGCCCCCGGAAGGGAAACGGCTGTCTGCCTGCCTCTGTCTTACCCCCCTCCTTTATTGCCTTCCAGAAAACCGCCAAGACTCCGCCATGAATTTGGCCACCAATGGGACAAACAGCATCAACATGTCGGTTGAGCTCAACGGCATCGTTTATACAGGTAAACCCAGTTGAAGGAACCTCGGGAAGGAGGTTTCGGACAGCCTCACAAAACCAGTCTTTTTTTTTAAAAAAAATCATTTTTATTGATTTTCCAATAAAAACCATCCAATTCATATATCCAGTCATACTACTACTCCAATTAAAATAAAAAACTAAAATAAAAAAGAGCAAATTATAGCCCAGTCTTAAGTTTGCTAAGGTCGCAAGCTCCGAAGGTTGCAAGATTACCTTACCTACTCCTGTAAGATGAAAGCTGAGGACGGGTTTTTGCATTTAAAATAAAAATTGTTTGCAAAAAGAACATACCTGAAACAGGTGCAAGCATCCCAGAAAGAAAGAAAGAAGACAATGAATCGAAAGATTTAAACTGTAAAGTGTATTATTAATATTATTAATATTATTATTTGCAGCCTCAAAGGACGAAGTACATAAATGCAGCTCTGCTGCAAAGGGATAGTAAAGTTTGTAAGTCACGCAAATGTTCCCTTTGCACATAATAAAGCTATAAATATAAAAATGGAAACGTTCTGCCCCTGTGAGTTGCATCGCTATTGAGAATCAAAGCTGAATGTAGTCTTAATTGAGCCGGAATTTGCATGTACTGGGGACACCACGTGCCTCAATGTTTGTATAAGAAATAAAATTCCCTTTTTAATGGTAACTCAATCTCTGCCCTTTTCCGGGAGGGCAATTTGCCAACTCTCTGAATCCAATTTACGAAGACTGAAGGTCTTCGAGGATTTGGCAGTGTGACCCCGGGCCCCTGTTAAGAGAATAAAAATAAGCTCTTAACTTTTCAAATCCACAAGCAGGTTCAAGAGCGCCTGGTGGAAAAATGGCACCATAGTTTGCTTAAACAGTGGTACCTCGGGTTAAGTACTTAATTCGTTCCGGAGGTCCGTTCTTAACCTGAAACTGTTCTTAACCTAAAGCACCACTTTAGCTAATGGGGCCCCCTGCTGCCGCTGCACGATTTCTGTTCTCATCCTGAAGCAAAGTTTTTAACCTGAGGTAATATTTCTGGGTTAGCGGAGTCTGTAGCCTGAAGCGTATGTAACCTGAGGCACCACTGTAGTTGCCAAGGAAATCTCTGCAAACGCCTTGCTCCAAAATTCACCCGCCTTTGAGCAGCTCCACCACAAAGGCTGATAGGTGCCATCTAAGGGTTGAAAATGTGTTTGCAGGCACAGCAAATGAGCCATTCTCCTTCCCTCCTTTGGTACCTGTTGCAATGGGTGGAAACCCCATTGCAGAACCCATATTTCTCACTGCACAATAAAATTGCAAGGGACGCGGGTGGCGCTGTGGGTTAAACCACAGAGCCTAGGGCTTGCCGATCAGAAGGTCGGCGGTTCGAATCCCCGCAATGACGGGGTGAGCTCCCGTTGCTCGGTCCCTGCTCCTGCCAACCTAGCAGTTCGAAAGCACGGCAAAGTGCAAGTAGATAAATAGGTACCGCTCTGGCGGGAAGGTAAACGGCGTTTCCGTGCGCTGCTCTGGTTTGCCAGAAGTGGCTTAGTCCTGCTGGCCACATGACCCGGAAGCTGTACGCTGGCTCCCTTGGCCAGTAAAGCGAGATGAGCGCCGCAACCCCAGAGTCGGCCACGACTGGACCTAATGGTCAGGGGTCCCTTTACCTTTACCCTATCTCCTCTCAAAGCAATTGCTGAAAGGCAGCAGCCGCGGCTTTTGTAGGGTCTCTTAATAATATTAATAATAATTAATAATAATAATTTATACCCCGCCCATCTGACTGGTTTTCCCCAGCCACTCTGGGCAGCTTCCAACAGAGTATAAAAATACAATAATCTATTACACATTAAAAGCTTCCCTACACAGGGCTGCCTTAAGATGTCTTCTAAAAGTAGTTTTTTATTTCCTTGACATCTGAAGGGAGGGCGTTGCACAGGGCGGGCGCCACCACCGAGAAGGCCCTCTGCCTGGTTCCCTGTAACCTCACTTCTTGCAAGGAGGGAACCGCCAGAAGGCCCTCGGTGCTGGACCTCAGTGTCCGGGCAGAACGATGGGGGTGGAGACGCTCCTTCAGATATACTGGGCCATTTAGGGCTTTCAAGGTCAGCCCCAACACTTTGAATTGTGCTCAGAAACGTCTGATGCAACCGGGATTAAGGGACCAGTCGGGTGTTTAGGCTGGGGAGAAGGAACAGGTCCAGGGTTCCGGTGGCCCACCAATTGTCTCTTCCATCCTCCTCCAGGTGTGCTGTTTGCCCAAACTCCGGGGCCCTCATCCTCCCACAGCAAAGGAAACTCCAACAGCGGCTGCGGCACCTCGCAGGGCGGGCAGCCCGCCAGCGCCCCGCAGACTGCTTTCCCCGCCGCGCCGACATCTACCTCAACCAATTCCTCGTCGCCTTAAGGAAACCCTCCCCGCTTCTCCTCTTCATCCTGCCAAAGCTGATAGCCCCCGTCTCGGCGACGCACGGTCGACGAGAAAAAATCCCCGGTTTGGACCCTTATCCGCCTGTCTGGACGGGGATTTCCTGGGGGATGTTTTCCGGAGAGAGGGGAGAGATGGACCCGCACACGCCTTGTTTGTTTCCGGGGGGCAAGGGGGGTCTGGAAGGCGCCATCTTCTGTCCCCCAAATCCCCCCCCCCAAATAAAGGAACCTCTTTGCCATTGCTGCAGGGAGATGTTTTGATCCTGCCCCAACCGGGAACGGAGGGAGGTATCCCAACCAATCTCAGCTTGACACCAAAATAACCAAACCTTTTTGGGGGGAAATAGGTGGGGGAGCCGCTGGGTCCTAATCTCTCCCTCCTCTTTCTCTCCCCTCTTCCACCAAATATTTCCCCCAGTGCCCAGCATTAAAGATATCAATAGAAGAACCAAAAAACGAAAACAAAGAAAGCTTTCATCCTGGATTTTGGAGGGCCGGGGGTGGCGCATTGAGCGCTGATGATTTCTGAGCCAGATGGAAAACACTGTGTGGTTTTAGCTCTTTTGGGTTTTTTTTTTGACGTAATGCATTGTAGACACAGAACTCCTTACCTCATGCGAACTCACACTTTTGCACTGTGTTTTATTTTTATTTTGTCTGGGGCGGTGGCGGGGAGACAGCTCTCGTCAGGCGGTCTCAGGGTGCAGGGTGGTCTCAGAACGAAATCCTTTTTTTAAACCCCATCCCAAACAGCATTTACAAAAGGGGGCGGGGGGGGGAAGGTGGGCGGTGGGAAAGCTTTTAGCTATTGCGTTTTTGTTTTCTTTCCTTTTTTACAAAAAAACAACCGCTCTCGAAACATATATAAGGAAAATTCAGGGGTTGTGTGTAAATAGAAACTTCTTTTGTTTTCGGAATACGATTCTCAACAGACAACCAAAAATGAAAAAGCGAAAGCAGATCTATAGAGCAAATTCTGTAAGTTTTTATTTTGGCGGTTATCCTCTTAACGCGTGTTGCTTCAGGTGTGTTTTCCAATGACGATATGGCTGCACTTTTCCTCCCCAAATCTTTTCGTGTAACACTGGCAGGGGCTTTTTTTGCGGGTAGGTTCTCGGGGAAAATTGTCTTTGATGAACGAGCTCAGGTGGTTTTTTCCTACATATTGGGGTGGGTCGGGGCGCGCTCAAGCAATTGCTTTGGGATTTCACGGGATGATATTTTTGTACGGAGATTTCTTTGCGTGGAAATTGGAGAATCGGATGAGGCAGCCTTCCTGCGTCTTAGCGCTTCGCTCCCCTGACCCTCAAACATTGCTCCTTTTGCGATGGCAAGACAACAACAACAAACTCGCTGGGCTGTTTTTACTCGCCTCCAGCCCCCAAATAATTTAAAAACCACAGCATTAACCTCTGCAAAGTCTGTGGGGCTTGACGTTTCCCCAACGCCCAGGAAAACTGGGGACCTCAGACGTCACCATTTCCAGGAACGAAACCTTTTTTTTAACATCGCATCCTCTGTGTGCATTTGAAGCATGTGGCTTCCCTGCAAATAATCCCGGGAAACGTAGTTTGCAGAGGGTGCTGGGGACCTCAGACGTCGGACCGGCTTTTGCCAGGACGAAACCCGTTTTTTAACTTAGCTTCCAGATATCGCATCTTCCGAGTGCATTCGAAGCACAGGGCTTCCCTGCAAACAATCCGGGAAATGTAGTTTGCAGAGGGCGCCAGGTTGCAGTTCTTTCAGATTTCCCGCAACGGTGCGTTGCTGAGGAGCAGCGTGGCGAGCTGGGGGTTTTGGCGACGTTTTGGGGGCGCAGCTGGTGGAGAGGATGAAATTTGGGGTTGTGGTTTTCTTTTCCCTTACTCCCTCCAAACTCATTTGTGGTTTCCTTTCAATATAGGGACCGGGTAAGGGGGCGCGTCCTTGACTTTGGCAGGAATCGGAGAGGTTATGGGTCTCGCTTCTTGCAGAACCAGGCGGGGGGAAGCCCACCATTTCAGATGCAGACGAAGAGGGAGTCCAAATATTTGCGGCTAGCCGCCAGAGAACCCCCTCGACTTAACAACGACAATTTGTTGTGTTGGCATATCTACCTCATTGTACGCCTTTCTCCTCCTTTCCAGTTCCCCCCGGGGTGGGCAGATTGGAGAGGATTCTTGAATCAGAATATCTCCCCCCCCCCACCAGTGTCTTCTCTTTGCCCGACCCCCTCCCCGGAAATATTTCTAGAAATTCATCTTTCCTTTAACGAAGCGAAGCAAAACGCTCAAAGTAAACAACAACTACTACTAACATGGGCTCTCAAAACATCTCTCTATCACCTCCTTGTCCTCTCATGTGCTGGTTTAAATTTCTTAACTGGGGGTTGGGGGCTGGGAGAAGACCCCACTGGGACCCCCCTCAGCAAAACAGATTATTGTGCCCCTAAAGGAGACCCCACTTTGATCCAGTCCTGTTTTGTTTCAGCCGGCACCATTAAGCGGACGGTTGCTTTTTGGAACAAACAAAAGGCTTATCCCTCTCTTTCTCTCTCTTTATATTTTTAAAGATGATTTTTAGAATTTGTCGCTTTCTGGGATCAAATAGCGACAACTCTCCCTCCCCACCCCCCCCTCTGTTAATAATAAGGCTGTAGAACCCAGACTTTTGCTTGGGAACGTTTTTAAATTTTCTGTTCAAGGCTCTAGGAAATTTTACAGGGTGCATCTACTCGCTCCTATTTTCCCCAAACTCACTAATATATCTTCCATTGGGTATCGACTTGGCGCCCTCCGGACTTTGGGTGCCGTGCACTTTGGGAGTTGTAGCGCAACACACCCGGATGGCTCCAGATTGGCGGCGAACCCTGTAGACACTGACCGCCCTCGTCCCCTGCGCTGCGATACCCCTTGAAACCGTTGTGGTTCCTGGGAGCTGTAGTTTTGTGAGGCGAGCGCCCTGTTCCCCCTGGCCAGAGCTACAGTTCCCGGGGCTCACCGGGGGAACAGGGGTTGGTTGCTATGCCATTCTTAAGATGCTATAGAGGGGAATTTCCTGGGTCTCCTGATGGCTCCTGTTGCCCGTAACAAAACTACAGCTCTCTTTGGGGAAAACCATGACGGTTTCCAGGGGCATTGCAGTGCTTAAACGTGATTTGACTCTTCTGGAGCCTATTTTGAGGCCTGTGGTCAAAGAAGTCTCCCCTACCTTATATTTAGATGCTGGCAGAGGAACGGACAAAGGGATATCTCTTCTCCACGAACCCCAAAGAATGCTGCCACCCAGAAAAACAAAAATCCATTTTCTGCCCACATCGTTCCCGCTTTCGGAACGTGGCCAAAGTTTTGGAGAGCACAACCGAGAATATCTTAAGGTGGTTTTTGTGGGGGTTTTTAGGCTGCGTTATTATATTAAAAGCACACGACGTTCCCCTCCCCAACCTCGCGGGAACCGTAGTTTGCCCAAAGCACTGGGAATTGTAGCGCTGCGAGCGTTTTTTACATTTAATTATCGATGTTGCTTTTAAAAAAAATTAAAAATTGCGCTTGCCAATTTCTGGAATGGGAGTTCCGGCCCGAGGGGCACTGATAGCCTTTAAATTCGGCGTCCTTTTAATTTGATTATTATTATTTTTAAATATTATTTTATTATTAAAAATATTATTTTTAAATAATAATAATAAAGCTCTCTCAGATCCCGTCGGGAATAGCTCTTTGCTTCCCGCTCCTCTTTTTTCAAAACGACAGCTCAGCAAACAGAGATGCAGATGTCTGTAAATCAGATTTTATACTCCTTTGCGGAACTGCTTTGGGCAGTTTTCCGGCGCGCCTCAAAACCCTTTGGAGCCGGCAGTGTGGTTCCGGCTATTTCTTGCACCCTGAATACGTTGGGCCGCCACTTCCAGCGCGGTAGCAGTTAACATCCCACCCCCCCTCTGAACTGGCCCCCATTTCACTATTTCTCTAGGGAAGAGAGAGAAGGGCACCATTGCCGGTTGAGTCTCCCTATAGTGAATTTAAGGACTTTGCAAGTGAACCCCGGACTTGGGACGGTCTGGGCGTGTTTTATCCTGCTTACCTCCTCCTCTGAGTAGACCCATTGAAGCGAATGGGCCCCAATTGGCGGCTGATATCAGTGGGGAGAGACGGGGCAGCGACACCCCCCATCACCAAAGCAAGGTTGCATTTGGGGGCTGCGTTAAGACGGTTCTGAGAATCCACCCCCAAGCTAACCAGCCCAGAAATATATAGAAATATATTGCCCGCAAGATCCCACCGCTCACACCAATCCTTTTGTATCGCAAACAGGTTCCCCCCCCCCTTTCCCCTCCTTTTTATTTTTTGGAAAGCTTACCAATCGAACCGTACGGGTACCGCGGATCACAAAAGTGTCTGCTTTGAATTGCGGGTTAAATGGCCTCGCACGGACCCAGGGGGTCCATCGGCCGTGGGGCAGGTATGGATGTAAGGAGAGGAGAGGGGGCAAACTGTTCCTTCAACCTCTGCCTAGTATTTTTGTTTTTTAAACTCCGTTTTCAGGCGCGTTGACCCACCTCATACCAATCTCTCTTGTGGCTCTCTATGTGGGTCTTCCCCTCGCAGGCTTTCCTGCCTTCCCCACCCCTGAAAATAATTTCTTTTTTAAAAATCTGCCCATTGGGCAAGCCTGCCTTCTTTCCTTTCGGGTCCTCGAGCTGCCGCGCCGAATCCTGGGCGTGAAACCCTCCCTTTCTGCCTGGAGACACAGAGATGGGTCAAAAATCGGTTTACGAACCCGATACGCAAATCTGGCTGCTTCGATGGAACCTGGTTAAACCACAGCTGTCTGTCTTCAAACTTGGAAAGTATAGGAAATACCTCTGTTATTAAGGCAGAATATGCACCATCTCTTTTTTTAAAAAAAAACCCCCAAAATCCTGGGAATTCTAGTTTGAGGGTCTTTGGAACTATAGCACCGTCAGGGGGTGAACTACAGTTCCCAAGATTCCTTTATTTTTAGGGGAGGTGTTTTGGAGGGATGTTGCGTACGTTGCTTTTAACTACGATTTGAAGTCGGTTGGGTGAACCGACGCTTGTCCCCAAAAAAAGAGGGTTTTGGGTTCGAGGTGAAACGCAGAACTTTGCGGTTAGGCGTTTCTGCGGTCTGGGTTTGGAAGCAAAGGGCCGTAAGCCGATACAATCATCTGAATTTTAAATGCCAGGCTTTGGGCGCTGTGCGATGTGCACAGGACCAGTCTGATAATAATAATATTGTTATTTATACCCTGCCCAAGTGACTGCCTCGCACACTCGCTCTGTCCTCGTGTCGACAGCTCTGCGGCTGCGAAACGGCCGGAGTCGTCGGGACTCGAACCCAGAACCTCTGCCCGCCTTTCCCTAAAGAAGAGACCCTTCCTCTCTTACGTGCAACCCACTTTCCTTGTGGGAAGGAGGAGTTGTTGCCGGGCGTGTGTGTGTTTGTGTGAAATTTTCCCCGCCCTAGACATATTTTTTAAAAAAAGAGAGAGAGAGAGAAAAAGAAAGAGAGGGGAGTTTTTAGCGTGGGTGGGCGAGTAAGAAATTCTATATCCAAATTTATATAAATATATATAAATGTGTGTATGTTTGTGGGTTGTTGTTTATTTAGGGTGTGCGTGGTGTGTGTCTGTCTCTAAAGGAACGTGGCATAATTCCTTCATTCTCAGGCCAGAAATTTTGCTTTTTAAGGGTTCGATGGCGACTCAGGGGTAATGTGGAAAATGCTATCTGGATCTTGATTGTATTCTGGAGGGGCTGCGAGGGTCGGGGTGGCGGGTGGGATACGGGTTTGGGTTGGGTGTACAGGAAACAAACCAAAATAAAATAAAATTTGCTTGAGGTGATGGTGGCTGGAGGTGTGCCGGGTGCGAATTCCGACCCAGGGCTTTCCGCGTTCCCAAGAACGGGGCGACGCTTGGGAAAACCCCTTTTTAAATTTAATTTTTTGGGGGAATGTTTCACCGCTAGATCGCACCCCGCTATCAAGAGGAACGTTTTCCGGGTTCTCGATTTCTGCGCAAATTTTCACAAAAGAGACTCCGTTCGAGGCAAGATTCGTGGGAGCGAGATTGCAGAGGTTGGGTTTGCGGACCCCGCAAAAAACCTTTAAAAATAGCTGCAGGATTTCGGGGTTTTGTTGTTTTTCAGTTACGCCTTTCCCACAAAAGCAAGGATTTTCTGAGCGGACCCCCAACTCGCAATTCCATTTTACGTCTAATTCGCTTGCGAAAAGCGAAAAGGGGAAGACTTTAGCTGGTAGTAATAGGATTTGTGTTACATTTGTACAAACACTGTGTTTTTTTTTGCGGGGTGGGTTCTGATTTTTTTGGGGGGGGGTGTGCAAGCTCAGAGCCCCTTCCTCCTTTCTCTCTCTCTCTCTCTCTGCATATCAAGTTTTAAATAAGACGTAATTTCAGGGTGTGTTTTTTCTTCCCAACTCTGGGGTTGTGTTTGTTTTTTTTCTTCTTCAAAGGAAATAATCAGATTTGAACGAGCAGCAAAGATATGCAATCTGTACCACGTAGGTAGATTTTTGACTCAGGAAAGAAAATAAAAATCGAAAAATAAACCACATTCTACCTCTGAAAACCGCAGCGGGCTGCCTTTCGTCACGGCGGGGGTATTTTTTTTGGGGGGGGGGTTAAGGCAGCCTCTGCGTTTTGCGCTTTTTATTTTTCGTTTCGTTTTTTTCGTTTGTTTGTTTCGTGTGTTGTTGTTGGTTTTTTTTTCCTTAAGAAAGAATATCACGTTTTCGCAAAACATTCAGGTATTATTAACCTTTGTGACTTAAGAGAGAAATAAAATAATAAAAAAAACACTGAAAAAGTTTACATTTTATAACATTATTATTACAGATTGTATTTAAACTTCAGAAATATTTAAAACGATTGTAACCTTGTAAAGTTGGAGAAATATTAAAAAAAGGAAAAAGAGGAGGAAAGGAGATTTGTCCGAAGGTGGTCTTGTCATCTGTGTGCGTGTTTTGTGTGTCTGGTTTTTTGGAAGCCTATGAAGTTCCCTGATCCTGTTCACCTTGGTTCTCAAACTTAATCCGTTCCAGGAGTCCGTTCCAAAACCAAAGCGTTCCAAAACCAAGGCGCGCTTTCCCATGGAAAGTATTGCAAAATGGATTAATCCGTTCCAGACTTTTCAAAACACAACCCCTAAAACAGCAACTGAACATGGATTTTACTGTCTGACGAGACCATTGATCCATAAAATGAAAGCAATAAACAATGTACTGCAGTCGCACAATCAATCCATCAGTAGCTGAACTGGGTTCCGCGCAGTCGCAAAAGCAAAACGGAAAAGAGCCGCGAAAACAAAAATGCAAAATAAATAGCGAAAACAGACAGACCTCAGCGTAAAACTCAAAACGGAAGCGTGGCACTCAAAACGGAGCATGTTCAGATTCTGAAAAAAGTTCGCAAACAGGAACGCTTCCTTCCGGGTTTGCACTGTTTGGGTTCCAAGTTGTTTGAGGACCAAGGCGTTTGAGAACCAAGGGACCCCTTTATATGCATTTAAAGCAGTATATACGACTTTGAACAGCCCCAACGCATCTGGGAATTGTAGTTGGCTGAGGGTGCTGAGAGTCGATGGGAGAGCCCAGTTCTCTGGGAAGAGGGATTGGTTATTAATTTGCTTTGGGCGTTGTAGCTCTGGGAAGGGAGTAGGGGGTCTTCACCGCCCAGGACCCTGTAAAGGTAAAGGGACCCCTGACCATTAGGTCCAGTCGTGGCCGACTCTGGGGTTGCGGCGCTCATCTCGCTTTCCTGGCCGAGGGAGCCGGCGTACAGCTTCTGGGTCATGTGGCTAGCAGGACTAAGCCGCTTCTGGCGAACCAGAGCAGCGCATGGAAACACCGTTTACCTTCCCGCCGGAGAGGTACCTATTGATCTACTTGCGCTTTGCCGTGCTTTCGAACTGCTAGGTTGGCAAGAGCAGGGACCAAGCAACGGGAGCTCACCCCGTTATTGCGGGGATTCAAACCGCCGACCTTCTGATCGGCAAGTCCTAGGCTCTGTGGTTTAACCCACAGCACCACCCACGTCCTGCGCCACCGGCACCATGAGCAAACTATAGTTCCCAGGGTGCTTCCCCCAGCCCTGATCTCCAGAAGAGGCACGCCATGCTCCAAAGAGGGGGTGCCCCTATCATTCCTCAACTTTTCACACAGCAAAGGTAAAGGACCCCCAGACCAGGGGTAGGCAAACGAAGGCCCGGGGGCCGGATCTAGCCCAATCGCCTTCTCAATCCGGCCCCTGGACTGTCCGGGAATCGGCGTATTTTTACATGAGTAGAATGTGTCCTTTTATTTAATATGCATCTCTGGGTTATTTGTGGGGCATAGGAATTCGTTCGTTTTCTTTCTCCAAAATAACAGGCATACCTCTTCTTGTAAACGCTTCACATTGCGTCTTTTCAGGTTAAGAATGCGGCAACACGCGCAGAAGCGTTTTGCATGGTTCACACATGCGCAGAAGCGTTTTCGGCGCATGCGCAGAAGCATTTTTGGCGCATGCGCAGAAGCGTTTTGCATAGTTCGCACATGCGCAGAAGCATTCTGCGTGGTTCGCGCATACGTAGAACCGCTCTATTGCGCTTTCCACATGCGCAGAAGTGTCGTTCTGGTGACGGACTTTTCAGGGTGCGAACGGCACCCCGGAACAGATCATGTCCGCAACCAGAGGTACCACTGTTAAGTCTGGCCCCCCACATGGTCTGAGGGACAGTGGACCGGCCCATGGCTGAAAAAGCTTGCTGACCCCTGCCTTGGACAGTTCAGTCCAGTCAAAGGCAACTATGGGGTTGCGGCACTCATCTCGCTTTCAGGCCGAGGGAGCCGGCATTTGTCCGCAGGCAGCTTCCCGGGTCGTGTGGCCAGCAGGACTAAGCCGCTTCTGGCACATGACGGAAACCAGAGTGCACGGAAACACTGTTTACCTTCCTGCCAGAGTGGTACCTATTTATCTACTTGCACTTTGACGTGCTTTCGAACTGCTAGGTGGGCAGGAGCAGGGACCGAGCAATGGGAGCTCACCCCGTTATTGTGGGGATTCGAACCGCCGACCTTCTGATCGGCAAGCCCAAGAGGCTCGGTGGTTTAGACCACAGCGCCACCCACTCCCCTAAGGAAAAGGTAAAGGACCCCTGGACAGTTAAGTCCAGTCAAAAGAGACTATGGGGTTGCGGCGCTCATCTCGCCTTCAACCTGCGATGTACCAAGGCGGGCCAGTGGCTTACGGGGCGTCGGTAGGGGATTTAGATAAAATGCCACTGGTCGGGCTTTTTGTCTTCCAAAGGCCGTCAGCCGGGACTGCGCCATGGAGCCTCCATATACAGGAGCAGTCTTGCTGCAAACTAGCAGCGGTGGGCATTCATGTACAGTGGTACCTCGCAAGACGAAAAACTCGCTAGATGAAAGAGTTTTCCGTTTTTTGAGTCGTTCCGCAAGACGAATTCCCTATGGGCTTGCTTCACAAGACGAAACGTCTTGCAAGTTCTTGCGAGTTTGTTTCCTTTTTCTTAAAGCCGCTAAGCCGTTAATAGCCGCTAAGCCGTTAATAGCCGCTAAGCCGTTAATAGCCGCTAAGCCGCTAATAGCCGTGCTTCGCAAGACGAAGAAACCGCAAGACGAAGAGACTCGCGGAACGGATTAATTTCGTCTTGCGAGGCACCACTGTACAGGGAGGGTGGTGCATTTGAACTTAAGCGTTTTGGAACCATTAGACTGGCCACTAGATGGACTTTGGGTTTGAGTCTGTGAAGTGAGAGAGATTAGATAGATAGATAGATAGATAGATAGATGGATGGCAGGGTAAGTCTGTCTTCATGAGAACATACAAAAAAAGCCCGAAGCGTTTCTGTTACATTATGTACGTAAAAAGATAAAAGGTAAAGGACCCCTGGACAGTTAAGTCCAGTCAAAGGTGACTATGGGGTTGCTGCGCTCATCTCGCTTTCAGGCCGAGGGAGCCAGCGTTTGTCTGCAGAAAGCTTTCCGGGTCGTGTGGCCAGCAGGACTAAACCGCTTCTAGTGCATGACAGAATCCAGAGCGCATGGAAACGCCGTTTATCTTCCCACCGCAGCGGTACCTATTTATCTACTTGCACTTTGACGTGCTTTCGAACGGCTAGGTTGGCAGGAGCAGGGACCGAGCAACGGGAGCTCACCCCATCATTGCGGGGATTCGAACCGCCGACCTTCTGATCGGCAAGTCCTAGGCTCTGTGGTTTAACCCACAGCGTCACCCGTTCCCCTAGCTCATCTTGCTTTCAGGCCAAGGGAGCCGGCGTTTGTCCGCAGACAGCTTTCCAGGTCACGTGGCCAGCAGGACTAAACCGCTTCTGGCGCAACGGGACACCGTGACGGAAAGCAGAGAGCAAGGAAATGCCATTTACTTTCCTGCTGCAGTGGTACCTAGTTATCTACTTGCACTGGCGTGCTTGCTTTCTTTTTCTTTTTCGAATTTGCTTTTAATTCTTTGCTGATTAAAAATGTACATATCTATACAAACATGATATGCTTTCTTTATATATGAAGAAAAAAGGAAATTATGTAGGGAATAGAAAATATTTAAAGGAACAAAAAAGAGGAAAAGAAAAAAAATAAAGATACGAAGTAAAAAAATTCAAAGGAGGAAAAGAAAAGAACATTATTTACACAATGAGGGGCAGTATTTCAATAATAATAACTGAAAATCTGGACACAGATTTTAGTCCTTTTGTTTTGTTTTATTTTATTTCTTTTATTTTAGTCCTTTATTTTATTTTATTTCTTTTATTTTTAGTCCTCTATTTTATTTTATTTTATTTTTGTCCTTTTATTTATTTTATTTGTTGATCTGTTATGCATATATTATTTTGAAAGGGGGGGGAATGACATTTCTGAGATATTTTCAAGGAAATCCGCCCCAAATCTGCATTTCCGACACGGGCTGCCAGCCGTCCGGATATTCCCGGACGCCCTCCGTAAATCCCCGGGCGCCGTCCGGAAACTTCCGGACGCGCGGGCCCGCCTGCGCATGACTATGGGCAACCCTCGCTTCGAGAGGAGTCCACCAATTCCCCTCACACACACACAGGAAATCCCGCCTCCGAGACCGGAAGCGGCCGCTCTAGAACAACGCACTGAGCGTCGACGGAGGAGGCAGTGCTTCGCGCGCCTTGGCTTTCTGGCCCTTGCGGGCCGCCGCCGTCGTCGCCGTCGCCCCGACGCGGTGACGTCGCCGTCGCGTCGTGGGCGGGGCTTGGCCTCCCCTCAGGGAGGAGGAGGAGGGAGGAGGGGACAAGATGGCGGAGGCTTCGCCGCAGCCGGGACGCTACTTCTGCCACTGCTGCTCGGCCGAGATCGCCCCGCGCTTGCCGGTGAGTCCCGGGGGGCCGCGGGCCGGCGCTTCCCCACCCGCTCCGGGGACGGAGGACCCGCCGCTCCGCAACGCCCGGCGGGGGAGGCCGGTAGACTGCGCTGCCGGGGGGAGGCTCCACTACGCGAGGAGGGCGCCTGGGCCTACTAGGGGGGGGAGGGGGAGGCGGGGGGAGGGGTTCTCCCTAAGCCCCGCCCCAATTAAGAGGAGGGGAGGGGTAGACTGCTCTTTGCCCTGGAGGCTCCACTCCTTCTCCCCTTATATAAGTCCTTTTCTGGGGGGGGGTCTCTCCCAAGCCCCCCCCCAATTAAGAGGAGGGGAGGGGTAGACTGCTCTTTGCCCTGGAGGCTCCGCTCCTTCTCCCCTTATATAGGTCCTTTTCTGGGGGGGGGGGGTTCTCTCCCAAGGCCCCCCCCCCCAATTAAGAGGAGGGGAGGGGTAGACTGCTCTTTGCCCTGGTCCTTTTCTGGGGGCTTCTCTCCTAGCCTCCCAATTAAGAGGAGGGGAGGGGTAGACTGCTCTTTGCCCTGGTCCTTTTCTGGGGGGGGTTTCTCTCCCAAGCCCCCCCCCCAATTAAGAGGAGGGGAGGGGTAGACTGCTCTTTGCCCTGAGCTCCGTTCTTCTGCGGGCTTCTCTCCAAGCCCCCTATTAAGAGGAGGATGTTTGCAGTGGACTGCTCTTGCCCTGGTCCATGTCAGGTAGGTGCCTCTCAAGCATTTGCCAATTGGGAGGAGGATAGTGTGGACTGCTCTTTGCCCCCTCCAGGTGCCATTCGCCTTATATAGGTCCTGGTTCTCTGGGGGTGTTCTTCGGGGGCCCCCATGTTTGCAGAGGAGGGTTTGCCCATCAGGGTAGACATGCGCTTGGGCCCGGAGGCTGCTGCCCTCTCTTCTCTCCTATAGGTCCTTTTGCTGGGGGTAGTCAGCTCTCCCACCTGGAGCCTCGCACTACAGGAGGAGAGGGTAGACTGCTCTTTGCCCTGGGGGCTCGCGCCTTCTCCGTATAGAGGTCCTTGACTGGGGGGTTCTCTCCCAAGGCCCCCCCATTAAGAGGAGGGGAGGGGTAGACTGCCCTTTGCCCCGGAGGCTCCGCTCCTTCTGCCCTTATATAAGTCCTTTTTAGGGGGGGCATGTTTGCAGTGGACGCTTTTCCCCATCCAGGTAGGTAGGTGCCTTGTCATTTTTGTTATTGGGGGCAGGATAGTGTGGGCTCCCCTCCTTTCCCCCCTCCAGGTGCCATTGCAAGGCTGGTTCTCTGGGGGGGGTGTTATTTGGGGGGACATGTTTGCAGTGGAGGGTTTTGCCCATCAAGGTAAACATGGGTTGGGTGGGGAGGTGTTGCCCTCCCTCCTTGTCTCCTCTTTTTTGGGGGGGGGTAGACTGTTCTTTGCCCTGGAGGCTCCACTGCTGGATGTTGCTTCCTCCCATTTATATAAGTCCTTTCTTGCAGGGGGTGTTTTGGGCCTGTTTGCAACGGAGGGTTTTGCCCCCTTGCTTTGGTAAACGGGGGGGGGGGGGCGGGGCTCCTCTAAAAGTGGTGGAGTTGTGTCCGTCGTTGGGGGCGCCCATCCCAGTTGCTGGCCAAGGGGGGGTCTCCCTCCCGTCTCCTCCAAACGCAAGCCTTGCCGCTGTATGTGGGTTGGCTGGGTTGGGGGTGTTGAACCCCCACCTCTCTTCTCCCCTCTTCCCTCCCAGTTTGTCAAGCGAAGGTAGACTTCTCTTTCCCAAGGACGTTCCACTTAATAAGGGCATTGATTATACAGCAGGCCACCTAGAATCATAGAATCCTAGAGTTGGAAGAGACCACAAGGGCCATCGAGTCCAACCCCCTGCCAAGCAGGAAACACCATCAGAGCACTCCTGACATATGGTTGTCAAGCCTCTGCTTAAAGACCTCCAAAGAAGGAGACTCCACCACACTCCTTGGCAGCAAATTCCACTGTCAAACAGCTCTTACTGTCAGGAAGTTCTTCCTAATGTTTAGGTGGAATCTTCTTTCTTGTAGTTTGGATCCATTGCTCCGTGTCCGCTTCTCTGGAGCAGCAGAAAACAACCTTTCTCCCTCCTCTATGTGACATCCTTTTATATATTTGACCATGGCTATCATATCACCCCTTAACCTCCTCTTCTCCAGGCTAAACATGCCCAGCTCCCTTAGCCGTTCCTCATAAGGCATCGTTTCCAGGCCTTTGACCATTTTGGTTGCCCTCCTCTGGACACGTTCCAGTTTGTCAGTGTCCTTCTTGAACTGTGGTGCCCAGAACAGGACACAGTACTCCAGGTGAGGTCTGACCAGAGCAGAATACAGTGGCACTATTACTTCCCTTGATCTAGATGCTATACTCCTATTGATGCAGCCCAGAATTGCATTGGCTTTTTTAGCTGCCGCGTCACACTGTTGGCTCATGTCAAGTTTGTGGTCAACCAAGACTCCTAGACCTATCAGGAGTCCTGTTTGGCCTACTGTTTTTAAGTTGTATTTCAATCAATTGTTTTATATCTGGTGTTAGCCGCCCTGAGCCCAGTCTTGGCTGGGGAGGGCGGGGTATAAATACAATTTATTATTATTTATTATTACGAGCAGTGCCTGAAAATAACAGCTTCCCCTCTTCGCCTGCCAGCAGCTGGTATGCAGGGATAGACTATGCTGGAACACAGAGGTTCCATTCTGCGTTTGCAGATGAAATCGACTCAGTCAGCATGACTTCGGTCTTTTCCAAGGCTTGCTTTCTCTTTCTCTTCCACTATCTCTTTCTCGGCCTTGCCCGCCCATGTGTTTTTCCTCAACTGCTGGCTGAAAAGAAAAATCCCGGAACGTTTTATCCTTTTCTCCCTCTGCCACCCCCCCCCAAAAAAACCCCCTGGCAGTTGTGCATGGAGCTGTGGCCGTGCCGAAATATATTTATTTTTGCAGAATTAGAACGGGAGCTCTGGAAAGGTCCCAGCCGGTCATCCAGTCCCAAGCCTCTCGCAACACATTTTATTTATTTTGAAAAAGTGCAGGCGGTTTGATCGAACGGTACCCAAAGTGACCAATGTTGAACATGGGGAACTCCTCGCCTATAAGGAAAGGCTTTTTGGGTGGGGGCTGAGTTCAGGGAAAATGCGACTGACAGTGTGCAAAACAATGCGCTGTAGGGAAAAGTACCGTATTTTTCGCTCTATAAGATGCACCAGACCACAAGACGCACCTAGTTTTTGGAGGAGGAAAACAAGAAAAAAATATTCTGAATCCCAGAAGCCAGAACAGCAAGAGGGATCGCTGCGCAGCGAAAGCAGCAATCCCTCTTGCTGTTCTGGCTTCTGGGATAGCTGCGCAGCCTGCATTCGCCCCATAAGACGCACACACACTTCCCCTTTTTAGGAGGGAAAAAGTGAGTCTTATAGAGCAAAAAATACAGTATATTTTACCCGCCTTCCTCATAACCCTAGAATTCATGTAAGTCCAAGGAAGCTGAATGTCAGGAGATTTTTGGGATGGCTAAAAGGGAAGTTCTCCTCCAGGCATCAGTGAGTTGAACTCCTCGAGAGGTGCGGAGGGTGGCAACACAAAAACGGGGCCTTCTCTGCAGTGGCTCCCTGTTTGTGGGAATGCTGTCCCCAGGGAAGTTCACCTGGTGCCTTCATTATACACCTTTAGGCGCCAGGCAAATCAGTTGGTTGAACTGATTTACATCCTATGCCCTTTTAAAATGTGGGTTTTTTTGTAGGAGTGGGGCTGTTGGGTTGTTGCTTTTACTTGTATTGTGTGTTTTGTGGTTTTTATACCTTGATTTTATTCCGTGAACCGCCCTGAGACCCCTGTGTATAGGGTGGTAAAGGTAAAGAGACCCCTAACCATTAGGTCCAGTCGTGGACGACTCTGGGGTTGCGGCGCTCATCTCGCTTTACTGGCCAAGGGAGCCGGCGTACAGCTTCCGGGTCATGTGGCCAGCAGGACTAAGCCGCTTCTGGCGAACCAGAGCAGCGCACGGAAATGCCGTTTACCTTCCCGCCGGAGCAGTACCTATTTATCTACTTGCACTCTGAGGTGCTTTCGAACTGCTAGGTGGGCAGGAGCAGGGACCGAGCAACGGGAGCTCACACTGTGGCGGGGATTCGAATCACCGACCTGATCGGCAAGTCCTAGGCTCTGTGGTTTAACCCACAGCGCTACCCGCCTCCTGTATAGGGCGGTATATAATAACAAAAACCTATGGAACTCATTGCCACAGGACCGATCCGAGGAGGAGGAGGCTGGCAATGGGTACCAACCATAATGGCTGTGTTCTCCTTCTGAATACCAATTGGGGGGGTGTTGCAGTTTTGCTCAGGCCCTGCTCAGGGGGCTTCCCATCTGGCTGGCCCCTGCGGGGACAGGAAGCTGGGCCCGATCCAGCTCGCAGGCCTTTCCCGAGGTTCACGCGTCCAGGATGATGGGAAATGTAGTCCTCAACTAGAGCTTCCGTGTTTGCAAAAAAAGCGAAAATCCGGACGCAAAAACGGCCGAGCTTTCTTTTGGTGCCGTTGAGCTCGTTTTGAAAAATCTCGGAGCTTATTGAGCTGGGCGTTTGGACTGATTTTCTAAAATTCCACCCGGACGCTTTTTCTGCTGAACGGATCCCGAATACGTCCAGGAAGCTCTGGGCGTGCGGCAGCCAGCATCAGAAATTTGCCTGGCATGTTTTGCGTCCGCTGCGGGCCCACTTGCGGCCCTGTGAAGATCTCTGGGCGCCTGATTCTTGTGACAGACATTTCCCCCTGACCGACCCCCTCCAGATTTCTTAAGCCATTAAGCAGAAGAGCTTCTTTAAAAAATAATAATCTGTCATTGTTGCCTTCCTTGCAGCGCTCAATTACATGCTGGAGATAATAGTCTTGTTTAGATTTTGTTTTCCATAAAGGGCATAATTTAACCGCACTGAGAGTACAAGTTGCGCTGGCCGTTTCGCCTTAGTCTGGTTGGGCAATGAGGGATTGTCTGGAGAAGCAATTGAGTTGCAGGAGGGAGAGCAGGCCTGTTAGCATAAAGCCCCCTTCCTCTCCCCGGGGCTTAGGCTGCGTATAAGTAGCTGCTCGCCTTTGGGTGAGTACAGAACGCTTGCAGGCGACTAGCCAAGGCGGATCTGTGCACCCCGGCGCCGCATATGTTTAATACAGCCCTGTATACAGTCAAGGGAGGGACGCGGGTGGCGCTGTGGGTTAAACCACAGAGCCTAGGACTTGCCGATCAGAAGGTAGGCGGTTCGAATCCCTGCAACAGCCTGAGCTCCCGTTGCTCGGGCCCTGCTCCTGCCAACCTAGCAGTTCGAAAGCACCTCAAAGTGCAAGTAGATAAATAGGTACCGCTCCGGCGGGAAGGTAAACAGCATTTCCGTGCGCTGCTCTGGTTCGCCAGAAGCGGCTTAGTCCTGCTGGCCACATGACCTGGAAGCTGTACGCCGGCTCCCTCGGCCAATAGAGATGAGCACTGCAACCCCAGAGTCGGCCACGACTGGACCTAATGGTCAGGGGTCCCTTTACCTTATACAGTCAAACCTCGGTTGTCGAACGTAATCCTGTTTGGCTTCCGAAACGTTCGACAACCGAGGCACGGCTTCTGGTTGGTTGCAGGAGCTTTCTGCACTCAGCAGAAGCAAAAAAAGTACAGCACAAAATGAAAGTGAAAATAACAGAGAGCCCCAGGCAGACCTAGCCTGTCTCCAGAGCAAACGGCTTTGAAGAATAAAGATAGTGGGAAAACGACTTCCGCCTACGAGTAGACCTGAGAACCTTTTAAACACGAGGATGTAGCAGAATGGCGGCTTGCGTACTTTGTAAAACTTCATTCCCAGACCAAAAAGGTTGGGAGATAAATGCCATAGAGGAGCTGTTCTTCTTACCTGCTAAATAGAGACATCGGGCGGAAATTTGGCACCTGAACATCTTCCATGTGGTCACATTTGGACCTGCGCCAGTATATTAGGGGGTGGCCAGGCTACGGAGGGAGTGGGCTTCGGGCGGTTCTTTGGGGAATGAGGAGGCCTTGCGCGAAACGCCGACGATTCGCCGTATATAGCCTGGTCTGGAATTCCGAAATCGACACCACCATGTCGATTTCGAACCGGTTTCGGGACGATTCGCCGATACATCGCCCAGCCCTCCACCCCATCGTCCAGCCCGGACACCAGGGTCCAGCTCCGAGGGCCTTCTGACGGTTCCCTCCCTGCAAGAAGTGAGGTTACAGGGAACCAGGCAGAGGGCCTTTTCGGTGGTGGCGCCCTCCGTTCAGATGTCGAGGAAATAAATAACTATCTGGCTTTTAGAAGACATCTGAAGGCAGCCCTGTTTAGTGAAGCTTTTAATGTTTGGAGTTTTATTGTATTTTTAATATTTTGTTGGAAGCCGCCCAGAATGGCTGGGGAAACCCAGCCAGATGGGCAGGGTATAAATAAATTACTATTATTATTATTAGTATTACTGCTGTAAGCATTTGCAAGGAATCTCCTTGCAAAAGGAAGAAGGTTCTCAGCCCTTTTAAAGGGACAAGCCTTGGTCACGGCAAACATCAATTCTTAAATGCGGGTTACATCTTGCAAGCGCCCCATCTTTCTCTGGGTGCGAGAGAGTCCTAATTGCGTGCATTTATTGTTGTTGTTTTCTAAAGCTGATTTGCACTGTTTTTCCCCCCCCTGCAGGACTACATCTGCCCGCGGTGCGAATCTGGCTTTATTGAAGAGTTGCCGGAAGAACCTAGGTAAAGCCCAACTCTCTGATTGGGGACAAAATGAGATTTTGCCGGTTTGCAGTTTTGGGTCCAGGGCAGGGTCCCCTTTTCAGGCTGCATTCGGGCAGTGGGCGGCGGTCAGACCCCCAGATGGCTACAGCTTGTGGGCAGACAGCCTTGGGGGACAAGGAAGAGGAACGACGAGTCCTTAATTAATGCTTGACTGTTGTCAAGCACAGACCAATCTCGGATTGAAGGGCACAGGTTCACCACAAGTAGTTAGTCAACATTAAGGAATCGGCAGCCTTGAGAGAGATAGAGAAAAAAACCCAGACTTGTTCAGAGTTTCTCCTGCCTTGGAGGTGTTTTTTTAAGCAAGGGTCCACGCTGCTTTCTTGCCTGCTTGCCTTCAGCTCGCTCTTCTATCTCAAAATCTTTTCAGGAACGTCGAAAATGGATCCAACTCTTCGGCGTCGACCAGCGAGCAGAGCAGGCACCCGTTCGAGGTGAGGCACCAAGTGTGGCAGGCCGATTCTGCACTGTCGCGTTTTTGCCAGAATTTGGAAGCTGGGAGGGAACGGATGGAGTTGGGTTGCTGGCGAAATAGCCACTCGCCTTTGGGCGAGTTGGGGTCATTTCCAGGCGACTAGCTTTGCCCGGTGGAGGTTATCTTTGGCTGGAAGCAGAGGCCTCTGCCTGATCTTTTTTGTGAACCGCCCTGAGACCTCCAGGTATAGGGCTGTATATAAATTACCGTATCTTTTGCTCTATAAGACTCACTTTTTCCCTCCTAAAAAGTAAGGGGAAACGTGTGTGCGTCTTATGGAGCGAATGCAGGCTGCGCAGCTATCCCAGAAGCCAGAACAGCAAGAGGGATTGATGCTTTCACTGCGCAGCGATCCCTCTTGCTGTTCTGGCTTCGGAGATTCAGAATATTTTTTTCCTTGTTTTCCTCCCCCCAAAACTAGATGCGTCTTGTGGTCTGGTGCGTCTTATAGAGCGAAAAATACGGTGATGAATTAATGAGGGCAGCGTACCTTTCTGGGGCGGGGCGTCCCAGGGCTAGGCGGGGTCAGAGGCAGGAGTAGGCGGAGCTAGAACCTCGCACCTGTACACAAGGCGTCTTCCCAACGCCCCTGACCCTCTCCCCTTCCGCTCCAGAACGCCGACCAGCACTTATTCACCCTGCCCCAGGGCTACGGGCAGTTCGCCTTTGGCATCATCGACGACACCTTCGAGTTCCCGGCCTTCGGGTCCAACGCTCAGCCCGAGGACAACCGGGACGCGGAGAACCGGCGCGAGAGGGAACACCAGTCCCGGCACAGATACGGCACCAGGCAGCCCCGGGCGAGGTTCACGGCGCGGAGGGCCGCCGGCAGGCACGAAGGCGTCCCCACGCTGGAAGGGTGAGAGGACACGACTCCAACATAGCTGTCAACCGTCCCTTATTTGGCGGGACAGTCCCTTATTCCTGCGCCGTGTCCCACTGCTGTCCCTTATTGATGATGTCCCTTAAATTTCCCGGGTTTCAAAGGAAGCAGCTCCTCTCCCTCCCTCCCTGCCGGCCAAGGAGGTGGGAGGCTCCAACTGTGTTGCTTGGCTGCCCGGCCCGCCCCCCTCCGGCCTCCTCTCACCAGCCTTGGCCTCTGGGAGCCCCTCCCCGCCAGGACTGGTGGGAGCCTCGGGCCCTTCCGCCGCCATCCTCCTCGCGGCCACCGAACTGGGCATCTCTGCCTGGGGCCTCCCCTCTGCCCACCGCCCCTCCCACTAGGCCATACTGCAATTGCGCCACCGAAGGACCCGGATGAGATGGGCAGCCTGGTGCAGCCTATGAATTGCTGAGGAGCCCTGAGAGGAGAGCGAGGGCAACCATGGAGAAAGCAGTTCAGAGGAGGCGGAGGCGGAGGCGCCGGCAGGTGTACCAAGGGCTAACCATACAGTGGTACCTCGCAAGACGAATGCCTCGCAAGACGAAAAACTCGCTAGACGAAAGGGTTTTTCGTTTTTTGAGCTGCTTCGCAAGACGATTTTCCCTACGGGCTTGCTTCGCAAGACGGAAACGTCTTGCAAGTTTGTTTCCTTTTTCTTAACACCGTTAATACCGTTGCGACTTGACTTCGAGGAGCAACTCATAGAACGCTGTGTGGTAGCCTTTTCTGAGGTTTTTAAAGACTTTGGTGATTTCTGAAGCTTTTCCAAAACTTTCCCGACACCGTGCTTCGCAAGACGAAAAAAACCGCAAGACGACAAAACTCGCGGAACGAATTAATTTCGTCTTGCGAGGCACCACTGTATTGGGAGAAAGCGGAGGAAGGACCGCAAGCGCTTCTCCCATAGATTTGGGGTGGTAGACTAGCATAGATGGTCTGATCTGCGGGTTTACTTCGGGCGCTATTTCCCCCCCCATCCTCCCGCCCCGCCTGATGGAACTGAGAGCTGCAGATGGATCATGAGAGAAAAGATACAGGCACGATGGTCAGGATTGGTGCTGGGTCGGAGTCCCAAAGCCTTGAAGAGCGGCGTTCGCGAGTTTTCCTCTTTCTCCCGGCAGTCGGCTCACTTTTCCTTCTCTCCACCTCCCTCCTCTTTCTGCAGAATCATTCAGCAACTGGTAAACGGCATCATCGCCCCCACCACGATACCGAACCTAGGCGTGGGGCCTTGGTGAGTTCCCGCCCCCCCCCCCATTCCGTCCTTTTTCCCAGAGGCCTTTTGGTCCCGGCGGAAATCTTAACCCTTCCTCTCTGCTTCTCCCCCCCCCCAAACCCTATTTATCGTTACGTTCCTGAAGGGGAGTCCTGCATTCGAATCCGATGGACTACGCCTGGGGAGCCAACGGCTTGGACGCCATCATTACCCAGGTAAAACCTCTCTGCCCTTCCGGGGGGAATTGTTGGTTTCGAAATCTGCGTCACTTCCGTCTTCTGCGGAGTCACTGTCCGCATTTCCAAAACGAAAATAAAAATTTTGACCTACAACTTGGAGCTTTGACCTACAACTTGGAGCTTACCGTATTTTTTGCTCTAGAAGACTCACTTTCCCCCTCATAAAAAGTAAAGGGAAATGTGTGTGCGTCTTATGGAGCAAATGCAGGCTGCGCAGCTATCCCAGAAGCCAGAACAGCAAGAGGGATCGCTGCTTTCGCTGCGCAGCGATCCCTCTTGCTCTTCTGGCTTCTGAGATTCAGAATATCTTTTTTCCTTGTTTTCCTCCTCCAAAAACTAGGTGCGTCTTGTGGTCTGGTGCGTCTTAGGGAGCGAAAAATACGGTAGCTATACCACCAAGAAGCCCAGGTTAAATAAAACCTCCATGTACAGAAGTATGCTGCCATTGAATCTCAGCTTCTCAGGCCTAAAAGTGGGGGAAGGTTGATAGCCATAGATCGCCTCTGTCCATATGAACCGACCCAGACCCATAGACCAGGTGGCTGGGGGGTAGCCTGCTCTGGATGGGGTCGCACTTCCCCTGAAGGAGCAGGTTCATAGCTTGGGGGTCCTCTGGATCCTTTGCCGTCGCTCCAGGCTCAGGTGGCCTCAGTGGCCCGGAGTGCCTTCCATCAGCTTCGGCTGGTGGCCCAGCTAAGCCCCTATAACAAATAATAATAATTTTTATTTATATCCCGCCCTCCCCAGCCGAAGCCGGGCTCGGGGCGGCTAACAACAACAAAATAATACAACATTCTAAAATCATTTCATTATAAAATTAATTCAAATCAAATTGGTGGCAACCATTGGGCTAGAGTTCTGTGAAGATTGCCAAAGGAGGGAGTCAGGCTGTGCCCTGGCCAAAGGCCTGGTGGAACAGCTCTGTCTTGCAGGCCCTGCGGAAAGATGTCAAGTCCCGCAGGGCGCTAGTCTCTTGGGGCAGAGCGTTCCACCAGATCAGAGCCACAGCCGAAAAAGCCCTGGCTCTGGTTGAGGCCAGCCTAACCTCTCTGTGGCCTTCAGGATGTTTTTGTTTGAAGATTGTAAGTTCCTCTGTGGGACATACCAGAAGAGGCGGTCCTGTAGGTATCTGGACAGGGATGGCCTAACTACTGTTGTCTGTGCTCTGGTAGCCTCAAGGTTAGATTACTGCAACGCATTCTACATAGGGCTGTCTCTGGAGACAGTTCGGAAACTTCAGCCAGTGCAGAATTCAGCGGCCAGGTTGCTCACCGGACAGCAAGACGGTTTGAGCATATTACCCCGATGCCGGTCCGACTGCACTGGCTACCGATCAGTTTCCAGGCCCAATTCAAAGTGCTGGTTTTGACCTATAAAGCCTTAAGCTGCTCAGGACCGCAATACCTCAAGGACCGCCTCTTCCCATATGAACCTACCCAGACCCTGAGATCATCCTCTGAGGCCCTCCTTCGTGTGCCCCCTCCACGAGAGGTCCGGAGGGTGGCAACACGAGAGCGGGGCCTTCTCTGCAGTGGCTCCCCGTCTGTGGAACGCTCTCCCCAGGGAGTCTCACCCGGCGCCTTCATTAGACACCAGGCAAAAACATTCCTCTTCCACTGGGTCTTCAGCTAATTGACACCCTATATCCTTTTAAATGTGTTTCTGGGACTGGGAAATGATTGCTTTGTTTCCGTTCTTATATTTATTACGTATTTTGTGTGTTTTTTTATATTGTAGGTTTGGTATTCCCTGTTTAGGGAAGCTTTTATCATTTGGACTACTGTATTTTAATATTTTGTTGGAAGGCGCCCAGAGTGGCTGGGGAAACCCAGCCAGGTGGGCGGAGTATAAATAAATTATTATTATTTATTAGAGGTTAAAATCAGAGGGTGTTTTTGGTAGTCCCGCCCTGTGGAACGCTCTCCCAGCAGATGTCAAGGAGATAAACAACGATCTGACTTTTAGAAGACATCTGAAGGCAGCCCTGTTGAGGGAAGCTTTTAACGTTAGATGTTTTATCGTGTTTATAATATTCTGTTGGGAGCCGCCCAGAGTGGCTGGGGAGGCCCAGCCAGATGGACAGGGTACAAGTAATAAGTTAATTCTTGATATTATCTGGAATCCCCACCCCTTTGCAACAAGGCGAGGACTCGAAGCATCTCAGGGCTTTTGCCTCACTCTCTCCCGCATCCCCAGACGCGGGTGGCGCTGTGGGTAAAACCTCAGCGCCTAGGGCTTGCCGATCGCATGGTCGGCGGTTCGAATCCCCGCGGCGGGGTGAGCTCCCGTCTTTCGGTCCCAGCTCCTGCCCACCTAGCAGTTTAAGTGCAAGTAGATAAATAGGTACCGCTTTATAGTGGGAAGGTAAACGGCGTTTCCGTGTGCTGCGCTGGCTCGCCAGAGCAGCTTCGTCACGCTGGCCACATGACCCGGAAGTGTCTCCGGACAGCGCTGGCCCCCGGCCTCTTAAGTGAGATGGGCGCACAACCCTAGAGTCGGACACGACTGGCCCGTATGGGCAGGGGTACCTTTACCTTTACCTCCCGCATCCCTGTTCTCTTCCAGCTTCTGAATCAGTTTGAGAACACGGGGCCTCCTCCGGCGGACAAGGAGAAAATCCAAGCGCTCCCCACGATCCACATAACAGAGGAACACGTAGGTTAGTCTCTTTTTTTCTTCCGCATTTCTTTTCTCCTCTCACTCCCTCCCCCCAAAATATACCGTATTTTTCACTCCATAAGATGCACTTTTTTATCCTCCTAAAAAGTAAGGGGAAATGTCTGTGCGTCTTATAGAGTGAATGTGTGGTCGATCGCTGGCTCCCTTGCCCAGGCCTCCATTGCTGAATGTTCGGCAGACAGAGGCTGTTTGTTTCCCCAGCGACATGTGACTGGCTGATTAGATTATCTGTCTGGGAAGAAGCTGCAGAACTGTGAGCTGAACCCCATAAAAACAGGATTTTTTCCCCTTTGCAAAGTAAACTCAACCGCTTTGAGCTGATCCTCAAAAAAGGGGGCTTTTCCCCTTTGCAAAAAAACTGTGAACTGATCCCTCCCAAAACCGGGGCTTTCCTCCTCTAAAAACTAGGTGCGTCTTATTGAGTGAAAACTACGGTAACATCTCATGACATCGCTTGTTTTTATGCTTGGTTTTTCTGATTTCTTCCTCTTGCCCTTTGAGATAGATAGATATGGCATTTGTAACTTCAGACAGGGTCAACGTGGGGGCATTCTTCGGGATGGAGGGAAAAGGGACATAGCAGAGCCAGTTTCTGCACAAAAACAGACTCGCACCCCTTTTCTAAACCCTTCATCCAGTCGAGCTGGCGGCACGGCCAGAGGCCAGGGGTCGAAACGTTGGTTGTGCAAACGACGCGATCAGTGCCGGATTTACGTAAATATAATACAAGATAAAATATAAGATAAAAACAAAATAAAACAACATACAACAACAGTGTTTTGTGTTGTGTAGGCTCCTGTGATGTAAGTCATAGGCCCCGCCTGCTCGCCTGCTCCCGAAAACAGGCATAGGCAAACTCCAGCCCTCCAGCTGTTTTGGGACTACAATTCCCATCATCCCTAGCTAACAGGACCAGTGGTCAGGGATGATGGGAATTGTAGTCCCAAACATCTGGAGGGCCAGGGTTCGCCCATGCCTGCCCTAAAATATCACTGGTTTGCTCATTTCCATATATAGGGTGCCTACATTCTGTATGTGCAAATGGCTTGAGATACCTATTAGGTCCATAAATTACCTATAGCACATATTCAGCACAAAAAAACAGTGACCGTTTGTTGTGGTCAAAGGACAGCTGGACATATAAAGGGCCCCATTACCTTCAGTAGCTTAGGGCCTCATCAAACCTAAATCTGGCCCTGGATGCGATCGTACCGTATATAAAAAGGTAAAGGGACCCCTGACCGTTAGGTTCAGTCGTGGCCGACTCTGGGGTTGTGGCGCTCATCTCGCTTTCCTGGCCGAGGGAGCCGGCGTACAGCTTCCGGGTCATGTGGCCAGCAGGACTAAGCCGCTTCTGGCGAACCAGAGCAGCGCACGGAAATGCCGTTTACCTTCCCACCGGAGCGGTACCTATTTATCTACTTGCACTTTGACGTGCTTTCGAACTGCTAGGTTGGCAGGAGCAGGGACCGAGCAACGGGAGCTCACCCCGTCATTGCGGGGATTCGAACCGCCAACCTTCTGATCGGCAAGCCCTAGGCTCTGTGGTTTAACCCACAGCGCCACCCGTGTCCCTGTACCGTATATAACTCCAGTTAAATTCAAGTAAATTCCTGGTGGGGGCCAGAGAGTATTTCACTTGACTGTTGTGGAAATTCCGGGGGAGCAGGGCTGTAAATATTTTTTAAGGATCACAAATCTCCCAGCCCACGTGGAAGGAAAAGTGTGCCCACAACCGCACAAAACGTCGTTGCTTCTTTTGCCAGGTTTTTCCCCTCCCCCTTTTTAATTCTTTGTTTATTTATTGCAACGTGGGCCAGTAAATCAACCCAAGGTTCCTTGTTCTGCAACCGCAGGTTCCGGTCTGGAGTGTCCCGTCTGTAAGGAAGATTATGAAGCGGGCGAGAGCGTGCGGCAGTTGCCCTGTAATCATTTGTTCCACGACGGCTGCATAGTTCCATGGCTGGAGCAGGTGAGTCGCGAAGAGAGAGAATTTCAATACAGTGGCACCTTGGTTCTCAAACTGAATCCCTTCAGGAAGTCCGTTCCAAAACCAAAGCGTTCCAAAACCAAGGCGCGCTGCTTTCCCATAGAAAGTCATGCAAAACGGATTATTCCGTTCCGGACTTTCAAAGACAATCCCTGAAACAGCAATTTTACATGAGTTTTACTATCTAACGAGACCATTGATCCATGAAACGAAAGCGAGAATCAATGCACTGTGCTATAAAATAAACAAGACAAAATTAAAACTAGTTTTTCCCCTTACCTGCACTGATGATGGTCATTGTTTGGATGGGGCAAGTGTGGGGTCCAGCGCCGAGGGCCTTCTGGCGGTTCCCTCGCTGCGAGAAGCAAGATTACAGGGAACCAGACAGAGGGCCTTCTCGGTGGTGGCGCCCACCCTGTGGAACGCCCTCCCATCAAATGTCAAGGAGATAAGCAGCTATCCTATTTTTAAAAGACACCTGAAAGCAGCCCTGTTTAGGGAAGCTTTTAATCTTTGATGCTGTATTGTTTTTAACACTCAATTGGAAGCCGCCCAGAGTGGCTGGTGAAAAAAAAGGAGCCCTGACCATTAGGTCCAGTCGCGGCCGACTCTGGGGTTATGGCGCTCATCTCGCTTTACTGGCCGAGGGAGCCGGCGTACAGCTTCCGGGTCATGTGGCCAGCAGGACTAAGCCGCTTCTGGCGAACCAGAGCAGCGCACGGAAACGCCGTTTACCTTCCCGCCAGAGCAGTACCTATTTATCTACTTGCACTTTGATGTGCTTTCGAACTGCTAGGTTGGCAGGAGCAGGGACCGAGCAACGGGAGCTCACCCCGTCGCGGGGATTTGAACCGCCGACCTTCTGATCGGCAAGTCCTAGGTTCTGTGGTTTAACCCACAGCGCCACCCGCGTCCCATTGGGCGGGGTATAAATAATAAATTAATATTATTAAAGTCAAGTGCCAGTGTTAGAAATTAGACCGGGCGTCTACGGAAGCGACGGCCCGTCTCAATTTCTCCCTTTTCGCGTTTCGTTCCAGCACGACACCTGCCCCGTCTGCCGGAAGAGCCTCAGCGGACAGAACACTGCCACCAATCCCCCGGGACTCTCGGCGATGAACTTCGCCTCCTCGTCTTCCTCCTCCTCCTCCTCCTCCTCTAGCTCGCCGAGTAACGAGAACGCGGCGAACAACTCGTGAGAGCGGAACGGCGGGGCGGGAGGTTTTGGGGGGGGAGTCGGGTCGGAAAACGAAACACACCTTTCGATCGCAAGCAAAAAACGAAACAAAAACGTCGCTGCTCTCGCGCCCCTTTTGTCGCCTCGCCCTCTTCCTCCCCACCTGGCGAAACTGGGGGGGGCGGGCGGGTGTCTGTGGAGGGGTGGGAATGGGAGAGGAACCCTCCCCCCCAGCCCTGGAACACAGAGCAAAGGGGGCAGGGTGTGGGGCAGGGGAAGCAGAACGCGACCCCCCCCCACGACACATTTCCCCCTTGAACCACGATGACACCGAGGTCCTTCGCACACACACACACAAACACACCCTTGTCTCTTCGCCCCCCCCCCCCCCGCAAGGGTGTTTCGGGCGCTCTCCCGTTTTGTTTCCTCCGGGATGGGTGCGGGGGGTACGAGGGAAGCCCACCCTTTTTAAAAAAAACGCGGACTCTTTGAGGAAAAACCCGGCAACGGAACGTGGAAGCACTGAAGTGAGACTTTTTGGGGTTTTCTCCTTTCTTTTTTTTTTTTTTTGAGCGGAAATCGTTTTTGTTAGTAGCTTGGTTTGTTTTTTTTTAAAAGCATTTTGACCATCTTTTTTGAGGGGGTCTCTTTTCAGTTCCTCAAGCCTTTTGACGTTCCCTCTTCCCTCCCGTCCCAACCTAATGGATTTTTCTACTTCCTAGCTGGGAGAAAGAAAGCCAGCCAAGGAAGGGTTTTTTTGGGGGGGGGGGGACAGGTCGTGTGCAGAAAGCATACCCTAACAACCGGACCCACATTTTCAGACTCGTTAGTTTCCTCTGCCCCGCTCCCTCCCCTGTTTTAACATCACCCTTTCCCTCCCCCCCCTTTTTTTTCTTTTTTGGGCAGCCCGGCGTTGAGAAAGGGGTTTTTATAATGTTAAATTATTACTGCTGTTGAAATAAACGGACATTTCAGCTCGGATCCTGTACACGCATGTTTGGGTTCGTTCCCGCATCTTCGAGTTATAAACGCCTGATTTGACACGGTGGCCTAATTTTATCGCCTCCTTGGGAGAAACCCTCAGTCGGTGGAGCGTGAGAGTCTGAATTTCAGGGCCGTGGGTCCGAGCCCCAAGTTGGACAAAAGATTCCTGCGTTGCACGGCATTTGTGGTCCCTTCCAACACTATGATCTATGAACTTGTCCTGGAATGGAAAAATCAGGCCTCAGATCTAAGTCGGGGATGGCCAACTTGACATCTTCTTGATCCCCCGCTGTCATCCATGTTGGCTAGCAACAATAGGAGTTGAAAGTCCTTTTACATCTGCAGGGATGTCCCGGTTCTTAGAAGAAGCAATTCTTCTCTTCCGGAGGGAATGTCTCTACAGTGGTACCCTGGTTCTCTTAGGTTTCCTGTTTAAATTGCTCCTTCACAGGGACTAGAAGCTTGAACATCTTCGGTTAGGGCTGCGAGAGATTCACGGTCCGTGTAGAAAATGCTTTATTTAAAAAGATAATAATAATCAGTGCTTTCACCCCCAAAATACGTTTAGGGGTGGTCTCATTTTAACTCAAGAAAATCACCATTTTGTAGTTCAGATCAGCCCTTCATGGGGACTAGAAACTTGATCTGCTGGATCAGAGGCCAGTGGCCCATGCGGTCCAGCCTTTTGCCCTCGCAGTGGCCAAATTCCCCCATAGATAGAGCCTAGGAATCCAAATAGACGGCCTCTGGAGCTGGGGGTTCCACAAGCTCAGGAGTCTCGGCGTATTGGCCCAAACCTGTGACGTCATGAACCATCTGTTTCCCCGCCAAATGTAATTTTTTAATTTGCTGTGTACCTTGTAGACAATACAGTGATACCTTGGTTCTCAAACTTAATCCGTTCCAGAAATTCCGTTCCAAAACCAAAGCGTTCCAAAACCAAGGCACGCCTCCCGATAGAAAGTAACGCAGAACGGATCAATCCGTTCCAGGCTTTTAAAACAACCCCTAAAACAGCAGTTTAACATGAATGTTACTATCTAACAAGACCATCGATCCATAAAATGAAAGCAATAACTAATGGGCTGTTCTACAAAATAAATACGACAGTACAGTGGTACCTCGGTTTAAGAACAGTCCGGTTTAAGAACAATTTGGTTTGCAAACTCCGCAAAACCGGAAATAGTGTCCCGGTTTGAGAACTTTACCTCTGTCTACGAACGAAAGCCGAACGGTGGAAGGGCACCAGCGGTGGGAGGCCTCATTAGGGAAAGCGCGACTTGGTTTAAGAACGGTTTTGGTTTAAGAACGGACTTCCGAAATGGATTAAGTTCGTAAACCGAGGTACCACTGTATTGTAGATGGAAAAAAATTAAAACATTTTTTTTCTTACCTGCACTGATGATAGTCATTGTTTGAATGGGGTTTTTTTTTTAATCCATGTCCGCAGTCACACAATCAATCAATCAATCAGTAGCTGAACTGGGTTCCACACAGCCACAAAAACAAATGAACTGAAAAAGCCTCAAAAACGAAAGCACAAAATAAATAGCAACAACTTGCCAAACTTGCGTGGGACGTGGGTGGCGCTGTGGGTTAAACCACAGAGCCTAGGACTTGCCGATCGGATGGTCGGCGGTTTGAATCCCCGCGATGACGGGGTGAGCTCCCGTTGCTCGGTCCCTGCTCCTGCCAACCTAGCAGCTCAAAAGCACCTCAAAGCGCAAGTAGATAAATAGGTACCGCTCTGGCGGGAAGGTAAACGGCGTTTCCGTGCGCTGCTCTGGTTCACCAGAAGCGGCTTAGTCCTGCTGGCCACATGACCCGGAAGCTGTACGCCGGCTCCCTCGGCCAATAAAGCAAGATGAGCACCGCAACCCCAGAGTCGGTCACGACTGGACCTCATGGTCAGGGGTCCCTTTACCTTTTCCTATATAGTTGCATACAGGGTTGCTTGAGCTGATATTCTGGTATTTCTCCGTATTCCTTTGTGTTGTGTTTTGCTTATTTGGTTGGGGAGTCTAGTGACAGGAGAGATTGTCTCTCCCAAACTGACGCATTCATCCATTTCTTGCAAGCGACAGTCTCTCTCGAGGCACTGATATGTGGGGGGCGGGGGGGAATATCTGTGAGCCCCTCTGCAGGTTCCTAAACTCTCAGCTCTCCCATCAACCCTATGGTAGGGTTGTGTCAAAATCGGGGAGAATTCGCCCTCCCAAATGCAAAAATTGATACCCAAACACACGCTTCCTGGTTCTGTTAGCAGAAACCCCAGACGCTGTGCCGATTATTCCAAATTCCACCCCCTGGGTCCTATTATCGCTGTTTGAATCCAGAGAAATTCCGGACGTATGGCAGCCCTCCCCTGTGGGAGTTAGAGCCAGTTTTTTACCTCTTGCTCCGGAGGGGAAGACCCGAACCAACAGAAACCGATATATCCCGATGTCTGAAATAAGGGCAGAGCTATGTAAAGGAAGGGACACAGGTGGTGCTGTGAGTTAAACCACGGAGCCTAGGACTTGCCGATCAGAAGGTCGGCGGTTCGAATCCCCTCAATGACGGGGTGAGCTCCCGTTGCTCGGTCCCTGCTCCTGCCAACCTAGCAGTTTGAAGCACGTCAAAGTGCAAGTAGATAAATAGGTACCGCTCTGGCGGGAAGGTAAATGGCGTTTCTGTGCGCTGCTCTGGTTTGCCAGAAGCGGCTTAGTCCTGCTGGCCACATGACCCGGAAGCTGTACGCCGGCTCCCTCGGCCAATAAAGTGAGATGAGCGCCACAACCCCAGAGTCGGTCATGACTGGACCTAATGGTCAGGGGTCCCTTTACCTTTACCTATGTAAAGGAATTGGCTGGTTTCACGGTTTTGGGGTTCCCCTGAGCCCCCTGATAACGCACCCCACTTTGTGTCTGCCATGTGGTGCTGTTATGGCTACGAAAGCAAAGGGACACACTCCTGAACATCGGAACAAGGGGGAGTGGTTTGGGATGGGTGCATTGTGTTCTAATTACCATATTTTTCGCTCTGAAAGCAGCAATCCCTCTTGCTGTTCTGGCTTCTGGGATAGCTGCGCAGCCTGCATTCGCTCCATAAGACGCACACACATTTCCCCTTACTTTTTAGGAGGGAAAAAGTGAGTCTTACAGAGCAAAAAATACGGTACTTCCGGGTTTTTGGCGTCCGGGAGCCAAAACGTTCCGAAGCGGAGGCGTTCAGGAGCTGGGGTTCGACTGTATATTGCCAGCTCGAAAGCTACAAAACCGATATCACGATACGGACTTCGAACCGGTGCTGGACGATATATCGCCCGGCCCTATTACCTCCTTCACGGAAGGTTTTTAAACAGAGGTTGGGTGATCCTGCCGCTAGTCCCTTAGGCCCTCCATCCAAAGTCTTGCAGCACCTTTCCCCGAAACATTCTGGTGGACCTGCAAGGCTGTAAACAAGACTTTGTCCTTGCTGAGCTCCGAAAACAGCAACGAAGGCGATGCCAACAAACGTCCTGGGATTTTCCATTCCGGCGTCGAACGCCGGCATGTCTTTATTTTTCGTACAAAAATAATAAATAACCCCCCTCCCACCCGAAAGTTTCTGTTGTTTTTAAATACTCAATATAAGAAGGCGTTTGATAAGCAATACGAGTCCATGGTGTGTTGCCAACTCTCCGTCAGGAGACCAGCATGGGCAGAAAGTGCGCTGAGAGGTGCTGTCTCCGGGTCTTGGGCCCCTTTCGCGGGACGCCCTTGGCGTTGAGGGAGAGGAACATGGGGCGCCCCTCATGGTGCCAAAGCAAGGAAGCGTAAGTGTTGTAGCCGTTCTCTTCGATCCGCTCCACGAAGTTGCAGCTGGGGGTGTACGCTTTCTGCGGAGAGAAAAGGAGGATGGAGGTTGGTTTTGGCTTGGCGGACGCAGCTCGGACGTTAGGACACCTGCCTTTGCAAGCAGGGCCGGATTTAGGTTTGATGCGGCCCTCAGCTCCTGAAGGTAATGGGGCCCTTTATATGTCCAGCTGTCCTTTGTCCACAACAAATTGCTGTTGTTTTTTTGTGAACCGCCGACCTTCTGATCGGCAAGCCCTAGGCTCTGTGGTTTAACCCACAGCGCCACCCGCGAACCAGAGCTTGTTTAGTTTATACCTAAATCCGTCACTGCTTTCATGCAGAAGAGACCTCCCCTTTTAATCCCTGACATCTGGGCTGCCCCCCAGACAGCTGCAGCTTGCACAATGCTGAGGCAGACGCCTCCTTGTCGTTTAGCAGAAGGCAGTTCCTACGAAACCGGCTTCGAAACGGAACCATGAGGACTATGTTCTTGCTTCTGATTTGGGTAATATGCCCGAATTCTCAGGGAAGGGCTGTGAGTCGTCAACGGCCGAGCATGCAAAAGCTTCCCGGGTTCAGCCTCTGCCCCAGAGCCTACCAGTCTTAGGGGAAACTTTTTGGCACAGTGGGACAGATCTATCTCTTACCCTCTAATCCCAACCGTGACAGGTGAGCAAGGCCAGTCAGCTATCAAATCATCTGACATCAAGGGACTCCCTGGTCCTGAATGGGCTGACTGTGCCCCCGAAGGACCAGGTGCGCAGCCTGGGGGTCATTTTGGACCCACAGCTGTCCATGGAGTCGCAGGTCAATTCTGTGTCCAGGGCAGCTCCATCTGGTACGCAGGATGAGACCCTCCCTTCCCGCAGACTGTCTGGCCAGAGTGGTGCATGCTCTGGTTATCTCCCGCTTGGACTACTGCAATGCGCTCTACGTGGGGCTACCTTTGAAGGTGACCCGGAAACTGCAATTAATCCAGAATGCGGCAACCAGACTGGGGACTGGGGGCGGCCGCCGAGACCACATAACACCGGTCCTGAGAGATCTGCATTGGCTCCCAGTACGTTCTGAGCACAATTCAAAGTGTTGGTGCTGACCTTGAAAGCCCTAAACGGCCCAGTATACCTGAAGGAGCGTCTCCACCCCCATCGTTCAGCCCGGACACCGGGGTCCATCTCCGAGGGCCTTCTGCCGGTTCCCTCATTGCGAGAAGTGAGGTTGCACGGAACCAGACAGAGGGCCTTCTCGGTGGTGGCACCCACCCTGTGGAACACCCTTTAGATGTCAAGGAAATAAGCAGTTATCCTATCTTTAAAAGACATCTGAAGGCAGCCCTGTTTAGGGAGGTTTTTCATATTTAATGCTGTATTGTTTTTAACATGTGATTGGGAGCTGCCCAGAGTGGCTGGGGAGACTCAGCCAGATGGGCGGGGTATAAATAATAAATTATTATTATTATTATTATTATTATTATTATTATTATCATTAATACATGGGTTCCCCCGGTTGACCCATTGTGGATGGGGGGAGGACTCTGCAGAGCTAAATCCTGCCCCATCGCGTCAACTGGTGTCGCCCGCCCATCAGGGTGACAGCAGCCGATTGACAGCAGGGCGCTGTTTTGCAGGAGACGCCGCTGTGAATATTTACCGTGCCGTAGAGCTTCCCCTTTCTGTTCATCGCTAAGTAGAACCCGCTGTGGACTGACCTGATGGCCACGATCCCCGCACGCACAGATCGGATCTCCACGATATCTGGAAGAGACGGGAAAAAGCCCTTAATTTATTTCTGTTTTTTAAAAATTGCACTTAAATTCCTTCTCCTCGTTTACGACAACCTAGTGAGGTAGACCAGAAGAGCCCCAGAGTTAAGAGACGGAAGGAAATGTCTGGTTTTTTTTCTCCCCATATGTAACTTTTCTTCGATTCAGCTCTCTGAACATCTGCAGCGATTTGTGGTTTTATTTTTAAAATATCCTCGCGGAAATCCTTCGGCGTTTCGGTTTGAATTCATCCCAATAAAAACACTTTTTTTTTGTTTGCAGTTTTACCTAATGGTCATATTGTGGCAAGCAGTTTAACCCAACACAGTGCAAAAAATTTTTTGGTATGGTATATTCACGATTATATTCATTTTTGTGGACACTTGCCTAAAATACAGTGGTACCTCGGGTTAAGTACTTAATTCCTTCCGGAGGTCCGTTCTTAAGCTGAAACTGTTCTTAACCTTAAGCACCACTTTAGCTAATGGGGCCTCCTTCTTCTGCTGCACCGCTGGAGCACGATTTCTGTTCTCATCCTGAAGCAAAGTTCCTAACCTGAAGCAATATTTCTGGGTTAGTGGAGTCTGTAACCTGAAGTGTATGTAACCTGAAGGTAAACAGCGTTTCTGTGCGCTGCTCTGGTTCGCCAGAAGCGGCTCAGTCCTGCTGGCCACATGACCCGGAAGCTGTACGCCGGCTCCCTCGGCCAGTAAAGCGAGATGAGCGCCGCAACCCCAGAGTCGGACACGACTGGACCTGATGGTCAGGGGTCCCTTTACCTTTACCTTACTCTGAGGACAGCTTTAGGAGGATGTTGTTATTGCTGCAAAGTTGTTGTTGTCGGTGATTATGCTTTGTTGCAAAGTTGTCATTAATGACTATGGCTGTGTTGTCTTTTCTTAAAGCATCGTCATCTTGTAGGCAACCGACAAAAGAGCGAGACTTATTAACCCCCTAAAAATGCACGCAGATTATTGCAGGTGAGCACTAGTGAGGGATGCCTCAGAGAGGCAGTGTGGTGTAGTGGTTAGAGAGTTGGGGAAGGACCTGGGTTCAAATTCCCACTTTCCTGGGTGACCATGGAGCAACCGCTGTCTCTCTCAGCCTGAACTACCTCACAAGGTTGTTTGGGGGATAAAATGAGAAGCGGGGGAGAGGAACCAGGTATGTTGCCTTAAGCTCCTTACGGAAAATGGTGGAAAATAAATGCAATTAAAAAGCAAAACTCCCTGCTTTGCGTTTATTTCTCGTGGCAGAGAAGCAGAGTTTGACGCCTCCGGTTAGGGCTGGGCGATAGTTTGGTTTTCAGATTTGTGATCTATCCCCGGCTGAACGCGGCGATATACCGATATATCGCAACGTCTGGAATAAGGAGGGAGCTTCGTAGAGGCATTGGCTGGCTTCACGGTTTCCGTGAATCTTTTGCACACACGTATAACAATTTGCAATATATTGGCAGGTCAGAAATGATGGAACCAATAGCATAACAGGGACCTCAAACCAGTTGCGGACAATATATTGATCGTTAGCCCTGGTTGCGATTGCAGACGAAGGGGCCAGGATCTTACAGAAAAACTGGAGTTTAACTGGAGTTGGAAACTGAGAGCTTTGACCTACAACTTGGAGCTTACCGTATTTTTTGCTCTATAAGACTCACTTTTTCCCTCCTGAAAAGTAAGGGGAAATGTGTGTGCGTCTTACGGAGCGAATGCAGGCTGCGCAGCTATCCCAGAAGCCAGAACAGCAAGAGGGATTGCTGCTTTCACTGCGCAGCGATCCCTTTTGCTCTTCTGGCTTCTGAGATTCAGAATATTTTTTTTCTTGTTTTCCTCCTCCAAAAACTAGGTGCGTCTTGTGGTCTGGTGCGTCTTAGAGAGCGGAAAATACGGTAAGTCTGTCCCCCAACACAGTTTTGGATTCTGCGCTCTCTTTGAAGCATGAAAAAACTCAGTCGCTGTGATGAGAGGACCTCTGAGGTCATACAGACTGCAATTTTAAAAAAACAAACAAACTCTGAATAATCAGTCACACGTCTCTGCAGAACCGCCAGGACTTGTGCAACTTCCTTATCCGTAAAAACCGACACTAAACTGATTTGGCAACTGGAAGTTTCGCCCGTTCAGAGTGCATTTGCTAACGGTGTCGACTCGGAGGTGAACCCCAAAGGAGCTTACTCCATTGGTTTAAGATGCTAGCTTTGCTTCACAAGTGAGGAACATCAGAAACGGCTAGACCTGTTCTCAAAGCGGGAAACCTGTCAGGATTCGAACACAAGAGAACTCTCCCGTCCTCTCGTTTCAGCAGCCACGATTCAGAAGCATCGCTGCATCTGAAATTAGGATTCTGCTCTCCTAAAGCTGGCATCGGGAACCTCTAGTGCACCGGGCGCTGCTGAACTACAACTCCCAGGGAGGATGTGAGGCAGGGAAAATCTGGAACACCAAAGTTTTCCCCAAACGCCCCTGACTCTTTCCTCCCAAGGCTTGCATTGTTGGGGACGCTAGTGCACTTTTCTGCTTTAATGAGGACTAAAAGCCTCATGGATCCTCTTCATGGATCACTGCGTTGCCGTGGCGAAGGGGCTTGAATAACTCAGAGAAGCTATGAAATATGCCGAGCAGGGCACCCAAGATGAACAGGTCATAGTGGAGAGTTTTGACCAAACGTGATCCACCTGGAGGAGGAACCAGCAAGCTGAGAGATTTTACTTTCTTGAGCTCCATGATCACTGCAGATGGTGATAGCAGCCACGAAATTAAAAGACGCTTGCTTCTTGGGTGAAAAGCAATGACAAACCTAGACAGCATCTTAAAAAGCAGAGACATCACCTTGCCAACAAAGGTCCGTATAGTTCAAGCTCTGGTTTTCCCAGTAGTGATGTATGGAAATGAGAGCTGGACCATAAAGAAGGCTGATCGCCGAAGAATTGATGCTTTTGAATTCTGGTGCTGGAGGAGACTCTTGAGAGTCGCATGGACTGCAAGAAGATCAAACCTCTCCATTCTGAAGGAAACCAGCCCTGAGTGCTCATAGGAAAGACAGATCCTGAAGCTGAGGCTCCAGTACTTTGGCCACCTCATGAGAAGAGAAGACTCCCTGGAAAAGACCCTGATGTTGGGGAAGATGGAGGGCGCAAGGAGAAGGGGACGACAGAAGATGAGATGGTTGGACAGTGTTCTCAAAGCGGCCAGCATGAGTTTGACCAAACTGCGGGAGGCAGTGGAAAGACAGGAGGGCCTGGTGTGCTCTGGTCCAGGGGGGCACGAAGAGGCGGACACGACTAAATGACTAAACAACAACAACAACAGAAGCTTCGAAAGCATCAAATGCAAGCGAGACTTACTGTCTGGACACTCGACCCGACGCGTGCCGTCGACGTTGCCTTCCCCGCCGATGCGCAGGAAGTAGTGAGTGGACGAGTAGAGCCGCCTCCTCCGCGCGTCACCCTGGAGGTGGGGGTAGCTGCGGGCGGGCCTGCCCCCCCTCGGCCACCAATACCCGCCGTGCGGCTGCAAAGCCGTGTCTCCGTGCCCCAGGGCGGAGTTGGCAAGCCAGACCAGCAGCAAAAAACACCAGGCGGCGTGGGCAGTCGGTGGGTCCTGGTGACCCATGCCGGAAAATTTCGCCCGGCTCTCGGGCGAGGGCCACCATGGGGCTTCAGAAGGCTGCCTGGCGAGGATTCGGCGGCGAGGCCTGAGGTCCCACGGGTCACCGTTGGGCATGGTCAGCATCCTACGAACGGCGTCATGGCGCTCGTAGCGGGTTGGACTAGATGATATTTGGAGATCCCTCCTTCCAACTCTGCAGATCTGTGATTCTTCTGTGATTCTGCTGTTGTTCTGCTGTCAGTCTCGATCAGAGAATTCGGCAGCAGACCTGAAGCTGGCAGTGGTTTCCTTGAGGTCTAGCGCCTTGCCGCGCCTTCCAGAAGCTAGCAGTGGTTTCCTTGAGGTCTAGCGCCTTGCCGCGCCTTCCAGAAGCTAGCAGTGGTTTCCTTGAGGTCTAGCGCCTTGCCGCGCCTTCCAGAATCCCCGACTCGGAAGCTCGAAGCTCCTCTTTCGGTTTATTCTCGATTTGCCAAAGCTCCCGGGAGAATCTAGCTTTGACAGGAGAGAGAGGTGCGTGCCAGCCTCGCGTGAACCCAAACAGCTCTCTCATTGACAAGAATTTCAGCTGTACATTCCCTCCTTCTGACAAGGAAGCGTGACATTGGCTGGGCCTGCCCCCCGACAGCCAATCACCGAACCTTAGAGGCGGAGCTAAGGTGTGGCTGTGAATGGAATTTTATTCCCCATTCATAAATCTGTTTTGCAGTTGGCTAGATGTTCTGTGCCTTTGGCACCGGACGGCGCTTTGCAAATCCCATCCTGTTTTGGTTCGGTGTGGCTGACACACACATGCAAAATGAATAGGCAAAGGTTTATGTTAAGAACACACGCACACACACACATACCGTATTTTTCGCTCTATAAGACGCACCAGACCACAAGACGCACCTAGTTTTGGGAGGAGGAAAACAAGAAAAAATTATTCTGAATCTCAGAAGCCAGAACAGCAAGAGGGATCGCTGCGCAGTGAAAGCAGCAATCCCTCTTGCTGTTCTGGCTTCTGGGATAGCTGCGCAGCCTGCATTCGCCCCATGAGACGCACACACATTTCCCCTTACTTTTTAGGAGGGAAAAAGTGAGTCTTATAGAGCAAAAAAATACGGTGTATATATATGCAGTTGCAATCGAAACGATTCAAAACCCATTTCAAATCGGGTTCATGATCAAAAGGTACAGACTTTCAGCTGTTTGCATTTTTGTATTTTACAATGTAGATTTTTCCTTGCTTCCCGGACTTTGGGATGGAAGTTCAAAGGCTCTAAGATGCTCCCATTGACCTAATCCCCACATAAGCTGCGAGTTACCTGCGCTGGACCAAATTTCAGGGTAGTGAAAGACAGCTTGTTTCTAACAACAGGAACCGGGGAGATCAGTGCCCTTGCGCCAGCCCTGCAGTGCGGTCTGACCAGTGCCGGATTCACATATAAGCTAAACAAGCTATAACTTAGGGCCCCGCTCTCTTAGGGGTCCCAAAAAAATTTAAAGGAAAAAATACCTGGATGTACATTTCCGAAATATAAGATAACAAATAAAACAAAACCTACCTACAGCAACAGTGTTTTGTGTTGTGCAGGCTCCTAGGATGTAAGTCATGGGCCCCGCCTGCTCCCTAAAATATCCCTGGTTTGCTCCTTTCTATATATAGGGTGAGGGACGCGGGTGGCGCTGTGGGTTAAACCACAGAGCCTAGGACTTGCCGATCAGAAGGTCGGTGGTTCGAATCCCCGCAATGACGGGGTGAGCTCCAGTTGTTCGGTCCCTGCTCCTGCCAACCTAGCAGTTCGAAAGCATGTCAAAGTGCAAGTAGATAAATAGGTACCGCTCCGGCGGGAAGGCAAACGGCGTTTCCGTGCGCTGCTCTGGTTTGCCAGAAGCGGCTTAGTCATGCTGGCCACATGACCCGGAAGCTGTCTGCGAACAAATGCTGGCTCCCGTGGCCAGTAAAGCGAGATGAGCGCCGCAACCCCAGAGTCAGTCACGACTGGACCTAATGGTCAGGGGTCCCTTTACCTTTACCTATATATAGGGTGTCTACATTTTGCAGGGCCAGGTTGCAATGCAATGTGTGCAAATGGCTTGAGATACCTATTAGGTCCATCAATGGCCATATAGCATGCATTCAACACAAAAAAACAGCGACCGTTTGTTGTTGACAAAGGACGGCTGGACATATAAAAGGCCCTGTTACCTTCAGGAGCTGAGGGCCTCATCAAACCTAAATCCGGCCCTGGGTGTGATGTTGCGAACGCAATGCAAATTAGGACACAGCCCTATAGGGTTAGACCATCGTGCAGAAGGATGGCTAGCGACACACGTTCCACTGACAGTTTTTGCTGCTCCTCCAAGCTCGGCAATGACCCAAATTCTCTTTCCCAAAAACCCCGGCCTGCGGGGAATGCGGCTGTTCCAGTCTCCTGCGTCATTTGAGGCCATGCCGAACCCGTTTGCTCTCAAAACGGTGAGAACGCACCGCCCTGGGAGGAAATATTTGCCCTGCTTTCTTTTGCAAACATTTCTGGGAGGTGGAAACCTGGGGACAGATATAGGCAATGGTGCTGCAGGAATCTAACATAAATGTTGTTGTTTAGTCGTGTTTAGTCTGTATATATATTATATATATATATAGTTGTTGTTGTTTAGTCGTGTCCGCCTCTTCGTGACCCCCTGGATCAGAGCACGCCAGGCACTCCTGTCTTCCACTGCCTCCCACAGTTCGGTCAAACTCATGCTGGTAGCTTCGAGAACACTGTCCCACCATCTCGTCCTCCGTCGTCCCCTTCTCCTTGTACCCTCCATCTTTCCCAACATCAGGGTCTTTTCTAGGGAGTCTTCTCTTCTCCTGAAGTGGCCAAAGTCTTGGAGCCTCAGCTTCAGGATCTGTCCTTCCAGTGAGCACTCAGGGCTGATTTCCTTCAGAATGGATAGCTTTGATCTTCTTGCAGTCTATGGGACTCTCAAGAGTCTCCTCCAGCACCAGAATTCAAAGGCATCCATTCTTCGGCGATCAGCCTTCTTTGTGGTCCAGCTCTCGCTTCCATACATCACTGCTGGGAAAACCATAGCTTGAACTATACGGATATACTTAAGATGGCCCTTGTTGTGGACCCTGGGATGCTGTGAAGGGTGGTCAGGGGTCCCACGGGCAACCATGGCCTCTGTCCCTCTTTCCTTCGCTCCCTCCTCAGATGCCTTCTTGCATCTCTGCCTCCCAAAGTCTTGCACAGCTGTTTGTTGCAGCAACCCTGGCTACAAGCTCCACAGTCGAATGGTGCCTCTGGGGCTGGGCAGGGGCTGCTTCCTAAGCCCCTGTGGGGCAATGTGAAGAGGCACCCCTCTTTGGGGCAGCTCAGAGACCAGGGGCGGCAGCTGCGGCTGTCCGGAGGACCCCAAAGAAGAGCTGGTCAAGGGACCTGTGGACCCGAAAAAGTTGGAAACCTCTGTTCCATGGGGCCCGGGGGTCGGATCCGTCCCTATCGCCTTCTCAACCCGTCCCACGGATGGTCCGTGAATCGACGTGTTTTTACATGAGTAGAATGTGTCCTTTTATTTAAAATGCATCTCTGGGTTATTTGTGGGGCATAGGAATCCGTTCATTTCCCCCCCCCCCCAAATATAGTCTGGCCCTCCACAAGGTCTGAGGGACAGTGGACCGGCCCCCTGCTGAAAAAGTTTGCTCTGTTCTATGGGATTCATAGCATCCTAGACGCATCTCTCCCTGTGTTTTGACTCCTGCTTACCTGGGAAGATTTGCCATAACAACAACCAGAAGGATGGCATTTCTTTAAAATGACAAGTTACCTGGCACAAGCGTGGAAAGGGTTATGTCATCGCCTGTTTTGGGCTTCCTTGTGGTGTTTTGCCCGTGTGGAATGGTGTCATCGTCGTCTCTGACCTGTTTTGTTGGTTCCCCACAAACAGGTGATGCTTTGGTTTCGCAACAGCTAGGCTTGACGTCCAATTCCATCATCGTCATAATTTTATTCTTTGCACCCCCATCCATCTGACTGTGTTGCCCCGGCTGCTCTGGGTGGCTTCCAACGTTAAAATAATAATAATAAAAAAATGTTAAATTTAAAAATAGTTCCCTATACAAGGCTGCTTTCAGAAGACTCCTAAAGGTCATTGGCTCGGGGGTCAGATAACTCCATCCCCTCCAACGTTTCTCCCCTGAAAAGAGGGACGTCCTATTCCATCCCCTCCAACGTTTCTCCCCTGAAAATAGGGACGTCCCATTCCATCCCCTCCAACGTTTCTCCCCTGAAAATAGGGACGTCCTATTCCATCCCCTCCAACGTTTCTCCCCTGAAAATAGGGACGTCCTATTCCATCCCCTCCAAAGTTTTTCCAGTGAAAATAGGGACATCCTATTCTATCCCCTACAACGTTTCTCCCGTGAAAATAGGGACGTCCTATTCCATCTCCTCCAACGTTTCTACCTGAAAATAGGGACGTCCTATTCCATCATCTCCAACGTTTCTCCCGTTAAAATAGGGACGTCCTATTCCATCCCCTCCAGCGTTTCTCCCCTGAAAATAGGGGCGTCCTATTCCATCCCCTCCAACGTTTCTCCCCTGAAAATAGGGACGTCCTATTCCATCCCCTCCAACGTTTCTCCCCTGAAAATAGGGGCGTCCTATTCCATCCCCTCCAACGTTTCTCTCTTGAAAATAGGGACGTCCTATTCCATCATCTCCAATGTTTCTCCCCTGAAAATAGGGACGTCCTATTCCATCTCCTCCAACGTTTCTCCCCTGAAAATAGGGACATCCTATTCCATCCCCTACAACGTTTCTCCCGTGAAAATAGGGACATCCTATTCCATCCCTTCCAACGTTTCTCTGTATATGCTGTATATATCATTTTATTTTACTTATAATAATTTTTATTTTATATATAAAATAAAAAAATCACACACACACACAAAGTCCTTTCCTCATCCAGAGAACATTCTCGCATTTCATTTGCCCTTTTCCTGCACCCTCTTTTTAAAAAACAAAAATAAAATAAAACCATTACAGGTACTTGGACTACATATATCGCGCATGTCTGCACTTTTAAATTCCTGATTCATTTCCTGACATCATTCCTGACCGTTCCTGGGAGGGAGAGGAACTAGCCTAGATACATAACTTGGCCAAGTCAACTCTGTTGACTCGGCAGCTGTCCAGCCAAACAAACAGGAAACTCTCTTTACTTCCGCCACAGATCTGCATAATATTTGCAAGACCGGCAGAAGGGGCGCAGGGCTCCGATTTCTCCTGCAACATCTTTTTTTTTTCAAAGTGTTGGTGCTGACCTTGAAAGCCCTAAACGGCCCAGTATCCCTGAAGGAGCGTCTCCACCCCCATCGTCCAGCCCGGACACCTGGGTCCATCTCCTGAGGGCCTTCTGGCGGTTCCCTCCCTGCGAGAAGTGAGGTTACAAGGAACCAGGCGGAGGGCCTTCTCGGTGGTGGCACCCTCCCATCAGATGTCAAGGAAATAAGCAACTATCTGACTTTTAGAAGACATCTGAAGGCAGCCCTGTTTAGGGAAGCTTTTAATGTTTAACAGACCACTGTATTTTAATGCTTTGTTGCAAGCCGCCCAGAGTGGCTGGGGAAACCCAGCCAGATGGGTGGGGTATAAATAATAAATTCTATTCTATTCTATTCTATTCTGTTGTTAGCCGCCCTGAGCCCGGCTTCGGCTGGGGAGGGCAGGATATAAATAAAATTTATTATTATTATTATTATTATTATTATTATTATTATTCTATTCTATTCTATTCTATTCTATTCTAAGGCTGTACTGTACATTAAAGAAAAGGGGGGAAAACCCACACAAGTCCACCCACCACTCAGGAATCCTGGGAATATATATATATACATATAGTATAAAACCACGATTCCACCCACCACTCAGGAATCCTGGGAACCGTAGTTCTTCCCAGGCCAGGGTGCCGGGAATTGTAGTTTGGGTAAGCTACAATTCCTGGAATTTTTTAGGGAGGAGTCATGTGCTTTCAAAGTGTTTTCAGCCTTGCGTTTGGATTGCAAAGGAGACGTCCTCTGCAGCCTGAGTCAAGAGGGCAGGATTCGACCCCGTTACATCAGCCGACCAGCCGGTTTGTGCCTTCGTCATTTTAAGCTCTTTAACATAATTGTCTGTATTATTTTTGGATTTTCATTTCCCCATGAGCTCACGCTTGTTTACCTTTCCCCCCCTCTCTGCGCATCATGCAGATGGATATTTACGATGTCTGGGTGTTAGTCATACTCAGAGTAAGCCCATTGAAATGAATGGGCATGACTAAGGCACATTTATTTATTTTATTTTTCAAGTTTCTATTTATACTGATCAGGCTTATGCATTCGTTTGGCAATCATTTTCACATTGCAAAGTTTGACTTCCTTCCCCCCTCTTTCCGCGGTTCCTTAAATTTATTTTTAAAAATGCCTTCTGCATATGCAGATTCCTTGAATCTGCTGATTTAATAATATTATTAATAATAAATTTTATTTATATCCCGCCCTCCCCAGCCGAAGCTGGGCTCAGGGCGGCTAACAACAATAAAATAGTGCAACATTCTAGAAACATTTCATTATAAAAATTAATTCAAATCAAATCCAATCCAATTAATTATCCACTTTAAATATATACTCTTATGAAACTACAGGTTGTTACAGTCATCCTTCCAATGTTTTTCTCCGTTTGCAATTTATCTGTAAATATTCAATCAACCATTTCCATTCTTTTATAAAAAGTTTATTGGGATTTCTTAATTCTTCCGGCAAGTTGCGCACATTTCTGCATATTACATACCTTTTTTTAAAAATCCATTCGTACTTTTCTGTTTATTTGCATTTTGGGACGAGTGACCTTTTTGCGGCTGAAGTTGCAAACATAAATAAATTTCTATGCAATTCAGGTAGTTCTGTCCCTATAATTCTCGAAAGAAAAGCGAAGCTTCGGGAAAAGGACAATAGGGATTTTTGAAAAAGAATGGGAACCTTTTATATTACATCTGTAGAAAGAAAGAAAGAAGATTGACCTGATGGTAGGGTTTAAACAACTTAATGGATAGGGAACAAATAATGTAATATAAGCAAAAAATACGATATTTGTAGAAAATAGCAGAATATATTAGTGAGGGAAATAAATCAGAAATGGAAGTGGAGGGAAGTCCAAAATCGGGGAGGGAGAGATGTTGTGTAAGTTGCGTTATAAGTATATTTGAAATGGGAGAAAAGAAAATTAATAAAAATAAAAATGTTGGAGGGAACATCTTCCGAAGAGCAGAGAATGCCTCTTCTTTTGTCCGCAATGGGGAACCGGCATGCACTTAGATATTATTGGAGGGATGCCTCTATCCAGAAGAGGCTTTTCCTCCTGAGAAAAAGGGATTTGTAGTTTTTCCCTTGGGAGTTGTAGTTTTCTCTCTCCTTGGGAGTTGTAGTTCTTTCTTGGGAGTTGTAGCTCAGCAGAATCTGCAAATCTGCCAATTCCATCTCCCTGCAGCTAATATATTGCATAAATAAATTATTATTATTATTATTTATTTTTTAAAAAAATAAAATTATTGCATTTTTTAAATGACAGGGGAGGCATGAATTAAACATTGCAGCCAGATCTTCCAAAAATAAAATAAAAAATACAAAAAAGTAAAAATATAAAATGGAAACAAAAAGAAAAAAGCCAATATATTGGGTTTTTGTGCATTTAAGCCATTTATAGGGTTAACTTTCTCCCAAACAAAAGCTCAAAACTTTTGTGTGCCTAGCACTACTCTTCATTTTTCCCATAGTATCTCTATGGTCCCATCGTTGCTATAGCGACAGCAGGGCAACCGGAAGCGTTGGCGCCTGCGCAGTACGGCGCCGGAGAAACCCAAGAGGCGGCAGGGAGAGAAAGCCTGCGTCGGGAGAACGCATGCGCAGAGAAAGGAACCCCCGCGATAGCTTAAAAAAAAAAATCGCGCGTGCGCAGAACTGCCATTGCGGGCGCTCGTTGGGGGAGACCGTGAAGTCTCTATGCGCATGCGTACCGTCATAAAACGGCGCCCGGGCGACGCGCTTTGCGCAGGCGTACTTTTGTCGGGCGCTTTGAAAACCTTATTGCGCCTGCGCAGCGCGTCCTTCGTGTTCTTCGACGCTTCGCCGGGCGCCATGGACGACGAGGAGGAGACGTACCGCTTGTGGAAGATCCGGAAAACCATCATGCAGGTCTGGGCGGGCGGGCAGGGAGAAGGGGAGCAGGGAGCGGGGGTCGGAAGAGACCGGGAACGAGGTGGGGGGAGGGGGCTGAAGAGGGGGGGGGCTCCCTTTAATCGCGCATGCGCAGTACTTCGGAAGCCTACCTGGCAGGGCCGTTGTGCGAAGACAGTCCTGGAGGGGAATTAAGGGTCATGTCCATAGCTGTCCACTTTCAGATTTGAAAATAAGGGATCAGCAGCCTCACCTGTCCCTAGGCCCTCCTGTCTTCCACTGCCTCCCGCAGTTTGGTCAAACTCATGCTGGTCTCTTCGAGAACACTGTCCCACCATCTCGTCCTCCGTCGTCCCCTTCTCCTTGTGCCCTCCATCTTTCCCAACATCAGGGCCTCCAAGACCACATAACATTGGTCTTGAAAGACCTTCATTAGCTCCCAGGACGTTTCCGAGCAAAATTCAAAGTGTTGGTGCTGACCTTGAAAGCCCCAAACGGCCCAGTATCCCTGAAGGAGCATCTCCACCCCCGTCATCCTGCCCGGACACTGAGGTCCATCTCCCGAGGGCCTTCTGGCAGTTCCCTCCCTGCGAGAAGCGAGGTTACAGGGAACCAGGCAGAGGGCCTTCTCGGTGGTGGCGCCCGCCCTGTGGAACGCCCTCCCGTCAGATGTCAAGGAAATAAACAACTATCTGACTTTTAGAAGACATCTGAAGGTAGCCCTGTTTAGGGAAGCTTTTAATGTTTGGTGTTTCGTTGTTGTTTAGTCGTTTAGTCGTGTCCACCTCTTGGTGACCCCCTGGACCAGAGCACGCCAGGCCCTCCTGTCTTCCGCTGCCTCCCACAGTTTGGTCAAACTCATGCTGGTAGCTTCGAGAACACTGTCCCACCATCTCATCCTCCGTCGTCCCCTTCTCCTTGCGCCCTCCATCTTTCCCAACATCAGGGTCTTTTCCAGGGAGTCTTCTCTTCTCCTGAGGTGGCCAAAGTCTTGGAGCCTCAGCTTCAGGATCTGTCCTTCCAGTGAGCACTCAGGGCTGATTTCCTTCCGAATGGAGAGGTTTGATCTTCTTGCAGTCCATGGGACTCTCAAGAGTCTCCTCCAGCACCAGAACTCAAAAGCATCCATTCTTCGGCGATCAGTCCAGCTCTCACTTCCATACATCACTACTGGGAAAACCAGAGCTTTAACTATACGGACCTTTGTTGGCAAGGTGATGTCTCTGCTTTTTAAGATGCTGTCTAGGTTTGTCATCGCTCTTCTCCCAAGAAGCAGGCGTCTTTTAATTTTGTGACTGCTGTCACCACCCTGCTTTCCAAACAACACAAAAGCTAAAAAAAAACCCCGGAACAGATTGACATTACTATCCCAAAAGTGGGAATTTAAGTGTCTTACCCCCTCCATACACACACATACTTTCCTTCCCCCCTCGAGACTTTTGGAGGGAAAGCGGGGGAGAAATGCGCCCAGCGAGGAAATAGCTTTATCTGTTTATTTATTTTATCTATTTATTCATTATCTATCTATTTATTTATTTATTTATCTATTTATCTATCTATTTAGGGAGGTTTGATCTTCTTGCAGTCCATGGGACTCTCCAGAGTCTCCTCCAGCACCAGAATTCAAAAGCTTCCATTCTTTGGCCATCAGCCTTCTTGATGGTCCAGCTCTCACTTCCATACATCCCTACTGGGAAAACCAGAGCTTGAACTATACGGACCTTTGTTGGCAAGGTTTTTTCCTCCCACCTCCCCCTACTGCACAGCCTCCCCAAGGAACCCTTTCTTCTCCTCATCCCTCTTTCCTCTTGTGCTGTGTCTTCCCTACCCTCTCAGTGCCCTGTCTCTTGGGCTTCCTGGAGGAACCGACCTCTGTGAGAATGAGATGTTGGGCTCTTCCTTTGACCCAGCTGCTGCAGGGATCTCTTTATATCCCGCGCTGGCTCTCAAGATGCCCTCTGAATAAATGGACCTCTCACTCCCCTCTTGTTCTTCCTTACTTCCAAATCGCTCCAGCTGTGTCACGATCGAGGTTACCTGGTCACCCAGGATGAGTTGGACCAGACCCTGGAGGAGTTCAAAGCCCAGTTTGGCGACAAGCCCAGCGAAGGGAGACCCCGGCGGACAGACCTCACCGTGTTGGTGGCCCACAACGATGACCCCACCGATCAGATGTTTGTCTTCTTCCCAGGTGAGGCGATGGCATTCACCAAAAGGTTTGACTCTCTTTCGACTGCTGGTTTGATTGTGTCATCTTCTTCCTAGGCTTGGCTAGCTTTCTCTTTTTTCTTTCAACAGGATGTGCTTTAGTTTTTATTTTTGGAGCTTTTTATTTTGACAAAGTAATAATCATAAGCAAGAATAAAAATGTGCATCCCACCACTGAGACCATTCCGTTGTAACTGTCCAGCCTCCCAGAATTTCAGCACCTCTTGTGATGCTTTGACCCCTTTCCGTTTTAACAGCACACATTCTACGAACACCCTCCATATCTCCTCAAAATCATTTCTCCTGCGTATTTTCCATCTTACCTTAATGGCGCATGTTAATTTATCATTCATAGCTGTATCCCACACTTCTTTATACCATTCTTCCATTTTATATTCTGCTTGCCCTTTCTACTTCCTAGCTATAATAATTCGTGCAGTTGTCAGTAAACATGTGAGAAAGTCCTTCATAGCCTGCAAACCTTCCATCCCATCGTAAATTGATAATAACAATAATAATAATAATAATAATTTTTATTTATATCCCGCCCTCCCCAGCCGAAGCTGGGATCATGGCGGCTAACAACAATAAAATAGTACAATATTCTAAAATCATTCCATTATAAAATTAATTCAACTCAAAATGATGGCAACCGTTAGGCTAAAGTTCTGTGAAGATTGCCAAAGGAGGGAGTCAGGGTGTGCCCTGGCCAAAGGCCTGGAGGAACAGCTCCATCTTGCAGGCCCTGCGGAAAGATGTCAAGTCCCGCAGGGCCCTAGTCTCTTGTGACAGAGCGTCCCACCAGATCGGAGCCAAAGCCGAAAAAGCCCTGGCTCTAGCTGAGGCCAGCCTAACCTCTCTGTGGCCTGGGACCTTCAAGATGTTTTTATTTGAAGACCGTAAGTTTCTCTGTGGGGCATACAAGGAGAGGCGGTCCCGTAGGTACGAGGGTCCTAGACCGTATAGGGCTTTAAAGGTTAAAACCAGCACCTTAAACCTGATCCTGTACTCCACCGGGAGCCAGTGCAGCTGGTATAGCACCGGGTGAATGTGATCCTGCAGCGAGGACGCTGCATTCTGCACCCGCTGGAGTTTCTGGGTCAGTCTCAAGGGCAGCCCCACGTAGAGCGAGTTACAATAATCCAGTCTGGAGGTGACCGTCGCGTGGATCACAGTGGCTAGGTCAGGGCGAGAGAGGTAAGGAGCCAACTGCTTAGCTTGGTGGAGATGAAAAAATGCTGCCTCTGGACTTTCGGTCAGCTTTAACCCAGTGATTTCTGCTCATTTGCCTTCAGTAGCAGTAAAGCTCTGCTGGGTGAAATACAATTGCCTCTGGTCTATTTTCGGGGAATCCTGCAACGTGTTTAAGTTGTTACTCTGCTAACTTATACACTGGAAACTACTCCGGATCAATATTAAGTAGAATTTACATGACATTTCTCCCCGCCCCCCCGCAAGAAAGGTTTTCATGTATCATTAAGGGATGAGCTTTTGCTGAAAAGGGGACTCATTCTTCTCAGTTGTGGGGGGAGAAGGTCGCCCCAAAATGAAAAGTTGGAATCATCGCATAGGTAACTCAGTGACTGCAAGAACTTGTCAGAAACCTTGCCCCCCAAAAAAACCAAAAAAAGCATTGCAGGTATTGGAGAATTGCTGTTTAATTATTATTATTATTATTATTATTATTATTATTATTATTATTTATACCCCACCCTCCCCAGCCAAGGCCGGGCTCAGGGCGGCTAACAAGCAATAATAAAAACAAGTTGAATGAATACAACTTAAAAACAATATTAAAATACAACATTAAAATATCAAAACATTAAAATATTAAATGCAGCCTCATTACAGGAGGAGAAAGTAAAAAGAAAAAAGAAAGAGGGGGAGGGAATCAAATTGGCTCCAAGACAAAGGCCAACTCTGACTTACAGGCCCTGCGGAAAGAAATCATATCCTGCAGGGCCCTGGTCTCATGAGGCAGAGCGTTCCACCAGGCCGGAGCCAGTGTTGAAAAAAGCCCTGGCTCTGGTTGAGGCTAATCTGACTTCCTTAGGGCCCGGGACCACTAGGGTGTTGCTATTTATGGACCTTGAGGCTCTCCGTGGGGCAGACCGGGAGAGGCGGTCCCGTAGGTACGAGGGTCCTAGGCCGTGAAGGGCTTTAAAGGTCAAAAGCAGCACCTTAAACCTGACCCTGTACTCCACCGGGAGGTTCAGTTTAGACTGTTTCTCTGCTAACTCTGCATTGGAATCTACTCTGGATCAATATCGAGTAGAATTTCAATGACAACGCTGTATGTGCACCTTCTCAGATGCCTCTTCGCCGTCACACTGAGGTCTGGAAGCTTGTCTTGTTTTATTACGAAATGAGAGTCACCTGTTGGCTTTAGAGAGGGTGGTGGTGAGGACAAATTACCATTTTTTTTGCTCTATAAGACTCACTTTTTCCCTCCTGAAAAGTAAGGGGAAATGTGTGTGCGTCTTATGGAGCGAATGCAGGCTGCGCAGCTATCCCAGAAGTCAGGAACAGCAAGAGGGATTGCTGCTTTCACTGCGCAGCGATCCCTCTTGCTGTTCTGGCTTCTGGGATTCAGAATATTTTCCCCCTTGTTTTCCTCCTCCAAAAACTAGGTGCGTCTTGTGGTCTGGTGCGTCTTATAGAGCGAAAAATGCGGTATTTTCTCACGCCAACCGTGCCGTTTTCTTCCCTTTCAGAGGAGCCGAAGGTTGGGATTAAGACCATTAAGATGTACTGCCAACGGATGCAGGAGGAAAACATCACCCGGGCCCTCATCGTGGTACAACAGGGCATGACTCCATCAGCTAAACAGGTAGCCAAGTCCGGCTGCGCGGTGTCCAGCCCAGAGGGCACAGTTGGCGCTAGTTTGGGCATGAGACGTTCGGTGGGCAGCGAACCTTCGCAGGCGAAGAAATACCGTACTTTTCTGTGTATAAAACAAGGGGGCTTTTTTACTCCAAAAGAATGCTAAAAATCGGGGGTCGTCTTTTTCATTTTATTTTAATGAATTTTATTAGTATTTTCCACACAAGAACAACACGATAGATATCAAAAGATAACAATACAGAACACACGAAAATCAACATTCGAAAACTAAAAAAGACAACGAAAACAAAACAAACAAACAAATCCATATTTTGCAAGTTAATATTATAAACAGTAAAACAACCACAACAAAACATTGACTTCCACCAATCCCACAGCACCTGCTTTATCTCTCATTCTGTCTTCCTGCTTTCTTTATCATCTCTATCCTAACATCTAGATATAAATCCTTCTTTCATATCCTTTCACTTCACAAGGTTATTCCAGACTCAGCCAGATTTCTGCCCTCGAACCTTGGCTTTTGAGGTATTCATTTAGGCGCTCCCATTCTTTTTTTACTTCCCTTTTTGGTTTTTGTCTTATTATATCTGTCAATTTGGCTAATTCTAAGTATTCTGAGAGCTTACATAGCCACTCTCCCCTTGTGGGTATCGGGGGTCGTCTTACACGCAGATAGTGCAGAGGGTGGACGGGCGATTTGTTTCAGCCGCCAGCAGCCGCTCGTCACCGGTCCTCGGGTGTGTGATTGGTGGCTGCGGCAAGGGCTGCTTAGGATTGGCCGTCGCTGCCACAATTGGGCGGGCAATTCTTGGCAAGCTGAGAGGTGCTTGTTTGCTTTGGTGGCACGTGCGAATCTCAGCGTTTGCGAGTCGGGTGAGTGGTTTTCGGCATCCCCCTCCCCGCCCCCCGAAACAGCTCGACAACTAAGGGCAATCCTTCCCCCAGGAAAAGTTCAACAACTCTGGGCCATCTCCCCCCATTTTCTTAAATTGTAGCCCCCCAAAATAGGGGGCGTCTTATACACGGGGACGTGTTATACACGGAAAAATCTGGGACCTTGCTGCAGGTTATTCCCCGCCCCTTTGTGCCGATGTTATTTGGTTCAGGGGTTGCTAACCTAGTGCCTAAGGGACGCAGGTGGCGCTGTGGCTTGCTGATCAGAAGGTCGGAGGTTCGAATCCCCGCAACGGGGTGAGCTCCCGTTGCTCGGTCCCTGCTCCTGCCCACCTAGCAGTTCGAAAGCACGTCAAAGTGCAAGTAGATCAATAGGTACCACTCCGGTGGGAAGGTAAAACAGCGTTTCCGTGTGCTGCTCTGGTTCGCTTAGTCCTGCTGGCCACATGACCCGTTGCTCGGTCCCTGCTCCTGCCAACCTAGCAGTTCGAAAGCTCATTTTCCTTTGTTCTGCTTATCTACTGCCAAGGGGGTGGGGGGTGGGGAGGAAGCTGATTCCGTGAAGCCTGACATTAGCTTATCTCGCTTCTCCTCCCGCTCTTTTTCAGTCTCTCGTAGACATGGCTCCCAAGTACATCCTTGAGCAGTTCCTTCAGCAAGAGCTGCTGATCAACATCACTGAACACGAGGTGAGGCGTCTCCTCCGTGTGATTTAACGCTGTGTAAATGCTGCTTTGGCAACAGAAAGCTTCCAGGATGAGAACGAAACCAAAACCGATGCTCTGGGCTGTTTTAAAACGGTGGTTCTGAAAGTGGGCGTTGGGATTTCGGGGGGTGCTAAGTGAGGCTCCTTACGGGATCCTTGCCACGGGATCGCATTCATCCAGTGCTTTACCAGCTGCACTAGCTCCCGGTGGAGTACGGGGTCAGGTTTAAGGTGCTGGTTTTGACCTTTAAAGCCCTATGCTGCCTAGGACACTCGTACCTACGGGACCACCTCTCCCGGTATGCCCCACGGAGGACCTTAAGGTCCCCAAATGACAACACTTTGGAGGTCCCAGGTCACAAGGTGGTTAGACTGGTCTCAACTAGGGCCAGGGCCTTTTCAGTACTGGCCCCGACTTGGTGGAACGCTCTGTCACAAGAGACTAGGGCCCTGCGGGACTTGATATCTTTCCTCAGGGCCTGCAAGACAGAGCTGTTCCGCCTGGCCTTTGGTTTGGACTCAGTCTGACCCTTACGTTTCCTTCCCCTTATGGTCTTGATCTATCGGCTACTTTAAAAAGAGGCTGCATTTTAAATTGCATTTTAACCTGTATTTTAAATTGGTTTTTCTTTTATTTCTCCCCCCCCTCTTTTTTCTCCTATGTTTTTACTGTGATTTTATTGGTGTTAGCCACCCTGAGCCCGGCTCTGGCTGGGGAGGACGGGGTATAAATCAAAATTATTATTACTATTATTATTAGAGGCAAGGAGGCCTCTTAGGCCTCACGTTTTGGAAAGAATCTTGGAGTTGGAAGGGGCCCAAGGGTCATCTAGTCCAACCCGCTGCAATGCAGGAATCTCAGCTAAAACATCCATGGCAGATGGCCGTCCAACCTCTGCTTAAAAACCTCCAAGGAAGGAGAGACCGCCACCTTCCACCCCACGGTCGAACAGCTCTGACCGTTGGGAAGTTCTCCCTGATGTAGAGTCAGAATCTCCTTCCTTGTAACTTGAAGCCATGTGTTCGAGTCCTGCACCTCCAGAGCAGGAAAAAACAAGCGTGTTTCCTCTTCCATGTGGCAGCCCTTGAGATATTGGAAGACGGCTGTCGTATCTCCTCTCAGTCTCCTCTTTTCCAGGCTAAAGGGCCACCCGTTTTGTTGAATTAATCACACAGAATGGTTCCGGTTGGATTTGGAATAAAAGTGCAATTAATTGTTACCGTTTTGAATCTTACTGTGTTATCTTCCTTACTGGGTTGTGCAAGCAGTTATCCTGAAATACGTGATTTAGCAGAGTAACTTAGAAGTGTCACCCCACCAGAAAACAAAATGTATTCATGCCAGATAAGTCCGCTGTGGAACATTTGTTTCCCTGTAGGACACAAAAACGGCCTCCATTCTTACCCAAGTTGTTTCTCTGCCTAACGGGTTGAAAGAGCTTTCTGTGCACCAAAAGTGACTAGCTGTGTCCTCATCCTGTTTTTTGCCTGTGTCCTGACCTACCTGAAGGAGCATCTCCACCCCCATCGTTCAGCCCGGACACTGAGGTCCAACTCCGAGGGCCTTCTGGCGGTTCCCTCCCTGCGAGAAGCCAAGTTACAGGGAACTAGGCAGAGGGCCTTCTCGGTGGTGGCACCCGTCCTGTGGAACGCCCTCCCACCAGATGTCGAAGAGAAAAACAACTACCAGACTTTTAGAAGACATCTGAAGGCAGCCCTGTTTAGGGAAGCTTTTAATGCTTAATAGGTTATTGTATTTTAGGTTCTGTTGGAAGCCGCCCGGAGTGGCTGGGTATAAATAATAAATTATTCTTATTCTACCTTTCTTTCTTTCCGTCTCTGCAGCTTGTTCCGGAGCATGTTGTCATGACCAAAGAGGAGGTAACCGAGTTACTGGCTCGATAGTATCCTTCTTTCGTTCTCCTGCCTATCCTCGTAGGTCTCAAAAGTCATGTTAAGTTAAGGTAAAGGGGACCCCTGACCATTAGGTCCTGTCGTGACTGACTCTGGGGTTGTGGCGCTCATCTCGCTTTACTGGCCGAGGGAGCCGGCGTACAGCTTCCGGGTCATGTGGCCAGCAGGACTAAGCCGCTTCTGGCGAACCAGAGCAGCGCACGGAAACACCGTTTACCTTCCCGCCGGAGCGGTACCTATTGATCTACTTGCACTTTGACGCGCTTTCGAACTGCTAGGTGGGCAGGAGCAGGGACCGAGCAACAGGAGCTCACCCCGTCATTGCGGGGATTCGAACCGCCGACCTTCTGATCGGCAGGTCCTAGGCTCTGTGGTTTAACCCACAGCGCCACCCGCACCCCAAAAGCCATGTTACAAAAATACACAAGGAAGATAATTAACACTGACACTAACCCCTGTACCACACAGCTTCTGTGTTGATTTCTTCATCCCCTTTTGCCCTCCGAATGTGGCCCTCGGAAGGGAGCGTGGCCCTCGGGCCAAAAGGGATCCCCCCCTCCGCCCTGGTCTGACGCTAGTTGTCACGAGCCAGGACATGAATGAGTTCAGCTTCTCCCCGAATCGAACCTGGCTTGTTACACTTTGCCTTCTTTCTTCCCGGGGAGGTGAAACGGATGGATTGCTTTCCCTTAACTGCTTTATCCCAGTAAGCTCCGAGAGAACCAGCTCCCCAGGATACAGGCCGGGGACCCGGTGGCTCGCTACTTTGGAATCAAGCGAGGCCAGGTAAGGACTTGCGGACAGGCCACACATGAATCGAAGGGGATGGGACCAGTTCATGGGCTCTCCATTGCTCTACAGCAACTCCCAAGAGACTGCGATCTACTCATAGAATTAAAAACTGGCAGTTGGCAGTGATCTAAAAACTGGGGTTCAGGTCAAAGTTGATGACCTTTTTTTAGGGAGGAGGAAAAGCCCCGTTTTTACCTGTTGGACATGCTTGTTTTACAGTCATGGGAAGGAGAACCACGTTAAGATCTGTTCTGAGTTAATTTAAAGGGGGTGGGGGGCTTAGTCTCATTTTTTTTAACTACTGAAATTAGCTGCCATCACCACTGCCAACAGATTCCAATATATATTACGCGTGTATTGTGTGAAAAAGGCTACTGGCTCTCTTCCTGCCTTCTCCCAAATCAGTACCTGATTTTGAAACCAGTACCTGCTTTCTCCCAAATCAGTACCTGATTTTGAGAACTGCCTTCTTCCAGGTGGTGAAGATCATCCGTCCCAGCGAGACGGCCGGACGGTATATCACCTACCGGCTGGTGCAGTAGCCGGCAAAACTACTTCGCAAGGTACTCTTATCTCCTTACCTTAAGAGGAAATATGGGCGGCCTCATTTCAGAGAGATCTTCTTTGCTGAGAAACGCTTCTTTGACAGATTTTGAACAGCATACCTAACAAGATACCAACACTTCTATATTGCCTCGTGGTTCCGTCAATTTTCCGTGCAGCGCGGAGACGGCAAACCTGCCTTCCCAGTCACCGCGAGGATTGGAATTTGAGGTGTATGTGTTTGTGTCTCTTCTGGAAAGCCCAGGTCAGTGGGAGTCTTCTTGGACAGACGATTGCTGCTTCGAACTACCCAAACTTCTAGATCTCATGGTCTGAAGTGGAACCGGTTGCTAACTTCACAATAAGCACCCTGCTGATAATTCCACCCCCAGCTGAACTGGGCCCGGGGATATTTTGCTTACACTGATGGGGTGGCCTGGAAGCGGTTTTTGGCTATGTGCTTTGGATGTAGAAGCCTGGATGGAGGATTTGTGTGGAGGCCTCTCTGCCTTTAGAGTGTGCTTGCAGTAAACCGTTTGTGAGAAAAAGGGTTTTCTGGACTCCTGAGAACGTCCCTCTTCCCTTCTCTGTTTTGCTGATCACCGCTGGGGAAAATCCGCCTCTCTCAAAAGGAGCCTCGACTGTCTTAATAAGGTTATCATTTCAATAAAGCGTTAGAACTAATAATGTTTATTAGGATTATTGTTGAGCGCTTGGAAAGTGCCTAACATTTTTTAGGAAAAAACTGAAAAGGGAAACCGTGGAAGGAACGATGCCCCCAGTTGTGTAGTAATAATAATAATTGATTATACCCCGCCCATCTGGCTGGGTTTCCCCAGCCACTCTGGGCAGCTTCCAACAGGATATTAAAAGCACAGTAAAAGATCAAACATTGAAGACTTCCCTAAACAGGGCTGCCTTCAGATGTCTTCTAAAAGTCAGATCGTTGTTTATTTCCTTGACGTCTGATGGGAGGGCGTTCCACAGGGCAGGTGCCACTACCGAGAAGGCCCTCTCCCTGTAACCTCGCTTCTCGCAGGGAGGGAACCGCAAGAAGGACCTCAGGAGGAGGACCCCGGTGTCCGGGCTGGATGATGGGGGTGGAGATGCTCCTTCAGGTATACTGGGCCGAGGGCTTTCAAGGTCAGCACCGACACTTTGAATTTAACAACACTTTGTTATTAACCAGCGAGGTATTACAGGTATTTTGGAGACTTCTTGCCAACGCCATTTCCAGGGTGGTTGTTAATTGTTGCAGGAGGGTGGGAAGGAAATTGACACAACGCCATTGGATGGTGTACGCTTACTTTATTTTCATACCTAACGAAAGCATCAGTCCAGGATTGCGATTGCAGCAGTTTAAAAAGCGAACCAGCGGGCTGCCACACAGGCTAGCTTTCAAACACAGGGAGGGGTACCTTATGTACAAATAATTAAAAAGCCGAGGTTATTAAGACCTGAACCTCCACACTCTTTACTCTCATCCACCCTTGACATATGAAACAAAACTCTCACACACGGTACCGTTCCTGCCTTCTCCGGAAGCTGAGATTTCTTTTGCCTCTGTTCCCAGTAAAGGTAAAGGGACCCCTGACCATTAGGTCCAGTCGTGGCCGACTCTGGGGTTGCGGCACTCATTTCGCTTTACTGGCCGAGGGAGCTGGCGTACAGCTTCCGGGTCATGTGGCCAGCAGGACTAAGCCGCTTCTGGCGAACCAGAGCAGCGCACGGAAACGCCATTTACCTTCCTGCCAGAGCGGTACCTATTGATCTACTTGCACTTTGACGTGCTTTTGAACTGCTAGGTTGGCAGGAGCAGGGACCAAGCAACGGGAGCTCACCCCGTCATCGCGGGGATTCGAACCGCCGACCTTCTGATCGGCAAGCCCTAGGCTCTGTGGTTTAACCCACAGCGCCACCCTTTGCTGGGAACCGCCATCCCGTTAAAGCACGACGGAGTCTCGAAAGAGGCGCCTCGGTTCTTCGGAAGCCCTTGCCACTAGGCAGCGCCATCGTCCTCAGCTTCTGCCAGGACACTGCGAGAACGGGGCACTGGATTAGGTGGGTCTCTTTGGCCAGGACCAAATCAAAGCTCTCCTTAATGACGCTGAAAGTGGTTTTTGCATAGGATTTGGCAAGTTAGTTGGCCTCACGGAAGAGAAAGCTTTCTCCCCTGTTGCTGTCTTACATTTCCCGCAGGACTGTTGGAATTACCGGGAAGTAGATCGGGGGGGCCCTGACACCCACACCTTTTGCCCTGGGTCCCAGACCTGCCCCCTTTTTAAAGCAATATAATAATTATTATTAATATGCTACCATCTGACTGGGTTGCTCCAGCCACTCTGGGCAGCTCCCGACAAAATGCTAAAAACATGTATATATATATATAAAACACTTCTACAGGGTGACTGAGCGTGCGTAGAGCTGGGCAGATATATCCATATATCGTCCAAAGCGGTTTGAAGTCTGTATCGTGGTGCCACTTTCGTAATTTTCGACCTGGCAATACATCGCGGATCGTGATGTTTGTGTATGCAAAAAATCACAATTGGGGAAACCGTGAAACCGGCCAACGCCTCTACATAGCTCCATCTTTATTTCAGACGTGGTAGATTAGTAGATAAACGCAGCGTTTGGCCGCTGTGTTGAAAACTAGGTTTTGCCCAGCCCTAGTGAGAGCCCAGTCACCGCCCTCTCGTGTTTTGGTCAGAGGTAAATATTCTCTTGGGTACCTAGGAGTGGAGAAATTGGAAACTGCCTAATGCCAATAATTTGTCCTGAATCGATTTAAAGCTGTATTATGCTGAGTCTTGACCACTGGTCCATTTGGCTCAATACTGGCCACACCAGCTAGCGACGATTCTCCAAGGTTTCGGAGAAAGGGAGTCTCTCCCAGTCGAAACTGGGAGATATCGGAGATCGCAGCCGCCTGAAAACCAAACATGCTCTAAAGCACAGAGCCACGGCCTTTTCCCAGCAACGCATCTACTGCTAGAGTCGGGAAAAGCCTCTTAAAATCTGAACTTAAGTGATCGACGCACCCATCTTCTGTTCACTAAAGGATGCAGGTTACTCTAGCTTGAAATCCTGAGCTGGGATCCGTTCGTCCAACAAACCCGTCTCTCTGGGGGAATAAGCCTTGTATAAGAAAGACTTTTGCTTATTTCTTTTTCTAGCTTAATGAGCTAGGAGTATTTTTTTGGAGGAGACTGCAGAAAGCAAACTGCGACCGTCGCCAGCAGGCTGCAATCGGCGCTTGTCTGTTCAGTAGCAAGTCCGCGACGGCGCTTGCTTCCCGGAAAGGATGGATCACAACCTTTCGAGTACCACGTAATCCAGCAAGCCTCCCCCACGGTCAGTTTGTACCCTGACTTTTTTTAAAAACAACACAATGACATAGCTGAAGGGGCTGGCATTTAAAAACCCAACCCTATCCGTAGCAAAATAAACAAAGAGTTCTGCTTTGCTAAAGTGAAGATCCTTCAAATCAGTACTTTGAAAGGGGCTGCTTTTCCGGGTAGTTTCTGGCAGAGAACCGAGAACCTCTGCAAACAAGGACAGGACGGTGCAAATATAAATTGCGATGGCGTTGTATCTGGGACTGTTCTTTTTAACACGCCGCTCGTGCAAAAGAGGTTGGGAGCGTGCTAAACCACACAAAAACCTTAATTTCGGCACGCTCCGGTTTCGCGGCCAATCGCAAAACAGGTGAAAGGATAACCAGGTTTGCGTTGAAAAGGCGGGTTAGATAGGGCACCAAGAACTGGAGGACTTGGCTTTTCTTCGTTGGCGGACTGTTCTTTCATTCCCGTTTTCGAGGCTGGGGAAGCTACTCTAACGCCTTGTAGCCGAAAGGCGGTTGCGGAAACGCCACGTTGTTCGACTGGTTGGTGTTGCAACCTTCCAGCGGCCTTCCCGCCTGCCCTTCCGCACTCTCCCCGTCGCCCTCTCTCCCGAAAACCGCATCTTCGTCCACATTGCAGCGGCCTTCCTCCCGGGCCGGGCAGCGCTGCAGCGGAGAGACGTCTTCGGAGTCCGACTGACCGACGCTGTAAGTGCGGCTCAGCGTCCCTTCCTCGCTGGCTTCGTCCGCAGACGGGGTCTCCTCGTCGCCGCTGGTCTCGCTGCCTCGCCGCGGGGGCCCCTCGATGCCCGCCTCTGCGGAGTCTTCTGGATCAGAGTCGGAATCGATGAAACGGGTGCTGTCTTCTGTGTTGGGATAAAATGAAACTCATTACTGCCTTCCTTTCTCTACTCCATTATGCTTCTGCCAAGGAGATCTGTGTGGGTTCCCCATTTTATCCTCAATAATAATAATAATTATAATTATAATAATAATGATACAGTGGTACCTCAGGTTACATACGCTTCACGTTACAGACTCCGCTAACCCAGAAATAGTACCTCAGGTAAAGAACTTTGCTTCAGGACGAGAACAGAAACTGCATGGCGGCAGCGGGAGGCCCCATTAGCTAAAGTGGTGCTTCAGGTTAAGAACAGTTTCAGCTTAAGAACGGACCTCCGGAACGAATGAAGTACTTAACCTGAGGTACCACTGTATATTATTTATACCCTGCCGATCTGGCTGGGTTTCCCCAGCCATTCTGGGCGGCTCCCAACAGAATATTAAAAACGCCATAAAGCATCAAACATTAAAGACTTCCCTAAACAGGGCTGCCTTCCGAGATAGTTGTTTATTTCCTTGACATCAGACGGGAGGGTGTTCCACAGGGCGGGCGCCACCACCAGGAAGGCCCTCTGCCTGGTTCCCTGTAACCTCACTTCTCGCAGGGAGGGAACCGCCAGAAGGCCCTCGGAGCTGGACCTCAGTGTCCGGGCTGAACGATGGGGTTGGAGACGCTCCTTCAGGGATACAGGGCCATTTAGGCCTTTCAAGGTCAGCACCAACACTTTGAATTGTGCCTGGAAACATACTGGGAGCCAATGTAGGTCTTTCAGGACCAGTGTTATATGGTCTCGGCAGCCGCTCCCAGTCCCTAGTCTGGCTGCCGCATTCTGGATTAGTTGTAGTTTCCAGGTCACCTTCAAAGGTAGCCCCACGGAGAGCACATGGCAGTACAAGCAAGAGATAACCAGAGCATGCACCACTCTGGACAGACAGTCTGCGGGCAGGGAGGGTCTCATCCTGCGTACCAGATGGAGCTGCCCTGGACACAGAATTGACCTGCACCTCCATGGACAGCTGCGAGTCCAAAATGACCCCCAGGCCGCGTACCTGGTCCTTCAGGGGCACAGTTGCCCCATTCAGGACCAGGGAATCCCTCACACCTGCCTGCCCCCTGTCCCCCCAAAACAGTCCTTCTGTCTTGTCAGGATTCAACCTCATCCGCCATCCATCCTCCAACCACCTCCAGGCACTCACACAGGACCTTCACTGGTTCTGATTTAAAAGAGAGGTAGAGCTGGGTGTCATCCGCATGTTGGTGAACACCCAGCCCCAACACCCTGATGATCTCTCCTAGCGGCTTCATATAGATATTAAAAAGCATGGGGGAGAGGACGGAACCATGAGGCACCCCACAAGTGAGGGCCCAGGGGTCTGAAAACTCACCCCCTAACACCACTTTCTGGACATGCAACCCATTACATTAGTACCTCGGGTTAAGTACTTAATTTGTTCCGGAGGTCTGTTCTTAATCTGAAGCACCACTTTAGCTAATGGGGCCTCCTGCTGCCGCTGGAGCACGATTTCTGTTTTCATCCTGAAGCAAAGTTCTTAACCCGAGGTACTATTTCTGGTTTAGCAGAGTCTGTAACCTGAAGTGTATGTAACCCGAGGTACCACTGTACTGCCTTCCTTTTTTTATTCCCTTGTCCTTCTGCCAAGGAGATCTGTATTCGTGGCTCACCGTCCCCATTTTATCCTCAAACTAACCCTGCGAGGCGAGCCGGCTGAGAGAGAGAGACTGCAAGTGCGTCCCTGCACTGACAGTATGGGACTGCCGTGGTTTCAAACTGCGTTTCCACCTTGTGTTTTAATTTCCGCCACCCGCCTGGGAACCTTAAGGTGAAGCTGGGAGGGTATAATAAACTGTAGAAAGAAAATTATAGTATTATCACGCAGCGTCCAACCTTCGGACAGGTGTGTTCCGCCTCACCTCTGTACAGGTCCTCGTGAAAAGCAGCCTCTGCCTGTTCAGCGGAGGCCGTGAGGTACAGGTCTGTGTCGTCCGACGGCTGGCATGCGTCTTCCTGCATGTAGAATGCAAGACATTGCTGAGGTATTTTATTTATTTTTTAAAATAACGTTTTTTATTTGATTACAAAAAATAAATGTACAACAATATCCATTGCAAACCCATTATAAAGAGATTGTTCTGAATCTCAAAACTTCACCCCCATCGCCTCCATGGATCCTAATATCAACATTTACAACTGCATAAAGGTAAAGGTTAAGGGACCCCTGACCATTAGGTCCAGTCGTGACCGACTCTGGGGTTGCGGCGCTCATCTCGCTTGATTGGCTGAGGGAGCCGGCGTCCAGCTTCCAGGTCATGTGGCCAGCAGGACTAAGCCGCTTCTGGCGAACCAGAGCAGCACACGGAAACGCCGTTTACCTTCCCGCCGGAGTGGTACCCATTTATCTACTTGCACTTTGTGCTTTTGAACTGCTAGGTTGGCAGGAGCAGGGACCGAGCAACGGGAGCTCACCCCGTTGCGGGGATTCGAACCACCGACCTTCTGATCAGCAAGCCCTAGGCTCTGTGGTTTAACCCACAGCGCCACCACAACTGCATATCAATCAGTTATCCACGTTTTTTATCCATCTGAGTCCGAGCCTGAGTGTAATGGCCTGGGATTGGGACTCGGATGCTGAACCTGAGGGATCTCAGCCTGCACAGGATTCCCCGCCTCCAGAACCAGCTGAGCTGGGGCTGGGGCTTGAGCCTGAAGGGTCCTCACCTGTGCTGGGTCCTCAGGTGAGTCTGCTCTGGCTCCTGAGGTGATGGAGGACCCATTGCCTGCAGGTGCTCCACTCTCAGCCCCGGCAGAGGAAGCTGAGGTTGCCTCTGGGTCCAGTAACCCTCCAGCCTCTCCTGAGCTTCAGAGGCTCAGGGCAGAGAGGCGGAAGGAACTAAGTTCCCGCAGGAGGAGTACTCGCCTCCAGGCCAGGAAAGGCGAGTCACCAGAGGATCGGGGCCGGCCTATGCCTCGGGGCAGATAAAAGCCGGCCAGCCCCAGTCCCAAGTTGCGGGAGCAACATTGTTGGTTGCTAGTTCCTGTTTGAACCCTGTCCTGCTCTTCTGCCTGAGCTCCTGACCTGCCCTGGCTCCCTGCTTGCAAGCCTGTTCCTGACTTCACCCGACTCCCTGCCCTGCACCCAACTTCAGCAACTACGGACTGCCTCCACGTTGCACCTTTGTCCACGGACAGGACTTGGACCTCGCCTCTCAGGTAACCCACAGTACCAGCATACATAGTTTTCGTTACCAAGTTTTGTTACCTTTTCTTTACATTTCCAGCAGATATTTGTGCTTGTTCTATACATTTTTGCTATCTTAAAGGTAAAGGGACCCCTGACCATTAGGTCCAGTCGCGGCCGACTCTGGGGTTGCGGCGCTCATCTCGCTTTACTGGTCAAGGGAGCCGGTGTACAGCTTCCGGGTCATGTGGCCAGCAGGACTAAGCCACTTCTGGCGAACCAGAGCAGCGCATGGAAACGCCGTTTACCTCCCCGCCAGAGCATTACCTATTTATCTACTTGCACTTTGAGGTGCTTTCGAACTGCTAGGTTGGCAGGAGCAGGGACCGAGCAACGGGAGCTCACCCCGTCATTGCGGGGATTCGAACCGCCGACCTTCTGATCAGCAAGTCCTAGGCTCTGTTCTATATTATAGTAAAGGTAAAGGGACCCCTGACCATTAGGTCCAGTCATGGCCGACTCTGGGGTTGCGGCGCTCATCTCGCTTTACTGGTCAAGGGAGCCAGCGTACAGCTTCCGGGTCGTGTGGCCAGCAGGACTAAGCCGCTTCTGGCAAACCAGACCAGCGCACGGAAACGCCGTTTACCTTCCCGCAGGAGCAGTACCTATTGATCTACTTGCACTTTGATGTGCTTTCGAACGGCTAGGTTGGCAGGAGTAGGGACCGAGCAACGGGAGCTCACCCTGTCATTGCGGGGATTCGAACCACCGACCTTCTGGATCGGCAGGTCCTAGGCTCTGTGGTTTAACCCACAGCGCCATCCGCGTTAAGGTAGGAAGGATATTAAATAATACATTGTCTCCTGCCACCCTGAATATTCCCACAAATCCAGCAGCGGAAGTCCCCGCGCAGGGAGCTCTCCCTCTGCAACAGCAACCCTCTCTGAAATGTTTCCCCCCTTACCTGGTTCTCAGCCGCGTCGGCGTCTTCCCGAACCGCGTCTTCGGGGTTTTCCGGCAAAGCGCTGCCGGTTTCGAAGATGGCAGGGTAGAAGGTTACGAGGGCCTCGACGATGCGGGCTTGATGCGGGTAGTCGACCAGCGAGGAGAGGGAAACGGTGGCTTCCGTGGGTCTCGGGCGCATCAGCGTGGGGCCAAAGACGATGCCCAGATTGCCAGGGGTCATCTTGTTTTCTTGTTCGACTTCGACGATCCTGGGGGGAGAACGGGCAGGACAACACAGTTCACAAGGGAACTTAGGTCTGATTTGCAGCACCGAGGGAGCGGGGACTTCTAATTCTAAATACAGTGGTACCTTGGTTCTCAAAGGCCTTGGTACTCAAACAACTTGGAACCCAAACCCGGAAGGAAGTGTTCCGGTTTGGGAACTGTTTTTGGAAGCCAAACGTGATCCGTTTTGAGTGTTTACGCTTCCGTTTTGAGCATAGCTGTCAACTTACAGATTTGAAAATAAGGGACCAGCAGCCTCAAAAATAAGGGATCAGCAGCCAAAATAAGGGATTTTCAGAGTGCTGGTATGTTCGACTTCTGAGCCTCTCCGAGCCAAAGGCAGAAAGCCCAGCCAGCAGCCAAACGAAGCCTCAAGCGGTGGTTCCCACAGCGCAGCAACCCGGCAAAGGGGATGCAGCAAGGAAAACCACCGTCACCTCTCCGCTGGGAAGCGCTGAGCAAAGGCGAGTCCCCAGGCAACGCAGCCAATTTGATCGGCACAAGGCATGCAAGCTCCACCCCCCCAGTCGTTCTTAGACTCCTTATTGGGTGAGCAACGCAGCCAAGCAACACAGTTGGAGCCTCCCTCCTCCCTGGCCGGCAGGGAGGGAGGGAGAGGAGCTGCTTCCTTTGAAATCCGGGAAATTGAAGGGACATCGTCAATAAGGGACAGCAGCGGGACACAGCACTGGGATAAGCGACTGTCCCACCAAATAAGGGACAGTTGACAGCTATGGTTTTGAGTGTTACACCGAGATCTGTCTGTTTTCGCCATTTATTTTGAGTTTTTGCAGCTCGTTTTGCTTTTGCGACTATGTGGAACCCAGTTCAGCTACCGGTTGACTGATTGTGTGGCTGCGGAAATGGATAAAAGCCCTCTGGCCAAACAATGAGGATCAACAGTGCAGGTAAGAAAAAAGAGTAATTTTAAATCTTATCGTCTACAATACTGGCTTATTCATTTTACAGTACACTACATTGATTGTTGCTTTCATTTTATGATTCACTGGTCTCATTAGATAGTAAAAATCATGCTGTTTTAGGGGTTGTTTGTCAAAGCCTGGAACGGATTAACCCGTTTTGCATGACTTCCTATGGGAAAGCGTGCCTCGCTTTTGGAACGCTTTGGTTTTGGAACGGAATTTCCGGAACGGATTAAGTTTGAGAACCAAGGGACCACTGTACCGGCTGTTGTAGAAGGAAGAAGAAGAAGAAGAATTTGGATTTGATGTCCCGCCTTTCACTCCCTTTAAGGAGTCTCAAAGCGGCTAACATTCTCCTTTCCCTTCCTCCCCCACAACAAAAACTGTGAGGTGAGTGGGGCTGAGGGACTTCAGAGAAGTGTGACTGGCCCAAGGTCACCCAGCAGCTGCATGTGGAGGAGCAGAGACGCGAACCCGGTTCCCCAGATTACCGAGACTACCGCTCTTAACCACTACACCGCACTGGCTCTCACACTGGGAGTGAAAATCTCACCACCCCCCTTTTATTGGAGGCAGGGTCTCCAGCCAGCTGTCCCCTCCCTCTCCCACTTACCTCCTCAAATGCTGAACGATGTACTTTAGGGTGGACAAGTTCTCCGGCGGAAGCTCCTTCAGAAGGTCCCTCAGCTTCGTCACCAGCGCCACGACCGCCTTCTCGGTCTCGGGTCCTCTGTCCACCAGCTCGGCGATACTCTTCCCGGGCCTGCCCTCGGCTCCTCCCTGCACACTCTCCTTGGCCAACCCCATAAGGCTGTTGTACATGCGGAATGGCATGATGGGTTCTGGGAGCTGCAGCCAATGATATAATGTCCTTGATCAGCCCAGTATACCTGAAGGAGCGTCTCCACCGCCATCGTCCAGCCCGGACACCAGGGTCCATCTCCCAAGGGCCTTCTGGCAGTTCCCTCCCTGCGAGAAGTGACGTTACAGGGAACCAGGCAGAGGGCCTTCTCGGTGGTGGTGCCCTCCCGTCAGATGTAAAGGAAATAAACAGCTCTCTGACTTTTAGAAGACATCTGAAGGCAGCCCTGTTTAGGGAAGTGTTTAATGTTTGGTGTTTTATCGTGTTTTTAATATTTTGGGAGCCGCCCAGAGTGGCTGGGGAAACCCAGCCAGATGGGCAGGGTATAAGTAATAAATTAATATTATATCATCATCATCATCATTATTACTAAGCTATGTCTGGTCTTCCAGTGAGGAGGACAGATGGAAGGACAGATCACTGGAAGGACAGATCGTGAAGCTGAGGCTCCAAGACTTTGGCCACCTCATGAGAAGAGAAGACTCCCTGGAAAAGACCCTGATGTTGGGAAAGATGGAGGGCACAAGGAGAAGGGGACGACAGAGGACGAGATGGTGGGACAGTGTTCTCGAAGCTACCAGCATGAGTTTGACCAAACTGCGGGAGGCAGTGGAAGACAGGAGGGCCTGGTGTGCTCTGGTCCAGGGGGTCACGAAGAGGCGGACACAACTAAACAACAACAACATGTCTGGTCTGGAGGAGGGAAAATGGAGAGGCGTTCATGACTGCCAACTTAAAATATCTCAAGGGCTGTCACATGGGAGATGGAGCAAGCTTGTTTACTCCTGAACCAACAGATTCAAGTAAGAGTGTGGTGCCTGTAACACCGAGGTCACGGGTTTGATTTCTGTATGGGACAGTATTGGACACCCCACCTCTACAATTCTATGAAAGGAGATTCCGACTAAACATCAGGAAGAATTTTCTGACGGTAAGAGCTGTTGGGCCATAGGATGGAAGATGGCGAACTCTCCTACCCTGGGAGGTTTTTAAAGCAGTGGTTGGGTGGCCATGTGCCATGGGTGCCCTAGCCAAGATTCCTGCATTGCAAGCGGTTGGACTGGGGTCCCTTCCAACAATTCTACGATTCTACGACCTGCGGACACCGTGGTCATAAAACAGACATAGGCAAACTCTGGCCCGCCAGATGTTTGAGACTACAATTCCCATCATCCCTAGCTAACAGGACCAGTGGTCAGGGATGATGGGAATTGTAGTCCCAAACATCTGGAGGGCCGGAGTTTGCCCATGCCTGTCCTAAAATCAAGTGTTTCTTCCTTCTCCGCATGGAGAAGGGAGCCCTCAATATTGCCGCCTTGCAGCCCAAAGACCACCCAGGCATAGCTGTCAACTGTCCCTTATTTGGCAGGAAAGTCCCTTATCCCAGCGCCGTGTCTCGCTGCTGTCCCTTATTGATGATGTCCCTTCAATTTCCCGGGTTTCACAGAAAGCAGCTCCTCTCCCTCCCTCCCTGCCGGCCAGGGAGGAGGGAGGCTCCAACTGTGTTGCTCGGCTGCGTTGCTCACCCAATAAGGAGTCTAAGAACGACTGGGGGGTGGCGCTTGCATGCCTTGTGCCAATCAAATCAGCCGTGTTGCCTGGGGACTCGCCTTTGCTCAGCGCTTCCCAGCGGAGAGGTGACGGTGGTTTTCCTTGCTGCATCCCCTTTGCCGGGTTGCTGCGCTGTGGGAACCACCGCTAGAGGCTTCGTTTGGCTGCTGGGTGACTAAAATCCCTTATTTTGGCTGCTGATCCCTTATTTTCAAGGCCACTGGTCCCTTATTTCCAAATCTGTAAGTTGACAGCTATGCGCCCAGGTCCCACGCACCGCCCCGGGGAGACTCACCTGCCGCAGGTAGAGCTTCAGAACGTTGCTGATGTCGTGAGGATAGGCCTGGGACAACTCGACCAACTCTTTCCCATTCTCAAAGGCCTGGCACAGCTTCTCCACGCGGGTCTTTACGCCGTTGACGCGGTAGATGCCCTAGAGCAATGGTGGCGAACCGTTTAGAGACCAAGTGTCCAAAGTTGCAACCCGAAACCCACCGATCGATCGCAAAGCTCCAACAACAGGGCAATTTAATAGGGGATAATAATGATTTTCTGCATGACTGGAAAAGTCCGCGACCAGAAGGAGGAGGAGTACCAGGAGGAATGGATGAAATTCAAAGACTATTTCGTTAAATCTTCATTGGAAAAGCTTGCAAATTCCAGATAGGCTTAGGATTTAATTGTGTGATTTTTAGAGAAGAATATGTTTAAAGTCAAAACAAAAACAAAGTAAGAGGTTAAGGGATTCAGTTAATTTTATGAGAAAATAGTTTTTGGAAAACTGTTACAATGATACACAGCCAGGGGGATTTGAGGAAGTCACTTAACAATGTTACTAAGATTGGATCAAGTACAGTTAAGATGTATGTCTGTGTTTGTTTAAAATTTTGGGAAAATTACCTTTACCTTTACTGACAGGATAATATCATCTGAAAGAACTGAAAGACTCGATTGGGAGCCGCCCAGAGTGGCTGGGGAAACTCAGCCAGATGGGCGGGGTATAAATAATAAATTATTATTATTATTATTATTATTAATTATTATTATTATTGGAGCAGGAACCGGCAAGCCACTCCAGTATCCCTGCCAAGAAAACTCCATGGACAAAGAGACAGGAAGGCCTGGTGTCACAAAGAGTCTGGTGTCTGGTCCAGGGGGTCACAAAGAGTCGGACACGACTAAACAACTAAACAACGTTATTATTATTATTATTATTATGCCCGCCTCCTTCAGCCCTGCAAAGCTGGGCGTGTCGCCCTCCTTAAAAAAGATCAGCAACTCTGGGAGGGGGGTGGTGCTGATAGGATCTTTGCCCCACGGCGCCGGGTAAGCTTAAGACAGCCCTGACCACAACCAAGATAAAATCTGAATGGGGTTTCTTTTATCCACCCTGCTCACCTTGGTCTTCATCGCCCGCCTCTCGATCTCGCAGATACACTTCTTCACGATGAAAGGAACCCCGTCGGAACTGAGGCGGCTCTGCTGGGCAAAGTCCCTTCCGAACAGCTGCAATTTCCCCTGGAGCTTCTTGTGTCCGCATTGAATGGCCAGTGTCTCCAGGCACTTTTTGTGGCAGGCGAGGTAGCACTGCGGGCGACGGAGGCAGGGAAAAAACCAGCAACGTGAGAGGAGGGTGCCCTCAGTTCTACAAAGGGCCACCGGGTGGCGCTGCTTGCCCTGCACCCCCCGGCTGCTTTTAGACTAGGGGTAGGCAACTTAAGGGGCGCGGGTGGCGCTGTGGGTTCAGCCACAGAGCTTAGGACTTGCCGATCGGAAGGTCGGCGGTTCGAATCCCCGCAATGAAGGGGTGAGCTCCCGTTGCTCGGTCCCTGCTCCTGCCAACCTAGCAGTTCGAAAGCACACCAGTGCAAGTAGATAAATAGGTACCGTTCCGGCGGGAAGGTAAACGGCGTTTCCATGCGCTGCTCTGGTTCGCCAGAAGCGGCTTAGTCCTGCTGGCCACATGACCCGGAAGCTGTACACCGGCTCCCTCGGCCAGTAAAGCGAGATGAGCACTGCAACCCCAGAGTCGGCCACGACTGGACCTAATGGTCAGGGGTCCCTTTACCTTTACCTTAGGCAACTTAAGGCCTGGGAGCTGGATCCGGCCCAATCGCCTTCTCAATCCTGCCCGCGGACAGTCCGGGAATCAGCGTGTTTTTACATGAGTAGAATGTGTCCTTTTATTTAAAATGCATCTCTGGGTTCTTTGTGGGGCCTGCCTGGTGTTTTTACATGAGTAGAATGTGCCCTTTTATTTAAAATGCATCTCTGGGTTACTTGTGGGGCATAGGAATTCGTTCATTATTTTTTCAAAATATAGTCCGGCCCCCCACAAGGTCTGAGGGACGGTGGACTGGCCCATGGCTGAAAAAGGTTGCTGACCCCTGTTTTAGATGCATGAGCAAGGTGACGTTTTCATCTCCTGCTCCACTTTCTGCGAGCAAGAAAGGAGGGGCATGTGGCCCTCGGAGTGGGGACCCCCCCACTCAAAATGGAATCGTAGAATCGTAGAGTTGGAAGGAGGGTTTTCCCCAAAGGTCATCCAACCCAACCCCCCTTCAATTTGGGAATTTGCACGCTTCCTACCTCCTCGCACTCGGCTCCTTGGAAATAAACGTAGCTGTTGCACTCCCTGCATTTTGAAGGGGTCCGCAGCTTCCTCAGACGATGGGTCTGCGCAGCTTTGGATAAGCCCATGTGGCGGAAAGGGCCGGTGGGCGTCGAGATCTCCGGGGTCATGTCGTCGATACCTGGGAATCGGGGAGGGGAAAGGGCCGGTGTGACGGCCTGGGATTCGGACTCGGAGGCTGAACCTGAGGAATCCCAGCCTGCACAGGAGTCCCCACCTCCAGAACCAGCTGAGCCGGGGCTGGGGCCTGAGCCTGAAGGGTCCTCACCTGTGCTGGATCCTCAGGTGAGTCTGCTCTGGCTCCTGAGGTGATGGAGGACCCATTGCCTGCAGGTGCTCCACTCTCAGCCCCGGCAGAGGAAGCTGAGGTTGCCTCTGGGTCCGGTAACCCTCCAGCCTCTCCTGAGCTGCAGAGGCTCAGGGCAGAGAGGCAGAGGGAACGAAGTTCCCGCAGGAGGAGGGCTCACCTCCAGGCCAGGAGAGGCGAGTCACCTGTGGACCGGGGCTGCCCTATGCCTCGGGGCAGATAAAAGCCAGTCAGCCCCAGTCCCAAGTTGCGGGAGCAATGTTGTTGGTAGCCTGTTCCTGCCGGCACCCTGTCCTGCTCTTCTGCCAGAGTTCTTGATCTCACCCGACTCCCTGCCTTGGACCCAGCTTCAGCTTTGACAGACAGCCTCCATACCACACTCTCGGACTGGACTCGGACCTTGCCGCACGGTTAACCCTCGGGACCAGCACATCTGGTTTAGCTGCCCCAAAAGTCCTGCTTTCAAGGTGCAAACGAGAGCAATTCGAACGACTGGAATGTAAATACAGTGGTACCTTGGTTCTCAAACGCCTTGGTTCCCAAACGCCAAAACCCCGGAAGTAAGTGGTTTTCTAACGTTTTTCAGAAGCCGAACGTCTGACTCGGCTATTGTTTCTGGGGCGCCTTCGCCAATCAGAAGCCGCGCCTTGATTTTCAAACATTTCAGAAGTCAAACGGACCTCCGGAACGGATTAAGTTTGGCGCTTTTGTTTTTGCTATTTATTTTGCGTTTTCGTTTGCAGTTGCACCCCAAATACAAAGGCTGTGTTGTATTGTGTACATTCTGCCCCTAGAGGTCGCTAACGTGACACTGTATTGTAATGCATACGATCTGCCGCTAGGTGTCGCTGTTGCAGTGGGCCCCAAGTACAAAGGCTCTGTTGTATTGCACATATTCTGCCGCTAGCAGGCAATCCCTGCCCCCTGCAATCCCGTATTCCATGCTACTGTGTCTCTTGTCCTCAGGACCACCGGGTATCTTCCTTGCCCCCTTCCACGCCGGACCCCCTACCCCACCCCTCGGCTAACAACGGGCTGCACTTCTGCCCCCCAGAACGTACTTTGCTCAAAGGAAGGCGAATTCCCGTCCGACTCGTCGCCGGGAGACGTCCCGTTACTTGGCACCGACTGGGACTTCTGGGGGAACCCACCTACCCGAGAAGGAAACCTGATGTCAGGCGGGGAGATCAAAGCCAAAGCACATTCGCACCCGGCTCTCTTTATGTCCCACCCGGGCGCAAAGAAGGGGCGGGGTCTGGGGAAAAGGGGCATGGCCTACAGAGATTCCCAATAGCCAGGGAGGTGGGTGGTTCAAGACCACCCAACTTGTGGGCCAGGGTTCCTGCATCGCCGGGGGGTTGGGATGGATGACCCCACGGGGTCCCGGCCAAGTCTTTGTGACTCTACCTGAGCTCGCGGTGGGACCGGATTCAAGGCTGCCCTTTGTCTCCGCAATAGCCGTCGGCCACGATTTGTGCAGCTGGTGGCCCCGCCCACCTGAGGAGCCAATTACAGGGCAAGGTTTTGTTACCGGGTCGTTTTGAGTTTGGGCGTGGCGAAATTCCCTGCCTTTGCGAGACTGTCCCTTTCAGGAATTGGAAAGGTGTGCATTTTATATATAACATATGTGTATAGAATTGTTTTCATAGATATGTATATATCTTTACCCAAGTGTTTTAATTATTGCCTAAATTAATTTTTCAAATATCGTATTATTTGCTCTTTAAGACTCCCTTTTTCCCTCCTAAAAAGTAAGGGGAAATGTGTGTGCGTCTTACGGAGCGAATGCAGGCTGCGCAGCTATCAATAGAAGCCAGAACAGCAAGAGGGATTGCTGCTTTCGCTGCGCAGCGATCCCTCTTGCTGTTCTGGCTTCTGAGATTCAGAATATTTTTTCCCTTGTTTTCCTCCTCCAAAAACTAGGTGCGTCTTGTGGTCTGGTGCATCTTATAGAGCGAAAAATACGGTATTTTATTCCTTAGGTTACTCGGAAATGCCTCTGAAGATTCAGGATTCCTTGCTTGCCATTTGCTCCCTGCAGGTGTTGCAAAAGGCGGTAGACTGCCTGCCGCCATGGAAGCTCTGCTAAGCGGTTTTTTTGCACGAGTTGCAATCTTGCCGAATTTGTCCTGACTGCAAAAATTGAGGTGTGTGTGTGTGTGCAGCTTTTATCGAGGGCTGCGAGTGCGAAAGAAGACTCACCTCGTCGCTCGGGGTTGGCCGGCCGGCTCTGCGCTCCCTCGCCCTCTGAAGCCGCCGCCTCTTTGCCGGACGCTTCAGATCCGCTCGCTGCTGGTAAATCGCCGGTGGTGAAACTGCTTTTTCTCGCCCGGGCCAGAGGAGACCTGTGGGGGAAATAAACAACTATCTGAATCTTAGAAGACATCTGAAGGCAGCCGTGTTTAGGGAAGTTTTTAATGTCTGATGTTTTATTATGTTTTTAATATTCTGTCTGGAGCAGCCCAGAGTGGCTGGGGAAACCCAGACAGATGGGTCATGTGTAAGCAATTAATAATAATAATAATAATAATAATAATAATAATAATAATAAAATACTGCAGCTGCAAAGCTTGGCAATGCAAGTCAGGTTCCCTGTTGTAGCAGAACACTCGCTCAGTACTTTAAAATCAGAACTGTAGAGTTGGAAGGGGACCTCGGGGGGTCATCCAGTCTGACCCCCTGCAAGGCTAGAATTTTTTTTGCACAAAATGGGGTTCGAACCCGCGACCTTGAGGTCAAGAATCTCGCGTTCCATCTAACCTTCCCAGAAACTCCATGAGGGTTTGAACCCGTTGCCTTCTACACGCAGAGCAGTTGTTCTGCCTCTGACCTTCCCTGAGCGCCTTCCCTCGGGAACTGGAAAGGGGTAGGGGCAGGATTGGAATCCGGGAGCACCAACCAGCTGTTGTTGGAGACGTAGGGCTCGAAGTCGTACTGGGTCTCGGGCTCGTCTCCCCGCTGCAGCTGCTTGACGTGTGAGGCGTACTGCTGCCCGGGGTCGTAGAGTTTGCTGCTCTCGCACAGCGTCTGGAAGTAGACGGGCAGAGGGGCTGTCTGCATGTGCATGGTTTGGAAGAAGGAGATGGTGGCCTGGAGATTGCGGACGGAAAAAGCAGGGGACACACGTCAGAGGAAAGGCAGCAGGAGGTCTGATCATAGCTGTCAACTTGCAGATTTGAAAATAAAGGACCAGCAGCCTCGGGAATAAGGGATCAGCAGCCAAAATAAGGGATTTTCCGAGCCCTGGTATGTTCGACTTCTGAGCCCCTCCGAGCCAAAGGCAGAAAGCCCAGCCAGCAGCCAAACGAAGCCTCAAGCGGTGGTTCCCACAGCGCAGCAACCCGGCAAAGGGGACGCAGGAAGGAAAACCACCGTCACCTCTCCGCTGGGAAGCGCTGAGCAAAGGCGAGTCCCCAGGCAACGCGGCCGATTTGATCGGCAGAAGGCATGCAAGCTCCACCCCCCAGTCGTTCTTAAGACTCCTTATTGGGTGAGCAACGCAGCCAAGCAACGCAGTTGGAGCCTCCCTCCTCCCTGGCCGGCAGGGAGAGAGGGAGAGGAGCTGCTTCCTTTGAAACCAGGGAAATTGAAGGGACATCATCAATAAGGGGCAGCAGTGGGACACGGCGCTGGGATAAGGGACTTTCCCGCCAAATAAGGGACGCTTGACAGCTATGGGTCTGATCCATCGCAGTGGTGTAGCAAGGGAAGGGGGTGCCCGTGGCGACGCAGAACCATTAGGGGCACCGAATTTTGACACCCGGCGCTATGCCGACACAGCTGTGCGCTTCTGTTGAGAACGAAGCAGGGAGGGACCTCTCCTGACACCGGAACGACTCTTTTCTTATCTCTGTGGTCGCAATGTGCATGCATACTCCGTCCGTCCCCCTCCCCTCCCCAAGGCCCCGGGCACTGGCAACCCACGATATGCCTCTGATCCGACCTGCCGCAGAACCGTTGGAAATGTAGAGCTGCAAGTTGTCGACTTTGCATAATTCAGGTTCCAGCAAGAAGACAAATCAAATTTACCTTTCATCACCATCACCACCATTATTTTTATATATATATATATATATATATATATATATATATATATAAAATATTTTTCGCCCTATAGGACGCACTGGCCTATAGGACGCACCTCGTTTTTTGGGGGGGGGGGGGGAATGAATAAAAAAAAATTATTTCCCCCCCCCAGCCGCTCCGTGCTCCGGGAACTCCCTCCGGGCGCGCAAGGCTTGCGGACAGCTTCCTGAAGCCTGGAGAGCGAGAGGGGTCGGTGCGCACCGACGCCTTTCGCTCTCCAGGCTTCAGCAAAAGCCTGCATTCGCCCCATAGGACGCGTACACATTTCCCCTTCATTTTTGGAGGGGAAAAAGTGCGTCCTATAGGGCGAAAAATACGGTGTGTGTGTATATATATATAAGAGTCGGACATGACTAAACGACTCAACAACAATATATATATATGTTGTTGTTGAGTCGTTTAGTCGTGTCCGACTCTTCGTGACCCCATGGACCAGAGCACGCCAGGCACTTCTGTCCTCCACTGCCTCCCGCAGTTTGATCAAACTCATGCTGGTAGCTTCAAGAACATATATATATATATATATATATATAATATACCCAACTGTGTCCCCAACTCCATACTTCTGTTAGAAGCTGGTGAATGCCCAATTTCAACTAAAGCGTGGTGGGCTGCCCTAAGACATTGGCTCAGGATTTCGGTGTTTGATCTAGGGAAGGGTTTGTACCAACACCTGACCAGCAAATGGCAGAAAACCATGGCTAAAAAAGCCACCTCTATTGGTCTGTCACCCCCCCCCAACTGTATTACCTGGGTTATGAAGGCGCCCAAAAGACGTTAAAGCAAAGATTATGGGATAATGCACACAGTGACTTGCGATCTCGATCACACGCAGTCTGTAGTCCGCTGGCAGTAGGAGTACAATATGGGCATGTCTTTAAGTTAACACCTTACATTAAAAACCTGACAGTACCAAACTATTGAAGGCTTTTCACCAAAGCCAGACTAAACGTCTTTCCTTCTGCAGTGTTGAGAGGAGTTCCCTACCAGGACAGACTTTGCTCGTGTGCTCAAGACATCGACTCCATAAAACATATTTGTTGCATTGTGCAAAATATGAGCAGGCCAGGGCTGAACTGATACTACCCTTGCTGGTACCTTTCCCGGGAAAATCAGAGGCTCACTATGTCAGGTTCCTATTGGAAGACCGGACAAACGCTAGAACATTGGCAGTGGTGAAGTTTTTATCGGTGGTTGCAAGAACCAATGATCCCTATATTCTGACCAAAATGCTTGTTTAACCTGGAGGAGGCCAAGGCTCACAGTGTGACCAAAGTTGGCCACGGACGCGTCTCGGTTGCTGCTTAAACGAAAAGCAAGTTGCTAGTGGCAGAGAGATGTTCAGAATCACGCCGCCGAGTACTCGAGAGACCCACCGATTTGATGATCTGGTCGCTCTGTTTGACCACCTCGTGGAGCTGCCGCAGGGCGGTCACTTTTGTGTCCTCCAGCTCCTGTTTCTGCGTGTTGGCGTCGGCGATGCACGTCCGGTAAGTCGCCATCGCCTCGTCGGCCTGGAGCAGGCAAGGAGAGTTAGTGTCGCCAAGAGAGGCAAGGGATGGGCAGCGAGGACAGGAGCCCCCTGTTATTTCAGCTCAAGAAAAAAGGGGCAAAGCTAACGATTTAAGCTTCTGGTGCAAGTCCGCTATGAGGAAAGCATACAATGGTACCTTGGTTCTCAAACAACGTCCTGGTTCTCAAACTCCGAAAACCTGGAAGTGTTCCAGTTTTTGAAGGAGTTTTGGAAGCCAAACGTCCGATGCAGCTGTCAGCTATTGTTTCTGGGGCGCCTGCGCCAATCAGAAGCCACGCCTTGGTTTCTGAACATTTTGGAAATCAAATGGACTTTCGGAATGGATTAAGTTTGGTGCTTTTGTTTTTGCTCTATTTTGCGTTTTCGTGACTTTTTCGGTTCATTTGTTTTTGTGACACTGTGGAACCCAGTTCAGCCACTGATTGATTGATTGATTGATTGATTGTGTAACTGGGGAAATGGATAAAAGCCCCCCATGCAAACAATGAACTATCATCAGTGCAGGCAAGAATTTTTAAAAACATTATTTTTATCATCTACAATACTGCCTTATCTACTTTATAGTACAGTACATTGATTATTGCTTTCATTTTATGGATCAATGGTCTCGTTAGATAGTAAAATCCATGTTGAATTGCTGTTTTAGGGGTTGTTTTTAAAAGTCTGGAACGGATTAATCCGTTTTGTATGACTTTCTATGGGAAAGCACGCCTTGGTTTTGAAACGCTTTGGTTTTGGAACGGATTAAGTTTGAGAACCAAGGTACCACTGTATAATGCTTTGAGTTAAGAACAGCAGAGCCCACCTTCCAACGGAATATGCAGAAATGGCGACACTTACCAGAACAACAAGAAATCAAGATAACAAACTGTTTATAAAAGAATGGAAATGGCTTATCGAATATTTACAGAAAAATTGGAAACGGGTAAAAACATTAGCAGGATTATCGTAATAAGCTGCAGTTTTCATAAGGGCATATATTTACTGCAGATAATTAAATGAGCAGGTGAAACGAATTTGGGTATTAAAAAACAATTTTAAGGAACCGCAGAAAGAGCGGGGAAGGAAGTCAGGTTTTGAAATGACAAATTGATTGTTTAACTAATGAAATGCATAGACTTGAAAAGTATAAATGAAAACTTTTCTTTAAAATCTGTGTCCAGGACAGCTGTTTACCAGCTCCATCTGGTACGCAGGCTGAGACGCTATCTGCCCGCGGACTGTCTCGCCAGAGTGGTGCATGCTCTGGTTATCTCCCGCTTGGACTACTGCCATGTGCTCTATGTGGGGCTGCCTTTGAAGGTGACCCAGAAACTGCAATTAATCCAGAACGCGGCAGCCAGACTGGGGACTGGGAGCGGCTGCCGAAACCACATAACACCGGTCTTGAAAGACCTACATTGGCTCCCAGGACGTTTCCGAGCACAATTCAAAGTGTTGGTGCTGACCTTGAAAGCCCTAAACGGCCTCGGTCCAGTATTCCTGAAGGAGCGTCTCCACCCCCATCGTTCTGCCCGGACACAGAGGTCCAGCGCCGAGGGCCTTCTGGCGGTTCCCTCATTGTGAGAAGCGAGGTTACAAGGAACCAGGCAGAGGGCCTTCTCGGTGGTGGCGCCCGCCCTGTGAAACAACCTCCCACCAGATGTCAAAGAGAACAACAACTACCAGACTTTTAGAAGACATGTGAAGGCAGCCCTGTTTAGGGAAGCTTTTAATGTTTGACGTATTACAGTATTTTAATATTTTCTTGGAAGCCGCCCAGAGTGGCTGGGGAAGCCCAGCCAGATGGGCGGGGTAGAAATAATAAAATTATTATTACTATAAAAGAAAAAAGGAGCGCAGGTTGCCGTCTTTGTGGTTCTGAAGGATGGCAAATTGGACCTTTGCCCGTCAGTTTTTCCTGCACAGATTCGGGACCCACATTTCAGGGGTCCATTCTCCCTTCCCCACTTTCTGACCCACCTTGTTCCTGGCTTCCTCCTCTAGTCGCCTCTTCTTGTCGAGGGCTTTAGTGGTCGCAGTGCTGCTGCCTGCGCTGGACCCCAGCTGCTCCTCTTCCGCCTTCACCATCACATGCTTGGCTTTTTCGGACTCTTCCGAGCGCTGCATGTACATCTGGCGAGCTTTTCTGAGGTTGCTCTCAGCCTCTTGCTATTGGGGGGGCCACACAAGTTAAGACCCTGCCTTGCTTCCCAAAAACATGCCATCCCAAACAAATCTCGTTTCATTTTCTTAAAATAATTTTTATTATGTTTCTTACAAATATAACACGTATCACAGCAAAAGAAAAACAGAGGGGAAAAACAAAAGAAAAAAGACAATATCACAAATAAAAACAAAAAAGAAAATAAAAAGCAAGGTACTTAAATACCTAAACAACCTAATCACCTAAACAACACAAATTAATTAATTAGACTTCTAACCTCATAAACATATTTTGGGCTTCCACTGGGCTCCCCCATCTGAATTTCCTTGTAATTAAAATGTAGCAGTTTTCTGGTATCATTCTTTAAAAACACAGTATTCCAATTAAAATAAAATTTCTTAACTTTCCTTTAGGTTCTAAATCTTTTATTATTTAATTAACTCTTAATTTAATCCTAGGCCTATTCTGGTACTTTCAAGTAATTTCTAAGTTTTGATATCACAGTATTTATTCATACAGTCCTTAAATTTCTTCCACTCCTTTTGGTATTCCTCTTCTTTTTGGTCACGGATTCTTCCAGTAAGGTCAGCCAGCTCCATATATTCCATCATTTTAAAATCTCGTTTCATTTTCAGTAAGAATTATGAGATCGGTGGATCAGGGGAATGCAAGGGACATCGTATGTCTTGATTTCAGTAAGGCTTGCGACAAAGCCCCTTGGTATTCTCTGAAGGAGCGTCTCCACCCCCATCGTCCAGCCTGGACACGGATGTCCAGCTCTGAGGGCCTTCTGGCGGTTCCCTCCCTACGAGAAGCGAGGTTACAGGGAACCAGGCAGAGGGCCTTCTCGGTGGTGGCGCCCGCCCTGTGAACGGCCACCCAGCAGATGTCAACTATAAACAACTATCTGACTTTTAGAAGACATCTGAAAGCAGCCCTATTTAGGGTGCATGCTCTGGTTATCTCCCGCTTGGACTACTGCCATGCGCTCTACGTGGGGCTCCCTTTGAAGGTGACCCGGAAACTACAACTAATCCAGAACGCGGCAGCTAGACTGGGGACTGGGAGCGGCCGCCGAGACCATATAACACTGGTCCCAAAAGACCTGCATTGGCTCCCAGGATGTTTCCGAGCACAATTCAAAGGGTTGGTGCTGACCTTGAAAGCCCCAAACGGCCCAGTAGACCTGAAGGAGCGTCTCCACCCCCATCGTCCAGCCTGGACACTGAGATCCAGCTCCGAGGGCCTTCTGGCGGTTCCCTCCCTGCGAGAAATGAGGTTACAGGGAACCAGGCAGAGGGCCTTCTCGGTGGTGGCGCCCGCCCTGTGGAACGCCCTCCCGTCAGATGTCAAGGAAATAAACAACTATCTGACTTTTAGAAGACATCTGAAGGCAGCCCTGTTTAGGGAAGCTTTTAATGTTTGATGTTTTATCAAGTTTTTAATATTCTATCTGGAGCTGCCCAGAGTGGTTGGAGAAACCCAGCCAGATGAGAGGGGTATAAATAATTATTAATAATATTCTTATTATTAAGAAGTTGGTAAAATGTTGGTTGAACGAGGAAACTGTCAGGTGACTTTGCATCTGGTTAACTGACCAAAACTGGAGACTGCTCACTAATGGTTTCTCACCATCGTGGGGAAAAGTGGTAACGTTGTTCAATGCCACTCAGATTTGAATTTATTTTCTTCTATTCTGTCTGCAGCATTTTGAACTGATGCATACTTTTGTTTCGGGCCATCCTACCCACGCAGCCCGTTTAAAAGCACCTGGGTTCACCCAAAGAACAGGGGTTGCGAGCTTAAGAGGACACAGCATTAAAGGAAAGTGGATCGGGGAGGGAGAAGGAAAAATCAAAACTCGGACACCACGCATTTGGAGTTGGAAGGTCTATGTGCAACCCCCTGCAATGTGGGAATCGCAGCTAAATGCCCCCCGAGCCCCAGATCCTCACCAGTTTCCGCTGAGCCCGGTGCCATTGCTCCTTGACCTCTTTCCGACGTTTTTCGTGCTCAAGGCGCCGGGTTGCCAACGGCTGAAGAGGAAAAATAACAGGGAGGGATGAGGAGTGGCTAAGTCCTTTGGCTGTAACTGGGCGACTTCTGGTTTTCAACATTGCAATATTGTGGTACCTTGGTTCTCAAATGCCTTGGTACCCAAATGACTTTGTTCCCAAACACTGGAAACCCAGAAGTTCTGGTTTTTGAGCATTTTCTGGAAGCCAAACATCCAATGCGGCTGTCGGCTATTGTTTCCGGGTCGCCTGCACCAATCAGAAGCCGTGCCTTGGTTTCTGAACATTTCAGAAGTCAAACGGACTTCCAGAACGGATTACGTTGGGTGCTTTTGTTGTTGTTATTTATTTTGCGTTTTCGTTTCTGAGGCTTTTTTGGTTCATTTGTTTTTGTGACTGTGCGGAACCCAGTTCAGCTACTGATTGATTGATAGATTGATTGATTGATAGATTAAAGGTAAAGGGACCCCTGACCATTGGGTCCACTCGTGGCCGACTCTGGGGTTGCGGCGCTCATCTCGCTTTACTGGCCGAGGGAGCTGGCGTACAGCTTCCAGGTCATGTGGACAGCAGGACGAAGCCGCTTCTGGAGAACCAGAGCAGCGCATGGAAACGCCGTTTACCTTCCCGCCGGAGCAGTACCTATTTATCTACTTTCACTTTGACGTGCTTTCGAACTGCTAGGTTGGCAGGAGCAGGGACCGAGCAACCGGAGCTCACCCCATCGCGGGGATTCGAACCACCGACCTTCTGATCGGCAAACCCTAGGCTCTGTGGTTTAACCCACAGCGCCATCCGCGTCCCTTGAGCAGCCAAGTACAACATTAAAGGTAAAGGTAAAGGGACCCCTGACCGTTAGGTCCAGTCGTGGCCGACTCTGGGGTTGCGGCGCTCATCTCACTTTACTGGCCGAGGGAGCCGGCGTACAGCTTCCGGGTCATGTGGCCAGCAGGACTAAGCCGCTTCTGGCGAACCAGAGCAGCGCACGGAAACACCGTTTACCTTCCCGCTGGAGCGGTACCTATTTATCTACTTGCACTTTGATGTGCTTTCAAACTGCTAGGTGGGCAGGAGCAGGGACTGAGCAACGGGAGCTCACCCGGTTGCGGGGATTCGAACCACCGACCTTCCGATCGGCAAGCCCTAGGCTCTGTGATAGGTTAGCTGGTAGGTAAATCTGTCACTGCCGCCACATCGGAAAGAAGAGAGAATGTGCTCTTTCCACCAGCTCCCCTCTTACCTGCAGGAATGTTTCTGACCTCAAGGTGACGGCCGCTTGCTGAGAGTTGACCCCGAACTCGGCGTCTTGCTCCAGCGCCAGGGAGTAGATGGAGAAAAAGGGCATGAAAGGCTGAGAAGCAGGAAAAACGGGGGTCAGTTTGCGCAAGGAGCGAAAAGAACTGGACCAGAAAGCAGACAAAACACCTGGTCCTTCGACTCTGTTGTCACAGAATTGCCCCAAAACTTTAGTTCTACTCAGTGTTGACCGAACGAAACAGAGAAATCTTGCTTCGCTTTGCATCGTAGAAGTTATTTATGTGAAAAGACTAGAGCTAGGCAGTTGATGAATTCATAGTTAAAGCGAACGGATAATTGTTCCGCTATAAATCTTAAAAAATCACCTTAACTGCTCATGCTAATCGCTATAAAGATATTTTTGTACCATATTTTAACACCTTTCAGAGCATCACTCTGCACTTCTGAGGCTTCGCGTTGCTATCGCTGAAGCCAATTAGCCTGCATTCGCTCCATAGGACGCACACACATTTCCCCTTCATTTTTGGAGGGGGGAAAGTGCGTCCTATAGAGCGAAAAATACGGTATCTTGGGGTAAATTCAGAACGTGGAATTGTCGGTTGCAACTAGTCTGCTTCCCCGGCCCCCACACCCAAAAGAAAAGGTTGGGCTTTGGAGGAAAGGTGAGATAACAGGTATAAAAAATAAATAAATTCAGAAAGGGCTACACTCTAACTGCATTATGGGATGACGGTCTTACCTCCTGACTGATGGTCTGTTTGCAGGAATTAACCATCTTCTGAAGTCCCTTGGCAAACTCCATTTCTGGGCAGAGGGAGGGAAAAGAGAGTGTATTTTTTAAAATAAAAGTGTACATTAAAAAAACAAACCTTTCTTGCAAACTCTAGATTTCCCTTTCCTGGGTTTCAGACTAGGACCTGGGAGTCTAATATTCTTTTAAAATAATTTTTCAGTTGAAGGATTGTGCCAAATTGGCAAATAATGACCGGGAGAATCAGAAATCAGGAAGATCAAAATAAGGAATGGGAGAAATTTATAATTTATCTTTAAAAAAAACCATTGCAAACAGTTAAAACTATTAGCAGGACTGGAATAACACTTGTAGGTTAATGATGAATTTGGGGCATAATGGAGATGTAAAAGATTTGGGCCGGATTTAGGTTTGATGAGGCCCCAAGCTCCTGAAGTTATTGGGGCCCTTTCTATGTCCAGCTGTCCTTTGTCAACAACAAATTGTCGCTGGTTTTTGTGTTGAATATATGCTATATGGCAATTGATGGACCTCATAGGTATCTCAAGCCATTTGCCCATGTTGCCCTGCAACCAGTCCATGCAGAATGTAGGCACCCTATATATAGAAAGGAGCAAAGCAGGGATATTTTAGGGAGCAGGCGGGGCCCATGACTTACATCCGTGATGGCCAAACTTGGCCCTCCAGCTGTTTTGGGACTACAACTCCCATCATCCCTAGCTAACAGGACCAGTGGTCAGGGTTGATGGGAATTGTAGTCCCAAAACAGCCAGGTTTGGCCACCACTGACTTACATCAGAGGAGCCTACACAACACAAAACACTGTTGCTGGATGTAGGTTTTATTTCATTTGTTTTTTATCTTATATTTTTGAAATGTGCATTCAGGGTTTTTTCCCCTTTAATTTTTTTGGGGCCCCCAAGAGATTGGGGCCCTAAGCTAGAGCTTGTTTAGCTTATACAGTGGTACCCCGGGCTACATATGCTTCAGGTTACATATGCTTCAGGTTACAGACTCCGCTAACCCAGAAATAGTTTCAGGTTAAGAACTTTGCTTCAGGATGAGAACAGAAATCGTGCTTTGGCGGCAGCAGGTGGCCCCATTAGCTCAAGTGGTGCTTCAGGTTAAGAACAGTTTCAGGTTAAGAACGGACCTCCGGAACAAATTAAGTACTTAACCCAAGGGAGCACTGTAGTCAAAGCTCTGGTTTTCCCAGTAGTGATGTATGGAAGTGAGAGCTGGACTATCAAGAAGGCTGATCGCCGAAGAATGGATGCTTTTGAATTCTGGTGCTGGAGGAGACTCTTGAGAGTCCCATGGACTGCAAGAAGATCCAACCTCTCCATTCGGAAGGAAATCAGCCCTGAGTGCTCACTGGAAGGACAGATCCTGAAGCTGAGGCTCCAAGACTTTGGCCACCTCATGAGAAGAGAAGACTCCCTGGAAAAGACCCTGATGTTGGGAAAGATGGAGGGCGCAAGGAGAAGGGGACGACGGAGGACGAGATGGTTGGACAGTGTTCTCGAAGCCACCAGCATGAGTTCGACCAAACTGCGGGAGGCAGTGGAAGACAAGAGGGCCTGGCGTGCTCTGGTCCAGGGGGTCACGAAGAGGCGGACACGACTAAACGACTAAACAACCACCACCACTGTAGTAAATATCCAGCACTGTCCACAACAGAGCGGAGGAGATCCCTGCTACTTTCCTCCCTCCCTCCCTTGCCCTGCTCACCTAGGGCGGTCCTTTTCTCTAGGTAATACATCAAGTCCTTCATATACTTGGAGACGTTCTTGGCGTAATGTAGAGCCGCCTCGACTCCTCCCTCGCACCTTTGCAGGAGGACGTCCACCTCTTCGGCCGACAGACGGACTGGGGAGGGAAAGGGAAGAGAGGCATGAGATGTAAGAAGGGGTTGCCTGCAGGATCTCGGCCACGAGCCCATATATTCTCTTTTTTTGTAATTATTTTATTAGATTTTCCACAATTATAACCAAAACCGCAAAGCAGAACGACACACAAAAGCAGAAAAAAAGAAAAACACATCAACGAACAGAAAAAGGAACAATAAACAATGACAACAAACTTAATTCTACACAAATCCAACTTTTTAAACATCTTAGCTGACTTCCTCTAGTCCCTCCCTTCTGAGTTTCCTTGTAGTTGAAAGCAACAGCTTTCCAATGTCATTATTAAACTAAAACCATTTCCAATTATAATCCACCTTATTCACTTTTCTTAATATTCTAAATCCCAGTTATTTAATTATAACTTAATCCAAGGCCTATTTGTTTCTTTCAAGTAATTTCTAATTTTTTATTTTACAATATTTAATCAAATAGTCCTTAAAATTTCCTCCAGTCCTCTTGAAACTCCTTTCTGGTCGCGGATTCTTCCAGTCAGGTCAGCTAGCTCCGAAAAATCCATCTATATTCTCGCAGGAGCCCCTAAGAACCCAAGAATCTGGATAGACTGGCTTGGGAGCTGGAGGTTCCACGAGAACACACAAAAGATCCTGTCTGCTTCCAGCAACCTCCAACTACGGCTGTATCTGGCCCCTGAAGGACCAGTTGCGCAGCCTGGGGGTCATTTTGGACTCACAGCTATCTATGGAGGCGCAGGTCAATTCTGTGTCCAGGGCAGCTCCATCTGGTACGCAGGATGAGACCCTCCCTGCCCGCAGGCTGTCTCGCCAGAGTAGTGCATGCTCTGGTTGTCTCCCGCTTGGACTACTGCCATGCGCTCTACGTGGGGCTACCTTTGAAGGTGACCTGGAAACTGCAACTAATCCAGAACGCGGCATCCAGACTGGTGACTGGGAGCAGCCGCCGAGACCACATAACACCGGTCTTGAAAGACCTACATTGGCTCCCAGGATGTTTCCGAGCACAATTCAAAGTGTTGGCGCTGACCTTGAAAGCCCTAAACGGCCCAGTATCCCTGAAGGAGCGTCTCCACCCCCATCATCCAGCCCGGACACCTGGGTCCATCTCCTGAGGGCCTTCTGGCGGTTCCCTCCCTGTGAGAAGTGAGGTTGCAGGGAACCAGGCAGAGGGCCTTCTCGGTGGTGGCGCCCTCCCTGTGGAACGCCCTCCTATCAGATGTCAAGGAAATAAACAACTACCTGACTTTTAGAAGACATCTGAAGGCAGCCCTGTTTAGGGAAGCTTTTAATATTTTATCTTTTATCGTGTTTTTGATATTCTGTTGGGAATCACTCAGAGTGGCTGGGAACACCCAGCGGTATGTGTGTGTGTGTAGTTGTTATTCTTCTTGTTGTTGTTGTCTCAATATACTGTACTGTTTAGATTAGGAGGACCTGCTTCCAGGTTTCCCAGAAGGGGATCTTGTTTTCTCGTTTCCAGGCATTTTAGCACAGTGGGGCAGCGTGCTATTGCTCACAAAAGGAGCCTGACGTTCGATTATCTATGGCCCTATCAAGGTCCCATTCGTGGGGGGTTGGATCAATGCGCAAACATTAGTGAAATCGGTGCGCATTAGTGAAAAAGGCAGGCCAGAAAGCCACAATGGAGACTCGCACTTACTCGAGGTGAAACCTTCCATGCCGTCTGAGATCCCTTCGCCGCCTTGCCCAGGAATTCCCCCGTAGAGATTTTCCATCGACTGGGGGCGAGAAAATGTCGTTAGTCCTACGAGCGAGGAATTTCCAACCACGCGAAAGTCAGAGATGCACGCGCCTATCTGAACATCCTCAATCTGGGTGTTACAGCGGTTCCTTGGTTCTCAAACGCCTTGGAACTCGAACAACTTGGAACCCAAACTCTGCAAACCCGGAAGGAAGTGTTCTGGTTTGCGAACTTGTTTTGGAAGCCGAACGTGCTCCGTTTTGAGTGTCGTGCTTCCGATTTGAGTGTTATGCTGAGGTCTGTCTGTTTTTGCTATTTATTTTGCGTTTCTGTTTTTGTGGCTCTTTTTCGTTTTGTTTTTGTGACTGTGTGGAACCCAGTTCAGCTACTGATTGATTGTGTGGCTGCAGTACATTGTTTATTCCTTTCATTTTACGGATCAATGGTTAGATAGCAAAATCCATGTCATATTGCTGTTTCAGGGGTTGTTTTTAAAATTCTCGCACGTTCTCAAACTTAATCCGTTCCGGAAATTCCATTCCAAAAACAAAGCGTTCCAAAACCAAGGTGTGCTTTCGCATAGAAAGTCATGCAAAACGGATTAATCCGTTCCAGACGTTTAAAAGGTAAAAAGGTAAAGGACACCTGGACGGTTAAGTCCACTCAAAGGTGACTCTGGGGTTGCGGCGCTCATCTCGCTTTCAGGCCGAGGGAGCTGGTGTTTGTCCGCAGACAGCTTCCCGGGTCATGGGGCCAGCAGGACTAAACCACTTCTGGTGCAACGGGACACCGTGACGGAAACCAGAGCGCACGGAAACGCCGTTTACCTTCCCGCCGGAGCGGTACCTATTTATCTACTTGCACTGGCGTGCTTTCGAACTCCTAGGTTGGCAGGAGCTGGGACCGAGCAACGGGAGCTCCCCCCGTCGCGGGGATTCGAATCCCCAACCTTCCGATCGGCAAGCCCAAGAGGCTCAGGGGTTTAGACCACAGCGCCACCCGCGTCCCTTTACCAGGAGTGAGATGTGGAGTCCTTAATTTATGCAGGCATGATTTTTGCGCAGGTGGTGCTGTGGTCTAAACCACAGAGCCTAGGACTTGCCGATCAGAAGGTCGGCAGTTCGAATCCCCACGACGGGGTGAGCTCCCGTTGCTCAGTTCATGCTCCTGCCAACCTAGCAGTTCAAAAGCACAAAGTGCAAGAAGATAAACAGGTACCACTCCGGCGGGAAGGTAAACGGCGTTTCCGTGCGCTGCTCTGGTTCACCAGAAGCAGCTTAGTCCTGCTGGCCACATGACCCGGAAGCTGTACACCGGCTCCCTCGGCCAGTAAAGCGAGATGAGCGCCGCAACCCCAGAGTCGGCCACGACTGGACGTAATGGTCAGGGGTCCCTTTACCTTATGTTTGCTTTGCTGTTCTTGTGGTTCAGTTTCAAACCAGTTCTTTGTATTCTACGCATTGTGGCCAATTGTGACGGCTTTTAGCTTTCAGCTATAAAGATTTGAGTCATTCGTTCATTAGCCGGGACGCCTCACCTGGTTGTGATCACTAGGAGGGATGGAGAGAAGGGTGCTGCTATCTACTTCCCCCATGAGGAGTTCGGAGACCCTGTTTTGGGGGAGAGAAAGCACGTTTATAAAGCAAAACGAGGGACAAAACAAGCACATTAATTTTGCACTTTGCTCAAATCGCTGTGGTTCATTCGCCTTAATTCATTACCCAACAGACCAGGGTGGAATCTAGGTGCATGTAAAAAAAGCCGTGGAAAAATGCTTTTTCGAAAAATATATTGAATTTGCCCTTAGCTCGCCATTGCCACCTACTGTCTCGTTTGTACAGGGCGCTGAAAAGGCACATTATTTTTTCAGCTGTGTAGCTGAATCCCTTGTTCTGAAAATCATGTTGTTCCTCCTTATTCACAAACCCCAAATCGTCTCCAGGTAACGCCGCCTTGAGTTAATTTAACATCTCCCCCCCCCAAAAAAAACCAGGGACCAAAATCACCTTCTGATTCCATGCCACAAAAGTCACTAAATACCCAGGAAAATGTTTAGGGTGTCCATCATCTCTGGCCAAAGCCTGGGTATCACTGGTTGTTTAAAAGCTGTTGTAACCTCAAGCAAAGGCTGCCCAGCCTCCTCTAACCCCAAATTTCACCCCCTGAGTGGGGGTTGAGCTGGATGTCCTCTAAAGGGCCCCTTCCAATTCTACGACCCGGAATCATGCGCTTTTAGGGAAAGCACAAAGAAGTCCTCTGCTTACGTGCCGCTGAAGGAAACGGCGATCATCTCCAGGGCCTTTTCGAATTCTCGTTTGTCAGCTTCGATGTTGGATTCGTAATGGAAACCTACAGATTATTATTTTTTTATTATTAATATATTCATTGAAGAAGTGCAATGATAAAGGAATAAAGTGATACACAGGGGGGAGGGGAAATGAGGGGGGGTGAGAAAACAAATATGCATATATAAAAAAGAAATCAAAAAATGTAATATACTCCCATACATTCTTACGAAAATTGATCTAGTGATATTACCCTAAGGTAAAGGTAAGGGACCCCTGACCATTAGGTCCATTTGTGGCCGACTCTGGGGTTGCTGCGCTCATCTCGCTTTACTGGCCGAGGGAGCCCCCGTACAGCTTCCGGGTCATGTGGCCAGCAGGACTAAGCCGCTTCTGGCGAACCAGAGCAGTGCACGGAAACGCCGTTTACCTTCCCGCCAGAGCGGTACCTATTTATCTGCTTGCATTTTGACGTGCTTTCGAACTGCTAGGTTGGCAGGAACTGGGACCGAGCAACGGGAGCTCACCCCGTCACGGGGATTCGAACCGCTGACCTTCTGATCGGCAAGTCCTAGGCTCTGTGGTTTAACCCACAGCGCCACCCACGTCCCACAATATGCAGTGCTTTTTTTTCCTTTTAGAAAATGTTTAGGGGTACTCTCATTTAGACTCAAGAAAACCACCATTTTATAATTAAAAATTGGGAAAAATAAATACAGTAAATGGGAAAAAAAATATAGTGGTACCTCGGGTTACATACACTTCAGGTTACAGATTCCGCTAACCCAGAAATAGTGCTTCAGTTTAAGAACTTTGCTTCAGGATGAGAACAGAAATCGTGCTCCAGCAGCAGCGGGAGGCCCAATTAGCTAAAGTGGTGCTTCAGGTTAAGAACAGTTTCAGGTTAAATACGGACCTCTGGAACGAATTAAGTCCTTAACCCAAGGTACCATTGTACAAAGATTCACAAAATGTTTAGGGGTATGTGCACCCCTGTGTCTCATCCCCAGAAAATAGCAGTGTCCTAGTGCATATATCAGATTTGGATTAAATTTACGGAGGTGGTGTTTTTTTAGAAAATAAAGGAGAGTTTTGGGGAAGTGCGAAATGTCAGCCGCGCGTCATTTTGCAAAGCATGTGACTGACCTTTGACTTTGGAGATGAGCGTTCCCGCCGCGGTCAGCGTCTCCAGCGTGTTGAGCAGAGGGTATTTGGCGACCACCTGCCGCAGGATCCGCAAGGCGTCCCCCAGGTTCTCGTGGGCCAGCGCCCGGCGGGACTCCAGCCCGTCTGCAAAAGAGAGAGAAGACCTGCCAGTTACGGCCCGTTGGTGCAATCGTAGCATGCGCTGCGCCTGTTGGATTTCTGTCTGCCGTCCCGCTGATGCAGGAGCCCACTTTGCGGGACTCGGCAAGAAGGAGGAAACCAGAACGGACCCCCAAACGGCTTGCGGCCCGTCGGTGCAATCGTAGCACGCGCCGCACCTGTTCAATTTCTGCCTGACGTCCCTCTGATGCGGCAGCAGGGACTCGGCAAGAAGGACAAAACCAGAACGGACCCCCTGGCTACAGTGATAATGGCAAGGTTGCAGGTTCGATACCCATCTAAGGCAGCTGCGTTTCAGGGGGTTGGACTAGATGACCGTTGGTTCCCTTCCCAACTCTATAGTTCCAATATTTGTATCTGCCTCTCACCTGCCTCTTGGGCTCCTTGCCTCCCTCCCCACAAGTCCCAGAACCCACAATTTCGTTATCATCTGCCCCTCGGGGCAGGAGAGATGCGCCGTTTTCAAACAGGGTCAGAAATCCAGCCGCTGCTTCGGGAGGAGGCGGCGGTGTAGTGGTTAGAGCTATGGAGATGAGGATCCCTGCTCCGCCGTGAGGCTCACTGTGTGATCGTGGGGAGGCAAGACCCCCTATTCCCCCAGAAAGCTATATTACCCAGAACGGTTTAACAATCAATCTGTCTTGCCAAAAAAACCCCACCCTCTGGGAATTGTAGTTCTCTGTGTTGGGGGGAAATAGGGCTTTCCTTTTCAACTTGCAGCACAGCTTAAACTACATTTCACAAGATTCTTTTTACGGGATGCCAAGACGGCAAACTACAGCTCCCATAACTCTTTTGGGCAGAGGATGTGCCCCAAACTACAGCTCCCATAATTATTTGGGGCAGAGCATGTCACCACTCCATACTACAGCTCCCACAATTCTTTGGGGCAGAGCAAACTACAGCTCCCATAATTCTTTGGGGCAGAGCATGTGCCCAAAACTACAGCTCCCACAATTCTTTGGTGGCAGAGCAAGCGCCCGAAACTACAGCTCCCACAATTCTTTGGTGGCAGAGCAAGCGCCCGAAACTACAGCTCCCACAATTCTTTGGGGCAGAGCATGCGCCCCAAACTACAGCTCCCATAATTCTTTGGGGCAGAGCATGTCACCACTCCATACTACAGCTCCCACAATTCTTTGGGGCAGAGCAAACTACAGCTCCCATAATTATTTGGGGCAGAGCAAGCGCCCGAAACTACAGCTCCCACAATTCTTTGGGGCAGAGCAAGCGCCCCAAACTACATCTCCCACAATTCTTTGGGGAGGAGCATAGCCCTGTTCCTTCCCCCCCAAACCCGGTAAGTTGGCAACCTCTCTCTGTCCAAGGTCTTCTCTGGAATGTTTCCCTTCCTGTTTACATTCAGGAAGGGAAGATGGAAAGAAGGAAGTGACCGCCTCTTGCGACATTTGAGATAACCCGCTTGACCGCTGACCCCCATCCCTAAACCATCACCCGCCCAGATTGTATCATCGTTTCTGGGCATTCTCATCCCCAGGGAAGGAAGGAGTGAACGTCGGGTTTTCGCTCCTAATTTCTCCAGTTCTCAAACTCGGGTTCTGCACGTTTTGCACCCGTTTGCAATAAAAACAAAATAAAAACTAAACTAAACTAAACTAAAAACTAAACTGAAAACTAAACTAAACTAAACAAAACTGAAAACAAAACTGAAAACTAAACTAAACACTAAACTAAACTAAACACTAAACTAAACTAAAAACTAAACTAAAAATTAAACTAAACTAAAACTAAAACTAAAACTAAACCCTTACGGCAACTCAGCAGAATATTAGTGAAATTTCCCGTCTTGTACGCAGCTTTGAATAACGTGCTTTTTTCCCGGGTGGCGTCAATTTCCCCCTATAAGTTTTAATTACTTTTAGCATTTATTATTTCCACCTTTTCCTTTCCCCTGCATGGTTCACCCCCTCCTCAACGAACCCTCCTGCAACGACCCTCAGTTAGGCAGAGAGGCAGTCGACTGCCCCCCAAGAGATCATTGTGGCTCGGTCGGGACTCGAACCCAGATCTCCCAGCTCCTAGCAAGCGCGCGACCCTCACAATAACCATGGGAGGTCGGTTCGGCCGAGAGAGGTGGCGGCTGCCCCGTCCCCAAGGCCACCCAGGGCGAATTTTGTGGCCGGGTCGGAATTCGAACCCGGATCTCGCGGGCCTGATGGCGCACAACTGCATGGCTGGGTCAGATTTCGAACCCAGGCCTCGCGCGACTGCAAGCCCATTGCTCAAGCGAGCCAGAGGACATTGCGGGGAGGGCGACGGGCACCCAGGCACGCCCGCGGAGGGTTTATCAGGGCGCTGCCAGCTGCCGCGGGCTCGGCGTAAACAGGAAAGGCGGGTGGATGAAAATAGAGGCAGGAAGCGGCAAATATCGCATCCCTCTTGCCACCGTCTGATGTGGCAACCGCCTCTCTCTCTGTCCCCAGAGGCCGTGCCCAGCTGGCGGTTGCAAAACCGGGCGCATGCGCCGCTCCTTTTCCCCAAAGGAAATGAAACATTCATTGGCAATATGGAAGTAATAATAATAATAATAATAATAATAATAATAATGTCTTTAAATCATGCGTCAGAACCCGTTCCACTCCCTCCCCATCAGGCTGGATTTGATTTAAATCAGGCACGTCCAAAGTCCGTTTTGAGGGCCTAATCCGGCCCCCGTCTCAGTTTATTTCTGGGTAAAAATACTTTAAAAAAGCTCAACCGCTTTGGGGTAAAACCCTAAAAAGGGGTTGAGAACATCAATCCTAAATAAAGGTCAACAACTTTGGTCAGCCCTTGCGGCCCTTCACTTCATCCAATGTGGCCCTCTTTGAGAAAAGTTTGGGCACCACTGCCATATAGCAGGCGTCCCAAACCTTCGGCCCTCCAGATGTTTCAGACTACAGTTCCCATCGTCCCTGACCACTGGTCCTGCTAGCTAGGGGTGATGGGAGTTGTAGTTCTAAAACATCTGGAGCAGGCATCCCCAAACTCGGCCCTCCGGATGTTTTGGGACTACAACTCCCATCATCCCTAGCTAACAGGACCAGTGGTCAGAGATCATCAAGGGGTTTGGGCTGGGTGTTCACCAGTATGCGGATGATACCCAGCTCTACCTCTCTTTCAAATCAGAACCAGTGAAGGCGGTGAAGGTCCTGTGTGAGTGTCTGGAGGCGGTTGGAAGATGGATGGCGGCTAACGGATTGAGGTTGAATCCTGACAAGACAGAAGTACTGTTTTTGGTGGACAGGAGGCGGGCAGGTGTGGAGGACTCCCTGGTCCTGAATGGGGTCACTGTGCCCCTGAAGGACCAGGTGCGCAGCCTGGGAGTTACTCTGGACTCACAGCTGTCCATGGAGGCGCAGGTCAGTTCTTTGTCCAGGGCAGCTCCATCTGGTATGCAGGATGAGACCCTACCTGCCGGCAGACTGTCTGGCCAGAGTGGTGCATGCTCTGGTTATCTCCCGCTTGGACTACTGCCATGCGCTCTCCATGGGGCTGCCTTTGCAGGTGACCCGGAAACTACAACTAATCCAGAATGCGGCAGCTGGACTGGGGACTGGGAGCGGCCGCCGAGACCACATAACACCGGTCTTGAAAGACCTACACTGGCTCCCAGTCTGTTTCCGAGCACAATTCAAAGTGTTGGGGCCGACTTTGAAAGCCCTAAACGGCCCAGTATCCCTGAAGGAGCATCTCCACCCCCATCGTCCAGCCCGGACACCTGGGTCCATCTCCTGAGGGCCTTCTGGCGGTTCCCTCCCTGCGAGAAGTGAGGTTGCAGGTAACCAGGCAGAGGGCCTTCTCCGTGGTGGCGCCCCCCCGTGGAACGCCCTCCCGCCAGATATCAAGGAAATAAACAACTATCTGACTTTTAGAAGACATCTGAAGGCAGCCCTGTTTAGGGAAGCTTTATAATGTTGAATTGGTTATTGTGTTTTAGTGTTTTCTTGGCAGCCGCCCAGAGTGGCTGGGGAAGCCCAGCCAGACGGGTGGGGTATAAATAATAAATTATTACTATTATATTTTTATTTAGGGTCCCACTACAACAGTGACTCCTAGCAGCAGAACATACGCATTGCGATACAGTGTCATGCTAGAGACCTCTAGGGGCAGAAAATGCTCAATACAGCACAGCTTTATAAATAAATAAATTATTATTATTATTATATTATTAACGCAAAACAAACGGCAATTTGCGGTCGGGCACAGAAAGGGCCCCAGGAGCTGAGGGCCGCATCAAAGCTCAATCCGGCCCCCGACCACTTACCCTCCCGGAGAACCACATCCCGCAGCTTCTCCAGCGGCTCGGCCAAGCGGGTCACGTCGGCCAGCAGTTGGGAGATTTCCTCCGGCTCCATCAGGCTGCCCTCGCCGCCGTCGCAGGGGCTGTACGCCTTGGCGGCTTTGCCCAGGCCCCGGGGGACGGCCGGCGAGAGCGGGAACCCTGCGGCGCTGGCGTGGCGGCTGAGGCTGGTGGGGCGCTTGAGGGTGCCGGCCGGGGTGGGCACGGAGAGGTCCGCCAGGCTGGAGGAGGTCGAGGAGTCCAGGCCATCCCGGCGCGGCAGCTCCTGGGAAGAAGGAAAAGGCATCCGGGTCACACGGGGCAGTACTTGAACTCAGAACCTTTGGCTCCACCAAGTTCAGAACTCATTGGAAGAACCAATAGGCACTCGGATCGCTCAGGGCGGGACTAGAACTCGGAGCCTTTGGCTCCACCAACTTCAGAACGCCTTGGAAGAACTAATAGGCAATCAGGTCAGGATTAGAACTCAGAACCTTTGGCCCCGCCAACTGCAGAACGCCTTGGAAGAGCCAATAGGCACTCAGGGCAGGACTAGAACTCAGAGCCTTTGGCCTGACCAACTTCAGAACTCATTGGAAGACGGAAAAGGCACTCAGGGTAGGATTAGAACTCAGAGCCTTTGGCTCCACCGACTTCAGAACACTTTGGAAGAACCAATAGGAACTCAGGGCAGGATTAGAACTCAGAACCTTTGGCCCCGTCAACTTCAGAACTCATTGGAAGAAGCAAAAGGCACTCAGGGCAGGACTAGAACTCAGAGCCTTTGGCCCCGTCAACTTCAGAACTCATTGGAAGATGCAAAAGGCACTCAGGACAGGATTAGAACTCAGAACCTTTGGCTCCACCGACTTCAGAACGCTTTGGAAGAACCAATAGGCACTCAGTGCAGGACTAGAACTCAGAACCTTTGGCCCCACCAACTTCAGAAGTCATTGGAAGAAGCAAAAGGCATTCGGGTCACTCAGGGCAGGATTAGAACTCAGAGCCTTTGGCTCCACCGACTTCAGAACGCCTTGGAAGAAGCAAAAGGCACTCAGGGTAGGATTAGAACTCAGAGCCTTTGGCTCCACCGACTTCAGAACACTTTGGAAGAACCAATAGGAACTCAGGGAAGGATTAGAACTCAGAACCTTTGGCTCCACCGACTTCAGAACGCCTTGGAAGAACCAATAGGCACTCAGCGCAGGACTAGAACTCAGAACCTTTGGCTCCACCGACTTCAGAACGCCTTGGAAGAACCAATAGGCACTCAGCGCAGGACTAGAACTCAGAACCTTTGGCCCCACCAACTTCAGAAGTCATTGGAAGAAGCAAAAGGCATTCGGGTCACTCAGGGCAGGATTAGAACTCAGATCCTGTGGCACCGCCAACTGCAGAACTCATTGGAAGAAGCAAAAGGCACTCAGGGCAGGACTAGAACTCAGATCCTGTGGCACCGCCAACTGCAGAACTCATTGGAAGAACCAATAGGCACTCAGCGCAGGACTAGAACTCAGAACCTTTGGCCCCACCAGCTTCAGAACGCCTTGGAAGATCCAATAGGCACTCAGGTCAGGATTAGAACTCAGAGCCTTTGGCCCCATCAACTGCAGAACTCATTGGAAGAAGCAAAAGGCACTCAGGGCAGGATTAGAACTCAGAGCCTTTGGTTCCACCAACTTCAGAACGCATTGGAAGAACCAATAGGCACTCGGTTCACTCTTTGTTTTGAATTTGGGGGAAATTTCAATTTCAAGAAATAAGAAAAGGTGTTTGTGGGAGGGGGAGTCTTGATTCGTTTGTTCTGGGAAAGTGTCACTTTTGCACAATTTTCAAATTTAATAAGAAGAGGCATTTGTTCGAGGGGGGTTATTCGTTTGTTCTGACTTTTGGGAAAATTTCAAATTTAAGTAAAAATACTAAGTGTTTGTGGGAGCGGGGTTTTTGATTGGTTTTGACTTTTGGGTAAGTTTGACTTTTGGAAAAGTTTGAAATTTAAGAAGAAAGAATGGGCATGCAATGAATTAGTTGTGATTCGGGAATTTGCCGAATCCTCTTTTTGAAGGTTCACGCGGGCGGAAAAAGGTCCAGCCCTTTGTTGCAAAAAAATCCACATTCTGCAAATTATTCCACAGAGGCGAGCGGTTGAGTCTCGTGGTATCTTAGGAACCACAATTGCTCAACAGCGATGACTTTAGCTTTGACGTCAATCTTGCCGGCGCTTGAGAAACCGTAGCCGTATGACCTCTGGCCAAAAATTATATATTAAAAAATATATATGTTTTGGGACTACAACTCCCATCATCCCTAGCTAGCAAGACCAGTGGTCAGGGATGATGGGAATTGTAGTCCCAAAACATCTTTTTTATATATATAGAATTTTTTATTAGTTTTTTTTAACATATCATTTTCAACAGTCATTAAACATGCTTTTACATCGTATTCAAATTTTTGACTTCCATCAATCCTGTCTGAAAATTTTCCAATCTACAGGTGAAACTCAAAAAATTAGAATATCGTGGAAAAGTTCATTGATTTCAGGAATTCAACTTGAATGGTGAAACTAATAGATGAGATCGACTCGTGACATGCAAAGCGAGATGTGTGTCTGCTTCTCAGAGGTCCAATCTTGCTCAATTTGCAATCCTTGTTTTGCTGATTTCCTTGAATATTCTAATTTTCTGAGATGGTTAATTTGGGGTTTTCACCAGCTGTACGCCATGATCACAAATCAAAGCTTGACATATCTCGCTTTGCATGTCATGAGTCTATCTCATATATTAGTTTCACCTTTCAAGCTGAATTCCTGAAATCAAGGAACTTTCCCACAATATTCTAATTTTTAAAGTTTCACCTGTAATCTCTCAGAATGCATTTCTTATCTTCCCTATTACATTTCAAACTCATAACCAATATCTCTATCTTTAATCTACCTTGTAAACACTTCGTATATTTCTCCTTACGAAACTTCTTGTAGTCCTACTAGCCTAATTTGTTGATTACAGTTGCTCTTCAAATAATTCATATACTTCTTCCAATCTTCTGTAAATCTCTGGTCCCGCAGGTTTCGAATCCTTCCTGTCATTTTGTCCAATTCTGCATAGTCCATTAATTTCATCTGCCATTCTTGTTTCGTCAGAATTTATTCTTGCTTCCATTTCTGGGCTAACAATACTCTTTACCGGACATCTGAATCTGTTTCCTGAATTGCAGAATTGGACAAAATTGTAGTCCCAAAACATCTGGAGGGCCAAATTTGCCTATGCCTGCTTTAGACCATGGGTAGGCAAACTGAGGCCCGGGGGCCGGATCCGGCCCAATCGCCTTCTCAATCCGGCCCCCGGACGGTCCGGGAATCAGCGTATTTTTACAGGAGTAGAATGTGTGCTTTTATTTAAAATGCACCTCTGGGTTATTTGTGGGGTATAGGAATTCGTTCATTTCCCCCCCAAAATATAGTCCGGCCCCCCACAAGGTCTGAGGGACGGTGGACCGGACCCCTGCTAAAAAGTTTGCTGACCGCTGGCCTTAGGCCATATCCCAGCTGCTGGCTTTATTGGATATCATGGAATCATAGAATTGTAGACTTGGAAAATACCTCTAAGATTCATTCCCCAGAGTGGCTGGGGAAACTCAGCCAGATGGGCGGGGTATAAATAATAAATTATTATTATTATTATTATTATTATTATTATTATTATTATTATCTAGTCCAACCCCCTCCGACGCAGGAATCTCAGCTAGAGCATCGCTGATAGGTGCCCATTCAAGCTCTGCTATAATAATAATAATAATAATAAATTCTTATTTATACCCCACCCAACTGGCTGGGTTTCCTTAGCCACTCTGCGTGGCTCCCAACAGAATATTAAAAACACGATAAAACGTCAAAGAATAAAAACGTCCCTAAACAGGGCTGCCTTAAGTTGTCTTCTAAAAGTCAGAAGGTTGTGTATTTCCTTGACATCTGATGGGAGGGCGTTCCACAGGGCGGGCACCACCACCGAGAAGGCCCTCTGCCTGGTTCCCTGTAACCTCACTTCTCGCAGGGAGGGAACTGCCAGAAGGCCCTCGGAGATGGACCCAGGTGTCCGGGCGGAACAATTGGGGCGGAGATGCTCCTTCAGGGATACTGGGCCGTTTAGGGCTTTCAAGATCAGCGCCAACACTTTGAATTGTGCTCGGAAACGTCCTGGGAGCCAATGTAGGTCTTTCGGGACCGGTGTTATACGGTCTCGGTGGCCACTCTCAGTCCCCAGTCTGGCTGCCGCATTCTGGATTAGTTGTACAGTGGTGCCTCGCAAGACGAAATTAATTCGTTCCGCAAGTCTCTTCGTCTTGCGAGTTTTTCGTCTTGCGATGCACGGTTTCCCATAGGAATGCATTGAAAATCAATTAATGCGTTCCTAGGGAAACCGCCTTCAGACCAGGTCCGGGGACAGTCTGTCCCCGGACCTCTTCTGAAGGCTGGGGGCAAGGGCTTTTCTTCCCACCCCCAGCATTTTAAAACCCCGGGACAGCGGAGGACTTCTCCGCTGTCCGGGCGATCTTAAAATGCTGGCGGGCGGCATTTTAAAATCACCCCGGGACAGCGGCGGACTGCTCCGCTGTCCGGGCAATTTAAAGCCCCTGGGAAGGCAGGCAGGGGACAAGACTTTGCCCTCGCCAGCCTTCAGAAGAGGTCCTGGACCTCTTCTGAAGGCGGGCGGGGGCGAAAGTCTTGCTCCCCCGCCTTCAAAAGCCCTCCGGGACAGGCAGGCAGGGGGAGCAAAGACTTCGCCCCCGCCCGCCTTCAGAAGGTCTTCCTCCCCCCGCCCGGCTCGGAGCACCGTCCGAGCCGGGCGGCGGCGGAGGTCTTCCCTCCCCCCGCCCGGCTTCGGAGCACCGTGCCCGGGCCGGGCGGCGGCGGCAGGTGTTCCCTCCCCCCGCCCGGCCGGAGGAGCCTTCCGAGCCCGGCGGCGGCGGGAGGAGGTGTCCCCGCCCGCCGCCGGGCTTCGGAAGAGGTCCGAGGACAGTGGGGAAGACGCGCTGCGCTTCCCCGCTGTCCCTGAGATTTCCCTATGGGCTGTCGTCTTGCGAAGCAAGCCCATAGGGAAATTGCTTTGTGAAGCGCCTCCAAAACGGAAAACCCTTTCGTCTAGCGGGTTTTCCGTCTTGCGAGGCGTTCGTCTTGCGGGGTACCACTGTAGTTTCCGGGTCACCTTCAAAGGCAGCCCCACGTAGAGCGCATGGCAGTAGTCCAAGCGGGAGATAACCAGAGCATGCACCACTCTGGCCAGACAGTCTGCAGGCAGGGAGGGTCTCATCCTGCGTACCAGATGGAGCTGCCCTGGACACAGAACTGACCTGCGCCTCCATGGACAGCTCTGAGTCCAAAATGACTGTGAGTCCCATATGGTCCCGGTGGCCGCTCCCAGTCCCCAGTCTGGCTGCCGCATTCTGGATTAGTTGCAGTTTCCGGGTCGCCTTCAAAGGCAGCCCCACGGAGAGCGCATGGCAGTAGTCCAGGCGGGAGATAACCAGAGCATGCACCACTCTGGCCAGACAGTCTGCAGGCAGGGAGGGTCTCATCCTGCGTACCAGATGGAGCTGCCCTGGACACAGAACTGACCTGCGCCTCCATGGACAGCGGTGAGTCCAAAATGACTGTGAGTCCCACATGGTCTCGGCAGCCGCTCCCAGTCCCCAGTCTGGCTGCCGCATTCTGGATTAGTTGCAGTTTCCGGGTCGCCTTCAAAGGCAGCCCCACAGAGAGCGCATTGCAGTAGTCCAAGCCTCTGAGGAGGAGAGTCCACCTTCCGTCCCACAGTCGAACAGCTCTTCCCGTCAGAAAGTCATTCCTGACGTTGAGTCGGTATCTCCTTTCTTGTGACTTGAAGCCACGGGTTCGAGTCCTGCCCCCGATTCGGACGACGAGAAAGCAGATTCCGGCTCAACGTGGGGAAGAAAATTCCGGCGACATTCGACCATGGGACGGTCTCTTTGGAGGCTTTTAAGCAGAGTTCGGATGGCCATCTTTCCAGGATCCTTGAGCCGAGATTCCTGCATTGCAAAGCGGGTTGGGATGGATGACCCTCGGACCCCTTTCTGACGTGACGCGAGCCGCCTTAGAAAAGGCGTTTATCTCTTATGTTGGGGGGGGGGTCTGGGAACCTCCTTTGGCCGAAGGGCCGCTTCTGCTTCCAGAAAACCTCTGCTGGGGCCAGCGGCCAATATAGGTGGAGAAAAAAATCCTTATTTCCTCACACAAAATCTCTCAGTCCTCCTTGCAGCCAGCTGAAAACATTCAAGGAAGGTGCAAAGCAATGGGGGAGTGGCTTGAGGAGAAGGGGCGTGACCTGATGAGGGGGTGTGGCCACCAGACAGATTCACCTGGGATCCTGTGATGTACACAGGTAGGGAATGTTATCATTGTTTTAATAATATGGCTTCTACCTTTAGCCCCGCTCTTAATTCGAAGGGTGCAATGACTCAGAGCAGGGAGACCACCTCTTCCTTTGCGTAACTTCACGTATGGATCTGTGATATATACCGTATTTTCGGCTCTATAAGACTCACTTTTCCCCTCCTAAAAAGTAAGGGGAAATGTGTGTGCGTCTTATGGAGCGAATGCAGGCTGCGCAGCTATCCCAGAAGCCAGAACAGCAAGAGGGATTGCTGCTTTCGCTGCACAGTGATCCCTCTTGCTGTTCTGGCTTCTGAGATTCAGAATATATTTTTTTTCTTGTTTTCCTCCTCCAAAAACTAGGTGCGTCTTGTGGTCTGGTGCATCTTATAGAGTGAAAAATGCAATGTATATATATATATTGGTAATTTCACGATATACGATATCTTTATTGTCATTGTCCCATGCAGAACAATGAAATTGAAAATCTACATAAACCCCTAAAAACTCTGAAACCCCATTTTAAAATACAATATACTATAGAGACTCCTTATGCTGTTTTTAGAACCAGAATTGCTTTTGCATAGAAACTGTTTCTCAGGCGGCTAGTCCTGGCCTTTATAACCCTGGACCTTCTTCCAGAAGGCAGAAGCTGAAAGAGATCATTTCCGGGGTGCGCACTGTCCTGCGCTATCTCTGCAGCTTCTGGCACCTGGAAGCATAGATTTGATCCAAGGTGGGAAGAGTGCACCCAATTATTCTCTCCGCAGTCTTTACAACCCTGGACAGCATTGTTTTTCCCCTGGCCGTGCAGCTCCCAAACCACACACACAGACCATAAGTTAATAAACTCTCCACAGTATGATGGTAAAATGCCATCAACAGGTCCTTTGAGAGATTGTTTTTCCGGAGGATTCCCAGAAAATATAACCTCTGCTGTTCTCTCTTCATCAGGTCTTTGCTGTTGAAGAGAGCACAACAGAGGTTATATTTTTTAATCAAAAAAATGATTAAAAATATATATAAACATACAACAAACAACGATTTAGACTCCGAATATCCAGATTGCTCTGAAACTCCTGGCTGCCCCTCATCCCTTTCACAGGGCCTAATGATAATATTTACAACGACATTTCAATATTTATCCAGTTTTCCCCCTTCTAAATTATCCACACTTTCGGTTACTTTGCAAGTGTGGTTAAAATGCTGCCAATGTTTGAACCTGCTTGCAGTAGTCTCATAAATAAATCGCAAACCTTTCCCATTGTTTTTTTAAAAGTTACGGTCTTTGTGATTTCTGAGCAACCCAGTTAACTTTGCCATTGGGATATCATTTTTTAAAAACGAAAATCCGTACAAAAACCTGCCTTCGGATTTGCATCGCGTCGCAGAAAACACATGGGAAGGCAATTTTTTAATCTAATGGGTGCATCTCCGCACCTAAAATACGCTTCTTGAAAATACAACACACCATTAGGAAGAAAAAAAACTTTGTTTTTGAGCCGAAAATTGCGTTGCAAAATTTGGAGAAGTGTGACAATTCGAAGGGTAGTTACCGTATTTTTTGCTCTATAAGACTCACTTGTCCCCTCCTAAAAAGTAAGGGGAAATGTGTGTGCGTCTTATGGAGTGAATGCAGGCTGCGCAGCTATCCCAGAAGCCAGAACAGCAAGAGGGATTGCTGCTTTCGCTGCGCAGCGATCCCTCTCGCTGTTCTGGCTTCTGAGATTCAGAATATTTTTTTTCTTGTTTTCCTCCTCCAAAAACTAGGTGCGTCTTGTGGTCTGGTGCGTCTTATAGAGCAAAAAATACGGCACTTTATAGTCCATGTCTTACGGCGATTTCTTATTTTAACAAAGCGGGCGTTTGAGTTTGCCCTCTTCCCTCCCCGCACCGCTTTCCTCGCGTGACGTGTCTTTTCGATCTCCCGGGAACAGTTTCGCCGTCCCTTTCCACCCACCCTGTCTATAAAGGGACCGAAAGGCGCTTTAAGCAAAGGAAATTTGGACCAGAGCACGAGGAACATCCACCCCCAAAATGCAGGATTTTTTCCCACTTGAACCCACAGCCCCTCGCTGCCCTTCCAAAAACCCGGTGGGAGTTTGCCGAAAATATCTTCAGCCAAACGCTTCCTAATGGTGTGTTGTATTTTCAAGAAGTGTATTTTAGGTGCTGAGATGCACCCATTAGACTAAAAAAACACACCTTCCCATGTTCTTTCTGCGACACAATACAAATCCGAAGGCAGATTTTTGCACGGATTTTCGTTTTTAAAAAATGATATCCCAGCGGCAAAGTTAACTGGGAAATCACAAAGACCATAACGTTTGTGATTTATTTATGAGACTACTGCAAGCAGGTTCAAACATTGGCAGGATTTTAACCACACTTGCAAAGGAACGGAAAGTGTGGCTAATTTAGAAGTGTGGATAAATATTGAAATGTCGTTGTAAATATTATCATTAGGCCCCGTGGAAGGGATGAGGGGCAGCCGGGAGATTCAGAGCAATCTGGATATTCGGAGTCTAAATCATTGTTGTATGTTTATATATATTTTTAATCAATTGTTTAAAATTACCAAAACATACACAGCCCCTCGCTGCCCTTCTGAAAACCTGGTAGGAGTTTTGTACCTTCAGCCAAATGCTGGCTCTGTTGGAGACGGTCTCCAAGACGTGGCCGCCGGCTTTCGAGACTTTCCTCCGCAGTCCGGCCGAATACGGGCTGTAGCTGCTTTTGCCCCGGTTTCCGTGCATGGCCACGATCCAGCAGCCCCCCAAAAAACCACGAACCCCACTAGGCAGAGAGGGCACGGATGATTTCAAGGCCTAGGGCGCCCCTCCAGTGCCCAGGCGGATTTTGAGAGCCGCCACACCCATGCTCGCTTCTGGAAACCTTGCGGGTTTTAGTTTTTTTCCGGGGTGCTTTTCCTTTTTTCGAAAAAATTTACGACGCACCCAGCACCCACCCGGCGCAGCTTCTTAGAAGGGACGGGCGGAGGAAAAAAAGCCACAAACTTGAGCAAAGAGGAAGGCGGTTCGGACGGCTTCCTCTTTCTGCAGCTCTGAATTGTGCAGAACTGAACATCAATACAAAAGCGAGTTTTTTGGAGGGGTTTCAGACCCAGATGACGACGCCGTATTTCGCTTTATTTTTTAAAGCAGCGCTGAGTTTATAGAGAAGGAAGTTTTTTAAAATTTTTCCTCCCCCCCTCTTTTATTTCCTTTTTTTGTTTTGTTTTGTTTCTCTCTCTCTCTCTGCAATTATCTGGATTCGATGCTTTTGTCTCGTGGCAAAAAACTTTAACAAATTCTTATTTTTTTAGAAAAAGAGAGAGATAGGAGGAAAATGACAGGCAGGGCTGGGTGTCAGTAAGGGGGCCTCTATTAAGCCTCTACAGCCCTCTGTGAAACGAGAGATAGGCCCCCGTTATGCAGAATTGGAGGGGCTCTGGCGCCCTCTACTGTTGACCTCCCTGCTATTATTATTATTAACACCCTGCCCATCTGGCTGGGTTTCCCCAGCCACTCTGGGCAGCTTCCAACGAAAGATTAAAAATGCATTAAAATATCTGCCCTCCCATCTTCCACCCGCCTCCCTGGCCGTTATTTCGCACCTGGCTCCAGCCACCGGGTGTTATTTTGAACCCAGGTCTTCTGCTGGGTTCTTGCAGTGAAAACACCCACTCGGCCAAGCGGATCTTGCAGGCTTGACGTCTTGCTGGGCCCGCCGACAGGAAGCGAAACCTCGCTTGGAGCGCTTTCCACAAAAACGAAAAGCAAAGAAAACACCCCCAATATTGGCACCGCCAGATCTGTCCTAAAAGGTGGGGTGTGGGAAATAAAATGACCATAGACTCCAGCTCCCTGTAGCCATCAATAGCCCTCTCTCCTTCGTGAATTTGCCCTCTTTTAAAACCAGTAGAGACGTCACCTTGCCAACAAAGGTCTGTAGAGTAAAAGCTATGGTTTTCCCAGTAGTGATGTGTGGAAGTGAGAGCTGGACCATCAAGAAGGCTGATCGCCGAAGAATGGATGCTTTTGAATTATGGTGCTGGAGGAGACTCTTGAGAGTCCCATGGACTGCAAGAAGATCAAACCTCTCTATTTGGAAGGAAATCAGCCCTGAGTGCTCACTGGAAGGACAGATCCTGAAGCTGAGGCTCCAAGACTTTGGCCACCTCAGGAGAAGAGAAGACTCCCTGGAAAAGACCCTGATGTTGGGAAAGATGGAGGGCACAAGGAGAAGGGGACGACGGAGGACAAGATGGTGGGACAGTGTTCTCAAAGCTACCAGCATGAGTTTGACCAAACTGCGGGAGGCAGTGGAAGACAGGAGGGCCTGGCGTGCTCTGGTCCAGGGGGTCACAAAGAGTCGGACACCACTAAGCGACTAAACAACAACAACAAAGCCAGTTTGGTGGTTACAGCTGCTACCTGCTGCAGCGAGTTCCACTGGTTAACGAAGAACGCCTTTCTTTTATCTGCCCTGAAAACTCGACCACGGCTTTTAGTGCTCTTGCAGAGGGAGGAAAACGCTCCTCTCCCCCATTTTCTCCATGTCCAGGGTCATTTTAATAGGTCTCCTGACATTTTCAGGGTTTAACGCAAGCTTCCTCCACCTCGGCCCTCCAGATGTTTTGAGACTACAATTCCCATCATCCCTGACCACTCGTCTTGCTGGCTAGGGATCATGGGAGTTGTAGGCCGAAAACATCTGGAGGGCCGCAGGTTGAGGAAGCCTGGTTTAATGTTTTGCTGTGTTTTTATATATGCTGGAAGACGTCAGCTGGGGCAACTCAGGGTACAAATAAATAATAATAATAATAATTTTATTATTATTGTTATTTCAAAGTTTTCAAGGTTTAATGTTTTGCCATGTTTTTATATATGCCGGAAGTCGCCCAGAGTGACTGGGACAACCAAGGGTACAAATAAATTACTATTATTATTATTGTTATTATTATTATTTCAAAGTTTTCAAGGTTTAATAGTTTGCCATGTTTTTATACATGCTGGAAGCCACCCAGAGTGGTTGGAGCAACCCAGGGGACAAATAAATTATTGTTATTATTATTATTTCAAAGTTTTCAAGGTTGAATGGTTTGCTATGTTTTTATACATGCTGGAAGCCACTCAGAGTAACAACCAAGGGTACAAATAAATTATATGACTATTATTATTATTATTATTACCTTTTCTCTAAGCTAAGAAGCCCCCCAAAGCTGCAACCTTTCCTCCGCAGAGGACTTCTTCCGTCCCCTGAAACATTTGAGCTGCCCTGAACCCTTCCCCCCAAATCCACGATGCCCTTTTTTTCGGGGCGAGTCGGAGCCAATGAACGGCTGCCGTGAGCCGTTGGAGGCGCAGCCGAGCGACCTCTTGTGAAAACGCCGCCTGGGGTGCCCACCCCCCGTTTCGCAACGCCCCGCGGACGCAACCCCGTTACTCACCAGAGAGGACGGCGGCACAGGACTTCCTCCCCGGCCCTTCTTCGAAATCGACGGTGTCTTGATCAGCTCCCGCTTCTTCCTCGAAAACATGGTGCCCTCTGAACCCCAAACCCGTCCCGGACGATACGGCACCCTGGGGTGCCTTCACTGGCTAGGGGTTGTCTTCCCGGCCATCCAATGGACCACAGCTCCCCCCAAAAAAGGCGTTTCCGGGTGCAAAATGGGCTCAGGATTTGGCGCGGCTGCCTGCGGCTCAGAGCACACGCTTGCAAACTTACTTCCTGGCTCGGTTTTGTCTGACACACACACCCTTCAAATCTACACAGGAAAAGCTCAGTGTGTGAGAGAGTGTGGTTAGGAGCAGAGGGGAAGTTGTACTTGTTGTTTTCTTTCTTCTTTCTGCCCCTTTTTCGGCCGATTCCTCTCCCTCCCTAACCCCGGTTTGCGGGCCGCAACCTGCGGGAGAGAGAGGTGCGAGCCGTCCAAAGGCAACCCTGTATTTTGCCTTTAAAAAAAATGTTTTATTGTGTTTTTATATATGTGTTGGGAGGGATGTGGGTGGCGCTGTGGGTTAAACCACAGAGCCTAGGACTTGCCGATCAGAAGGTCGGCAGTTCGAATCCCCGCGATGACGGGGTGAGCTCCCATTGCTCGGTCCCTGCTCCTGCCCACCTAGCAGTTCAAAAGCACGTCAAAGTGCAAGTAGATAAATAGGTACCGCTCTGGCGGGACGGTAAACGGCGTTTCCGTGCGCTGCTCTGGTTCGCCAGAAGCGGCTTAGTCCTGCTGGCCACATGACCCGGAAGCTGTACGCTGGCTCCCTCGGCCAGTAAAGCGAGATGAGCGCCGCAACCCCAGAATCGGCCACGACTGGACCTAATGGTCAGGGGTCCCTTTACCTTATGACATCCGTGTTTTCCAAAATGAGACGGTAATTCTGCCTTCAACTGGCGCACTTCCCTGAATTTTGCAACATGCTTTTCCAACCCAGTAGTGCATGCCGGGGGGTCTGTCTGTTAGCTGTGCATTAAAATGCACTTGTCGGTAAGAATGATGCACGAAATTTGGAGGAAACCGCTTGCTAAAAAAAGAGGCACAGGAGAACGTGCAGAACTTTGAATTTGGAGGGGGAGCGAATTTTGCTGCAGATTTGAAGAGCTATTTAATCAGACCTTTCCCATGTTCCAGGCTGGGGGGAATTCTACTATGTTGGTGCCCCCTACTGGAGGCAATCGTCATCAAGCTATAAAAAAGGGACAGACAATCATTTTCTATCTTGCTTAAAGGCCACAGTGGCTTCCAAGCAGTTTTGCAAGTGTAAAACCAACTGCAAAAATGTCAGTTTGCAGGCTTTTTGTGCTTTAGTTTGAGGTTTCCTTTGTTGCTCTTTTTGCAATACTACTGTTGTTGTTTAGTTGTTTAGTCGTGTCCGCCTCTTCGTGACCCCCTGGACCAGAGCACGCCAGGCCCTCCTGTCCTCCACTGCCTCCCACAGTTTGGTCCAACTTATGCTGGTAGCTTCGAGAACACTGTCCCACCATCTCGTCCTCCGTTTCCCCCTTCTCCTTGTGCCCTCCATCTTTCCCAACGTCATAATCTTTTCCAGGGAGTCTTCTCTTCTCAGGAGGTGGCCAAAGTCTTGGAGCCTCAGCTTCAGGATCTGTCCTTCCAGGGAGCACTCAGGGCTGATTTCCTTCCGAATGGAGAGGTTTGATCTTCTTGCAGTCCATGGGACTCTCAAGAGTCTCCTCCAGCACCAGAATTGAAAAGCATCCATTCTTCGGTGATCAGCCTTCTTTATGGTCCAGCTCTCACTTCCATACATCACTACTGGGAAAACCAGAGCTTGAACTATACGGCCCTTTGTTGGCAAGGTGATGTCTCTGCTTTTTAAGACGCTGTCTGGGTTTGTCATTGTCATTGCTACTAATGTATTACTACATTGCAATACTACTAGTACCAGGTTTTGTTGACAGGGGGTTTGGGTCCACCACGGAATGCATCGCTGCTGAGTCTTTTGAGGGTTTTATAGGTCATAATCAGCACTAAAAGACGCCTGCTTCTTGGGAGAAAAGCAATGACAAGCCTAGACAGCACCTTAAAAAGCAGAGACATCACCTTGCCAACAAAGGTCCGTATAGTTCAAGCTCTGGTTTTCCCAGTAGTGATGTATGTACTGTGTCCAGTTCTGGGCACCACAGTTCAAGAAGGACACTGACAAACTGGAACGTGTCCAGAGGAGGGCAACCAAAATGGTCAAAGGCCTGGAAACGATGCCTTATGAGGAACGGCTAAGGGAGCTGGGCATGTTTAGCCTGGAGAAGAGGAGGTTAAGGGGTGATATGATAGCCATGTTCAAATATATAAAAGGATGTCACATAGAGGAGGGAGAAAGGTTGTTTTCTGCTGCTCCAGAGAAGCGGACACGGAGCAATGGATCCAAACTACAAGAAAGAAGATTCCACCTCAACATTAGGAAGAACTTCCTGACAGTGAGAGCTGTTTGACAGTGGAATTTGCTGCCAAGGAGTGTGGTGGAGTCTCCTTCTTTGGAGGTCTTTAAGCAGAGGCTTGACAACCATATGTCAGGAGTGCTCTGATGGTGTTTCCTGCTTGGCAGGGGGTTGGACTCGATGGCCCTTCTGGTCTCTTCCAACTCTATGATTCTATGATTCTATGGAAGTGAGAGCTGGACCATCAAGAAGGCTGATCGCCGAAGAATGGATGCTTTTGAATTCTGGCACTGGAGGAGACTCTTGAGAGTCCCACGGACTTGGGCCAAAACGAGAGTACCCCTAAACATTTTTAAAGAAAAGAAGCACTGAGTTATACCATAAAATTATATACCGACGGAAAGATAATTGAATGGAGAATGTAATGCAATAACGTTTGTGAAGGATTACCATATTTTTCGCTCTATAACACGCACCTGACCTTAACACGCACGTAGTTTTTAGAGGAGGAAAACCCGTAGGCATGCCACCCGTAGGCATTCCCTCCCTAACACGCACAGACATTTCCCCTTACTTTCTAGGAGGAAAAAAGTGAGTGTTATGGTGCAAAAAATACGGTATTTATTACAACAGCAGTCCTAAAGAAGAAACATGAAACACACAGAAAAAAATGAGATATACGGGTTAGATTGCCGTGTTGGCACTTTGCGATAAGCAAGTGGGTTTTCAGTTCCAGTTTGGGCAATCGGTCTCTAAAAGGTTCACCATCATTGATCTAGGGCATGGGTAGGCAAACTGAGTAGAATGTGTGCTTTTATTTAAAATGCGTCTCTGGGTTATTTGTGGGGCCTGCCTGGTGTTTTTACATGAGTAGAATGTGTGCTTTTCTTTAAAAAGCATCTCTGGGTTATTTGTGGGGCATAGGAATTCGTTCATTATTATTTTTTCAAAATATAGTCCGCCCCCCCCCCCAAAGCTCTGAGGGACAGTGGACTGGCCCCCTGCTGAAAAAGTTTGCTGACCCCTGATCTAGGGGGAGCAGCTGCCTCCCTGCCCCCCTGCCCATGGAGACCCCCCCCATCCTGCTTTGTCGATCCACTTGGCCTTGAGCGACTAGTCCTTATGATGTCACCGACTTGGCATCCAAAACAGGGAAATCACAGGGCGAGCGAGGAGAACATCGCAGGGGTGTTTGTCCGTCCCCCCCCCCGATGGCGCAGAATCTTTTTTCCGGGGTGGGAGGGAATTATAGCACACACAAAAAAACCCACTCTCCTGAAAAGTATGTTTGTGTAAGGAGATCGGCTCTCCCAGGGTGGCGACGGAGGAACCTTTGGTGAACAACAGGAGCTATTCCAAAAATCCCAAGCCTCTGCCAGTCGCATGACGTCTGCTTCTTCAGAGACACGCCTCCTAAGAGATCAAGTTTTAAGGACACAATTCTGAGGAAATCAGATAAGAGGGAGGGAGGCAGCTCCTTCCCACCCAGAACCTGAAACCAGCTCAGCCAAATTGTGCATGGTTTTAAAGGGGTGCAGGAGGTTTTTGAGCCGGTTAAAGGGGTGGAGGTGGTTTCTGCCCGGTTGTTTTAAATAATGCCTTTTATGCCATTCAAAGTCTGGCCCTTGTCTAAATGCCCCCTCCATTCTGTAGGCTTTCTAAATACAGTGGTACCTCGGGTTACATATGCTTCAGGTTACAGACTCCGCTAACCCAGAAATATTGCTTCGGGTTAAGAACTTTGCTTCAGGATGAGAACAGAAATCGTGCTCCGGCGGCGGGAGGCCCCATTGGCTAAAGTGGTGCTTCAGGTTAAGAACAGTTTCAGGTTAAGAACAGACCTCCGGAACTAATTAAGTACTTAACCCGAGGTACCACTGTAATAATAATTATTCTTCTTCTTAATAACAATTACAGTGGTATACCTTGGTTTACTGGGACGCAGGTGGCGCTGTGGGTTAAACTACAGAGCCTAGGACTTGCCGATCAGGTTGGCGGTTCGAATCCCCGCGACGGGGTGAGCTCCCGTTGCTCGGTCCCTGCTCCTGCGAACCTAGCAGTTTGAAAGCACGCCAAAGTGCAAGTATATAAATAGGTACTGCTCTGGCGGGAAGGTAAACGGCGTTTCCGTGCGCTGCTCTGGTTCGCCAGAAGCGGCTTAGTCCTGCTGGCCACATGACCCGGAAGCTGTACGCAGGCTCCCTCGGCCAATAAAGCGAGATGAGCGCCACAACCCCAGAGTCGGCCACGACTGGACCTAATGGTCAGGGGTCCCTTCACCTTTACCTTACCTTGGTTTACAACCATCATCCATTCCGGAGGTCTGTTTGTAAACCAAAACAGGTTGTAACCCAAAGCGCACTTTCGCCAATGGGGCCTCCAAAAAAAAAAAAAAAAGTAATAAAAAAAGGGTTGTAATTCAAAAAAAGGTTGCAAACCACGACCCGCACTTCAGGGTTTGAGTATGCAAACCATGGTACCACTGTATTAATATTTATATGCCGCCATCTGACTGGGTTTCCCGGGGAGCTGCGTTTAAGACGTGTGTGTGTGTATATATCTATGTATCTTTCTATACGTGTGTGTGTGTGTGTGTGTGTGTGTGTGTGTATTCTGACCTTGTCAGATGAATAATTGTCAAATGAATAGTTATTATTATTCATTTATATCTCACCTTTTCATCAAAGATATCAAGGTGACATACTATGACTATTACTATTACTACTACTACTACTACTACTAATTTATTACTTATACCCTGCCCATCTGGTTGGGTTTCCCCAGCCACTCTTGGCGGCTTCCGACAGAATATTAATAATAATAATAAAGCGATCAAACATAAAAAAGCTTCCCTAAACAGGGCTGCCATCAGATGTCTTCTAAAGGTCAGATAGTTGTTTATTTCCTTGACATCTGAAGGGAGGGCGTTCCACAGGGCAGGCGCCACCACCGAGAAGGCCCTCTGCCTGCTTCCCTGTAACCTCACTTCTCGCTGCGAGGGAACCGCCAGAAGGCCCTCGGAGCTGGACCTCAGTGTCCGGGCAGAACGATGGAGGTGGAGACGCTCCTTCGGGGATACTGGGCCGTTTAGGGATTCCAAGCTCAGCACCAACCCAGCAGAGCGCCCAGTGGCCACGCCGCTAACCCACAAACCTCGCCGCTTGACCTGAGCTTCACCACTTGAATGACTGCCTTACTTCCAAATCTATATCAAGTCTTAACAGGGCAAAGTAATAATCATAATTATAGTAGTGTCCTCACCCCATAAACAACGGCAAAAATCTGTTAAGGTGTGAACCATAACCTAAGCAGCGTGACCAAAAGCTTCCCCAGTTGAATGTCTACCTGTCACAGACACAGGAGGCCACCAGGAGCCCATTACAAGGCTTCGGGTGGAGGGCCACGCTTTCCCCCTAAGCAACTTAAGTTTCAGCTTCACCAGTTGAACGCCTGTCTGTCCCCAAAACTGGAGGACCCGCAAACCCTGCTAGGAGCCCATTATAAGGCTCAGGGAAGAGGGGACTTTATCACAGTCGGCAGGATTCAAAGCCGTTTTAAGTTTCAGCTTCACCGGTTGAATGTCTACCTGTCCCCAAAACTATGTCAAAGACGCAGGGAGAGAGGAAGTGGGGAGCAATGCCCGCAAAACTGGACGCTCCAGCATTGCAGGGCGGGTTGGACTAGATGACCCGCAGGGTCCCTCCCAACTCCACGATTTCTATGACCTTTGCGGGGAATTTGCGCTTTTTCTCGCTTTTCCTTTTCGCTTTCTTTTCCTCTCGAAGGAGACCCACTCACAGGAAACTACCATCCTGCAGGAATTCGGCACTTTCTGCCCTTATAAGGCTATTTCCACTGGCGGCCAATCAGCGCGCGGGAGGCGGCGCTGGGCTGGCCCCCAGAAACTTGGCCGAGGGCGGGCGGAGGCGCGCGGAGCGGGTTCCCTTGCTTTTGGAGCGTGTGGCGAGCGCGCCTGCCCCGCCAGACAGCGCCCTGCCCCGATACAGGATGAGCAACAACCAGTTCAACAAGGGACCCAGCTACGGCTTGTCGGCCGAAGTCAAGAACCGGGTAAGGGGTCCCGACGCGCGCCCCCTCGCCAAATGCGTAAATGCGCCCTGGGCGCACGGAGGGGCCGCTTTGGAGAGGCGCTGCCGCGAGCGCTCCGGGTTTATTCCACCGCCGGATTGCATTTATTGAAGGCAGTCTAGAAGCCACTTCCCGTCCCCCCCACAAGGATCTCAATGTGGGTCTTTGCCTCCCCCCCCCGAGTCCCCCAGCGCCGATTCAATCCCCACAACAACCTCGCGAGGTAGGCCGCTTTGGAGACGCGGCGCCGCGAGCGCATCGGGTTCATTCGACCGACGGGTTGCCTTTACTGAACGCAGGCTAGAGCCCTCTTCCCGCCCCCCACCCCAAGGATCTCAAGGTGACGCATGTGGGTCTCTCTCCCCTCCCCCGCTCCCCCAGCGGTGATTCAATCCCCACAACAACCTCGCGAGGTAGGACGCTATGGAGAGGTGGCGCCGCCAGCGCTCCGGGTTTATTCGGCCGACGGGTTGCCTTTGTTGAACGCAGGCTAGACCCCACTTCCCGTCCCCCCCACAAGGATCTCAATGTGGGTCTTTGCCTCCCCCCCCCAGAGCCGATTCAATCCCAACAACAACCTCGCGAGGTAGGCCGCTTTGGAGAGGTGGCGCCGCGAGCGCATCGGGTGTATTTGGCCGACGGGTTGCCTTTATTGAACGCAGTCTAGCGCCCACTCCCCCCCCCCCCCAACATACGCATTTGGGACTCAAGGTGGCGTATGTGGGTCTCTCTCTCTCCCCCCCCCCGCTCCCCCAGCGCCGATTCAATCCCCACAACAACCTCGCGAGGTAGGCCGCTTTGGAGAGGCGGCGCCGCGAGCGCATCGGGTTTATCCGACGGGCGGTTTGCGTTTATTGAAGGCAGTCTAGAGCCACCACGCCCCCCACCCCGTCTCAAGGTGGCGTATGTCGGTCTCTGCCCTCCCTCCCCCCAGCGCTGATTCAATCCCCAACACAACCTTGCGAGGTAGGCGGCTTTGGAGAGGCGGCACCGGGACCGCTCCTGATTTATTCGACCCACAAATCGCATTCATTTAATGCAGTCCAGAGCCCACCCCACCCCCGCCACCCCAAGGGACTCAAGGTGGCGTATGTGGGTCTTCGCCCCACCCCCACCCCGCAGCACTGATTCAATCCCACACCAACCCTGCGAGCTAGGCAGCTCTGAAAACGCGGCTTTCTCCATGAGCGTTCTGTTTTTATTTAATTTATTTATTACACACACACACAGGATTTATGTTAGGGGGGCAGGCTTTATGTTGTGCGGGGAGGCAGAACCTCAGTTAAATATTTTTATTGAGGGGGGGCAGCTATGCCCATGTGCACATAGACATATCCGCATTTTTCTTCCAAAGGGGCAACGTTTATGGATCATTTAATCCCAGCGACAACCCCGTGAGGTGGAGAAGTAGCGCGCTCTGGGTGCATTTTATTTTTATTTATTTCATTTTTTTTCAAAAAAATATATCTTTATTAATTTAAAACGAATACATTTATTAAAAAAAGACAAACAAGTAAACAAACATAGTCAAACAAACAAGTAGCAGAAGACTCAAACAAACCACCACACTATAAGATACAGCAAGATTAATATAACTATCATCTTATATACTCCTGCTACTGAAAGCAATTATAAAACTTATAGAGAAGAAAATTAAAAACAACTTCTAATTAATCTCACAGTGCTTTTATCTGTCCATCCACAGTTACATTTTTCTTATATAGTTTTTTTTTACCTCCCTACGAACTTATATTTATACAAGTACTCTTTAAAGAATATTTAGAAAACTATGATATAAAAGGAAACATCTTGGCAGAATTAGACCGATCCTTGTAATTTTTATTTATTTCATACACACCAAAATGTATATCCCATTTATTCAAATATTTATAGCCTTCACTCTTCATTAAAAAATACAAAAAGGTTGTACAAGAAAGTTGCAGTGACTTTTCTGCCCCCCCCCAAAAAAGCTCATTGGGGAAAAATTAATTAATTTCCCAGGCCTGTCTGGGAGTATCACAAGTTTTTGACGGATGCCTGAAAGTGAAAGCAGGGATGGTTCCTGTTGAAGGTTTACACTCCCAGAATTGAATCTCACATGCCTCATTCCCCCTTGCAGCCAACATTGTGGTTGTAGAGTGTCAGGAGCCCTGGATTCGAATCTCTCCACTCCAGACGCAGATCTCGCTTATTTTGACCAGCCGCTAGGGCTCAGTCCCAGGGCTGCTGTGAGGATCAAAACTGCGAAGAACTGTGTAGGCCAAGTTTGAGGTCTTTGAAGGAAAGGCGTTCAAAAAGGACAAGCAAATAATCAAAAAAAGCCCCCCAAGGTGCTAGTCCCTTGTGAAATTGACCTGCAACTGGCCCTTCGCTTTTGTGATGGTCTCCTTTTGCTTACCTCTGAGTAACTGGGCCTTTCAGTGAAATAGGATGGCTTCTCAGCTTTTGGCCTTGTAGCTGCAGAGTCTTTGAGACTGGAGCCGAGAATCCCCGGTTTAAATTATTTGACTTGATTTCGATTATTTGATTTCTGTGTTGTTGTTGTTGTTGTTTAGTCATGTCCGCCTCTTTGTGACCCCCTGGACCAGAGCACGCCAGGCCCTCCTGTCTTCCACCGCCTCCCACAGTTTGGTCAGACTCATGCTGGTCGCTTCGAGAACACTGTTCCACCATCTCGTCCTCTGTCGTCCCCTTCTCTTTGCACCCTCCATCTTTCCCAAATCAGGGTCTTTTCCAGGGAGTCTTCTCTACTCCTGAGGTGGCCAAAGTCTTGGAGCCTCAGCTTCAGGATCTGTCCTTCCAGTGAGCACTCAGGGCTGATTTCCTTCAGAATGGAGAGGTTTGATCTTCTTGCAGTCCATGGGACTCTCAAGAGTCTCCTCCAGCACCAGAATTCAAAAGCATCAATTATTTGGCGATCAGCCTTCTTTATGGTCCAGCTCTCACTTCCATACATCACTACTGGGAAAACCAGAGCTTGAACTATACGGACCTTTGTTGGCATTTGATTTCTGTACTGTTTGATATATTTGGAAACATCTCTAAGCAGTGTACAAAAACCAAGGCAACAGCAGACAGTTTAACAAAGTTACAGGTAGGTCGCCGTGTTGGTCTGCCATAGTCGAAACAAAATTAAAAAATTCCTTCCAGTAGCACCTTAGAGGCCAACTAAGTTTGTTATCGCTCATACCAATAACAAGCTTAAACAAAATGTGACAAAAATACAGAGCTACTGATAAAAAGGTTACATTAATACAAGGTTGCTAATACATAAAAATCTGTAGCAGTTCCTTTTGCTTTTGACATACAGTATGCAACCTAAAGCGTACGTAACCCGAGGTACCACTGTGCCTTCCTTCTCAGCCTTTGTTTCTTCACAAATCCAAATCTTTAAAACTCTTGCGGCAACCCAATCGGACTGCTCCGAGATTTTTAATATATTTTTAAACGCGGTTATTCGAAAGCATCTCTGAACTGCTTTGATATTTGCAAAACAATAGCAGGGATGCAAAAAAATAGATCATTTTTTAAAAAACAACAACAAAAAATAAACCAGCTGTGGTCTAAACCACGGAGCCTCTTGGGCTTGCAGGTCGGCGGTTCGAATCCCCGCGACGGGGTGAGCTCCCGTTGCTCGGTCCCAGCTCCAGACAACCTAGCAGTTCGAAAGCACACCGGTGCAAGTAGATAAATAGGTACCGCTCTGGCGGGAAGGGAAACGGCATTTCCGTGTGCTCTGGTTTCCAGCACGGTGTCCCGTTGCGCCAGAAGCGGTTTGGTCCTGCTGGCCACATGACCCGGAAAGCTGTCTTTGGACAAACGCCAGCTCCCTCTGCCTGAAAGCGAGATGAGCACCGCAACACCATAGTCGCCTTTGACTGGACTTAACTGTCCAGGAGTCCTTTACCTTTTTACTTCCGCTCCATCACTTTGTCTCATCCTCTTTTCAGAGCCGTCCAAGTTGGTGGCTGGAATAAACTCCTTGGGTTTATTTCTGACTTGACGCGTTGTCTTCCTCTTCGCCGGAACCTCTTGTCCAGCGCTCAAAATCCCCCAGGCGTGTTTTGCTACTGACACGACTGCGGCGCGATTTCTGGGTGCTAGGTTGGCGACTGAAGTTTCCCATCAAGCCAGCTGACTCGCTGCAGTCCTCACCGTTGTTACATGACCATTAGGTCCAGTCGCGGCCGACTCTGGGGTTGCGGCACTCATCTCGCTTTATTGGCCGAGGGAGCCGGCGTACAGCTTCCGGGTCATGTGGCCAGCAGGACTAAGCTGCTTCTGGCGAACCAGAGCAGCGCACGGAAACACCGTTTACCTTCCCGCCGGAGCGGTACCTATTTATCTCCTTGCACTTTGATGTGCTTTCGAACTGCTAGGTTGGCAGGAGCAGGGACCGAGCAAGGGGAGCTCACCCCGTCATTGCGGGGATTCGATCCGCCGACCTTCTGATCGGCAAGTCCTAGGCTCTGTGGTTTAACCCACAGCGCCACCCGGGCAAGTTTAGCTGGTGTTAAATACCACCTGTACATCATTTTCATAACATTTTCTTCAAGTGCACTACATGCAGTAAAATTAATGCCTTCCTTCCACAACCTTCCCCAGGATTCTAACTGAATACAGTGGTACCTCGGGTTAAGTACTTAATTCGTTCCAGAGGTCTGTTCTTAACCTGAAACTGTTCTTAACCTGAAGCACCGCTTTAGCTAATGGGGCCTGCCGCTGCGCGATTTCTGTTCTCATCCTGAAGCAAAGTTCTTAACCTGAAGCACTATTTCTGGGTTAGCGGAGTCTGTAACCTGAAGTGTATGTAACCCGAGGTACCACTGTACTATCTCCAAAATCTTCAGCACATTGTATCACCGGGGTGCAAGGTTTTAGGGGGGCCGTGGCAGCGGCGAAGAGGGCACTGCCAACTTCTGAAACCTCTTGACCTTCTTGCCATTGCCTGCCTCTCTTCTTCCTCGCTGCCACCGCGTGTGTGCTCTCTCTTGGGCAGAGAGGGCAAACGATCCTCAGGAGATTAAGGGGGCAAGGAAGCGCATAGACTACTCAAAACTCCCAGGACGACCCTTACCTGTCCTGGTCGCAAAGACAAATGGCCAAGGGTCTGGAACCAAGCCCTACAGGGCAGCGTTAGACGTCCCCCCAGGTGTGTTTTGCTACCGGCACAGGTCCAATTGGAGATTTCTGGGTGCCAGGTTGGCGGCCGATAATAATACAGTGGTACCTCGGGTTAAGTACTTAATTCGTTCCGGAGGTCCGTTCTTAACCTGAAAACTGTTCTTAACCTGAAGCACCACTTTAGCTAATGGGGCCTCCTGCTGCCGCTGCACCGCCATTGCACGATTTCTGTTCTCATCCTGAAGCAAAGTTCTTAACCTGAGGCACTATTTCTGGGTTAGCGGAGTCTGTAACCTGAAGTGTATGTAACCTGAAGTGTCTGTAACCCGAGGTACCACTGTAATAATAAATTTTACAGTGGTACCTCGGGTTAAGTACTTAATTCGTTCCAGAGGTCTGTTCTTAACCTGAAACTGTTCTTAACCTGAAGCACCACTTTAGCTAATGGGGCCTCCTGCTGCTACCGTGCCACTGGAGCACGATTTCTGTTCTCATCCTGAAGCAAAGTTCTTAATCCGAGGTACTATTTCTGGGTTAGCGGAGTCTGTAACCTGAAGCATATGTAACCTGAAGCGTATGTAACCCGAGGTACCACTGTATTATTATCTCCGCCAAGCCAGTCGACTCACACACAAGTCCTCCATCGTCTCAGCAAGGAAAGTTAAGAGCAAGGCGGAGAGAGCAGAGGCGTTTGGCCTGTAGTTCGAAACGGAATTCGCAAACGGTTTAAAAAACCTCTGCCCCAGTCCTTAGTTAATGCCATTTACGTTTCTTCTGCATGTTTCTCCTCCTCCTCGCAGACTGGGACTAAGTGAATTGTTGTCGGAGCAAGCTAAAGTCGAGCTGAGATCACAGAATCGTATAATCTGTGGAAAGGGTTCCAAGGGTCATCCATCCCAACCCCAGGGTGAATAGGCATTCGAGGTGCCACGTTCGGTGCCTGGCTTATACAGGTGAAACTCGAAAAATTAGAATATCGTGGGGAAGTTCATTGATTTCAGGAATTCAACTTGAATGGTAAAACTAATAGATGAGATCGACTCGTGACATGCAAAGCGCGATGTGCTTCTGCTTCTCAGAGGTCCAATCTTGCTCGATTTGCAATCCTTGTTTTGCTGATTTCCTTGAATGTTCTAAATTTCTGAGATGGTTAATTTGGGGTTTTCACCAGTTATACGCCATGATCATCACAATTATCACAAATCAAGGCTTGACATATCTCGCTTTGCATGTCACGAGTCTGTCTCATATATTAGTTTCACCTTTTAAGTTGAATTCCTGAAATCAAGGAACTTTCCCACGCTATTCTAATTTTTCGAGTTTCACCTGCATATCTGTGGTTCTGACACTGCTCTGACCCCTTTTAACTATGAATTCTTGCAAATCCTAGAGCTGCGCTCGGTTCCTCGGTTTCCTCCCGCCCACTCCCAGTTGCTTCAGTCTGGTGTTGTTCTGGCTGCGTCCCAGAAACTCTGCCGTTCCTGGGAACAAATTTTTGTTTTCGTTCTGGAGTCTCGTCAGAGCCATCCGATCGTGCTGAGACTTGGAAAAGTCTAGAAGGAATTCCCGTTTTTCCACCCTGTGCGATTCCACCATAGGGCAGCGAGCGTGTGTTGATTTAATCCCTGCGTTCTGGGTGCAAATTGCAGGTCGCCCTGTTAACCAAAAAAGCTCGAGAGAAAGCTGGTTAATGCGGCAGCAAACCCGCGCTTTTAACCCGTGTGAAAAGTTATGCAGACTATCTAACTCCTCAGCCCAAGGAGGCCTCCAAAATCACCAAGTCTTTTAATTTTTTGAGAAGACGAGGCGTAAAAGGAAAATGGACGAGGAGGGCGGAGGAAGTAAACAAACTCAGATTCGAGTCTTCAGTGAAGTAAGCTGCTGTAATGAGCAGCTGGGGTGGAGGGATTGAAGGAGATGAAATGTCGGACGTTGCGGATCTCTCACCTAGCACTAGGTAAAGGTAAAAGGACCCCTGACCATTAGGTCCAGTCGTGACCGACTCTGGGGTTGCTGCGCTCATCTCGCTTTACTGGCCGAGGGAGCCGGCGTACAGCTTCCGGGTCACGTGGCCAGCAGGACTAAGCCGCTTCTGGCGAACCAGAGCAGTGCACGGAAACGCCGTTTACCTTCCCGCCGGAGCTGTACCTATTTATCTACTTGCACTTTGACGTGCTTTCGAACTGCTAGGTTGGCAGGAGCAGGGACCGAGCAAGGGGAGCTCACCCCGTCATTGCGGGGATTCGATCCGCCGACCTTCTGATCGGCAAGTCCTAGGCTCTGTGGTTTAACCCACAGCGCCACCTGCACCTGCCCGAAATTACGAATAGATCTAGATATTGCAGACAGGTTGCAGTTTATTTATCTTTTTCAGCGGGATTTTAGCAGCTATCTGCATGGAGACTGGCCTTTGAGAACATTGCCTGTTGCGAAAGTATTTTTTTCAAATCAAGGACAAGGCCAAATCTGGAAAGAGGCAATCTATTGAAAAGGCTGGAGGGGAGTTTCCACGCTCCGGCAATTTTGGTCTTCTCCCAAACTGTGGTTTTGTGCGTGTAAGCAAATCTGAATCATTGCCATCCAAGTGTATCTTGTTCCACTTCCTCATGAGTCGCTCATCTAGCAGCGCGGAGACATTGGAACAGCAATAGACAGGGGCTGGTGACTTGTGTCTGACACAGGCATCCGCTGAGTTCCTGGGAAAGGCGAGATTTGAACCCGGAACCTCTGGACCTAGCGGCTGGTTTGGGTCCTGACTTTTCCCACCCGGGTCGCTATTTATTTTTATTTTGTGCCGCTCGTGGGAATCGCTCCCTCAACTTTATTTCAGCCAGTGCTTTTTTTTTTCTTTTTAAAAAAATGTTTAGGGGCTACTCTCATTTTGACTCGAGAAAATCACCAATCCCCTGCAAAACAATGAGAGCGCACATCTGAAAGGAACTCTTCTCTTTTTCTCAGACCAAGAATCGGAGCCTCTGGCTTCCTCGTGGCAGCTGTTGCGACCCCTGCCTGCCCTTTTCTGTCTGTTCCCCCTCTGTTTTTTTTAAAAAAATAATAATTATTATTTTCAGTAGATAAACAAACAAACAAACAAATAAATAAATAAATAAAGACCAAACCTCTCCATTCTGAAGGAAATCAGCCCTGAGTGCTCACTGGAAGGACAGATCCTGAAGCTGAGGCTCCAAGACTTTGGCCACCTCATGAGAAGAGAAGACTCCCTGGAAAAGACCCTGATGTTGGGAAAGATGGAGGGCACAAGGAGAAGGGGACGACAGAGGACGAGATGGTGGGACAGTGTTCTCGAAGCTACCAGCATGAGTTTGACCAAACTGCGGGAGGCAGTGGAAGACAGGAGGGCCTGGCGTGCTCTGGTCCAGGGGGTCACGAAGAGGCGGACACGACGAAACGACTAAACAACAACATTTATTCAAATTTCTTCCAGTCTTCTTGATGTTCCTCTTCTTTCTGGTCGCGGATTCTCCCGGTGAGATCAGCCAGCTCCATGAACTCCATCATCTTCATCTGCCATTCTTCAATTGTTGGTAGTTCTTGTGTTTTCCATTTTTTGGCATACTGTCTGTTCCCCCTCTGGCTTGGGCGCGGAATGCGGCTGACGAGGAAGAGAATCGCTGAGCCATTGGGCGGCGAGAGTCTCCTTTCAAAATGTGCTGATGGGTCAGGAACAGGGTGCCCTTTCGTTGCAAGCCAACCCGGTTTGCAAGTGGCGGGGGCAACGCTTCGCGTGCTTGATGGCGCCGCGTAACTGACCCCTAAGCGTTCCCCGAGGACCTGGGCGGCTCGGGTAATACGGGCATCAGCTAAGGAACTGGAGAGACTTGCCAAAGGGCACGCAACTCAAGTCTGCGTCAAAGCCAAGAGCTTTTTTCACTTGGCACCTTTGTTTTCGTGAGGGTTTAGCTCAGTTGGCAGAGACTCTTAAACTCAGGCTCCTGCGTTCCCCCTCTTTTCTTTTTCCTTCTGTACTGGAACTCCTATTTGGGGACTTCCCTGGCTTTTTTCTGGCCCGTGTAGGACCAGTCTGGATAGTTGGCCTTGGTGAAGATTTGACGTTTTCTTTTTTAATATATTTTTTATTAGGGTTTCCATATTTTATTACATTTCAGGATCAAAAAATAACTTAAGACATTGCTTAAATAAAGCATCAACTCCTTCCTTCCCTCTAACTTCCGGAATGGATTAAGTTCGTAAACAAAGTAAGGGACCCCTGACCGTTAGGTCCGCTCGTGGACGACTCTGGGGTTGTGGCGCTCATCTCGCTTTACTGGCCGAGGGAGCCGGCGTACAGCTTCCGGGTCATGTGGCCAGCAGGACTAAGCCGCTTCTGGCGAACCAGAGCAGCGCACGGAAACGCCGTTTACCTTCCCGCCAGAGCGGTACCTATTTATCTACTTGCACTTTGACGTGCTTTCGAACTGCTAGGTTGGCAGGAGCAGGGACCGAGCAACGGGAGCTCACCCCGTCATTGCGGGGATTCGAACCGCCGACCTTCTGATCGGCAAGTCCTAGGCTCTGTGGTTTAACCCACAGCGCCACCCGCGTCCCTATAGCTTGTTTAGCTTATACGTAAATCTGGCGCTGCCCAAATCTCGTCTTCTGAGCGTCTCTACAGACACCCTGAAAGTTGGCACAGATGCCAGATCTGTTTGTAAGATGTGCCAGGTTATATAACAAGACAGTTTCTGTCTCGTGCCAGGGCTGCAGGGATATGGACCTCTGTGGCTGGATCAGGCGTGTTTTTCTTCATAGCGGCGGGTCTTATTTTTTGCCCAAATAGCAAAGTTTCAAATTTTCTTGAGGCCGAGAAACGACCCCGAAAGGAACAAGGAAGGATGCAACTTCTTTGCCAAGAAGGTCTGGCCACACACCTCTCCTTGTTTCTTGCTCATTCAGCAGGAAGTTGAGACATGCCGCTAGCTTGTGGCATCAGGCTTGCCCTGTTCGTCCAGGTTATTATGGGATTTCTTCATTCTCTCTGGGTTTTTTCTTTTCTTTCTTCTTTTGTAACTGGCAAGCACATTGGGGCGAGAAAGGCTTTTGATGACGCAAGCGCCCAAACTCATAATTGTCCAGGGGAAGGGCTGGAGCTTGGTGCTATAGAGCGTGCCGGTCCTGAGTTCGAATCTCAAAGTATCCCCCTGAGTCTGCAATCCTGGGGAGCTGCTGTTGCCAGCCAGCGTAGCCAGAGATTCTCAATCTTTCCCAGTCGACGGCTCCCTTGACTTAACTTCCTTTTCTCCTGTAGCTCCCCTGTGAGAAAATGGGGAAAAACTTAAGTTTCTTCGTCGCTGAGCTGTTTTGTGTTTTTGTTTTCTTTTCCCAGGCTTATAAGCAGAACTTTGAAAAGGGTTTTAAATACAGTGGTACCTCGGGTTACAGACGCTTCAGGTTACAGACTCCACTAACCCAGAAACAGTGCTTCAGGTTGAGAACTTTGCTTCAGGATGAGAACAGAAATCAGGCTCCGGCGGTGCAGCTAAAGTGGTGCTTCAGGTTAAGAACAGTTTCAGGTTAAGAACGGACCTCCGGAAAGAATTAGTACTTAACCCGAGGTACCACTGTAGTAGGGACGTGGGTGGCGCTGTGGGTTAAACCACTGAGCCTAGGGCTTGCCGATCAGAAGGTCGGTGGTTCGAATCCCCATGACGGTTAAGTACGGACCTCTGGAACGAATTAAGTACTTAACCTGAGGTTTCGCTATAGATAGATAGATAAATAGATAGATATAGATAGATAGATAGATAGATAGATAGATAGATAGATAGATAGATAGAAAGAATGGTTCATAGCCCTGCTAAATGTTGCTTTTGTAAGTTGGGGGAAATGGAAGCAAGTTTAAATAATAACACAGTCAAACCTTGTTTTGCGGACGGGATCCGTTCTGGAGGCCGGTCCGCAAGCGGAAAATGGACGCACGTCTGGAGAACCATGATGGAGAAAAAGGAGATAGATAAATGCAAGGAATAAGCTCTTTCTGGTTCCCTGCTTAAGAAAGATGGAGTGGCCAGAAAGATAGAAACGTCCATTGCCAACCTGGTGCCCAGAGATCTCCACACGGTCACAACTGGACCCTCACCAGTTAAAAAATACAAGGCATGACTGGAATGTTCACTGAAATCGGACAGCGAGAAATATTTGAACATTTGTTGTTGTTTAGTCATGTCTGCCTCTTAGTGACCCCCTGGACCAGAGCACGCCAAGCCCTCCTGTCTTCCACTGCCTCCTGCAGTTGGGTCAAACTCATGCTGGTAGCTTCGAGAACACTGTCCCACCATCTCGTCCTCCGTCGTCCCCTTCTCCTTGCGCCCTCCATCTTTCCCAACATCAGGGTCTTTTCCAGGGAGTCTTCTCTTCTCATGAAGTGGCCAAAGTCTTGGAGCCTCAGCTTCAGGATCTGTCCTTCCAGTGAGCACTCAGGGCTGATTTCCTTCCGAATGGAGAGGTTTGATCTTCTTGCAGTCCATGGGACTCTCAAGAGTCTCCTCCAGCACCAGAATTCAAAAGCATCCATTCTTTGGCGATCAGCCTTCTTTATGGTCCAGCTCTCACTTCCATACATCACTACTGGGAAAACCAGAGCTTGAACTATACAGACCTTTGTTGGCAAGGTGATGTCTCTACTTTTTAAGATGCTGTCTAGGTTTGTCATTGCTTTTCACCTCCGTACATAATTGTAATTTTGTGGGTTTCCAATGCCGGTTGCACGTTCGGATATTTCTCGCTGTCTGATTTCTGTGACCATTCACCAAACTTTCCGGTTGCACCTTGTACGTGACTTGATTTCTAACACCATTGGCCAGCCCTTAGGAAGTGCGCTTTGTGGGATTTTGAACCTGTTTCTCATCTCTCTTCCCCTCCAGCTTGCGCTGAAATACGACCCTCAGAAGGAAGCAGAATTAAGGACATGGATAGAAAGCATCACCGGAAGAGACATCGGCCCCGATTTTCAGAAGGGGCTGAAAGACGGTGTTGCACTTTGCGAGTGAGTAGCCACGTGTGTTTCATGCGTGGTATATATTTTTTAAAATTTCATTTTATAACGGATGCAGGTGAGCCAAGGGACCCGGGTGGCGCTGTGGGTTAAACCACAGAGCCTAGGGCTTGCCGATCAGAAGGTCGGCGCTTCGAATCCCCATGACGGGGTGAGCTCACGTTGCTCAGTCCCTGCTCCTGCCAACCTAGCAGTTCGAAAGCACGTCAAAGTGCAAGTAGATAAATAGGTACCGCTCCGGCGGTAAGGTAAACGGCGTTTCCGTGCGCTGCTCTGGTTCGCCAGAAGCGGCTTAGTCCTGCCGGCCACATGACCCAGAAGCTGTACGCCGGCTCCCTCGGCCAGTAAAGCGAGATGAGCGCCGCAACCCCAGAGTCGGCCACGACTGGACCTAATGGTCAGGGGTCCCTTTACCTTTACCTAAGATTGTCTTCCATGAACACGGTCTTAACAGGTAGGTAGCCGTGTTGGTGTGCCGTAGTCGAAACAAAATTAAAAAATTCCTTTCAGTAGCACCTTAGAGATCAACTAAGTTTGTTATTGGTATGAGCTTTCGTGTGCATGCACACTTCTTCAGATATGGTCTTAACCGTGAGTCCGTAAGTGACTGGGGAGGCCAATTCTGGATCCACACGTCTTTCCACAGTGGGGACATTGGTTCCCAGACGGCAGTTGATCCCGGTGAGGGTTTGCCAAGCGTGCCTTCCTCTTAGTGCGTTTCCCCCTCTCGTCCTGAGTTCGAGTGTCTTCAAAGCCCATGACGCCTTTGGTAAAGGCTGTTCTCCACCTGGAGCGCTCGCAGGCCAGTGTTTCCCAGTGGTCGGTGTTTATACTACATTTTTAAAGATTTGCCTTGTCTTTGAACCTCTTTTGTTGACCACCAGCATTATGCTTTCCATTTTTAAGTTCGGAATAGTGGAGTCGCTTTGGAAGACGATAGTCAGGCATCCGAACAACATGACCGGTCCAACGATGTTGACGTTGGAGAATCATCGCTTCAATACACCAGCTGACTCGCTGGCATATTTGTAACGATAGGAAGAATGGTTGAAAAACCGTTCTTTAGTTAATTGGGAAAAATCCTGCTCCTGCCCAACATGGCGTTGAAACCTTACATGTGTGTGTGTTTCTGTTCTCTCTCCCCAGGCTAATGAACAAACTTCAGCCGGGTTCGATAAGGAAAATTAATCGCTCAGGCCTCAATTGGCACCAGGTATGTTCGATACGAATTTGATACGATTAAGGGATTTTATTCTTTTTTAGGGAGGTGGCTTCAGGAATGCCTTTAAGGCTGACCTGTGTTCTGGGGGCAAGGGAAGCATACAGTGGTCCCTTGGTTCTCAAACTGAATCCGTTCTGGAAGTCCGTTCCAAAACCAAAGCGTTCCAAAACCAAGGCGCGCTGCTTTCCCATAGAAAGCAAGGCAAAACAGATTAATCCGTTCCAGGCTTTTAAAAACAACCCCTCAAACAGCAATTTAACATGAATTTTACTATCTAATATGACCATTGATCCATAAAATGCATAAATCAATGTAAGGTAAAGGGACCCCTGACCATTAGGTCCAGTCGTGGCCGACTCTGGGGTTGCAGAAGATTTGAACTGCCGACCTTCTGATCGGTAAGCCCTAGGCTCTGTGGTTTAACGCTCAGCACCACCCGCGTCCCATAAATCAATGTACTGTACTATAAAATAATTAAGACCGTATTGTAGATGACAAAAGTAAAAACTATTTTTTTCCCTTACCCACACTGATGATAGTCATTGTTTGCATGGGGGGCTTTTATCCATTTCCGCAGTCACACAATCAATCAATCAGTAGCTGAACTGGGTTCCACACAGTCACAAAAGCAAATGAACTGAAAAAGCCACAAAAACGCAAAATAAAGAGCAAACACAAAAGTGCCAAACTTAATCCGTTCCGGAAGTCCGTTTGACTTCCGAAATGTTCGGAAACCGAGGCACGGCTTCTGATTGGCTCAGGCACCCCAGAAACAATAGCCGACAGCTGCATCGGGCGTTCGGCTTCTGAAAAAGGTTTGAAAACCGGAACACTCACTTCCAGGTTTTCGGCGTTTGGTAACCAAGGCATTTGGGAACCAAGGCATTTGGGAACCAAGGCGTTTGGTAACCAAGGCGTTTGGGAACCAAGGCGTTTGGGAACCAAGGCGTTTGAGAACCAAGGCATTTGGTAACTAAGGCATTTGAGAACCAAGGTATTTGGTAACCAAGGCATTTGGTAACCAAGGCATTTGAGAACCAAGGCATTTGAGAACCAAGGCATTTGGGAACCAAGGCATTTGAGAACCAAGGCATTTGAGAACCAAGGCATTTGGGAACCAAGGCATTTGGTAACCAAGGCATTTGAGAACCAAGGCATTTGAGAACCAAGGCATTTGGGAACCAATGCATTTGAGAACCAAGGCATTTGAGAACCAAGGCGCTTGAGAACCAAGGTACCACTGTTTTTACAATCTGCCAACCTCCACCTTGGTACTTATATTGGGGGTGAGCTCTGCCCCTTCCGGAAACGGACCGATAATACCCAACGGGAACCCCAGACGATTTAGAAGGAATCCCCTCATTTTGTGAGAAGGGGCTTCTAGGGGTCGCCAGCCTTGACCCGGCTGCCCTTTCCTTCGGCAGCTTGAGAACCTCTCCAACTTCATCAAAGCCATGATGAGCTACGGCCTGAAGCCCGTTGACGTGTTCGAAGCCAACGACCTGTTTGAGAACGGGAACATGACGCAGGTCCAGGTGTCCCTGTTGGCGCTGGCGGGCATGGTGAGTCAAGCTTGCGCAACCGGGCGCCTTCTAGGGGCTGATCGACAGTGCCCAGTGCCCCATGGCCTCTCTGGGGAGGCTGATTGGCTGGGCTGGGCCAGGGTGGGGGTGGCTGATTGGCTGTGCCACAGAATGGGGTGGCTGATTGGCTGGGCTGCACTGGGGGGTGGGTGGCTGATTGGTTGTGTTGCAGAATAGGGTGGCTGATTGGCTGTGCCACAGAATGGGGTGGCTGATTGGCTGGGCTGCACCGGGGGGTGGGTGGCTGATTGGCTGTGTTGCAGAATAGGGTGGCTGATTGGCTGTGCCACAGAATGGGGAGGCTGATTGGCTGGGCTGTGCCAGAGTGGTGGCGGCTGATTGGTTGTGCCACACAAAGGGGTGGCTGATTGGCTGTGCTGCAGAATAGGGTGGCTGATTGGTTGCATCACACAATGGGGTGGTTGATTGGCTGGGCTGCACCAGGGTGGTAGTGGCTGATTGGCTGGGCTGCACTGTCGGGATGGCTGATTGGCTAGGCTGTGCCAGGGTGGTGGCAGCTGATTGGCTGCACCACACTGGGGTGGCTGATCGACTGGTCTGCACCAGCATGGTAGTGGCTGATGAAAAATTTAACTCTTTCCGTACAGTCTTATTTATTTGCTCCAGGGCTTTCTTCCAAAACTTAGTGGGTAAAGAACCCTGTAAGAAATTTAATTCCTAGCCTATGGTGTTTTTAAAATATAAATTCCTTAATATTCAGTTTGGTAGCTCCAGGCTTGTCCTGAATAATTCTTTGCAAGGATGTGGCAAGAGGCGGCCGGCAATACACCCAAAGAGCTACCGTATTTTTCACCCTATAAGACGCATCAGACCACAATATTCTGAATCTCAGAAGCCAGAACAGCAAGAGGGATCGCTGCGCAGCGAAAGCAGCGATCCCTCTTGCTGTTCTGGCTTCTGGGATAGCTGCGCAGCCTGCATTCGCTCCATAAGACGCACACACATTTCCCCTTACTTTTCAGGAGGGAAAAAGTGAGTCTTATAGAGCAGAAAATATGGTATGTTAAGTAAATGTGGAAGACTCTTCCCGTAGGAAGAGTCCCTCCCCTCTGTTTGCAGAGTCTATTCCTCATGGGCCATGAGGACTAGAGACTTGCGGAGACGCAATCAAAATCTGCAGAGGTTTTAAGCCAGTTTTGAGACTGACCGGGCGAGGTTTGCTTTAAGGTGCTTCTACTCCCCCTCCCAGGCCAAGACGAAGGGGATTGACAGCGGAGTCGACATTGGTGTGAAATATTCCGAAAAGCAGGAGCGGTGCTTTGACGACGCGAAGCTGAAAGCCGGACAGTGTGTCATCGGTTTGCAGGTAGGTGATGCTGTTGCCGCCAGAGCCCAGCAATTACCTGGAGGTTTCCTCCTAAGCGAGCCAGCAATAAATCACACTGACCGAGCTGGAGTTCAACTCTTTACAGTGGTACCTCGGGTTAAGTACTTAATTCATTCTGGCGGTCCGTTCTTAACCTGAAACTGTTTTTAACCTGAAGCACCACTTTAGCTAATGGGGCCTCCTGCCACCACCGCACAATTTCTCTTCTCATCCTGAAGCAAAGTTCTTAACCCGAGGTAATATTTCTGGGTTAGCGGAGCCTGTAACCTGAAGCGTCTGTAACCCGAGGTACCACTGTATTAGCAAGAACACGGATTTGCACAGACTTGGTGGACTGTCCGGCCTAATGAACATCAGCTCATCCCTGGGAAGTCTGGCCTCATGGATAATAATAAAGGTAAAGCGACCCCTGACCATTAGGTCCAGTCGTGGCCGACTCTGGGGTTGCGGTGCTCATCTCGCTTTATTGGCCGAGGGAGCCGGCGTTCAGCTTCCGGGTCATGTGGCCAGCAGGACTAAGCCGCTTCTGGCGAACCAGAGCAGCGCACGGAAACGCCGTTTACCTTCCCGCCGGAGTGGTACCTATTTATCTACTTGCACTTTGATGTGCTTTCGAACTGCTAGGTTGGCAGGAGCAGGGACTCTCAAAAGTCTCCTCCATAGCTTTGACTATACGGACCTTTGTTGGCAAGGTGGTGTCTCTGCTTTTAGCCGTAGTAACTCCCAAACCTCTCCGGTTTCAGATGGGCACCAACAAATGCGCCAGCCAGTCTGGGATGACCGCCTACGGAACCCGGAGACACCTCTACGACCCCAAAAACCAGATCCTACCTCCGATGGACCATTCCACCATCAGCCTCCAAATGGGAACAAACAAATGCGCTAGTCAGGTGAGGACAGTTGCCGCATAATTGTGCCAATTCCACGTCGGTAAGAACTCTGATCTTTGGAACTCCCTGCCAATTGATACCAGGCGGGTGACTTTTGCTGTATTCTTTGCTAAAAAAAATTAATAATTATTGTCCAGTCAAGACTACCTGGGTGTTTAAAAAGTGGGTGCGGGTTTTATTTTTTTGCCAGTTAATTTTTTTTTATTGCTTTCCAAAATATTTTAACCAATTGACATCAGATTGAATACGCATTTAAAAGTTGACTTCCCCTGCTTTGATGTTTCACCACCCAGCCCTTATTTGCTGCTCGATATTCCATAGATTTCCAAATTACATTTTTAAAAAATGTACCTCGGTTTTCGAGTGTCTTGGAAGCCAAATTTTTCGGTTTTCGAACCCTGAAAACCCGGAAGTAATTGCATCCGTTTTCCAACCCGTGACAGCCTAACTGTGCAGGAACCTGTCTATAAAATTGCTCTAAACTGATTAATTGTTTAAGCTCATCGAAGGTTCTAACTTTACTCGCTTCCACCCACCTGTCCAGAGCTTTATTCGGTTCCCGAGTTGGGCATAAATCTCTGCCGGTTTTCTTCTAATATCATGGAAGGGCTTTTGGCTCCGTTCTGCAGTCAAGACCAGAGCACACTTTAGCTCTCTCTTAAAATGTGAAGTAATCGGAGGTTTCATCCTCTCTGAGATCTGAGTCTATTTCGCTCAAAATTCCACATATCTGTGGGCAAAAGTACAGCACCCAGTTTTCCTCAGAAATGTTTAAATCTTTAGAAGTCTGTTCAAAACTAAATAGGAATGCCTGCACATCATCACCTTTTATATACTTCGGAAACCTCTTTTTTATTATTTTTTTGATATAATTTTTCCATATTTCATTACATTTCCATATCAAAAATCAAAAAATCCATAACTAAGCATTGCTTAAATAAAGCATCGACCTCCTTCCCTCCCTCTTAACAGACTTCCACACAACTTTACCAATTTCTTCACATTCCTATATCCACTTTTTTACCTTATAAATCAATCTTACTTCGGAAGCCTCTTAATATTAGCGGAGGTAAAATCTTTGCTGGTCCAGCAAAACCAACTTTTTTGTCACGCAAGGTGTTCGAGAACCAAGGCACAACGGTAGTTAAGTTTTTTACCTCTACCTTCATTGCTGTGGCTAGTGGCTGATGTAAATAAATAGTCTTCTGTTTCCGCTATCGCCCTTAACACTCTTTAACGGTGTTGTGCATACGAACTCAAATTCTTCCTCTTTTCTTTTTAATACTTCCCTCCCCGATCAGGTGGGGATGACGCAGAATAATCCACTTAGCCCACAAAGGTGAAAAACAAACTTAGTCCATCCTCAGGTGTTCTACATGTAAGGTAAAGGTAAAGGGACCCCTGACCATTAGGTCCAGTCGTGTCCGACTCGGGTTGTGGCGCTCATCTCGCTTTACTGGCCGAGGGAGCCGGCATACAGCTTCCGGGTCATGTGGCCAGCAGGACTAAGCCGCTTCTGGCGAACCAGAGCAGCGCACGGAAACGCCGTTTACCTTCCCGCCGGAGTGGTACCTATTGATCTACTTGCACTTTGACGTGCTTTCGAACTGCTAGGTTGGCAGGAGCAGAGACCGAGCAACGGGAGCTCACCCTGTGGCAGGGATTGAAACCGCCAACCTTCTGATCGGCAAGGCCTAGGCTCTGTGGTTTAACCCACAGCGCCACCTGCGTCTACATGTAAACATTAGTCCAAATTCACAAAAAAGAACTATAATCAATTTCAGTAGTTAGACCTCCTCCTGCTTCCGCTATCACCCACTCTAACACTTAACGGTGTTGTGCATACGAATATGAGCTCAAATTCTTCCTCTTTTCTTTTTTAATATTTCCCTCCCCGATTAGGTGGGGATGACGGCTCCGGGAACGAGGCGGCACATCTACGATTCGAAGCTGGGGACGGACAAATGTGACGACAGCTCCATGTCTCTGCAGATGGGCTACAACCAGGGAGCCAACCAAAGCGGGCAGGTTTTCGGCTTGGGGCGCCAAATCTACGACCCCAAGTACTGCCCCCAGGGCAATGCCGGCGAGGCGGCCAACGCAGCGCATAACGACGGGAATTCGGCGGAATATTACTACTACCAGGAAGGAGAGGAGCAATGAGCCTGGGGAATTGGGGGGGTGGGTCCCCCTCCGATTTCCCCCTCCCCGGCAAATCACCATTGTACAGTTCCTGCCTCTTAATTGCCACAGATACTGCAATCTTTCCATATTTGCGACTTTAAAAAGCATGAGAATCTTTTCTCCGCGTAGCAGAGATGAAAACAGGCTCCCTCAACTTCGGCCCTCCAGATGTTTTGGGACTACAACTCCCATCATCCTTAGCTAGCAGGACCAGTGGTGAGGGATGATGGGAATTGTAATCTCAAAACATCTGGAGGGCCAAGGTTGCGGAAGCCTGGAACAAAACAAAGGTCTTCTTCCGTTTGTTCTTTTTTTAAGAAAGTGAGTCTATGTGGGCCCAGATCTAAGGCTTTGTTTACACCACCAACCCGCCAGATCTCTTGAAATCTCGAGATTCTGGATTTAATACGCCACCAGGGTGCAGAGATGTCCAAGCGGTCGGCCGCGATCGACAGGCAGATCCCAGGGAGATCTGGGTCGATCGCGGGATCGTGACCGATCGCTGTATGGGAAATGCTGTGGAATTAAGGTCTCCGTCTCCCAACCCCACCCCTCTCTGTCGCTACGGCGCGTCCTGCGGGCGGTCGTTTGGCGTCTGCTACTGACGACTGGCAATACAGTGGATGTTCGGGTTGCGAACCTGATCCGTGCAGGATGCACATTCACAACCCGTAGCGTTCGCAACCCGCGGGTTGCTATTCGGCGCTTCTGCGCAACCGCTGAAACCCGGAAGCAACCCGTTCCGGTACTTCCGGGTTTTGGCGGTCCGCAACCCGAAAAAGCACAACCTGAAGCGTCTGTAACCCGAGGTATGACTGTAGTTTCCTGTAGTTGCATAGCTGTCAACCGTCCCTTATTTGGCGGGAAACTCCCTTATCCCAGCGCCGTGTCCCGCTGTTGTCCCGTATGGATGCTGTCCCTTAAATTTCCCGGGTTTCATGCTTGCCCGGCTCAGGAGGGAAGCAGCGGATCGGGGTCCTCCGCCGTGAGAGAGAGCGCACGCTGGCGCCGTTGTCCTGGCGCAAGGAGTTCCATCGGCCCTTCCCCGCCCAAGAGACTCTCGCCCGTGCCACCCGCGAGCTCGGAGGCGGCAGCGATGGCGGCGGCTGAGGAGGCGGCCTGAGGGAGGAGGAAGAGGAGGGGATGGGGAGGGACGCAGAAGGGCGGCGCTTCAGCGGCCGCCGTGGCGCCGCAACCGCCTCATGCCGGATTGACAGCATCTGTCAATCCTACCAGACGCACCTAGTTTTTGGAGTTTCCTTCTCCAGAAGAAAAAAAATATTCTGAATCTCAGAAGCCAGAACAGCAAGAGGGATAGCTGCGCAGCCTGCATTCGCTCCATAAGACGCGCACACATTTCCCCTTACTTTTTAGGAGGGAAAAAGTCAGTCTTATAGAGCAAAAAATACGGTAACTCTTTACAACGGCAAAATCCCTTATTTGGGCTGCTGATCCCTTATTTTTGAGGCTGCTGGTCCCTTATTTTCAAATCTGTAAGTTGACAGATATGGATGGACGGTGGATGTACAGTGGTACCTCGGGTTACATACGCTTCAGGTTACAGACTCCGCTAACCCAGAAATATTGCTTCGGGTTAAGAACTTTGCTTCAGGATGAGAACAGAAATTGCACACCAGCGGTGTGGCGGCAGCAGGAGGCCCCATTAGCTAAAGTGGTGCTTCGGGTTAAGAACAGTTTCAGGTTAAGAACAGACCTCCGGAACGAATTAAGTACTTAACCCAAGGTACCACTGTATATATAAAGGGACAAGCTTTTTTTATACTGGGAGTAGATCGCAGACTCATGAGAGTTAGACGCTCCTGCAATAGGGGTTGTTGCCATCCGACATTAGCCATTTGGTGAGTCGACCTGTTGAAACCCTGGCCGATTGATTTTCCAGTGGGTTTACTCGGAGCGAAATGCACTCCGATGGCATTAACAACAACAACAACAATAATTTATTATTTATACCCTGCCCATCTGGCTGGGCTTCTCCAGCCACTCTGGGCGGCTTCCAACAAAATATTAAAATGCAGTAATGCATCAAACGTTAAAAGCTTCCCTAAACAGGGCTGCCTTCAGATGTCTCCTAAAAGTCAGATAGTTGCTTATTTCCTTGACATCTGATGGGAGGGCGTTCCACAGGGCAGGTGCCACCACCGAGAAGGCCCTCTGCCCGGTTCCCTGTAACCTCGCTTCTCGCAGGGAGGGAACCGCCAGAAGGCCCTCAGGAGATGGACCCAGGTGTCCGGGCTGGACGATGGAGGTGGAGATGCTCCTTCAGGGATACTGGGCCATTTAGGGCTTTCAAGGTCAGCACCAACACTTTGAATTGTGCTCAGAAACGTCCTGGGAGCCAACATAGGTCTTTCAGGACCAGTGTTATATGGTCTCAGCGGCCGCTCCCAGTCCCCAGTCTAGCTGCCGCATTCTGGATTAGTTGCACACTTTGAACTGTGCTCAGAAACGTTCTGTTACAGATGCTTTAGCTGAGATTCCTGCATTTCAGAGGGTTGGACTAGATGAACGCTGGGGGTCCCTTTCCAACTTTATGATTCCACAAGGCTCTGGAGAGCCAGAGATAAATTGGGCTGGGCAGGCAAAATAAGCCTGATGTCGTGCAATCACTTTCCTGAACTGGTGAGGAATCCCGCCTCGTCCGGAGACCACAATGTTCACAACCATATGGTCTAGAAAACTCTGCCAATCCTGGGTGGTTGTGTGTTTTTTTGTAGCAATAAAACAGCACAACCTTCTGTGCTCACATGGAATGGTGGTGTACACATATAGCCTTTTGAACTGCCCCCACTTAAAAAAATAGTCATAATTATTCTGCAAGGTCAATTTTATTTTTCCTTCCTTGCTGGAACCCGAATTATGCAAAATTGACGGCCGTTCGCATGCATTTTATTGGTGTCTTTTCAGAACGGAGGTCCTTTGTTTTATTTTTATGTGCAAGGGATATTAACGTCGATTCAGGCATGTGTATAAGCGAGGGGCGAACCGGGAAAAGGAAGATTAACTGGAGGGAAGCGCCTAGAAACTCCACCGGCTTCAAGGACAATACCTGTTTTCTAAATACGTCCGTCACGAGGACCAGAAACTTAGATTATTATTTTTTTAAAATATGAAGCCTGTGGAATCTGCAGCAGATTTCACACCAAAACTTGGCTTGTGGAAGGTAAAAAAATTAACATTTTTTTAATCTACAGCACTTAACGCGGTTCAGTTCACCTTGGTGCCTTCGGTTTTGAAGTCAGGTTGAAAACTTTTTTTCTGCCGCTAGACCTTGACCTTCAGTCGAAACGGCAGCCCTGCAAATTTCTTGATTCACATGTCGACAACGATACTTATCAAAAGCTCGTTTGCAAGCTCAAATTGTCACACGGAGGTCGAGATCCAGTTTTAATAATTTTAGGAAGATCTAGCTGCCGTCCCTGTCTTTGGGGATTTTTGATTGTGCCAGGATCGCTATCGCTGTAGCCTATTTGCGTAGTGCTTGGGGCAGCAGAGGTCTTATATTATGGGGTTGACGGTTGCCTAACCCAATGAGGTCTAGCCACTTGAAAAGGCTTTCAAAGATTGCAACTTCTCTTTCTCTCCCCTCCGTCTCCTCAGAGGCCTTAGGTGCCCATTTCTTGCTGCTACATAACTTTTTAAGGGACCAAGAATTCTTCCTTTCATAAGAAAAACCAAAACTCCTCTTTTTTAAAAAGAAAGAAATTGAAAATAAGTTTGTAAGCCTTTATATAATGCTTAAAGGATCTATTTTTTTTGTTGTGATACTGAGGGACCAATATGTTGTTTTTTAAAAAATATGTCCGCACATCTTAAATCTTTTATAAGCATTCCATCAATAGCCTTAATTTCTATGTAGGTAATCTTATGATGATACGAGTCACTAAATTGTCTGTTTGCTAATGGATGTGAAAAAAGCCCACAGCCGAGGAACCCATTAGATTTCCCAAACTTTCCCAAATTTGGGTCTCCAGCTCTCGTTGGACTACAACTCCCATCACCCTAAGTTTAGCCGGATCTGTGGTCATGGACGATGGGAATTGTAGTCTTAAAAAACCAAACCCAAGTTTGGGGAAAGTAGAAAGCTATAGTCCACTAAGATGTTTCCTACTAACTCATACTCTTGAGTAGACCTGTATATGAACGTCTCGTCGATTTCTGTGGGTCTGCTCTCAGTAGGACTTTGGGGGGATAGCTGCAGACTACGGAGCTACACAGATCTCTAGAGGACTTACTCCAAAGACTTAATATCTGCAGAATCTGATCTGTGTCTCTTCAGAGACAAAGGCTGTTTCTGATTCCAGAAGTGAGGGGGAACACTAGCCGCCTATGAACAAATATCGCCCGTCCACAATCTCCTGCAATCAGTCTTTAAATAATAATAATGTTTATTTTTCTTTAAAAAGCATTTACTCAAGAAAAATCACCATTTTACCGTTCAAATCGGGGAAAACCAAATACAGTAAATGGACAAAAGTACAAAGATTCACAAAATGTTTTTAGGGGCATGCGTACTCCTGTGTACCCCCGGGGGGGGGGGAAAGCGCTGATTTCAGCAATAATAATAAAACCAGCCATACAAATCAGAAATTTCTAACCCAGCGCAGATCAGCTGGGATGGAAATATTAGAAATAAGTTTGTGAGGCTTATTGGGGTCTTTTGCAACTCTGCCATTCTGCGTACCCCCCAGGAAAAAAAGTCTGCCTGCAATTCTTATTTTGTCACAGAAGTCTCTTGGTTTGCGCTCACTGCAATAGCAGGGGCGCTAGTCCTCAGGAACATGTTTTTAGCAAGGATGTTGGGGGTTCTTTTTGCTATAAAAAGCCCCTTATTCCAAGCATGGGGAATCTGATGCCCTGGATTCCCCATTCTTGACATTTGCCACATCGGCTGCAGGGAGTTCTAGTTCACGGCGCCAGGTTTCTGATGTATTTAAATTTGGGGTTGGCCTTTCCAGATGGTTTCTGGACTTGCAGATTCTCCCTTCCCTGCTTTTTAAACCTTGAGGCCAATGCCATTCTTGTGTGTGTCTTAATTTTTTAAAAAAGGCTTATCCACCCCCCCCCCCCAAAAATGTGGCTCTTTCTTCATTGCTAAACGTCTTCCCTTTTTTTAAACGGAAACTGGACAGTCTTCCCCCATAACTGTACGGATAAAAGCCGCCGCAAACTTTAGTTTCCTTGGTGGAGAGCGTTTTATCCTGTGAAACGGAAGAGGGACATAACTGGGACAAAAAAATAAATAAATGTGAAACTGCAATATTTGAATATAAGCAATAAAATGCTTCAAAAGCAGAACAAACCTTGGTGTGTGTGTTTTTTCCCCCAATTGTGTGTGTCTGTTAAAAGGGTGATGACATTGTGTGTTTTGATTATATTAGGGCTGGGCGATACCTCATAGACCATCCACTAAACATCTTGACACACGGAAGAGTCTTTACAGCGGCACCTTGGTTCTCAAACTTAATCCGTTCTGGAAATTCCGTTCCAAAACCAAAGCGTTCCAAAACCAAGGCACGTTTTCCCCTAGAAAGCAATGCAAAATGGATTAATTCGTTCCAAACTTTTAAAAACAACCCATAAAACAGCAATTGATCATGGATTTTACTATCTAACCAGACCATGGATCCATGAAATGAAAGCAATAAACAATGCACTGTGCTATAAAATAAATAAGACAGTATTGTAGATGATAAAAATTAAAATTACTTCTTTTTTTTTACCTGCACTGATGATAGTCATTGTTCGGATGGGGGGGCTTTTATCCATTTCCGCAGTCACACAATCCGTCAATCAGTAGCTGAACTGGGTTCCACACAGTCACAAAAGCAAATGAACCGAAAAAGCCTCAAAATCAAACACGCAAAATAAATAGCAAAAACAAAAGAGCCAAACTTAATCCGTTCCGGAAGTCCATTTGACTTCCGAAATGTTTGAAAACCAAGGTGCAGCTTCTGATTGGCGCAGGCGCCCCGGAAACAAAAGCCGACAGCTGCATTGGACGTTCGGCTTCCGAAAAACGTTCAAAAACTGGAACACTTTCAGGTTTTTGGCATTTGGGAACAAAGGCGTTTGAGAACCAAGGTACCACTGTATTTGCATCAGCCACTAGCTATAGCAATAAAATAAATACAGTGTGTATATATATATATATATATGACAGTGGTACCTCTGGTTGTGAACGGGATCCATTCCGGAGGCCTGTTCGCAACATGAAAAGAGCGCAACCTGAAGCGCCGTATCTGCGCAGGTGCGCAGCGCGATTTAGCACTTCTGTGCATGCGCGAGCGGCGAAACCCAGAAGTAACCCTTTCTGGTACTTCCGGGTCGCCACGGGACGTAAACGGAAAGAAGGTAAGATGAAGCAAACATAACATGAGGTATGACTATATATATATATATATATACACATACTGTGTGTGTGTGTGTGTGTGTATATATATAATACAAACACACAAGTGTGTGTGTATACTCTGTGTGTGATTATATATATATATTGTATATACATATATATACACATATTACACATATATTGTATATACATATATATATAACATATATTACACATATTACATTATCTATTACTCTCTCTATATATATTTGATATATATATATTACATGTGTAATATATATGTGTGTGTGTGTATATATATATATATATATATATATATTACACATTACATATTACACTCTCTCTCTCTCTAGATATATATAAAACACACACACTGGGTTTTTATTTTTAAAAATATAAAATATAAAAATTAACTGAGATCAATAATTGCAATCACTTGTGTATGACAGCTGTGTACAGTTTCCAATTTCTTAATGTGCTGCAAGCCGGCCCAGAGTGGCTGGGTATAAATCATAAAATCGCCATCATCATCAAAATAGGCTGCTGCGTCACCTTTAAGGATGCTGAGGCTGACGTCACGCGCCCTCCAGTAACCCCTCCGCTTTAAATCGGGGCGGGGCCTCCGCCCACCGGCGTTCCAAATCCGAACGCCGGCCGGCGAGGGGGCGTGGCTTTGCTTACACAACTCCCTTTGATCCTCCGCCGCTGTTGCGAACAATGCGGGGGAGAGGCGGCGAGGGGGTCTCCCCTTAAAGGGGCCGCGCCGCAAAAAAAGGAGCCGGGCAGGTAAGAAATCAATCAATCAATCAGTCAGTTGAACCCCCCTTGAAGGGAGCTGGGTTTAGGGAAGGGGGGGCCGGGGAACGGATGCCTTAGGAAATATTTTTCCTAATAATATTTTCCTTATTATTATTATCTGAATTTTTATACCTGGGGTTCTCAGGGCGGTGCGTAGAATAAAATCAAGAGCAAGATATAAAACCTTTTAACTCCCCCCGCCCTCCAAACACCCCAAAGGGACCCAACTTTCAGGTCACTCTTTTAAAATATAAATTACAGTATATTTGATTCCCTCCCCCTCTTTCTTTTTCCTTTTTCCTTTCTCCTCCTGTGATGAGGCTGCATTTTAATATTTTAATGTTTCAATATTTTAATTGTTGTATTTTAATCTTGTTTCTAAGTTGCATTCATTTAACTTGTTTTTATTATTGCTTGTTAGCCGCCCTGAGCCCAGCCTTGGCTGGGGAGGGCAGGGTATAAATATTATTATTATTTTTATTATTATTATTAGCTGTCTTTTCTCTCCTTCCCCACTCCTGCCAATCTCTATTATTATTATTATTATTATTAATTTGTTGAATTCATATATAACCCTATACCCGGAGATCTCAGGGCGGTTCGCAGAATGAAATCAAAATATAAAACTCGAAAATACATAATCAACAACAACCCAATAACCCCCCCCCAAAAACCCCCCACATTTTAAGTCCCCCACCCTCCTAACACCTGAAAGGGACCCAACTTTCAGGTCACTTGTAAAATATAAATTATATACTGTATTTTCTCTCCCTCCCCTGTCTGTTTTTGCTATTTGTTTTGCGTTTTTGTTTCTGCAGCACTTTTGGTTTTTGTTTTCGTGATGGATTGGTTTTCTGACTTCAGTACATCGTTTATTGCTTTCATTTGATGGATCAATGGTCTCGTCAGATAGCAGAAGGTCGGCGGTTCGAATCCCCGCAATGACGGAGTGAGCTCCCGTTGCTCGGTCCCTGCTCCTGCCAACCTAGCAGTTCGAAAGCACCTCAAAGTGCAAGTAGATCAATAGGTACCACTCCAGCGGGAAGGTAAACGGCGTTTCCGTGCGCTGCTCTGGTTCGCCAGAAGCGGCTTAGTCCTGCTGGCCACATGACCCGGAAGCTGTACGCCGGCTCCCTCGGCCAATAAAGCGAGATGAGCGCCGCAACTCCAGAGTCGGTCACGACTGGACCTAATCGTCAGGGGTCCCTTTACCTTTACTATGTGGAAGCATACAGCTTCCGGGTCATGTGGCCAGCATGACTAAGCCGCTTCTGGCGAACCAGAGCAGCGCACAGAAATGCCGTTTACCTTCCCACCAGAGCGGTACCTATTTATCTGCTTGCACTTTGACATGCTTTTGAACTGCTAGGTGGGCAGGAGCAGGGACCGAGCAACGGGAGCTCACCCCGTCACGGGGATTCGAACCGCCGACCTTCCGATTGGCAAGTCCTAGGCTCTGTGGTTTAACCCACAGCGCCACCCGCGTCCCACTCCCTCGGCCAATAAAGCGAGATGAGCGCCGCAACCCCAGAGTCGGTCACGACTGGACCTAATGGTCAGGGGTCCCTTTACCTTTACCTGATGTGGAAGTGAGGCCTGGGAACGGCAGGAGAGCCTTTGGCTCTCAAGGTCTCTGAGCCTAAACAAAGTTCAGCTGTGCTGGCCTCCTGTCAATCAGGAGATATAGTCTCATCTTGCAGCCATTGGTAAATTGGTAATTAACCTAAAGAGATGATTGGTCCCTAGCCTGTTGACCAAGTGGGTTTGCAAGGGTAAAGGATTTGGGAATCCAGATGAAAATTGCAGAACCAGTGCTTTTGACCAGTGAAAGGACTCATGACTGCTCGCTGTGTTTTGAACTATTGTTGCTGTGAGTATAATTTTAGCTAGTTACATTTTACAACGTTTTTATTTTCTGTTTGTAACCTTCTAAGAAACGTGCAACTTTGTGTGTGGCTTGTTTAATAAACTTGGAGTAGGACTTTTTGCCTTTTGTACTGTGATAGGAGTTTTGAGGTCTTAAATGTAGGTATGATGTATCTGGGGTGGTGGTCTTGAGCTACACCCCTTCTGTGATGTATGTATGATGTTTCTGGGGGTGGTCTTGATCTAAAGGTAAAGGGACCCCCATTAGGTCCAGTTGCGGCTGACTCTGGGGTTGCGGCGCTCATCTCGCTTTACTGGCCGAGGGAGCCGGCGTACAGCTTCCGGGTCATGTGGCCAGCAGGACTAAGCCGCTTCTGGCGAACCAGAGCAGCGCACGGAAATGCCGTTTACCTTCCCGCCGGAGCGGTACCTATTTATCTGCTTGCAGTTTGAGATGCTTTCGAGCTGCTAGGTTGGCAGGAGCAGGGACCGAGCAACGGGAGCTCACCCCGTTGCGGGGATTCGAGCCGTCGACCTTCTGATCGGCAAGCCCTAGGCTCTGTGGTTCAGAATATTTTTTTTTCTTGTTTTCCTCCTCCAAAAACTAGGTGCGTCTTGTGGTCTGGTGCGTCTTATAGAGCAAAAAATACGGTACATTGGGAAGCTGTTCCTCTGGACACCTGTTTAACATAGATATGGCATTTCAGATACCCGGGTTTCAAAACAGTCCAGATCATTAAGGTTTCTTGGAATTCCTGGTCTTGGGCTGATGGTGGAATTATTGATGGCTTCCCGGCAAAAGTTTCTGAAGCCCTGCATTAAGTGTGCATTAACCGTCTTTTAAAAACCGTCTTCAAAGCTCCAAGTCCCAAGACGCCATAGCACATAGGATAGTAAGGGGCCGAGTCCAAAAAAACCCTCCCTTAAAAGTTCCCGGTTATAAATGTTATTGTTATTACTACAGTGGTACCTTGGGTCTCAAACCTAATGCAAAACGGATTAATCCGTTCCAGACTTTTGAAAACAACCCCTAAAACAGCAATCAAACGTGGATTTTACTATTTAACCAGGCCATTGATCCGTAAAACGAAAGCAATAATCAATTTACCGCAGTCACGCAATCGATCCATCAGTAGCTGAACTGGATTCTGCAGAGCCACAAAAACAAATTGAAAAAGAGTCGCAAAAACGCAAAATAAATAGCAAAAACAGACAGACCTCAGGGTAACACTCAAACTGGAGCACGTTCGGCTTCTGAAAACGGTTTGAGAACCAAGGTACCACTG